CCCTAACCCCTAAACCCTAAAACCTAAACCTAAACCCTAAACCCTAAACCCTAACCCTAAACCCTAACCCTAAACCCTAAAGTATTTAAATATAGCTCTAGCTAATTATATTAAATACGCTACTTTTTTAATTCGTAGTATAACCGTAGACTTATAACTACTTCTAAAGCTTTTATATTAAGCTTTATCTTAGTTAACGCTATATAAACTAGATAGCTAGTAGGATATAATATAAAATTATAGTAAGGATAAATAGACTAAATAGATTAAAGCGGTAAATAAGGAAATACAGAAGTAGCTAAAAAACGGTACTTAGCGTATATATAATCTTCCTACTAAAGATACTAAAAAGACGCTTCTTCCGCTTCGATAGGTCTTTCGTATTAAGGATAATAGGACCTATAAGATACGTCTCGTTATAAAAGGGTTTAAGTAACGTAAAGGAATTAATTATCTTAATATTTATATAAGTATAGCTAAAGCTTTAAGCTTTAAAATATTCTATATAATCGCTATATATTTCGGCTAGTAGATATATTATATTAACTTTATTATAGTATTTCTTAACGCAGAGCTTCTTAAAGAAATCTATATTTAACTTCCTAATAGTTTTAAAGAGCCTAGAAAATATAGCCTCCTTTTAAAGACTTTATACGGTCTAAAACAGAGTCCTCGCGAATAATATAATACTATCTATAGGGCTCTAATAGTAATTAGATTTATTCGCTTATAAGCGGACTATTCGGTATTCGTATATATAAAACGTAAGCTCTATCTTCTTATATATATTAATAATATACTAATTATTATACCTTTAGATATATCTCTTATATAGCTTAAGGACTATATTCAAAAATCCTTCGATATTACTAATAATAGTACTACTATACGATTCCTTATAATTAATATTATTTATATAGATAGTAAGGTAAGGCTTTCTTAGCTTACCTATATTCGCAAAGTCCTCGCGAAATTCAACCTATAAGATATATATATAGTCCCTATACTATTTTATAATAAGAAGATCCTATAACCGCGTAAGGATACTACTACTCCGGCGTAAGGATACTACTACTCCGGCGGAAGTTAAAGCTTACTATAAGATAGTAGGCTTATTTATTTAGCTAATAGTTAATATATAACTAGATATTATATTCGTAGTTATAAAGCTTATAAGATATATATATAACCCCTCCGCGAAGTATATAACTATATTAAAGTATATCTTTCGATATCTTAAGGATTCTAAAATACTTACTATCGCGTATTCCTACTTACCAGACCCCCTCTTTAGATTCGTTAATACAGATTAGGCCGGTAAATATATAGATAGTAGTATATTAACCTCCGGCTTCCTTTTTAAGCTTACGAATAGTATAATTACTTAGGCTTATAAAAAGTAAATATATATTACTCTTTCCTCTACTAAAAGTAAGTATATAGCTATATCTTTAGCTATCTAAGAGGTATTATAGCTATAGCTTTTCCTTAAGGAACTTAATATAGAGTCCCTTTTATAACTTCCTACTATAATCTATAAGGATAACTAAAGCGCTATTTACCTTACTAAAAGCTATGATTTATACTAACAAACGAAGTATATTAACGTTAAATACTATTATATTAGAGACTAAGTCTCTAGGGGGGTATATAAATTCGTCAAAATCTCTACTACAGAGTAGGCCGTAGATAGCTTTACTAAGCCGCTATAGCGAGTCTAATTCGAGAGGTTTCTATATCTTTTAGGTATAAAAAAGCTCTAATTCAATAGCTATTTAACGGTTTTTTAATAGCCTTTATAGCGAGCTTAATTCTAAGGGTTTAAATACCTTTTTAAGCTCAAAAAGCTATATTAAGGCGTTATTAACATATTTATATAATCATTTTTCATGTTTTTCGTGTTTTGAGTGAGATTAGTAGATCGAGGTCCAGGGGGGTATTGAGATAGCTTGGTGGTTTGGCGCGTCTCACCAGCGTGGTACGCGCCCACGCACACCACCTTCGTAGCTTAGATAGGCACCTCTCACCAGATGCAATCTCACCATTCCTTTCTCCCCTCTTTTGGGTCTGCTACGATCTCCCAGTAGCCTCCAATACCTTCTGCATCTAGGGCAAAGAATACTAACCCCCGTCCGTTATCCCTTCGTGCTGCTGCGTGGACACGAGAATTATTCCTTGAACAGTCGATTCTGGCGTGGCATCGAGTCCACATGGATCGCTTCCGACAAGCCACTGAAGCCATCCACCACCGCCACGATGAACCACCCTGTCCAAAGGTGCCGGAGTGTGTTCCAGTCGACAACGGATCGGGTGGCTGTTTCAACATGTCCTGGCAGGCTGAGATAACTCTGCGTCCCCCGAGCTTCAACCCCAGAGGACGCGAGAATCGGCACCGCCTGTCATCTCGCCTACCCGGCAGATGGGATCCGAAGCACCTTGGAGGCGTTGAATCTCTTTCTCGGCACCACCACCGCGAAACGATTCATACGTGTTTCTACGAGCAGTCAGTAACGCTCGAACCCGAGTCGGGCAAGCCACAGCGCCAAAGGACGCAAGCGAGGGCACAGAGTACACGTGTATCGTACCCAAATTCTACGGCTGCCGTTGTGTCTTCGAGGCAGGTGCTTCCAGTCTTCTGGAATCATGTCACCTTGTGACTGCGAGCTCAGGCACTCCCACTTGATCCAATCAGCGCTCCACGTGTAGCCACGGGCCAGTCAGCTATTTTCTTATTGCTTCGCCGGTCGGAGAAACCAGTCAAGCTTTGAGGAGTGTGCTCGTCCGCCCCCAAATCCACACCGTATGAGTCGTGGAAGGTCCGGTGGCGGATTATCCGCTCCTCTCGCGGACTGAGTCGGCCAGCGGGGCCCGGCTCGTCGCGCCAAGACCGAGAGTCTTGGCGCGAGGGGGCCACAGCGTAAGGGTTAATCGCTTGAGCTTCACTATCCACACACGTGCAACTCTCGGGGATCCATCTACCGCACGCTATCGAACCATAAGAATTTGACGATTGGAGTCTCTCTCCCACGAGGGTGAGAAGATACTGGGATTGATCAAAATTAGTGGAAAGTTGAGCTCAGCATGGGTCGCCCGCTAAAGGAAGGCGGAACAAGCAGAATGCATGCCACCACACTCCAGACTTAGAGACAGGGATCTGTACCAGATCGATGAATGTATAAAACGACTGGCGAAACCCGTCAAGAAGATGGTCAAAAAGATTCATCTCACCGAGAAACAGGGATCTCTCTGCTGGTGATTGACCATTTTGCAAGGCAACCTCGCGATCCGAGTCGAATTACGGCCCAAAGCTCTCAGGATGGTCTACCACGATCTCGACTGGCTTTTTGCCATCGGTACCATCTTTTTCCTTCTCTCAGTCTGGGGTATCGGTGCCAATGTACGTTGACGGACTCTGCATATTGATGACGGGAGGAGTTACTGACCCGCTTCGACTACGATCACAGGATGTGGCCAACTCCTACGCCACCTCTGTCAGCTCGAGGTCTCTGACTCTCATCCAAGCTGGCGTTCTCGCTACGGTTACGGAGTTTATCGGTGCCATTGCCCTGGGTCAGCAGGTCACTTCAACCATTCGCAGTGGAGTCTTCTCAATTGACCGCTTCCTGGACTCGCCGGGAGTATTGATCATGGCCATGGTGGTCGCTGAGATCGGTACGTGAAACTTATCCTCCCCCTCTACTATTCTTTCTACCCTGCAGATGGACAATAACTGATCTTTACTGACGCGAGATAGGCTCCTCGATCTGGCTCGCCGTTTGCACATACCTCGGATTCCCCGTGTCCACGACTCAATCCATCGTGGGTGCATTGATTGGTGTTGCTATTGCATCTGATCTTCCCGTTCACTGGGGCTGGAAGTCGCAGAGTGTCTCTCAGATTGCAGCTTCATGGGGTATCGCTCCCGTCCTCGCTGCGGGCTTTGGTGCCATCATTTTCACCAGCATCCGGCTCTTGGTGCACGACCGTCAGGATCCTATGAAGTGGGCGCTGCGTGTACTCCCCTTCTACTACTCTTTCACCGCTGCTATCCTGGCTCTGTTTATTGTCGTCAGTGGCGGTCACGGAATTCCCAAGCCCGAGGATCTGGGCGCTGGAAAAGCCTGCGGTATCGTCTTGGGTGTTTTTGCGGGAGTCTGGTTTATCAGCGCTGTCTTCTTTGTGCCCTACTACTGGCGCAGGTAAGTCAAGCCCTTGCGGCCATGCTATCTTCTTGTGCTGATTCGCGAAAAGTCTTGTCAAGGAAGACCACCGTCTGCGCTTCTGGCATATCCCCATGGGTCCACTTCTCTGGAAGGATAACTACACCTTGTACTTTCCCGGCAACCCAGAGAAGGGCATTGTACCAAACTACTACGAAAGCGAGCTTGCTACCGACGCGAATGAAAAGGGTAGCCCTGAGAGCATCCACTCTCGCACCGAAGGTCGACAGTCCACGCTTGCTAGCCCGGCGATCGAGCCTCTGAAGGGGGACCACGACGAAATCCAACAAAATCCTCAACAGGCCGATGCTCGGATTGCTGAAAAGAACCAGAAAGAGCTTCGGGCCGTGGACACCCTTCCCTGGGCCCACCCCAAAAGAATCTTCGCCACTGTCAAGCTCGTCTTCACTTATGGTATCACTCGCGATGTGATTCATCACCAGTCCAAGGGCCTGGATCATATCCACCAACGGGCGCCTGTCTTTGACAACAAGGTGGAGCATCTCTGGACCACTGCCCAAGTTTGTTCAGCCATGGTATGTCTTCCTTGTTGCTAAAGCCCTTAGTGGATTATAGTTGGCAGAACGTGAACTAACCCAGCGTTCAGATCATGTCTATCTCTCACGGCGCCAACGATCTCTCTAATGCCATCGGTCCCTTCACAACCGAGTACATGACCTGGCAGTCAGGTCAATCCATGACCAAGACCGATACTCCGACTTGGATTAAGGCTGTTGGTGGTCTCGGCCTCGGATTTGGTAAGTTGCCACGTCCCGGGAATGCTACACTTTCATCCTTGCCATACTAATCGTAATCAGGCTTCTGGACCTTCGGCTACCACATCATGCGCAACCTCGGGAACCGCATCACAAAGCATTCTCCCACTCGTGGTTTCAGCATGGAACTCGCCGCCGCCATTACAGTCCTGCTTGCTTCCCGTTTGGGCCTGCCTGTCTCGACGACCCAGTGTATCACAGGCGCTGTCATCGGTGTCGCCTTGGTCAACATGGATCTCCGCAGTATCAACTGGAAACAGCTTGGCAAGATCTTCTTTGGTTGGGTGCTCACCTTGCCTTGTGCCGGCTTGATTAGCGGTATCATTATGGGCATGGCTCTCAATGTTCCTCAATGGGGACGTTAAGACCCTTGCTTGAAGACTTCCAGCCAAGGATACTTCGATCGGATCGAATTTGGCGAATGAAGTGGGAGGACTGAGTCATCGCTCTAGTGTATTAGTATAAGTCAAGTGGAATCGAGGCTGCCTGTTTGCAGAACAAGTTTTTCCATCCATGTACCTTATGCAACCTTCACCGATATAGACAAGGTGACACGTAGGTGTGCACCATCTAATTGAATCTAGGTCTCATGGCATAGATTGTTTGTAAGAGCCCAGTGACCCTGAACTTCGCATTTCAAACGTCAAAGTTCACATGCGATATACCTACGCTCTATGGGTCGGATGGGTGAGACGGGTTAGAATAGTGGATTTAGCCTTCTCTTAATCTACTCGAACCCATGTCCAATATGAATTACTGTATTCCTGATCACCGATGGGTAGAGGTATTCTTGAACCAAGAGGGCTCTCTGTCTGAGCATGTTCACTGTTATGTTGAGTGTCCATCATACGCTGTGTAGCAAACAATCGCCAGGCCAGAGGTCAATTGATAACTCATTCCTTGAGTGGATTGCCATAATCGTCCAAGATCTCGCTTTGCTCATCCATTCCTTTCCACTTCTTAATTCCATCATGAATGTCTCTCAGACGTTTCTCGTAGAAGATATGACACCTGTGATTCGCAGTCAGTTAGTCTTTGTAACATACAAACAGTGCCCGTCGTAAATGGAAGTACTCACGATGGCAGGAACGTTGCGATGCGTTCTCTCTGCTCGTCTGCAGAATGAGAAAAGTCGATCAACTGAGGGAAAAGCAAACACATGTTTCGGCCTTCGTCCATAATCGGGGTTCGACATGTGGCGCATGAAACCTTGGTCGGTGTCTGATATTTCGTGTTTCTCTCCTGGGCGGCGTAGAATGATAACCCCGTGGTCCCATTGTCGAATCGAATGTCGTCCTTGGGGAAGATAGCCGCCCACTGGAAAGGAGCACCATGCATCACTTGACATCCTCGACAATGGCAAAACTTGGCGTTCAATGGTTTCTCGCGACGCAACTTGTATTTCACCTCGCCACATTGACACTGCGCCTGCCACTTGACCTCACCAAACTCTTCGAGTGGTGGCCTAGCATATGGCGGCCGGTTGCTGGGATCCTCGTCCTGGAAAGTAAACTCGGGAGGATGCTGGAGAGCCGGACGGAAGCCGTCGTGGTCTGTCTTGGGAATGTCGTCGGAATTCATCTTGGAGTGTCGAGGACAACCGCGGTGTAGCTGACGAGTGGCTAGGGGAAGATAGGTTATGCTAGGCTTTGCCGCTCGACGTGTGAGGCAAGGTAGAAATTGTCGGATCATGGTGCAGCCTCAGTCAACTGCGATATAGACCGATTATTTAAATTCTTTCCTAGCGGCTCATACATGGCATGGACAATTGACGTGGTGATCTTTATATGATGAAGGACTGCAGAATGCATCGCATCTTGAGTTTCCGCCAATCGTTGGCCTGGAAAGCTGCTTCTTGGTTCGATCTTGAGGATACATCAGTCGAGGCGTTTGTTCTGGCTGATGTCATGACAAATGAACAGCTTGCAATGTTGCAAGTTTGATGGGGAGGGATCGCATCGGCATCGTAAGGACAGAGTCATCAGTGGGTTTTCCTCTTTCATGCCTGTGGGGGGGGCTGTCGCTTGCTGATTTCCCCATCAAATCTACAGCTGTGTCACGATGATGGTGATTCATGGCGATCCCTGCCCGATATGCTTCTGCAACCAGCGATCAAAGTGGAGAGCTCCAGCTTCCTTGATCTCGTCGAGATCATGTGATTGGCGGATGGACACACCTTACCACAGAGCCCCTCCCGTCAAACGCTGCATTTTGACTCTTTAGCGTCGACACAAATGATGGGGGGAAATGGTAATCGTGATGAGATACAGTAGTCAGGCGAAATCTTGCCCCCACAATGGGTAGAGTGTATTCCGGGGCAATTAGGTGAGTGATGCAGCGGATTAGGTTGACTTGAAGGGTCCGAAGCCCACCCCCATACTCTGGCATTGGATATTGCGGAGCAGATGTCTTGCAACTGCACTTGATCCCATTCAATCCACCGACATCAGGAAATGAATCAATCTTCCGCACCGCCTACTAGGTTTAAGGCCGACACCTTTTGTCTTCCGTGTCCTTACAAGACCCTCAACAAGATGTCCTGGTCTGCCGTCTCACGGGGGTTTCCTATTTGAATTTAATGGAACAATTGCAAACTCCTATGTGTGATTGTCATTTCTAAGAATAAGAGTCGTCCGGTCGGAAGATTCAAGGTTGCTCCAGCCAAGGACAGACTTGGGAAACGAGGCTCGAGAAACGGCACTCTCTGTGCGCTGTATACAGCGTAATCACTCGCAATCCAATCACTCGCGATCCAATCCCTCGCACGGGCATTCCTATCGGCCAATTTCAAGTCGTAGCGCATCGTACTGCACATAAACCGTACCTGGTAGAATTGCCGTCTCCACATCGGTCGCGTTGAATGGAAGGTGCAGCCTCAGTGTATTCGGCCCTTCGTGGAGCCAAGTCGTCGGAAACGATAGACGCGAGCGGATCTGATAACAGCTGACCGCAGATCGCACAATACAGCTGCTCGATTGATTGAAACCAATAAGCAGGGTCAACGGATGAGGCTGGTCGTTTATGTAGCTCTCCAACGCCACATTATTATAAGGTTCCTGGTAGACCCGATGGTCAGCACCAGCAAAGATCCATGAAGAGGCCGGGTTGGTTCATAATACTGACCTCTGGGTTCCAGGCATCAGTGTTGCCGGCAGCGGTTTTGGCGCCGGCCAACTGGATGGTCAATGTAGCTGTCCCGCGATGGTGCAGTTGCGACGCATCCAAGTCGAAGTGAATCAACCAGTCATTTGTGGTGGTGTATTCAATGTGTGGATTCGACGGAGTTGGACCAAAGACCTACCAGTGAACCGTATTCAAGTCGATCGCTGGGTCGCTCTCTCCAATGGTGAAGTTGATTCCTTGAGGAAAATCATTGACCCAGTCGTAGGCTCCCCAGTAGATCAGGTACTCGGGCGGATGAAGAGGATGAGTCCGATCGGGAAAGTTTCCGTGTCGAAACTCTCCCGAAGACTTGTCGGGAATACCTAAACGCCAGACCTCGGTTCCTGCCGACTCTTCTTTCCAATGATCCTGGATCGTGGTCGACCGGGCGGCCCGTACGACGATATCATCCCGCACGAAATCCCCGAATATTCCTTCGGCATAGACGGTAAGGCGGTAGATTCCTGCCGCGACATGATCAAGACTGAACTTCCCTTGGGAATCGATATTTACCCAGTACTGGCGTGCATGAGGAACAGCACTGTTGTCTTGGAAATAGAGACCACTAGCACTCAAGATCGCAATGGGCCGAACGGCATCCTTCGGAAGCTTGATACAGCCATACACTCGCCCCCGTTTGCTGGGTGGGGTATAACCTTGGACGTGTTTGGCGATAGACTGGTAGAATGCAGTGTTCCATCCCGGATCGGCGATTTTCATGGCTTCGTCGCGCAACTCGGCCAGAGACTTGGCACTTCCTTTCCCACCATTGAAGAGATAGTATTGCGGTCCAAAAGTTCTGTTAAAGCCGTGTGTGATGTTCGGTGTTCCTTCACCATGGTGATTCGAGACCAAATAATTGTAGACAATTCCGTCTACTGTGAGATCGGAATGAAGTGGGCCCTGACGCAAAACAGTGAGCTACCAGTGTCTCGTGGCGCAAAGACATGATCGACTTACGCCGTAGTAGGTATCCTACAAATCAGATACCGCGTTAGCTGGTTTCGTCACAGCAGATCACTTGCTGGTTACCTTTGTGTTCATGACCAACCAAGCACCATAGGTGCTCCCGGCCGAGTTTGTTCCATCGGCGTAAAGTCCATGTACACTGTTGTTCCTCCAGGCTTAATGAGGAGCCTTGTGAGCGCTATACCCGACATGGGTCATCAAGGTTTCATAGCCACTTACGGTTGGCAAAGGTATACTTGGTAAAGTAGTCCGAGAACTGTGAATAATAAGGGTCGCTTGGGGTGTTGTTGAAAGTCCACGTAGCGTCTTGAACGACAACTTGCTGCTTGATGGCATCCTTACTGGGCAATGGCGCTGTCTGGATCTCGCTCGAGGATAAATGCGTCCATAGCAGGGTATTGGGTCGGAAGAGCGTTCGAAATTCTTGCAGGTTGCGAAGGAATGGCGTAGTCTTGTTGTAATACGCCAGTCGACTGAACATGTGAAGGCCAGTTTCACCATCACGAAGGAATGAGTATTGCTGGAATAATTGACCCGTTGGGGTATAAATGTCTGTCATGATAATGCCAGCATACGCAGTGCCAGTCGCATCCACACCTCGGACAACTTCTGTCACCGGCTGGGTGGCACCAGCCGTATAAAACCCCGAGGGGATACAATAACAGTCCAGATAAGGCCCGATACCAGTAGACCCGGATTTGGGTCCTAGCAGATCCTGCCAGTCGAGAAACAACTCCTCGACTTGACCCTGGGACTTGCGCACTACTGCCGACAGACGATCGTTGGCAATCACGATCGCGCTGTCATTCTGAGACACATGGAGCGCAGCGGATACCAACTGCAATCCCACAATCACGAGGGCTCCGACGATTGTCATGTTTTCTTTTGTCCGAGTTTGGCGAGAAGTATGTCGACATGCCCGGTTGACTTTGTGAGAGCATTATAAACGCCGCATCCTTCGGGCGTCAATACACCGACCACGTTCAACAAGGCGACATAGCCATGTCGAGCATAATGTTACTGACTCTGACGCCCGGTGCTGTAGCTGGCAATTCCACCAATGACTAGCTTCTCCGGGGTACAACCCCGTAGTGGGCGATCACTCTTGGCATGCGGGGAGAGGAGGAGACAACAATCGCGTCAACAAATAAACCTGGACTTCTATGCAGCTGCAGTCACCTGAGCGTTGAGTCGCAGCCAGCTCACCGAGACGCTCGGTAGAGGCTGACCCGACGGTCCTGGCAAGTCTGGAGCTTGAGCTTCAGAACTCAAGGCTGCGGGAATCGCTTTGAGGACGCCATTTCGGGCACACCAATTTCCCCGCTGCGACGGCGGTCCAAGAGTCCCTAGCGAGAGACGAAGGGACGGTAAACTGCTTTCAACACAACAAAATGGATACTGCCTCAGGCAGCAAGGCGAGATTGAGCAGCACAATGGAGAATTTACCTGATGGAAAGGCCGATGACAAGAAGCAAATGACTTCAAACTTCAATGAAAAATTCCGACAATCCTCGTCTCCAACCATAATGTTGATCGACGTGGAAAGGATGCGGAATCACTTACGGATCGAATTCGGACTAAGGGTTGCGAATTCGCAATGAAAAAGTGGCCGAACTGGCCCGTCGCCAGTCCAATATGACGAGAGTTCATGGCCCCTTGAATCAACTTCTTCCGGGAGAATTTCGAAGGATTAGCGTTGTCGAAGACCCCGATGAGAGGCTGAAGTCATGACCCTGCTAGTCAAGTAGTGTGAAGAGCGTTGGACTGGAAGGAGGAAATACGAGTCACTCTCAAACGCCATTACGTGCGCCAAGACTATCCCGCGTGCCAAGACTAGGGGTCCTCGCACGGCTTGTGAAAGGGATCCGTGCTGACGGGTGACGGCCACAGTTACAGTACCCCGTCAGCCTGCAGTGATAAGTGATAACAGCACGACAGCACAACAGCCACTTGTCTCTGCTGGGAAACGGTCTGTTCTTTTGTGAACCATCGTTTTTGCCGTGGCTCGAAGCGACGACATGGGGCCTCTACCCGACCGAGGGTTTCCACATGTCGTCAATCCCGTTTGCTCGATGACCAAAAGTCAAATGAAATCTATACACCTTGAAAGGTGAGCGACAATCAATCACTCGGAATTCAACTGCATGAAAATCAGGCACGACTCTCACTGACTCGTTGCCATGTTGTGACTGGCCGGAAATAACTACTGCTGCATATCTGGAGCGACTCGTTGCTACTAAAAGATGATACAGGGTGGCTTTCTAGGTTCTCATCGGACACGAGGCTGGGATGCTTTGAGCTGCCACTATTTTTAGCTCAATCGAATCTTGAATATAGCCTTTACGCGGAGAAATAACTTTGGACCATCTGATAACGCAGTTCCCGTCCTGCCGATGCGATTGCTACAGCTACAGCGGCCAAAACGCCTAGACCCTTATGTCAGCTTCAGAGCTGCCCGGTTTACCTTACGAGGAGCTCGGCTGCCATGCCACATGTATCGAATCCACCGATGCTGCCGTGGTCCCAACAGTACCATGCATCTGACGCGAGTCTAGTATAAGAGGTACACTCCGCCGCGTCTAATTGAAACACGATAGGAGGCCGACCCCCTGGACAACCTCGCCATTTTCCGCCCCAGATGTGCGACGATGACGAAGTATAAACCCTGCTGTCATATTGTGAGTAGCAACCAGGGCCATCAAACCCCCAAGAAGAGAAGTACGCTAACGTTCACTGGGGTATCTGCTTCCCTTTCCTTGTCGAAAGATTGTGATGACAGGCGGGGAGAAAGCAGATATTATAAATATCTGCATACAAGCTATGCAGTTGAAGTTTAAATTTGCACTTTATTTTTCCCAGACCAGAAAACCTTTACCCAGGCAACAGTCGTGACAATGCTCCTTCTAACCCCCTTGGTTCTGCTGGTAATATCCGTTGCTGGGTTGCAAAACCCTCATCGATTCCAGAAACCATTCCAGAAACCCACAGTCACGAGACGTGTGGCAAGCTTGGGTCGCAAGAGAGATACTTCCAAGACTAAGCACAAATTTCAATACCGAACAAATTTGACCGAGAGTGAGTAGCGATCTGGGTCTCGATTTGGCTTCGGAGGCTACCCGTTTACCGGCACAGCTGACCAAGAGGCTTGCGGAGTTTCTCGTGGATGGAACAAACTTTCCCCAAGTCCCATTTGAAATTGGCGAGAGCTATGCTGGTCTACTACCAAACACACCACACGGCAACGCCAGCTTATTTTCCTGGTTCTTTTCATCCACTAATCCACTAGCCAAGAAAGAGGTGAAGTGCCTCCTGAGAGAACTACATCCACGGAGCACGCAGATGGTGATACCGCTAGCACGCTTGTGTCCCTCGATTTAGATCACAATTTGGCTGAACGAAGGACCGGGCTGTAGCTCCCTAAATGGGCTGGCTATTGCAAGATAATGGACCCTTCTAGTGGCAGGCGGGCACATATGAGCCTGTTCGCAACATTTTCGCCTGGAACAAGCTGACAAACATGGTCTACATTGACCAGCCTGCTGGCACAGGGTTCTCCCCGGTCCCCCCGACAGTGGAGAATGAGTACGACGTGTCCAATGAGTTCAATGACTTGTGGCGCAGATTCATCGATACTTTCCAGATGCAGGAATACAAGGTGTACATGGCTGGTGAGAGTTACGCCGGATAGTATATACCTTACCATACATAGCCTCGGGGATGTTGGATCAAAAGAATCGAAAACATTTCAACTCAAGGAGATTCTGCTCTACGATCCTTCCATCAATGAGGATGGTGTTATGATGCAGGGTATGAAATCGCAACTTCACTATTTCGGCAGGTATTACATTAGCTTCGGGTCTTCAGCTGACTGATCTTTCGTTGTAGCATCGGCGGTCTCAGCTCTCAACTACTTTTCCAACCTATTCAATCGTAACACAACCTTGATGATGCATATCAATCAGCGCGCAGATGATTGTGGATACACCAAGTTCCTTGCCGAGACTCTAACTTATCCACCACCCAAAGATTTCCCGACTGTGCCCTACCTCAATCGGGACGGATGCGACGTTTGGTCTCAAGCTGTTACCGCGGCAGCATATTTCAACCCTCGCTTCAACTACTACCACATTACAGACTTTTGCCCTTATCTGTGGGATCAGATGGCCTTCCAGTCCTTGGGTAGCGGTCCCACTAACTATTTCAATTGATCTGATGTTCAAAGAGCCCCAAATGTGCCACTCACCAACTACGCTGTCTGCAATACGCCATTCTTCGCTCATGGAGATGCATCTGTCCCCAGCGCCCTGGGTCCACAACTATTCCACAGCCATTTGAGATTGGACCTATCTCTTTCTTATGACCCCGTCAGCTCCATGTTTTTCATTGTCATATATTGATTCAACCTATCCGGCCCTGCCGGAACAGACCTGTCTGCCATGAGTCCCTTCTTTCATGCTAGCAACTTAATGCTAGTTCCGATTCCACATCCATCTTCTACCGTCAGACGAGAGAAATCATGCGGCTGCAGGGGGTCAATCGTCATCGCTTGATGTAGGTTTTCTGGTCGGGAATCAAGCATTACTCACATCGGCAAGGTTCTACTTCTTTGGGACGCCGACATGAAGAGATGAATACCATTTCCAACCGATAGTGTGGAATGTGGACCACAAGAGCGAATCGAGGACGCCTCGAGAGGGCGGGCTCTGGATATGGGTTAGCGGGACCCGCCGGTGCGGGTCTTACTGTCCGACTTCACGATCCAAGTCAGAAACCACGAGGCTATCTGTAATTCAGTATCTGATTTGCGCGTACCTGAAAGGAGATGATATGAAAATGGTACACGGTGCCAAATCAGAAGTAAGAATCGCATATTCATGGAGATTCAGGTATCCACTTGGCGCAGCTGTCTGAAACTCCAAGATCGCTACTGGTCCCGGTTAGTGGCACCCGCTCCAAACCCCAGTTGAATCGGTCGATGTCGCCAAGCAATCTCGGGCGGAAAACGTGGGATCGGGACTGTAAAATGGAAGCAAAGATTACTCCGAACATTGCCCGGCTGCATAAATTACGGTAGCCCCCCCCCCCCCCCCCCCTGCCAGCGCAGATGCTGCCCTGCTACCCATTCAAGATTGTACAAATCATTCCAAGCAATATCCTCCGTCTTCATCTCCAATCGCACTTCATTCGCTTGAGGCCTCTCGTGCAGCTGACGTCCATTTGAGTGGACTCGATTCAACTTGCGCAGAATTTGCAACAGCAATTTCCCCGAGAATGGCGGAATTACCCGTGCCAAATCAAGTGGTCTATGTCGCTGAAATTCCTGAATCATTGGAGTCAATTGACAGCGAGCGTCTGCTTCTTCGTCCGATCGGTCTCGAGGATGCGGCTGCCATTCTTGCCATCCGCTCAAGGCCTGAAGTGGCTAAAAACAAGTGAGTGAGGGAGCCCAATGCACCGCGGAGGGTCCATATATGACGGTATATCGGCATATGAGAACGGTGGATATTGATTGCTGACATTGTTTTCAGCCATCCAAAGGCCCCCTTCAAGTCACTGGATGATGTTCACGAATGGATGGCCAGTAAAATTTACAGCCAGGGGCCTGCCGAGCTCCTCGGGCGAACTTTCAATTTTGGAATCCTCGACAAATCTATTCCTCAATCACAAGAACAATTGATTGGATACGTGGGCGTGAACTGCCTGGTGCCATGTCCCATGCTGGGTTACTCTCTGCTGCCCGAAGCCTGGGGCAACGGATTCGCAACGGAAGCACTGCAGCTTGTGATCAAGAAGTGGTGGGAGCTCCCTCGACGAGCGGCAAGTGATCAGACGGACGGTCCGGAAAGGATATACGCCATCTGTGAAAAGGTGAATCTTGGAAGTTCGGGAGTGCTGCGGAAGTGTGGGTTTGAACTTGTTGCCGAAGGGTTCTTTGAAGCCGACGAGTTGCAATTGTGGGGACTTGAGAAGCCGCCTTCATGATTTTTTTCTGTTTGTTTTTTTTTTTTTTGGATTCCCAAAACATAGATATCTCGGCAATTTGTCCCATTGTATGATACCGACAAGGCAGAGGTTTGACAACGGGGACCGCCACGACTGCGGTAGACAGGATAATGTTGGTAGTGAGCGGGCAGATAGTTGTATAGTTCACCTCGTCACTTGTCATAAACCGCCCTTCGAGAAGCAGGGCAATCGGTTACGGATGAAGAGCGAGAGATGAGAGTCGAGGTGCGGGCGTTGAAGACGGTCGAAGTGAGCATCTGCGCGACATTTACTGCCACCAGTGTTTCCACCGTGGCCAACTTCCGCGTTACCTAGTTCTGCGACGAGGCTGTTTGACAATGCATCGGTGAGCTGACCTGGCGGTCCCTCTAGATCAGGCAGGCTAGATTTCTTGATATGTCTCGGGGGTGCCAAAACTCCCCTCTGCGCACGACGAAGGTCAAGGCGGCATCATAGAGAGCACTGTTGTATAAACTATCATTCGCGCTCCGGACGCATACACCGAGCCGCATGCAACGGATTGCAGCTTCGCATCGACTCGGCAAAGCGTTTTGACACAGTGAAACCGCTTATCCCATTTTTATCCGTCCGTATGGGGAAAAACAAAGAAATCGGGAGCTCGTGCACACTGCATCTGCCCCTCTGCAGTCTCTTTTTATGGTGGCAGATCCCCCGTGGACGCCTCGACTAAAGAGAGAAAGGGACACATCTTACCCGAAAAGGCAACGATCGACCGCAGCCCCTCGCGACCGAGTGAGCGTTTCCAAACAACCTTCAGGCTGTCGTCCTGAGATCCTGATGATGCGCCTGGCTTGACTTCAGTCTCTCTTGAGACAGAGTACTACTTTGGGATGGTCATTGCCCGGCCCGGCAATCATGATCGAACGGTTGTGGAAGGCTCAATGCATGTGGTTCTCCGGTGCCTCATCACGGTGGCTTCGCGCGAAACCGAGAACCCGAGCTGCTCCACACTGGGGGGGGACATTTCTTCCCCAGACAAATCACGGACCACGGAGTGATCACCTACCCAAGAAGGACCAAAGAACCCGGGGTAGCAAAGACAGGCGGATCGAGGACAAACGCCGTGATTGGAAGACATGCGCGGGCACGGGCTGTTGATCGTAGTCCTGGACTCCGGAGATCACCATGGTGCATAGCGCATCTGCAGATCTCACTATAAGGAAAGTGTAGTAAGAGCGAGAGGCGCCATGATGGAACGGTCGTGATTGAAGGCCCATCCAACATCTCCAATAACCACGCTAAGCTTGAAGCGGACTAAACAAGCCGAGGCAGAGCACCGAGATATCGCGATCGTGACCAAGGGGTAAGCAAACTTCACGTGGACCCACGATGATAGCTGGGACCCTGGCGGGGAGGACAAGCCATGGCATCTCTATTTATGTGCTGGACCCATCCCCCGCAAGGGACTCGAAACAATGACCTCAAATTCACAATCAATCTCCGCCCAAAGAGCGTTCGCTGAGCCTCTCAAGTCCAACTTATATCAAATCCAGTTTTATCACCAACTCGAATCGTGCGAGCCCGTCAGTAGATCCTAGCATTCATACATCACTGCCTGAACCTTCATCTGGATCCCAAGCCCCCCTGTCAATCCAAGATGGCCACCAGTGGTCCCAAATCCGGCTTCATGGGCAACTTGACCAGTGATCAGGAGGCCAAACTCCAGAAGTTATGGTCGGTGTTCCTGAAAGCAGCCGAGTCGCCCGCCGACGAAGAAGAACCTTCCAAGATCTCGGTGGAAGTGCCGAACGGTCCCACTCCACCACAGCGTCGACACTCTCTCCTTGGACGTACCCAGACCAATCTGTCCGAGAAGACGTCGGCGACCGTCACCATCTCGGCAGGTCAGGAAAAAGTCCTGTCATACCTCAAAGAAATGGGTACAGGCGCCCAGGAGACCAAGATGATTCAGAATTCTCTGTCACAGATCTCTTCACTCGAGCTACGGCAGGGGGTTTTGAATCTGCTGAAGCATGACAACCCCGATGCCATGCTACTTCGATTCCTTCGTGCCCGCAAGTGGGACGTTCCCAAAGCCTTCGCCATGATGATGGCCGCTATCGTTTGGCGGGTAAAGGAGATGCACGTAGACGACGATGTGATGGCCAAGGGCGAATTGCACGCCTTACACCAGGAGCACAACGCATCCACTGCAGTCGAGAAGAAAGCCGGCAAAGATTTTCTCGCCCAGATGCGGATGGGGAAGGCGTTCGTGCACGGCACAGACAAGCTTGGGCGACCAATCGTGGTGATCAAGGTTCGCTTGCATAAACCAGGGGCTCAGAGCGAGGAGACCCTGGAGAGATTCATCGTCCATGTCATTGAATCAGTCAGGTTGACTCTTTCGCCTCCAGTGGAGACAGCGGTAAGTGGTCGGCAGCGTCATCTCAATAAGAGGATCTTGCATCTCGACTCATGGCTCATGTTCTCTCATACCAGGCCGTGGTGTTCGATATGACCGGATTTGGGCTTTCAAACATGGTATGTTCTTACGTAGGAAACGAAGCCGGGGAGTTCATTGGCGGTGCACTTATATTGATGTGAGCTTTGTGTTTTCAGGAGTATCCACCCGTGAAATTCATCCTGAAATGCTTCGAGGCAAACTACCCTGAATGCCTCGGAGTTCTGCTTATTCACAATGCGCCTTGGGTTTTCTCAGGTACGTATACTTCGTCCATGTATCACTTACAAGTCAACCACTCGAAACTCACAATCTATGCGTTGCTCTCTCAGGAATTTGGAGAATAATTCGCGGCTGGATGGACCCAGATATTGCTGCTAAAGTGAATTTTACCAACAACGTCAACGATTTGACCAAATTTATTGCTCGCGACCAGTTGGTCGAGGAGCTTGGTGGATCCGAGAAGTGGAAATACAATTACATCGAGCCCGACGAGAACGAGAATCATCGAATGTCAGATACAACGACTCGAGAGGCACTCCTGCAAGAGCGACACCAGATCGGCGAAGAGTTCTTGTCCGCGACCTCGGACTGGATCCAGGCTAGTAGGTCCAAGGACGTGAGTAAAGTGCAGTCTGCGCAGAGTCAACGAGCATATTTGGCAGAAAGGCTGAGAGTCAATCACTGGAAGGTCGACCCTTATACCAGGGCACGACTGTGTCTTGACCGGGAGAATGTCATCCAGGAAGGTGGAAAGATCAATTTCTACGCCGGGCCGGATGACATGGTTGAGACCAAGCCTGTTGACATTAGTAAAGACTCCGAGGTACAGCACCTTGAATCTTTGCGCATAACATCTGAAGGGGCAACTGCTTGAATGTCTAGATAATTTTCACTTATGTTAACTCATAAATTTTCAACTCGCGGGACAGTAAAATTCCTCGTCATCCAGTCAATCAGACTAGGTATCAGGCCTAGTGAGCTGGTCACGCAGATTGCGTACCATCAATGAAATTTGGTGGCCTTTTCGAGAGATTCCAGGCCTTCATTCAAACAAACCCCGTAAATTTTGGGTAGGTTAGATGCTTGTCGGCAGCGTTATACAAGGTTTTCGGGCAATTGACGAGAACCTATGTACGCACGGCTTTTTGAGCTAGCATCTAGAATGAACTGGAAATCTTCAAAGCAGTATTCCCCATTGGAATAGGAGCATAGAAAGGTGATATGTGTGACGGCAGGGCCCTCTTTTTATGATCGGTCGATTTAGATGTCCTGCAAGTTCCCAAGAGTTAGTATTTGCTTCTCTTCGACATTGCCTTAGGCCGAGGTGCCATTCGAGTTCGTCAACCCTGAGTGATCACTCGACGCCACATCATCAGGTCAAGGTTCCAACAGCCAGTATTGTACACTTCATGGAAATGAAAAGCATGTGTTCATCCGAAATGACTAGTCTCTGTTAGTTCCCACCCGTCTAACCCACCGAAGCCCATGACAGTGTAAACTCTTGGTCGCATGGATAGAGTGAGCGGTTTCCCTGTGTGACTGCAAATTGGCTTGTTGTCTGGGTGATTTTCCTCGCCGAGATTTACAAAAAAAAAAATTCCAGGATAAGTTCTCAATGCGTAGTATGTGGTATGCAGCGGGACCGGGCTGATGTACAGCTAGTCGGCGGTATTGTAGGTTTAATAGATGGGTGAGAAAATGAGAAAATAAAAAAGTGAAAGAAGAAAACATAAAAAGAAGCGATCCAAGAGTAGCCCAGGGAAAGCAAAGGATGACCATGGCGGGCAGTCTAATCTTGATCCACTTCAAAGACAGGACAGCCTTACCCCCAACGAACAAAAGGTATCTGGGGTCATGTCTGAGCTTGGACGGTGGGCAGACCGTTAGCGTGGCCGTTAGCCGCAAGATCCTTCAGCTCGCTCGTCAACCCCGTTCTCAGGACTCCATCTTTGGCCCCAGCCACGACGGGATCGGTCGGCTTCTGGCCGTTAGCCTCGACCTCCTTGGTGGGCTCCTCCACCGCGGCGTTGACGGTGTACCCGGTGTCGCTGGCATCGACATAAGCCTCGATACCAGCACCGTTGCGGGGGTACTCCTGCATAAGGGCCTTGTGGCGGCGTAGAGCAGCTGCCATCTCTTCGTCAGTCACGTCATTCAGGAACTTGCAGCTTCCCAGAGGGCTTGGCACGGCGGCACGGAGTAATCCGTCACGTGTCTTGAGAATAGCCGCGGTGGCCTTGGCGAGGATCTCCTCGTTGAACAACTCGTGATCCATGGAAAGCCCACAGCGGGAGAAGAGCTTCAGAATGCGGCGGTGCTCCTCGTCGCTCAGCAGGCCACGGGTGTTCGCCAAAGTGGCAGAGTAGGCCATGTCAATGGAGATGGCATGACCGTGGCGGAGAGGCGTGGGAGGGGTGAGCTGTGGAGATTGTGGTGAGCGACTGAGCAACTGAATGGGATGCCTATATAGGACAGGTCCTTCTTGTCAGTGGACGGAGGACATACCTCGTGCAAGGGCGACCAAGTGTGTCCATAGGCAATCACTCGGTCGAGCCCAATCTCATGGAGATTGGGAGTCTCCAGCTTCAGCATCTCAAAGATACCATTGCGGTTGATCTCGTCGGCCGCCTGCTTCACCTCGGCGTTGTCACCGGCGCGGCCAAACTTCGTGGAGATCAACTGCTCACAGTACTTGTCGAGCAGATTGAAAGTGGGCAGGTGTGCGCAGCTGGAAATCTTGATGAGCTCGGCAAATCCGTTCCGCACCTGAGCCTCAGGCAGGGTGCGAAGGAAGCCAAAGTCGAGAATGGTGTGCATCGGCGCGTGGTAGGCACCGAGACGGTTCTTGTAGTTGCCGTAGTTGACGGCAACCTTGATGCTGACACTGGCATCGATCAGACCGATGACGGTTGTGGGAATGCGGATGTAGTTGGTGTTTCGTCGGTATGCGGCACAAGCAAAGCTATATATCAAAATGCGTTAGCCATGCTTTGCAGGCTCGAACGCGAAGACTTCCTCTTCTTGGAGTTTTCTGCACTTACCCAGCCACGTCGGTGACCAGACCACCACCCTGGAGAGAAATTTGATATTAATAAGCGGATTTGACTCCTTGCCATACTCCTGTGTTCCCCTAGGCTATCTAGAAGATGTCCACGAGGCCTGGAGATGATCGGAAGAACAAAGCAGCGCGGAAATTCGGAGAAACGACTCACCACAACCAGAACGGGCTCCTTGCGGATGATTCCAAAGTCGGTCATGGAGTCCACGATCTGAGTGAAGGTCTCCAGGGACTTGGCCTTCTCGCCAATCATGGTCTGGTGAATCTTCAGTTCCACGTTGTGGTACTTGAAGTATTCCTGCATCTTCGAACCGTAGATATCGAAGATGTTCTTGTCCATGATGGCCAAGCAACGACCCCATCGCTCATACAGCTGAGCCAGCTGCCGGTTCTGGGTCTCAAAGACACCATCGAGGAATGTGAAGTCATACTCGATCTTCTCATAGCCCTCCACGTGGAAACCACTCGTCGTCTCTACGACAGTAGCCTTGAGGTCCGACATAGTTGATATGTGAGGTAGGATGAAGCACCGTAAGATTGAGGACCCTTCTGTTCAATGAAAGTCGAAGGGGAAATAGTTTTGTTCTCTCGACATCTAGTAACCCGGGTCCATGTCACTTATATAGTTCTTTTCCATCTGCCAGCTGCACAAAATTCGCTCACCCAACCTCGTTCCACTGGAGCCATTTCTCAGGCCATTTCCATCTGGTTACCCGAGGTCGGATGAAGCATCTACCGTGAATGGTCCACGTTCACCCGCCGCATGCACCTCGAGACCGGCCACCGAATGGGCAATCATTTCCTAGCAGGAATCTGGGCGAGAGGACTTGAGACTGGGTCTCCTCCACGCCCTCCTTTGAGATCCCACCACTGGCTCCGTTTCTAAAATAAATAAAAACTTATTTATTCACGATATTTCTCGCGCCATCAGTGGCTGTCACGATCAAGGAAAGAAAGCCGAAAAGGGCAGGTACCCAAAGAGGCCGGGCCTTGACAATGCATTGTGCAGGTAGTCGAGCATCAGGCCTGATTGAGAATTGCGAGACTCGGAGGATCTCTGGGCTGATCCATCGTGATAGGAGATAAGATCCGCTGACTTTTTGGCTTTCCATGTTTCATGCATGCATGTTGCAGGTCGACTACGTTGTCACCCTCCGTGTGGTGAGGTCATGCAGGGGCCCGCTAGGTGATCCTCGACGATGAATAATAACGAGGCCTTTTCTGATCCGGCATCTGTTGATCCTCCACATGAGGGGCTCATTTGATCCACATGTTGGAGCAAGTTGCAGACCACAAGTCGTGCTACTGTGAAATGGGACAACTCACAAACATCAAAGGTTATCCCAACGGGGCCTTTCCAGAAGAGCTCAAGAAATCAAGTTTTGCCGTGAGGGGTAGAAGCTTTGCAATGGCTCCATTCCCATCGATCTTGCCCGATGCAACCGCCGATGCAAGTGAAAATTGACAACATGCGCGCTAATAGTGGAGGTTGACTGGACCAGGTACCTGGTAGATGCACTACAGTCAGTGCTCTGGCTCGAGAAGTTCTCCTCTTTCAGTCAGAGTGAGCTGGCTAAAAAGCATGCGTGCTCCGTGAGGGGCGTGCGGGCCCAGCCATGCATTGACCGTTTGGGTAAGTTGCTGTTGAGAACTAAGCACGACGGCTCCGATCATGTCACATTGCTGTTCTACTCTGTTGGAGCAAGGAAAGAGGGGAACAGACGCGATCTTCCAGTTGCGCCGAGATGAGAAGCTGCAGCACAGGTAGAGGAGATACAAGGCTCGTTTCGGAAGCGTCCCACTGGTCATGTCTGTAAGACTGTTCTTGGTTCCGTGACAAGCCCCGGACGAAATTTCTTTTGTAAAAAACTTCCCCGAGGATTCGACGGATATTCTGCACTTTCTCTCCTCTACTGATTCCTCGTCTTTGTTGTTTTCAAAATTGCATCTCAAAGACCATCCATCAAGGCAGTTACAAGACCACAGGAAAACAATGGCAGGCGCGGATTTTGACCAGACCAAAGCCTACGCGACCCAGGAAGAGGGCACGGGATACTTTGACGATGGCCGTGAAATTGAGCTACTACACTTCGTCTACGCGCACCCAGATCTAGACAATATCCGTGGATCCCCTGCAAAGGTTCTTGCGGCCATTGATGAGTTCGGCCGCACCAAGAAGTATCTTATGAATGTCGGCGAGGACAAGGGACGGATTGTCTGCGACTTGATCAAGGAAACAAAGCCCAAGACCATGGTGAGTTGAACTGCCACTTTCCATCCCGCGCAGGTGCAATGGAATTCGACGGGAGGCTGACGGTTCGTACATACGGTTGACAGGTCGAATTGGGAGGATACGTGGGCTATTCATGCATTCTCTTCGGTGACATGCTTGCCAAAGTGGGCGGACAGCGTTACTTCAGTCTCGAAATGAACCCCGAGTTCGCCGCCGTCATCATGTCGCTGGTCCACCTGGCAGGCCTGTCGCATGTTGTCGAGGTCGTCGTGGGACCCAGTGATGCCTCATTGGCGCGTCTGCACGCAGAAGGACAGTTGAAAGTGATTGATCTGTTGTTCCTCGACCACTACAAGCCCGCCTACACCACTGATCTGAAACTTTGTGAAGAGTTGAAGCTCGTCCGCCCCGGATCGGTGCTCGCGGCCGACAACGTCATCAAGCCCGGAAACCCAGCCTACCTGGAGTATGTCCGCAGCACAGTGCAGCAACGACGAGCAAAGCTCGGCGAGCTCCACCGGGGCGAAGAACTGCCCGAGGAGACGGTCGACCAGTACAAGAAGCGTTATGCCATGTCATTCAACAAAAGCCCCGGCAATCCCAATCTGGTGTACGAGAGCAGGATCGTCCACAGTTGGGAGCCTACGGGTGTTCCGGTAAATCGAAGTTCCGACCTCTGACGCTGTCCACATGCAAAGGCTAATTAATATTCTTTTGGTTTAGGATGGCGTGGAAATCACTCGATGCGTGGGCGAAGACGTGCAGTAGCTCAACCTCCAAGCTGCCCATGGCGACAACCATGACTGGTCGGTCTGGTGATGTCGGAGACATTGCTGATCTATTAGAATTTCTCTCCAGCTCATCAATACACAAACTAGGAATTATTTGATTTGCCGGGATTTCTTTTTTTTTTTTTTTTTTTCTCTTTCGCTTCCATTTTAGTATCAGTTGAATCCCATTGTCTGCCTCTGCTTTGATGGACACGAACAGCTAAGAGTTTATTTTTCTTATTTCTTTTCGAGGTAGAAAAATGACCGCCTCTCGCTATGACCGCTATGGCCGCGGGGCTAATGTCCGTAGTGGACAAGTAAATTCTTCAGACAGCGAGAGCTGGCAGACATCCAACGTGTCTCGTTACCCCACCAGAGCACGATCGCGGAAATTCAGTGATTTCAAATGGTGATTTTCGGGCGGCAAGATATTCTGGTCATCGAGAAATTGGAGCAGCAGAGACTATCAAAGCGGGGGCGACGCTATTTGCAAGTAGTACCGAAAGGAGAGTGCAATGTAGGCACTGTAAACAAGAAGAAGAAGATGGATCTCGGGAGGACTCCACCAGAATTGTGGCCCACATGGGAGAACTACCTTGCGCTTCCAGCTGTGGCAAGCTGGACCGATCCGCGCGCGTGTGTACCGATGACAGAACTAACGAGAGAAATTACCTCTCCCCCCCCCCCCCCCCCCCCCAGGTCACAGTCCAGCGCGGTCTTCGAGCGACGAGCTCAGATCTTGCTAGCGTACACATGTATGTCAACCGGATTTTTCTTTCAAGGCACGATCGGCCCTTGGAGGTGGGGATCCAGCCTGCATGACGTGTCTCAGCACGATCGTACCTACGCATTGCCAGATGGAATAATAATACCGTGATAATCTCCGATCCTGTCTTTCGAAATCGTAGACTGCGAGGCTTTGACAATCTGAAGTTGAATGAACTTGAGGAAAGCTCATATGAAAACATCTCCTCCCGTGATTTAGATCGATACCCGCGTCCAGGAGAGTGGCGACTAATGGAGGGAAAATCCACCCCTTTCTTCTACCGTCATGGGCCGAAGAATGTCCTCCTTATTGTGTTGAGCTTGCTCTGCTTGCCCTTGTCCCTGACATTGACAGCCATTGCGCTCTTGGTGGGTGGCAGACAAGGCTCACAGCGATCGGCCGATGCGGCCCCCAGTGGTCGTCGCAAGACCATCTTGGTGACAGGCGTCTCCATGACCAAGGGCCTCACCATTGCGCGTCTCTTGGCCCAGCATACCTCCCATCGCGTCGTCGCCGCCGATACGGAAACCATACCGTATACATCGCCAGGGCGATATTCCTGCGCCATCGCCAAATTCTACGCCATTGAAACGCCTGTCAACAACAAGAAAAGCCACTATGTCCAGACCCTTCTGAACATTCTTAAATCCGAAAAGGTGAACCTGTGGATCAGTTGCAGCAGCGTGACCGATGCCATTGAAGATGGAGAGGTCCTGAAAACCGCGCAAGAGATGCTGGGATCCAGCTTCAAAGCTGTTCAATTCGAACGCGACGTGGTCGCCAAGCTCCACGAGAAAGATCTCCTCATAGACTACATTCGCGATCTGGGTCTAGTGATCCCCGAGTCCCATCGATGCACCTCGGTGGGACAAGTGGAGCAACTCCTCGGGCTTTCCACACGCGATGGGTCTGGAGGACGGGGCGAAAAGCGATTCATCTTGAAGCCTATCGGCGTGGACGACAAGGCCAGGGCCCAGATGATGACCTTGTTGCCCTTGGCTCACGGCGGGCTTGCAGCAACCAGCTCATATCTGAAATCGCTCGCCATTTCCCCCGAGCGGCCTTTCCAGCTGCAGCAATTCATCAATGGTTCCGAATATTGCACCCACTCGTTGGTCGTTCGAGGCCGGGTGAAAGCGTTCGTGTCGTGTCCGTCCTCCGACCTACTCATGCATTACCAGGCGCTCCCTCCCACCGCGGCGCTAAATCAAAAGATGCTACAATTTACTCAACGAGTGTGTGATCACGAAGGGAAAACCTTCAGCGGCCACTTGAGCTTTGACTTTCTGGTCGACGGGACTGGAGAGGATGCCACATTATACCCCATCGAATGTAATCCACGGGCTCACACGGCCGTGGTCTTGTTCCGCGACACTCCTGCGATGGCCCATGCATACTTGTCTGTCTTTGAGGAAGATGGGGATCCTTCAAAGTCCAGCACTGTCAGCACCCCGGCGGCGCCGGTGGATGATTACTACTGGATCGGTCACGATCTAGTCACTTTCCTGCTCAGTCCTGTTCTAGCTCTCTTGTGTGGAGCCGGGAGCTTCTCGGCGGTGCACAAAGGGCTGAAGACCTTTAGCTCCCATCTGCTTTACTGGCGGGATGGCACCTTTGCGATTTGGGATCCACTGCCGTTCCTCGTTCTTTATCATGTCTACTGGCCTATTCGGTTCGGCCAGTCGCTCTTCAGCGGCCAGCAGTGGAGCCGGATCAATGTTAGCACAACCAAAATGTTCGAGTGCTAGATGTGGCGGAGAGATCCACTGCGTAGCTCCATCGACATCTTGGATCATCGACCTGAACCTTGCTCCCGGGTAGCGATCGTTGGACGCGCCACCTATCCTTCGGGGTCGAATGTGGATGTTTGGAGCTTTGTCTATTTCAGGTGGTTGTGGATCTTTGAGACAGCTCTGGAGCTCCCGAAGCAAGATGGTGTATTTTCTGTTGGTCATCGTGTTCTTCAAAGGGTCGAGCGCGCTTTTTTCCTGCTACTGGGTGATTTGTTAGCAAAGTTCAGTATCTTCCTCTCTGAACAGATTCGGGCCTGAGGTGCCTGACGCGGTATGCGTGTTCCTTTTTCTCTTTCCCCTGAAGGATAAGGTATGAGCTGGAGATGACTCCGTCGCGGAGTTCGCTGATTCCGGACTCACACCATTACCCGCCGTCTAGTGGGAGCTCCAACGGAACGGAACGGACTCGATCTGATCGTGAGATGATTGCGGGGCCTCAGATTAGCTTCCGCCCTGCTCCATCCAGTCCACCATCCGGCCAGGCCAGGAGGATCTTTGGACCGGGAAAGCGAATGGCTCCCACACAGGTGGGCGGTTCCAGTATCATACGCTCTCCACATCCAAGGCATTCGTTCTCGCTCTTGCTTCCCTCCCCCATAGGATGCTTGACTTTGGAAATCCTATCTCGTGTGTCTCTGCTCATGACCTCGGTCGCAATCGATAATGCAGCATCTGAGACATCCGGTCCAAATCTTGGTAACGGGACCCTTGACGGTGGATCTCATGGAAGCATAATCGGGTGCGTACTATGACTGAGGGGGAGGCAACCCCCCGGGCAGATCAATCAGCCTCCATTTGCACGTGACAGCGCGTCGTTGCTCGTTGCGAGTCCATGCTAGCGTGTGTCAATAGATGGGGATCTCGGTCGACGGAGTAGTCTTGGTAGAGATTTCCAGTATAATTTCTGCAGTGCTATCGAACTTGTAGTCATGAGGACTGGGCAGCCACAGAGTCCCTGTTCGTTAGTAGTGGCCCCGTCCAGAACCGCCCACTGGAGTTTCGGCCTCGTCGTAGCACTTTCAATGGTGCCGATGGACGGATAGCATACTACGAGAGAACACAGACTCTCAAAGAACAGTGTACAGAATGCAGAGTACAGAGTATGGAGTAGTAGTGCACACTGACAGTGTACACTGTACAGTCCTACAAAGAGGTCCAAATCCCGACGACCCAGACAGTAGACGTCTCCGCCATCAACTTCCGGCCATTTGGCGTCGTCATCGTCTTTTCAAAGAGAGCGAAACCCCCCCCCCCCCCCCCCCCCAAAAAAAAGAAAAACTAAAGATACATTCAGACTCAAAATCACATTCATACTCAAAGTCACTGAGTCTCCTGCCAAAATCCACCCTCACGGATGTTATTATGTTTCGCATGATTTTAGTTGCGAATGGCGCGGCTACTAGTTGAAGAGTATTAGCTACTCTCTGAATTCTCTTTCCTCTCTCTCTCTCTCTCTCTCTCTCTCTCTCTCTCTCTCTCTATCTCTCTCTCTATCTCTCTCTCTATCTCTCTCTCCACGGTCGACTGCGCGGCCACCGTCCGGCGTAGCGACTCGTATGAGCCCCATGTTCATTGGCCTATGAAGACGCTATTGTCCATCAGCTGGTCTCCTCTGGAAGCATAAACCTGAAAAGAGCGACCGTTGAGATCCCATGGCCTGGAGGGTGCAGGAGAGTACAGGATGGATGTACTCCGAGGGTGCCTTCTCCCACACGTCTTCCCTTTCCTGTGATATGTAGGGCACATGCTCCCATCACTGGAGACTCTTGGCCCTCGCCGGACCAGCATGTACTCCGCCCAACGCCCTTCTCGCAGCTGGCTTGCGCATGGATGTCCATGCTCGGACCTCGTGGTCCATGCGATGCTGGTCCGCACGGTACACTGGTGAACCGGGTCGGCCAATGGATCCAAAGCGGACGCGATCAACGATTCACCACCTCTCGCGACCGATCCAGGCGGATCGAGGAGCGTACCGACTACCAAGTATATTGCCCATCGACCAGCGTCAGAGCGTAGCACTGGCACATTGGCAGCCATCGATGACATCCCACCAATCAGTCATCGCCAGAATCATCAAGAGAGTGGTTGAGAAACATGGGAGAATGGCCGGAAATGGCCAAGACCCGCTCTCCTGCTCAGATTCTCCTCGTTTAGCTGAGGGTCCGTCTCCACCGAGGGGGCTTTCTACCCGAGCGATGAGTGCCTTCACTCCTAATGTCCGGTAGCTACACTCCTGTCGACGTACCTGGTACGTAAATTCCTGTCGGATGGATGTAGAACTAGACGGTAGACACCGTGGACTGTGGGGTCCACACGACCCTCCGGCCAAGTTCGAATATCCGCCAAGTGCTCTAATCCGGCCGTGTCCTGGCAGATCTCCCAGACATCTCGACCAGGGGGCCCTGGTCGGAGGCACGAGTCAAAGGGGATATCCCGGGGCCAGTGAACGAAGTGGTCACCGATCCAATGGCAATGAGGCGCAGATCTTCTCCGATCCATGCGTGCTTTGGTTCCAGTTGCTCTCAGATCTTGGGAGAGCTGCGGTGCTGCATCGAGGAGAGGTTCTGCATGGTACTTTCACGTACCCGCTCCATCTTGTTCTCGAGTTGGAGTCTGGGCGATACCCTGTGTATACTTCAGGGTACGCCCAGTGCACGTTCACCCCGACGACAACTTTACAGTAAGGATCTCAGTGCTCAGTCCCATGCGGCCGGGGATTTGCGTGAAACGGTTGTTGACGACGCCGCCTTTTGCCCCCCAAGAGTGATCCCGGCCCCCGGCCCCGAAACCCCACGATGTTCGCGTTTCGTGTTTCGCGTCCGCGTCCTCTTCTGCGAGCAAGATTTCTCTCTTGAGAGCCATACTTATCCCATAGTTCCAGTTGTTTGCCAGTGGTCCTCAGCAGGTCCGATCGATATTGCACCCTCGATTGTCCACTATCCGGGACTTCTACTCGTATGGCCTACTAAGCACACCCTGCTCTCGCCTTGCTTTTTCTCACGCAAATAGACCCGAGGGGCCACGCGAATAAGAGCAAAAGCAAAGCAGAGCAAGAAAAACAGTAACCAATCGAAAACTTCGAGCGAAGCCAATCGAGACCATGCCTATTTACTACTGGGCCACTCTTACGGTTGGATGTAACCTGCACGGGGCCATGTACTGACTGCTTTGCACGAGATGACCCAGCGCAATAACTGGCCACCCCCGCCATGTGTACAGTCTGAACCATGACTGTCAGCCTATGACCAAAGCGCAAAGGCTGCGAGTGATGCGAGTAATGCGGCAACCCCCTCTTGGAAGTCCGGTTTTTCCTTCCCGGGGGTCGTCGTTTTGGGCGGTGACCCAAGTCGACAGACTGAGACGGGTGAGGAGGGAGGGGAAAGCTTGGAAGATCCAATTGGAAAAAAAAACGAAAAGAAAAGACAAGAAAAAAAAAAAAAGTAAAAGAGAAAGCAATAGAGCAAAAGAGAAGGTGGAAAAGGTGGAAGATCCCTCCAAAGAGGCTCGAAAAGCTGGAAAGTCTGGGAGAGATGGAGACAGAAAGAAGGCAATGATGACAGTGACGCCCAAGGTCACTCACCTTCTTCCCGAAAGCGGTTCTTGAGGAGGATGAGCGGTCCACCCTTTCATGCGTCCCATCACGTAGCATTTCCCGTGATCTCGATCGCAGATTCGACGCTCGAGGCTAGATTGTATTTGAAGAAACCTGCGCCCCAGATTTGATTTGCAACAGAGGAAATCCGTACATGGATTCGGATTGTGATGAGATGGACGCATTTTTAGGCCACAAGGCGGATGCCGCGCACGCTGAACAAAGTGGCGATGAAGCTGTCTCTTTTGACGGCCACCCATCTTTGACGGGTACTAGCGATGTCGTCGTCTCAACTCGAGGCACACCCTTTGAGCGAAAAGCTGCGCTGATCAACCGGTACGTGACCATCTCGGCAGGACGGAGAAGGGCGTGCGAGCAACGCCCACGAAGATACCTCGGCGAATCAAGCGGAGAGACGAATCTCCGAAATTGAGCAAGCAAGAGCAAGAAGTCATGATCAAAGTGAACGTGAATATTAAGGCGAAGGAGGGAAAATGGAGTGAACCATCCCGTTCACCACACATCGCTAACCTCGACATCTACACAAATAGGGAAATCGACAAATTCGGCTTTGGACGTTACCAGCAATATATCTGGACACTCTGCGGGTTTGGCTATTTTCTCGACCTCGCGTGGGCGCAAGGAGTTGGCTTGATGGCGTCGGCCGTTTTGTAGGTCCTTGGTCGACACAGAGAGAGAGAGAGGGTGAGCCCTCTGTTTGCTAACGCGCATGCCGGTCGGTCAGTCAAGAAATGAATGTGCCACCAGAGAGACAGGGCTTGATCTTTACCTGCTCGAATGCTGGTCTGGCGTGAGTTTCACTTTGCCCTGGCATTTCATGTTTCCCTTGAGAATCTCGGCGACGAGGTGGGAGAAAAAACGGAAGAGGGATTGCAAGGGTTTCTTGCTAACCGCCTCCGCTACAGAGTTGGGGCCTTTACCTTTGGCATCATCACCGACATTATCGGTCGCAAGTGGGCATTCAATCTGACATGTCTGATAACATCCATTTTTGGCATGCTCTTGGTCAGTGCCCAGAGCCCCCATTCTCTCCTGACTCGTCCAGTGACTTGAATGATCATACTAATTGTTCGACTCGTTCATGCGACAGGCTGCGGTGAAGTATAACTATGCTGCTATCTGCGCAATTTACTTCTTATCCTGCATTGGCTTGGGCGGCAACATTCCCATCGATGCCGCAATCGCCTTGGAGTTCCTACCTCAAAATCGCCGCTTCCTCGTCTCCCTTTTGGGTATGTGGCAACCCATCGGTGTCGTGGTGGCCTCCGCGATCGCGTTTGGCACGGCAGCCAAGTATCGATGCGATGTCAAGTTACCAGCGTGCAATGCCCCGGACCTCGGTTCCGGAGAGGCTTGCTGCACTGTCTCCAGCAACATGGGTTGGCGATATGAAGTAATTATTATCGGCATCATCACCCTGCTGGTGTTTATCGTACGGTACTTTATCTTCACCTTCCACGAGTCGCCGAAATTCCTCATCAGCAAAGGTCGGGATGCAGATGCCATCGAGGTGCTTCGCCAAATTGCCAAATTTAACAAGGCCCCAATGCCAACACTCAGCATTGAAGAATTCGAGATCATCGACACGGATGAGGAACTTCATCGGCGTTCGGGCCTCGTCAAGGCGAAGGTGGTACAGAAGTTTACATTCATGCGTGGCTTGTTCACGAACAAGATCCAATGCATCAGCTTCTTCCTTTTGGCCGTTACTTACATGGTATGGCAGCTCCCTTCGAGTCTCTTTCTTCCGCGACAGATTTGCTGATTGTCCCCTTTTCGTTCTTGCTGTACAGGGCGACTACTGGTCCTTCACGCTGGCCGGATCTTTCCTGCCAATCGTTCTTCTCCGCAACAACATCGGCAGTGGAATCGATGTCACCGAGACCTACCGTCAATATATCTATATTTATCTTCCCGGAATAATTGGTGCAGTCTTTGCCGTCTTTTCCGTTCAGCTTCCGCTCATCGGTCGGAAGTGGTCGCTTGTGATCTCGGCAGTCTTGCAGGGAATATCGATGGCGATGTACACGCAGGTCAGAAACACGGCTGGATACGTTGGTCTGAATGCATTGGAGTACATCATGCAAACGGTATGCAATCGCCATCTCGATCATATCTCAACAGAATTTTCCTACCGGTACTGACTGCTCGCTTCCTAGTACTTTAACGCGGTGCTGTACGCTTCGGCACCCGAAATCTTCGAAACCACTTACCGCGCCAGCGCAAGTGGAATGCTCTCTTGCATGGGTCGTATCGCGGGTATTGTCGCGCCTATTGCCGGTCAATCTTTGATTGCCAAGGGCACTTCCGGTGTGCTGTGGCTCGGGGCTGGCGGAATCTGGCTCTCGGCGGTGCTGATGTGTTTCCTGCCCGTGGAGATGCGATCGCGGCAAATGTATTAGCGTGCTCTCACTTGTGATTTAGATTCCCCCATTTAGATATCCTCTCATTGTTCGATAGCAGAGAATATTGATTTCTTTTTACCATTTGCATTATTGACCTTCTTCGACTGGATGCGTTTGAGCCCAGATAAAATTCCTCAACTCTACGCATCTACCTACGGTGGGATGCTAATTCGAGAGGCTCCTTGCCTTGGTGGTCTTATCTGTATGCTCATCATGGGGTCAATGAGGAATATTTTTCTGAAGATGGGATAAGAGTCCATGAATCTTGTTCTGTTATCAATGATCAACGCTCTCAGAACACGATCACCCCTATAAAGTACCACAACCTTGTTCTAGAGTGAATTTCCGTGTCGTCTTCCATGGTCCATCTGATCAAAGTCATCGTTCCTGTCGTCAACCGTCACCTCAATCCCATGATTGATGAGGATTACACCACGGCCGTGTCCCCGAGCCAGGTGTTCCTGGCTACTGGAGGGACTGGATGATCGGTATGCGCTAGTAGTTTGAAAGGTGGTTTCTTTGCCGGACAAGTTCGTCATCGCGATGTTTCGAGATCCGGATTTGTGCGATGGCATCCCACTCATCCTCCGGCCATGGGCATTATTGTACGAGCCGTATGCGTAAGAGGTCTTGGACGGCGAAATGACAGATTTCACGACACGATATAAACCCGGGCAGCACCCGATCATCACAGCTACATCACACGACGCCGGAGTAAGTCAACCTGTTTCTTTCTGAATCCGTTTTGCTCGAGAAATATGTCTCAATTTCCGACCCACTCACCGATTGCAGATTCGATAATCCCCCACAAGGCCAGCCACGATGGAGCGGGCTGGCCGTTTGAGGCTCCGTTGGATCGACTGCCTAGTTGAACGACTCGGATCGTCGCAATAATGATGCAGATCCACCCAAAGCAGAAAAGACCACCAATGCTGAGTTTTTGTTTCAGCTGCATTTTCAGATGCCAGATGAGGCGAATGGGCAAGGCCATAACTGCATCCCGATGTCAATACGTGCTGCCTCCCCAGAATCCCTTTGTGCACCTCAGTCTCGGGGACAAGCTCCACGGTGGACTTACTTGCAAGATCTGTAACAATGTCTACTGCATAAGCATAGTAGAGGCTGATCGTGGCTGCGCGAATGTCTCGAGGTGTACCACAGGCGCCCGCAGTGAACCATGCATGAAAGCTCGAGCAGGAGAACCAGGATGACAGGATGCAGCCAAGGAGAAACTGTCGGAGAAAGAGACAAGCTGCGTGTCAGTCGTACAAAGACTCGGCGAAGCCAAGGATCTATCCTTAGGGCTGAGTCTCCCAGGGATGCACCTTTCTCGAGATCCGATTGACTTACTAGAGCACAGGCGATGGTTATCCCCCACCATGCGTAGACATAGGTCTTGCCCACCAACAGGCGCTTGTACATCGACAAGAGAGAAAACTTGACCATCCACAGACAGATCCATAAGGACGAGGTCGTCACAAAGAAGACGGTCTGCAATTGCAAACTGTCGTCCATGACCGTCGGATATGGTTTGATGAGTCCATTCTCAAGCGCGGACAGACGGAAAATGGTCGGCGCGACGAAGATGTATAGGATGCTGAGTTCCAGGAAGAAAACATAGGCGACGAGCAGAAGACAATCCTCCGCCCTGATATCCTTAACGCCTCGTATGGAGCCCGCGAAACGGGTTCCTGCAACGAGTGAAGTCACCACAATCAAGGCAATGCCGGTCGCCTTGATTGTTTCGGGGCCAAAAGTGCCCACGATTGCCATCTCTCTCCTCAACCGGCACACTTTGCTGTGGCCGTTTCACACGGTTGCAAATGCGATCGACGCGCCTTTGGGAAGGCGATAACGAAGATGGCGACCTATGCAGGACCCTGTGTAGATGATGAAGAGATGGTTATCGATCATCCCTATATCTGCCATTGCACCCTATTTGCCTAGCGCATCAGTTGGCGCAAGACGATGCAGGGGTGACTAGCCAAGTCAAGCTTGCTTACCATTGTCATCCGCGACAAAGTCAAAGCGAAACGTGGGAAAAAGTACCATATTCAGCATGTCAGCCCCGAGCAGAACAGGGATTTTAGCCTGAGGAAGGAACGTGAAGGATTCGAGATGCATGTACTGGTAGCGTGGCGGTCCACTGGCTGTCGTCGAGGAACGCCTTCTGTCGCACTAAGCATTAATCTCCAATCTAAGCGACATGGAGTGCGGTTACTGGAATAGGCCAAAGAATGTCATTGACTTTGCTAGTGCAATGTAACCTGGCAAGCACTAATGGGTCTAATCCCTGTCGAGATTAATCTGGACGTGTCCTTCACGTAACAGCCGAGCATGGATGACAGTGCGACCCATATATCTCCGGACGGTTAGGTACCTTTTTTTACGTCCAGTTGTGTCGTTCGCCGTGGACATTATTTTTGTGACACTGACCACAGAACCCAGATCCAATACACTTTCTCCAGGCGACGAGTTCACGGCACTCGACTGTCATTCTGATCGAACCGCTTCCCATCGAGATCTTCCTTTGGCTCTCGAGACCCAGATCACCTGACGGCAATGGGACCCTCTGACCGACGGACCGAGCCGGATCCGTCTCCCACTTCACTCCTTCTTGAGTCGCCGGTGCTTCTTGTGGACGTCCCTTGGGGTATGGATGGACACGGAGTCGTTGCCCTGATGCCTCGGAGGTTGTGTCAATGCAGCAGAAGGAAAAGGGTTCGATCGCAATCAGCGCGACCCCCGATATTATCTTCGACACTAAACCCGTCGGAGGAGGTCAATAGTCACCACACTCCACCGTGTTCCCTCCGTAGACTGTTCGATTGGACGCACGGGCACTGAGGGTCGGCCGCTGTCAACCCACTTCTCGAAGCGACATTTCTATGTGGTCCAGATTCATCAGACTGCCAGACATATATACTTTTCGACCCTTTCAAATAACAAATAACGCGCGCTAGTCCATTGAGACTCCATCAGGCACCTTGCCACAACGGGGAATATCGCCTTGAACCGTGCTGCTGCTCCTCCACCCATCTTACCCGCGCCCGGCTCGACACTGCCTCTTTTGCGCCGCGATAATGCCTTCACGTGGGGTCGACGATGGTCGTAAACGAAAACGGCGGCCGATGGTTCGCGGCCTGCTTGATCCGAACCCCTGAAGCGACTTCATCTTCCAACTTCCAGGAACCATGCCGTGGTCACTGCTTCAATTAAGCGATCGGAGAGCGGATAGTCGGCTAACCGACGGTCGATTGACCCCAACGGGACAAGATCCAGTTGGTGACACACCATTTAAAAGTGCGCTACCCCTCTGGATCTAGCAAATCCGTTTCCTCTCAAAGACTCGTGCGATTGTGCGTGGTGAACGATCCCAGTGAAGTCGCTCCATCATGCTCTCCATCCCTCTTGCCGGCGCCCTTGTGGCCCTCGGTGGAATCGCCCTGGCGCAAGACGTCGTTGAGACTCCCAACTTCAACGTTACGGAAGGTCTCCTCCAGTTTGGCGTGAATGTGTCGACTGTTCCGGCCCTGGAATCGTTCAATACTATCCAGTCTCGCTCAATTGACAGCGGATGTGCTGCGGCCGTATGTTGAACCACCAGACCCCTTCATGGCACTTGGGGCTACAATAATCGATCTCTGACCTTTATCAATGTATAGTGCGCAAGCTTGGGCTTCCTTTTTGGATCGCAGAAGGTGAACGCGCAAAACTCGGCCCTTTACAACAACTTCACAAATTCCTTCTGGTCCGAGCAGCAACTGGAAGTACAGCCTCACTGTGTCTTCCGTCCCACTCACAACACCGATGTCAGTGTCGCGGTGCTGCTCTCCCGGTTCACTGGCTGTCCGTTTGCCGCCAGGAGTGGTGGCCATGCCGCCTTCAAAGGAGCCTCGAGCAGCGTGGGTGGAGTCAGCATCTGGTTCAAGGATATGACGGCCGTCACTCTGAATGCGGACAAGACAGTCGCGTCAGTTGAGCCCGGAAATAACTGGCTGTCGGTATACTCTGCACTGGAGCCCTATGGTTTGGCCACCGTTGGTGGTCGTGCTTCCAGCATCGGCGTTGGCGGCTTTGTGCTGGGAGGCGGTATCTCCTATCATTCCAACTTGTACGGTTGGGCCTTGGATAACGTGCAAAGCTTCGAGGTAGGTCGAGTCCCATATGGATTCCCCTTGACGATTTGCAGCATATTCTGACTTGTTGCAAACTAGGTTGTGACATCAACCGGTATCATCGTCACTGCCAGCCAGGATTCTTTCTCCGACTTGTACTGGGCTCTCCGTGGGGGCGGAAACAACTTTGGACTTGTCACCAAGTATAACCTCTACACCATCCCTTGCCCGACGATGCGGGGAGGCGCTCGTGTCTTCACCCAGAACAACTTCCCCGAGGTGATCGATGCCTTTATCAATGTCGTCAACAACGCCACCGTGGATGGCAAGGCCCAGCAATATGTTGCTTTCCTTCAGAATCAAGGCTTGAACATTGCCTCGGCTGAACTGACGTACGTGGAGGATGTTGCTGACCCAGCCATCTTCCGCCAATACCGAAGCATTCCCGCCATCGCCGATTCCACCAGCACCAAGACGCTGGTGGAATACGTCCAATATCTGGAACTTGACAATCCGTTCGGATACCGTGAGATCTACTGGCCCATTACGGTGCAGCTCAACGAGGAGTTCAGCAACTGGGTCGTCAATCTCTTCTACTCTCTCATCCCCCAGGTGATTAACCTCAAGGGCGCAAACCCCGTCATTATCTACCAGGGTATCACAATCCCCGAATTGAACAACATGGCACGTTATGGTGGAAACGCCCTGGGTCTTGATGCCTCCAAGGGGCCCCTCCACCTCATGCACGTTGCTTTCTGGTGGCAAGATGCGGCGGACGACGATACCGTCTATGCCTGGATCCACTCCTTCTGGGATCAGGTCATTGCTAAGGCTCAGGAGATGGGCATCTTCGACGAGTACATCTACATGAACTACGCCAGCATGTTCCAAGACCCAGTCGCTGGATACGGTGCCAGCAACAAGGCCCGTCTCCAGCAAATCTCGAGCCGCTTGGATCCCAACGGCGTTTTCCAGAAACTGCAGCCTGGATACTTCAAGCTCAACGGAGCGCCCGTGACTTTCTCCGGCTAGGATAGAGGTCGTCTCCATGTCATTGATTAAAAGAAATTAGTAAATTAAAATGTTAATAACATTATAGATTTCCAGCAGTCCTTACATGGATAGGGTACATCTAAGATAGTTTGTTTCGATGACCAATTCCGGCTTTGCCCAGATATTTAAGTACCGTCTTGGACAGATTGATGAGCTGTGACAACTATGGCTGACATACCTCACTCAACGAGGGATGGTACCTACCTCCACACTCACTAGCTCGATGTCAATGAATAACTACTAAGGTGGTAATTTACCTACTACTTAGTACTTACTACCTCTGATGCCTTCATAATAACTGGGCACTCATTTGGTCAATTTATAGGTAAATCCAATTGATGCTATTCCCATCAATGGAATAGACTGACTTGAAAGTGGGGAGTCTCCGGCTTAGGCCTTTCTGCATCCTATTCTCGATGACGCAGTGGACGGGGGTGGTGGTGCAAGGGAAAATGTTCCCAGATGCCCACAGGTCTCGATGAAAATGAATGTAACCACCTGCAGAAAAATAAGTTTGAAACCTGTATGAATACATGATTCCGCTACATTATGAATATCGGTTGGTATGAGGAATCTGGGACTACATCTCGAACCCGAGACTGCGTAGGTAGAAAGCTGGTGTTAGGCACCTCGATCGCTAGAGAATATATATTCGCATCCATTTCAATGGGGGACTTAAGCTAGATCCAATTTAGATCCAGTCCCGGCGTTTTCCACTGGTTCAAGGTTGAGCTACCAATTGGAAAGTTCTTAAGCAACTACGTAAGGTATTACAGAGGTGCTGTGTTGTCAACGACATGAAAATCTTGATTTCAGGAACCGCCATGGAGCCTAACCTTATCGCCTGCACCAAAACGGGACGCGATGCGGAGGTTTCTTCTAGCCATATTACTCTGGAATTCAAGTACCGTGATACATTCGAGGACTCCTGTCTCGTGTCTGCGACTCGGGCAAATGACTTGGATATGTGCTATAATTTATTGGGAACAAATCTAATCAGGATCATATTCTTGACTAATAACTCAATGAGTTGTGCGGCCAGGATTGAGATTGAGGCCTGACATCCACCATCTTTCACAACCTTATGATCACGATGAAGTTGATCCCCCTTCATGTCCACTGCCTACTCGCGCGTGAATACCGCGACCCTGGTACGAGACTCAGAGACACTGAGAGTAGTAGGCGTTCTGCGCCTTGCAGGTGTACGGACTAGCGCAAGTTGTGGGACCTGTCCAACCTTGACCTCCACATTGGGCCCAGTGCTGGGCAACACTGGTACCAGTAGAGCCACTCGCACTGGTTGTCGAGGTTGTGGTGTGAGTGGTCAAAGTAGTGGGACCGGTGGAAGAGCCGCTACCAGAAGTCACAAAGGTAACCATTGAGTAGCCTGGCAGAGTAGCATGGACGCTACCGGCGTTGAGGGTGATTGACAAGCTTGAGGGAGATGAGACGGAGTTGTCCATGTAGTAGGCCTTGGCAGAGGAGATCGAGCCGCCTCCAAGGGAAACAGCCTGTGCGCTACTACCGGTGTTGATCATGACCGTGGCAATTGTGCCGTCGTTGTTCTTGAATGATGCCACCTTGGTATTGGAGGGAGCGCCCGTGGTACCGATACGGACAGCGTCTGGACGAATGTAGCGAGAGAACATGGCAAAGGCCCAGAGTGAGCCCGATGCGGTCACCTGAGTGGACGATCCGGAGCCAGTAAGGGTGACAAGACCGGCAGCATTACTGTTGGACTGAGCGCCTGTGGAATGGAGATGGATCAGTCAGAGTTCTCTTTGAGTACAATTCGCCACGGGCATGAACAGAGAGGTCTACTCACCAACCCAGTACAGGAAGGCACTCAGGTTACACTCAACCAATCCCTGGTAGATGTATTGAGCCCAGGTGAAACCTTCATTCGTCGCACCACTTGAGTGCCATGTGGTAGAGAAGGAGCTGTCCAGGTCGGCGTACTCGGTCTCCCATACTCGGAGACTTGTATCGATGGGCGCGGTGCATTTGGACGTATACCAGTGGGAAGTGATACGCGACATGTATTTGGTGGCGTCCGCAGAAATGAGTTGCTGGGTGAATTTGACTTGATCGTTCCAACCCTCGGCATCACAGCAAGTAATGCCGGTGGATAGGCCAGCCTTTTGAATTGTGTCATGCAAGATGGGAATGAAAGACGCCGCCTCTGTGCCATCGGATAGCATGGAATCGTAGCTCGGTCTGCAGAAATTCAGTAAATATGGATGCTTGTCCGAATTTATGCAAGGTTCACGTACGCGAATTCCGGCTCGTTGAGGAAGCCAACAAAGTCAATAGTGATTCCCTGACTGGCGTAATCTTTGATGTATTGCACAAGATAATTGGCATAGGCCTGTCTCCAATCTCCCGAGGAGCACGAGTGTCCAGTCACACCACAGAGGTAGCCACCGTTGATCTATCAGAACATGTTAGTTTACTCAATCATTGCAGACTGGTTACGGCTAATGGTTTCATCACGCATAACGCACATAGTTGTCATTGGTTTTCATATATCCCGGGGCACTCCAGGCGTCTGCGTAGATGTACTTGACACCCATGGCACGGGCTTGCTTGGACCAAAAGACCTAGTACATTGGAGAAGTCGTCAGTAACATAGGCACTACATGTCGAGACAACGACACACATGGGGAAGGTCATTTGCCAAGGGACTGAGATACTAACCTGGCTGGAGTCACCATTCAGTGGCTTGTAGCTTGGCGCCGCCGATGGCGAACCGGGACTGTTAGGCTCGATGCTGCCATTGGGATCCGAGGCAATGCGGTTGCGCAGAATAGTCATTCCTGCTCCCTCGGTGGTACTGAACATGTACTTCAGTGCCTGGGTCTGCTGCGCAGAGGGCGCATTGGCAACACCATTTCCGAATCCGAACGCCTCCGAGAAACCAAACCCATCGATAGTTTGGTATGTGGTGCTTGGGTTGAGGGTCACCGTAGATTGTGCCACGGCCAGCCCAAGGTGCAGGGAGGCCCCCAGTGTTGTTGCTGTTGCGAGACGCATGATAACAAAAGGGTTTTATCGATGTAAAATTGACAAAATGAACCTGTTTTTCATAGAAAGACAAAGAGCGTGCTGTTCATCGAGAGCGGCTCATGTCAGGTTTATGTAGTCGTGACCGTCGTCGGCCGCTAGGTCATTGCCGGAAGAAGGCATCCATTCTCCTAGGGGTAGATTCCGGTTAGCCATCTGCCAGCCAAACAGGAAGACATTCCGAGCATTAGCTTGCCTTGCGCTCTCAACTCGAGATTCTTCAGCCAGCAAGACCTCCACTTCTTTTTCCGAGACGGGTCTTTAACCGACGGACACGCAAGCATTCAGGCCCGTGCGTGAGTTTAAGATTTGACCACCGGCAGTGGGTGACCAGGCACATCGAGGAGCTTGTATCAGTCTTGCAGAGGGACAGCCTGTCATCTCAGCCTAGCTTAGCTTCGAAAATAAAAAAAACACAAATATAGAAAGAAAAGAAACTCAACTTGGCAGGATGCTCCAACGACCACGCTCAATGACGACAGCCATGGGACATGCGGAACGAATGTGAGAAATTCCCAACAATCAGCTTCTCTGGTCCGGCACAAGGAAGTGTCGACTACACACATCCCGTGGTGCATACGGTTAGTAGTCGTTCTCTAGCGGCAGCCCTTGAAACGGAGAAGTTAACACCGGACATCTTGGGAGGTTGAACAAGCATTTCTCCAGCGGGGTCAGCGTAAGCTTATTCCGGCCAGGGGGTAACCCGACTAGGCTGATAGGGTCACTTCCGTGGAGCCAGGAACCCGTAGATGCCGGAGCCCCACAGCGCCTCCATCGGGATGAGACACGATGAAACGGCGTTCACCCGTTCTTCCAGTGGCGGAGATTGTGCACTCTTGGAGCTTAGCAGCTCATACACGTCCACTCAAATCGACCGAGGAACGAGGAGAAAGCTTTCATGTTAGCCGGCTTTGCCGTGAAGAAGTTGCTCCCACTCCCTGGCTTGGATCGGGGGATCACAGGCACGGAGTCATTACGTTTACGACATCGGTGGGAATTGTCTCAACCATCTTGTTGGTGAGACAAGAAAAGCATAATGGTAGGAAATAAAAAGGGATAGGTCTCAATTCATCGTCGAGTCTCAATCTACCGATTAAGACGCTCGGTTTCAACCCGACCCCAGGAAAGGCTTACTTTTGCAGCCGTCGGGAATTGAGGATCGAAGCCATCTTTCGTGCTGATGATCAATTGGGAAACCCTCCGACACAGAAAGACGTCCTACCATCTCGTAGTCAGAACTAAAAGACGACACAGATGCGATTGCAGATGAACTGGAGAAATATCGAGCTCAATCATCGACTCCCGTCGCATCTACACCGCCTGCTCCCAAACCCGTACGCAATGCCATCTTTAGCTCAGTGATATGGCAGTTCCTCTACCTCGTCTTCCTGCAGGATCCCCTCGGCTAAACAACTACCTACATGTAGAATGGCGTAAAATCGAACCTGTTACCTTGATAAGGGTGAGTGGTTATACTAGGTTACTAAAACAGTCGGTTCCTACCGGCTGAAGCTGACGATTGCTTACAGCGGACTGGAGACTGCCCGCGTAGGAAACACGATCTCAACGTCTTTAGAAAGCCTTCGGTCTGAACCACACTAAATCACCGTATATGATGCATTCAGTGGGTTGCTGCTACATGAAACCTCTGTCAAGTGAACAAGGATAGAGCAAGACGTAAACATGTTCGTACGTTGCAAGGTCAAGAGTCTAGACAATACATCAACTGGTGCACCCGCCGAAATGAGGTGGAGTTCGCGCCGTTTCACATTCCGGTAGTCCCCCTTTCGGAAAACACGCATTGAATCTGACTTCTTCTCTTCTTCCCATCCTCTTCATTTACAGCAGGATGTCCGCCTGTGAGAGGCTTAGACACACTGCGAATACCAGGCGTTGACAAATGAGCAAGTCGCTCCTGCAGCGCATGCGGTGGGACCAGCCCACCCGCTACCGCCACATTGGCCGTATTTGCTTTGGGCTCCTCCACCTCCTCCTGCGGCGGCAGTGGTGGTGGTTGGGTTTGCGGTGGTCTTGCTTGGGCCTGTACCGGTGTTTGCGGTGGGGACGCCACTCTGCATATCGAAAGAGTTGACTACAACGCTGCCGCCGAGCGCTGTTGTGGCGTAATTGAAGATACCATATCGATATCCCATAAAGAATTGCCAGGCATTGTTGAGGACGAATGGGTGGCCGATACTGACGAAGGAGGAACCGTCAGTGCTGTAGGAGAAGGTCGCAGTGCGACCGCTGCCGGGACGGATGTCGGCCGCGGCTCGCAACCAGATCTTAGAAGTTCCCCCGGGTAGATTGACGCCAGAGACTTCTGAACCAGTAGATTGAGTATTCCATTTGGAGTCCATGGTGAGACCGTCGACCATGCTCACGCGCAGGGTGCCTCCATTGTTCACTACTGCCACGTATGCCGATGAATCTCGAAGCATCGCCAGGCCACTGCGATCTCCTGAATGCATGCTGCCGATGCTCAGTTCGATGGTTGCGTAGGATTGAGGTCCCAAGATACGGTGCGTCAGAGTGTTTCGCGCCGAGTAAAGATCGTTGGTTTGGGTGGCGGTGCGCAAGGTCAGGCCATTGTTGACGGTGAAGGAATTGGTGTCCGGGTTGTGGTTCCATTCCCACTGGGGTCCCAGTGAGGTTCCCTGGAATCGATCCGTGCCAGTTGGACTGGACGAGATTGAGGGAGTCATCGGATATGGGTAGGACTGGCCCCAGCCTCCGTTCACAGTAGTGACTTGGGGGAAACCATCCGAGCCCCAAGTGATGGGAGCCAGTACTGGCACACGACCGCCAGGGTAACTGTCCACGAATGCCATGTAATACCATTTTCCATCTGGAGTATCGACGATACCTCCTTGATGAGGGATGCCACCTCCCTGGATCGGGGTCGCAATGTTCTTCTCCAGCAGCTTTTGAGTGTAAGGACCCCATGGACTTGAGGACTTGAGGACGTACTCCGCATTGGCGGGCAAGGTATTGAAGATGTAGTATTCGCCATTGATCTTGTAGAAGCGCGATCCTTCAATGGCACCGATAGTCGATGAAAACACCTTTTGCGTCTTCACTTGACCCAGACCATCTGAGGTCAGCTGGGCGACGCTGATGTCAGTGCCGCCGTAAGCCACATACATGACATCGTTGTCGTCGATCAGAAGGCCACAATCATAGTAGCACTGGTTGATGGTACCACTCTGCTTCCAGGGCCCGGTAGGCGATGGAGCAGTGTAGATGTACGTCGTGCTGAACTCGATACACCCGATCCAGTACCATGTGTTGTTGCTTTTGCGATATCTGAGAGTGGAGGCCCAGATGCCCTTGACATAGGCTTGACCGCCCTGCAAGTCATATTTGGAGCCCCAGTTCAAGGAGGGGACGGAATGGCCGATGTAGTCCCAATTCACCAAATCCGAGGACTCCAGAATCGGAGCACCTGGAGAATAATGCATGGTCGAGGCCGAATAGTAGAATTTGCTTCCCACGCGAAAGACGTCCAGATCAGCCAGATCCTCCCAGAGGACCGGTTGATTGAAGTTCGCACCACTCACGGCTGTGGCCAACAGGCCGAGAGCTGTCAACACTTTCATCGTGAGAAAATCCCTTTGACTTTCAATCTGGACTCGTTGAACTTCTGTGAATTGGGCGATATCAGCAACGAGTCGCACTGTGAGATGGTCCAGTTGCAATCCCACCTTTCTGAAAAGCCGGCATCCATCATTGTGCATCAGCTCTTATAGTATGGGCGACAGTGCCATCTGCTTGCCGATCGACAATATGCCAAGAGGTGGGCTGTTCTGCAGCATGAAACACCCGCTCCTAAAGTGTCTCTCCGCGAGGATAATTGCTGTTTGGGGCATAGTCTAGCCGCGCAGGGGGAAACTCCGCAATGATCTATCGGGGGTCTCTGTGCAGGCAGACCGCGATGTTCTCAAGGTGTACTGCAATAATTGACGGAAGAATGGTTCTGCCCCAGTCACCATGGATGAAGGCAAAGTTCTTCAGAGCTGCATCATCCCACCTATTCTCGTTCCACGCTGGTCAAGCGTCCGAGGTCACAATCGTCATGGTCCCTCCTCTCCCAGTTCGACAAGTGCAGGACACCGTGCCTGATTCGGATTTATCCAAGCTCTGAGTATCAACCCCCACCGGAAGCCATATTCTTGTCCGTTGATGAGACGAAGAAACGACTGAGTTGGGCTAGTGCCGGACGGTATGCGGGCAATACTGCGACGTGTGGCGGGCGAGGAGTGGGCGTTGATGTGAGACACCCGGTCCTTCGGTCTTTTCACGCTTGAAATGGGAATATGGGTGGCTTCCGGATCTGTCATATTGAGTGATGCGTGCTCTGCGTGCCTCGATGTGACTTCGTCAAAGGGAGTAATTTCCCTTGGACGCCACAGGGGTGAGAGGAGTTCCAGGGTCCAGACTTGGTCACCTGATGAACTGTATTTGCTGAACCATCACGAAATAATTACCTATGATTACATGGCCATTCTGGATCAACTGATTTATTCGATTTTCCCACCTGGTCGTCTTCTCCTTCATTTCTGATGGAGGACCGGCAAAAGCTACCTCTACATCTGAGAAAGCCCGTTTACCTTAGTAACTACCGAGATCGTCCAATGTGTTGGGACTTGGGACCCCCCCACATCGGAGCATTGAATCCTCGGTCCTGATGGTTTGTGAAGAATTCAAGACATCCCCCCCCCCCCCCCCCCCCCCCCACACATTTCACCGGCTGCTCCGTGCTCATTCATCCTTTGCATGATCCTTCTCGCCCGAGGAACTTGAGACAATTGAGGGCGAAACTGGGCCAACGTGGATGCGCTTCGGCAGTTAGCGAAACCGGAAGTCTCCGAATTTGTTTCAAAGTACCTACTATCGTCGAACATGAACCCTTCATCGCCCTACAAGCATTACAAGCTTTACTGTTCTTTTTTTATTCGGATCCATTACGCTACCATGTTTGGTGTGTTTCCTCTTGATTGTTGGATTCCTGTACGGGGCCACTTACTTGTGTCTCTGTTGACGCGTAGATGCCAGGTGGGAGATCAGTGGAAATAGGTCACTTCGACATTGCGCACTCGATCTGTATATGCGACCGTTTATTTCTGTTGGAACGCTTTGCATACTTCCGCCACATCTTCAGCTCCACGTGAGACGACTTCCAGGCTCCGGTACATACTGCTTAGGGGTCCATTATTGGTGTAAGATTGCAAGGAGAGAGATGCAGGAGCCATGACCAGGATTTAACGGCAACTTTGACAACGCTAGTGGCTTGAGTACTGTGGAAAGGGGGGACTGGAGACCATCTTCAAGCACCGGCACGTCCCCCGTCGACGACAGTAGTACTCCCTCTCCACTCCGGCCATGGCGTGACCTCCGTTCCTCCAAATAGCCCTCGGATCGCGTCTGGGGCTTTAACTTTCATGGCCGCGTTTGGAAATGAAGAAATGCGGAGAAGGCTTATTCTTCCCGATTAGCCTAAAACTTCGACCCGCTCGTGACCCAGTAATCTCGTGGAGATCGGGCTGCAGACCTTTTGTGAAGATGTGGAATCTCGGTTAGGAGGCAGTCCAGGGACTTTGCCAGGTCTATATAAAGATGCCCAAAGCGTGCATGTCGTCGTCTCTGACTCGATTCCCAGACATCCTTCCCTCAAAAACACTGTCTTCTCACTCACGGTCACGGTTCTTTTGACACGCGGTCGACTCTCTGCCATCATGATTTGGATCGCAGCCATATCGGCAATCTTGCCTCTGGTCTCGGCACAAGCGGCACTCTACGGTCAATGTAAGTACAAAAAAGATCGTGGCGGCTTCCCTTTGAGAGCGATCTTCCCCTCATGCCTGATGATCAGATGGCTGACCGTGGAGAATCTGGTTTAGGCGGTGGTCAGGGATTCTCGGGTGCAACCACCTGTGTCTCAGGCGCATGCTGTACTTTCTCCAACCAGTGGTACTCTCAGTGCCTCCCGTGCAGCAGCGGCGGCAGCGGTGGTGGTAACGGTGGTAGCCACACTACCTTGACCACCACTGCCAAGACGACTACCACTCAAGCTCCCAGCTCAGGTTCGACCGGCTCCTGCAGCTTGCCCTCCACCTACAAGTGGACATCCAGTGGGCCTCTGGCTCAGCCTAAATCTGGCCTCCTTGCCCTGAAGGATTTCACGGTGGTCCCCTATAAGGGCCAGCACCTGGTTTACGCCTCCGACGTCAGCTCCGGAGGCAACTATGGCTCGATGAACTTCGGCCTGTTCTCGGACTGGAGCCAGATGGGCTCCGCGAGCCAGAATCTCATGAACACGGGTGCCGTTGCTCCCCAATTGTTTTACTTTGCGCCCAAGAACGTCTGGGTGTTGGCGTATGAATGGGGCGCGTGTGCCTTCAACTACATGACCTCCAGCGATCCGACTAATGCCAATGGTTGGTCGTCACCTAAGTGTCTCTTCAGTGGCTCGCTCGGAGGCGGTGATAACCCGATCGATCAGTCCTTGATTGCCGATGATACTACTATGTACATGTTCTTCGCTGGAGACAACGGCAAGATCTATCGGTCGTCGATGCCTATCGGCAACTTCCCCGCGAGCTTCGGCACCGCGTACGAGACCATTCTGACCGACTCTAAATACAACCTCTTCGAGGCGGTGCAAGTGTACCGTGTCCAGGGCCAGAACCAATACCTGATGATCGTGGAATGCATCGGTGCAAATGGCCGCTACTTCCGCTCCTTCACGGCCTCTAGCCTTGGAGGCTCCTGGACCCCACAGGCCACGAGCGAGTCTGCTCCCTTCGCAGGCAAGGCCAACAGTGGCTCTACCTGGTCGAATGACATCAGCAGTGGTGATCTCGTTCGAAGCAGCGCTGACCAGACGATGCCCATTGACCCTTGCAACTTGCAATTCCTCTACCAAGGCCGAGACCCCAACAGCAATGCTGCTTACAACGACCTGCCCTACCGCCCTGGCTTGTTGACCCTCGTGCGCTAATCTGGGTCCTTTGTTCCACGGCAGACCTGATGCATCGAGTGGTTCGGTCGTTCGCCATGTGTGAAAGACACAGAATTTGGTTCAGAATACAACCGGGCGGCATTGCAGTGGTGTGTCCAATTGTATCTAGATGAGTTTAGCTCACAATCAGCGTTCATATCTCTTACTCTAAAAGATTTCGTCTCGCCAACGTAATTGTTGACCATGCACAATGTCTGAAAAGGCAGCTCGTAGCAGACTTTATTGTGATTATATTGTTGTTGCCAGTCTCCTCCAGTGTTCATCCTTAGACAGGAGTGGACCAGGTGACAATGCAATCAGTTCCTCGCATGATCTTTGAAGGGCCTCAAGCCCCGATGTCTAGTCAAAATAGGTCCATCTGAACTCGGCTCGCTTTGAAACATAATCCAGATCGAAAGAAGCCGTCTTCAAATGACTAAGCCACTAGGTTGTGTTCGCTTCTCAGAGCTAGCAGAGGCAAAGCGTATCCACTTGGGTACCACCGTACAAACACCTATAGTGATCGATGATCGCATGTGGCAGGCGTGAAGGTCCCACGCACGCTGCGCAGACTCAGGCACCAACTCTCCATGCGGCTCTTGAGGCCGTAAGGCTGCAAGGCAACACTGATACGCTCGATTACTGCCTATTCAGGAATAGCGTGAGGCCCGTGGAGCCTTCGATGCGAAATGGTGGAGCGATTGGCCGGTCCAGAACATCGTGCTTGAACCCTTTCGAAGGTGAAATCGCAGGATCTGACCTCAGCGCTCCAGTGGGCGGTGCAAACGATGGGTAAGCAAAACCCTGACTCCTGAGATGCCTCGTCTGAGATTGGGAGGCTCCCAATTCAAATTTGCCGTCCGTCTTTGATCCAGTAAACCCCGGTTGCTTGTGCTTTTTCCTGCGTTGAACTTGTTCCTGATTATGTCGAAGAAACGAGAGCTAGGTCCCCTAGACCAGCGCAAGCGGGTGGTTCGCTGCGAGTCATGCGCCGTCCGAAAGATCAAGGTGGGTATGGAACTGTAGAGGTCACCACCATATTTGCCATGGCAGAGCTCTGACCACCTATCTCGAGCAGTGTACCGGGAGCACGCCTTGTGATGCGTGTATTCGTCGGGGCAAAGCCTGCAGGAGGCGCACTTCTGAACCTCCAGAGGCCATCTTCGTCTTCTACGAGGAGACCAAGTCGCAGGATGCCTCCCTGCCCGCTCAAGTGTCCAGAAACGCCGCATCGGTCTTTGTTGATCAGTTTTTTGCTTTTCTGTCATGCAATCAATTTGTGCCTTGTTTGAATACTCTGGGCGGAGCTCTTCTGCCTCTTGTGGAACAATCTTCGCTTCTCAGCTCCATTGCCAGTGCCATTGGAGCGCTGCATGCTTCCCGCCGCGGCTTCTCAGCTCGATATTCTCAAGCCGATAGCCCCGAATTCCAGGCCCTGCGCCTGTACTCTCGGTCTATCGAGTCCTTGAAAGGCGCTCTGACAGAGGCGAAAGTTCATGGTCGGGATGATGTTTTGTGGGCGACATTTCTTTCTGGTATTTTTGAGGTATTCGCGTTGCCACGTCTCTTCCAATTCAGGTTTCTGGTGAAGACCACTGCGGTGCTAACTCACTGGAATAGCTGATGATCGATAGCACCGGGGACGGTTGGGCGAATCACATGCTACATGGCACCTCTCGTTTATTACAAGCGGCAGGCCCAGAACGCTCGATGTCGCTCCCTCGACAGATTTTTGGTCAGGTCTTCCAGATCTTCGAGGCCAATCGAGTGCTGGTGTACGGAGGAGGGACAATTTTAAATAGCGAGAGCTGGACGGCCATACATCAGAGCGATTCATCAGGTACAGATACATGGGACGCACTCAGTGCCATCTCATCACGGATGGTGCAGGTTTACGATTTTACTGCCCGGTATGGATCCCTATCCTTTGTATCGATGATGTTTCCAAGATGCACTCTCTCATCATGGACCAGCAGATTCTATGACCATGTGCGCAAGTTCTCAACTTCCGACATTGTCGACCCCGTGCTAGAAGCATTTGGCTTGGAAGCCCATTTACTACAAAACGATTTACTTGAACTTCGTGATAAGTTGCTTGGTCTCGAGACTGGCGATGGCGGAAGCCTACAGCCTCACCTTGCACAATCATACTGCCTCTACATGATCATCACCATTTTTAACGCCTTTGATTACTATCAATGTTGGCACCTGTCGCATACTCCACACATCTCTTTGCTTGAAATATCTACCTTCGTCGATCAAATCATCTGGCGCTCGTCGCTCGTTCTCAATACTCCAGGCGGCCCTGGGGTGTTACTATTACCTCCACTGAGAGGTGCGGTCACACGTGCACGGAAGGATGACCAAAGATCCAGCATCTTGGACCTGTTGGACCAAATTCACAAACAAGGCTTCAAGGTGGCCAACAGAGTCAAAGAAGATATAGATATCCTTTGGGCGTCAACAGCGAGCTAAATTCCGAAGGCTTTTTTTCTGAAGATTACCATGATGAACCCGTAGAGATAAGCTTAATGCTCACCCCTGCTCTAGGTGGTGGGCTGTCTGAACTTCATTTGCAACCTTTCCCAATTCGGTTATAATCGAGCGCGAGATCCAAGCGTAGCTCCACAAGTAGCCAGGCACCAAAGATATCTAATTAGCGACAAATTTCATGAACGCCGAGGTGCCGCTGGATCTGCTCTGCGATGCCTTCCTCGGGCTCCGTTGAGACGACAGAAATATCTATATAAAGCTACAGAAATCCCCGTCGTTCAATGCTCGCTTCATTCTCTTTCTCATCCATCTGACTAGACACCCAAATCCGAGCGAGGTTACACGTTTACTCTTGAAGATTTGTTCCCTGCCTCAATAAATTTGGTCAGACCTATCCAAATTATTGCCCTTTCCATCATGAAACTTCAGATTCCCATCGTTTCTTGCCTTCTGGCCAGCCTGGGTGATGCTCTTGAGACCCGGCCCAAGGCTTGCGGTCACTTTCCGACCTCAATCCAAGAGTTCACAAGCGGATTCCAGCAGCCGAAGCCACCCATGGTGAAAACGGAGTTTCAAACCAGCTTCATCCAGCACAAGTGGTACTTTGAATACCAGCAATCTCAACGTCAAAAATGTCCGGTCACTGACGCAGCATATCATGTCAGGAACGCGAATCTTTCGCACGTCTCATCTGGCTACCTATACTTTTCACCATCGCAGAAAATGGTTCGTGCAGATGAAGCCTACGAGGGAGCCCTGGCCACTTCGATCTTCGACTACGGCAACACCACCCAGCAAGGCTTGGTCATGAACACGGTGACCAGCTACAGCGTGGGCAGCCCAAAGCCCAGCGTGTGGAGTGGCTACGTGCTATCCAACTATCCCCTTTTCGCCGAGGATTTCCTGATCAAGGGTGATGCTGTGTTTGGTGGCCTGGTCACGAGAAATCTTCTGCAAGGTCATGTCGCATCTGTGAGTCTCGGATTCGCATTTCGGGCGCTTGAGTTGAGTCTAACCCAGACTTCTAGTGGAATATTATGTTCATGGGCTCGATCCCTGTCACCGCTTTCGTGGATGCATGCGGCGTACTCGTTGGATACGACTATTTCTCCCCTGGGCTACGTACACGAGTGACTACTGATTTCTTCAACACTGCCGTTGGGCCCGTGAAAATCTGAAGAAAACTAGGTGCATTGCATTGACCCTGTCAGCTGCTACCCAGTCAAGCGATAAGCACCTGATCAGGTTGTTTTGTGGTACCATGGGGTGACTGGCATAATGTTCCTCTCAAGCTGGATGAATGGAACGATTGCAGCTGGATCACCGTGATGTATGTATGAACGGAAGAGAATGGATTTATTTCAACCCCGATGTCCTCGGATTAACTACTATCTAGGTACCTAAGGTAGACGGCTTATTCGACACGTAGACGTACATATCTTGTCCATGACGGAAGAATGTCTCCCCAGTACAAAATAGATGAAATCGGTATATTCCAAGTAACAAAACTGTGACCCAGACTGGAAGTAAGTCGTGTAGTGAGTGAGTGCATCACTAGCACAAGGATGAAAATGCATTGAGCCACTAATCCAACCGGGCTCGGCTCTTCAATGTTCCAGCCAACATCGCGGGAGTGCCCGACCACAGCTGATCTGGGATGACCGCCTTACACCTTGTGGTAGGCGGTGAGTCCAATGACGCCCAACGTCGGGTCACCACCGCAGTGAGCTAAGGAGGTCCATAAGGTAGGGGCACTTGATGATGTCACCCAGTCACAGCCATTGGATACCTAGTGCAACCACAGCAGCAGGGCACTACCACTACCTTGACTACCTTACCTTGCACGGCCAAGAGTCTTGAAATCACCCAAGCTCACAAAAGGCGTCGCGGGGTAATCTCACGGCCTCTTCGAACTTCAACCACCACCAATCAAACCTTCATCTAGACATTCAAAAGCAAAGACTGCTTGGTGAACATCACCAAATGGGAGGCGGCATGGATTATCCTCCAGGACGAGGTCCTCAAGAACGAAGCCGACACGCCGACGCCGGGCAAAATGACAACTTCTATGCGGTGGTCGACATGGGCAGGTACGCGAACGAATAGAAGCATAGCATTCGCATCCTGAATGAGATTCTTCTCTGATTCTCATTGCGAGAGTAGTAATGGCATCCGATGTTCGATCTCGGACTTGACTTCCCCGACGACCCGTGTGATTCCCACAGTCCATTTCCACCGAGTCAACATTTCCCTTTACGAGGCGCAGGTCGATCCGAACACTGGGGAGCGTGTGCCCATATCGCAGCGGGTCATTGATCGTGTGGTGAGCGCCATTGTACGGTTTCAAATCATCTGTGTGGAACTTGGCGTGCCCGCCTCCAACATCCGTATCATTGCGACTGAGGCTACCCGGACGGCGATCAACTCAGAAGCGTTCACAAACGCCATTCTTTCTAAAACAGGCATAACGGTTGAGCTTCTGCGCAAGGAAGAAGAAGGCATCATTGGAGCATGGGGAATCGCGAGCAGCTTTTCCGATGTGGAAGGCCTGGCATTAGATCTTGGCGGCGGAAGCATGCAGATGACCTGGATTATCTCACATACTGGCAGTGTTCGCATCAGTCCACTCGGTGCAGTGAGCTTCCCTTATGGAGCGGCCGCCCTGACTCAGAAGCTTGCGGATTTAAAACGGAACAAAAGCGAAGAAGATGCAAAAAAGGCAACAGAAGAGTTCCGCAAGGAGATGGCCGATAACTTCCGCTCTGCCTTTGAGCGCCTCAAGGTTCCCGAAACCCTGAAGGCCAAAGCTCACGCCCAGGGAGGGTTTCCACTTTACCTCTCTGGGGGTGGTTTCCGCGGCTGGGGATATCTTCTGTTGTACTTGCACCAGACTCGGGGTCAAAACTATCCCATCTCCATCATCAATGGCTACACCGCCCCCAAAGCGGACTTTGAGAACACCGACGCTCTCAAGGAGGTGGCTCGCACTGCGGATGAGATTTTCCGAGTATCCGACCGACGGCGAGGCCAGGTTCCCTCCGTCGCTTTCCTTGTCAACACGCTAGCGGAGTCATTACCGTATGGTATCAAGGAAGCGCATTTCTGCCAGGGAGGTGTACGAGAGGGTGTGCTCTTTCGGGAAATGCTCCCGGTGGTTCGCCAACAAGATCCACTCGAGGTTGCAACCGCTCGATATGCGCCTGCGTCGGCACAGGCGATTGCGGCTTTAATGCTGGCCTCCCTACCCCGCCCTGGTCAGTCTCGATCGGTGCCGTCCGTAATCACTGTCCATTTGGTCCAGTCTTTCGCCAACAGTCTGTACGTTCATGCCTCAATGGCGAAGGAGGTCTCGTCAAGTGCAGCGCTGTTCAGCACAAGTACGGGGATCTTGGCCTCGACGCATGGAATCCCTCATGCTCATCGAGCTCTCTTGGCTCTGATGCTCCAAGAGCGCTATGGCGGCGAGCTGCCACCGCGGGACATTGGCTTCAAGTCCCACATGCAGGGAATTCTGACTCCGGAAGAAGTGTGGTGGACCCGGTATCTTGGCAAGATCGGTTACATTATCGGTCAGATCTATCTCACGGGTGCTATCGATACTTCAAAGCCTCGCATCGTCCCCTCCGCGAAGTGGGTCAATAATTTGGGTAAAAAGGAAGACCAGGAGGGGGTAGAGTTGAGGATCGCCATTCAAAAAGTTTCTTATGATCCCACTCAACTCAAAGAAGAGCTTCAAAAAGATACGCGGAAACTGGAGAAGGTGGGGAAACGCAAGAATTGGATTGGAGGCCGAGATGGCTGGGGGTTGAAGGTTCGTGTACTGGTCGAAGAAGAAGATCTGTTAGTGAGCCCGACTTTGGCGACCTTCCAGTGATTTGTCAAGTTCGTTCGATATACATCGAATGCCCCGTTGACACAATTCGAAACGTGGACTTCATCTCGACATCGTAGGGCCCCAAGAAACTGTCCAAGTCAAACACGGCGGGGATGTGGACGATAAAAAAAAGACCGCCAATCATCACACCCTCTGGTGAAGACTACGGGGGCTTGATCATCTGTGGAGCGTTCTGAAGTCAATCTGGGATCTTCACCGTTCTCGAGTCATAGTCTTCGAGCAGACATTGGTGCTTGGGATGCGCCGAATTGCGAGTCGGAGGATGCATGAGCAGAATGATACACTTATGAAACGTTGACCGACATTCAATGGTCTGTAAAGTGTAAGCTCACATACCGTATGAAATGATTGTACGGTAACTTCGGTAAGTATGGTACTTCCAATACAATGCTGTTTGCGAAAAGATCAGATAAGATAAATCAGACCGCTGTGATCGGGCTTTGAGACACAAGAAGTCAATTCACTTCAGCCTGACCAAAGCCGCGCCCCTCCCACAAGGGTGCTCTGTGGATCTTCATTCACGCTTCTTTGTCACCCTCGCGTCGCCTCTAGACTCAATTTTTGGTGAGCCAGTACGCGACTACGGCATGCGACTGCAAGATTTGGCCCTTCTTGTGTTTTGTGCACAACGCTGTTGCGGACGCGTCTTCGGCACAAAAGACGAGCTCTGCGTGATTGCGATCTATTCAGCGCTCGACTCAATCATATTCTCGGGAGATCAAAATAGAGGTTTGTGGGAGAACCGCTGTCGACGCTGGCCGAGGGTCATTTCAACCTACGCGTCGACAGAATTGTACTGCAGCGATGCAGAACGCGAAGCTGGCATAAGTCATCTCAAAGAGGCTTGCTTTCTGGCGGCCGAGCTTGAATTGATTCCGCGAAAGTCGGTCGCTACAAACCTCACCGAAGCAGCTATACACACTTATAAAACTGTCGATTACCTGGAGTTGCGTCAAGACGATGTTGTAACTCTTCCAGTCTTACTTTCTCGCAATCATTTTGATCGTGTTTTTGCGACCCTGGTAAGTTGTTTCCTCTTATGGTGTAGTGAATAACTCTGCAACCAGATTATCTTTTGACACCCAATAGGACACGTGGGAATATGAGAATTGGTTTCATCACTTTGCTGGGTATGTGCCCCAGGTCTTATCTTCGCATTGAGTAATTGTTGGTTCTTTACTAAAGTTGCGGCGCATAGATGTTTTGGCTATGTATACTGGCTCATCATCTTGGCTATGGGGACCTTTTACAATGTCTTTGGCCTCCGTCACTTCTCAGACGATCGCCAGGGCGTGAGCTCCCTGAATCTGAGTTCGACGCGCTCCCACGGCGATACAGGTCGACGATCTTTAATGAATAACGCCATTTGCTGGCTCGGAATCCCTTTAAACATGCCACTCTCGAAAGCTAACTGGGAATCAATTCTTATGGGACATGAGACTTCTTCGCGAGCCGAACTACTCGCAGTTGCTGGCTTTTGGATCACGAGTCTTTTCCTGGCCGTGGTTGGCTATCGTTTGTCTTCCGAGAACATCTTGTGAGTGCGCCTAAATAGATTAAGTTCATGAAGCCTCCCACTTACAAGTTCATGAAGCCTCCCACTTACACTGTACAGCTGGCCCGACATCACCAGTCAGATTCTACGATACTCGGCAGATCGGGCCGGTATCATGTCATTTGGGAATATGCCACTGCTGCTCGTCTTCGGCGTCCGAAACAACATTCTTACTTCGGCCACCGGCTGGAGCCACTCCAAGTTCAATCTGTTTCATCGCCATGTGGCCAGAATAGCTACCTTACAGGCAGCGATGCACTCCGCTCTCTATCTGGTCATTTACATAAGAGGTATGTCAGACGATGACAACCTTTTCCCCCTTCTCTGCTGAGATTGTGTAGTCATTAACTTGAGCAGCCGGTGAAGATCTCTTGAGCGATATCCTCGAAACCTTCGTTCTCTGGGGAGTCTTGGTAGGAAGCATCAACCCGATCTATCATGTGGAAGCCTTGTCTCGATGTGGATGCTGATGCGCTACAGGCAACTACTGCCATGGCTGTCGTCTTGATCACTTCTCTCGATCGAATTCGCGCTATGGCATATGAGTTCTTTGTAGCAGCACATGTCTTGCTCTCGGTAGCAATGTTGATCGGGTGCTTCTAGTAAGTATTTCTACCAGACTGGTTCAATACTAAGCGATGCTGATCATGGGGAAGTCATACAACACCCTTTAAAACCCATGTATACTGGCGTTACCTTTGGCCAGCTGTGGCCATATGGGGACTTGACCGCATTTTACGACTGATAAGAACGCTCTATCTGAATGTTCGACTTCAATTTTGCGACCACGGCTTTTTGAAATTGATCGCTTGCTCGATGGCATACGATGCAGAAGCTGACGTCGTGAAATTGAATTTTGAGGTACCTCGAGCGTTGGAAACCAAGCCGGGTGATTACTACTTCCTTCATCAGCCTCTCAGAGCGAAGGGCTGGGAGAATCATCCGTTCACTGTCTGTTCTTGGGGACCTGGATCTACACCGCATGAAGACGAATCCTTGACGCCCAGTCGCTCCCACAGGTTTAGAAGCGACTCCCAACTGCCACTTCTCATCACAACTGTGTCCCAGAATTTGGGTCATGAGTGGGGTCTCGACGATGGACACATTTTAGAGACAACGAGGCTGACTTTCTGGATTCGTCCTTATGACGGCTGGACTCGTCAATTACGTCGCCAGTGTCTTCGTGACCAGAAATCTCCATCTACACCTTTCATTCTGCTGGAGGGCCCCTATGGTCATTCGCTGCCACTCTGGGATTACGATTCGGTGCTTATGGTCGTGGGGGGCACTGGGATTGCCGCCGCTCTACCGTACCTTCAGGACCACCTCCGCCGATCACTCAACCACCGATCAGCAGACAGCAAACAAAAATTACGTACCAAAAGCGTTGAATTGATCTGGGTGGCAAAGCAAGCGACCTTTCAGCAAGATGTTGTCAATCGTGATTTACAGCCATTCCTTCATCGGGATGATTTTCGTGCATCCCTCTACTGCACAGACACAGACTATAGAGTGCTCACCGAAGACCAAAATAGAATCACGATGTCTGCTGGTCGGCCCAGTATCTCATCAGTCATCTCCGATCGAGCCACTGATCCCTTAATCGCAGGATTGAGAATTGCAATCTTCGTCTGCGGGCCGGTACAAATGTGCGATGAAGCCCGCATGGCGACTCGTGCTGCAATGGAACACGGGCACAAGGATCTGCAATACTTCGAAGACAGTTTCACATGGTGATACTACACGCTCGATGTGACAACGTGACAGATCGACGGGCGCGTATGAAGTTTGCTAAAGATGTTGTTGGAGAACACGGCGAGGGCCTGGAACCGGATTGCTTGAGGCATTTTCACACCTCCTGAGATCAAAAACGATCTTCGAAATGAGCGATGGGAGCGAATTGTCAGTGTTTCCAAATATATCACTGATGGATCGATGCGTTTGCCCGACGAAACTCGGATCGAAATATGTAGTATCGTGCAAATTTTAATATTATGGGGCTCTCCACGCAGATGCGTCCTCTAGATGCGATTTTTAGCAGGCACTTTACGCTCGGCTCAGTTATCTTAGTCTTCTAAATTGATCATCAGCTCTCAAGCCTGAAGCCCGTGACATCTGCACTTGCACCTGGAGCTACCCAGTTTATGAGTTGGAGCTATCATTGCACCCCGCATCATATTTCTGAGAGTATCCATTTCCACGTAGTCTAATTGAATGTCAATTTATCTCATTCCGATACACCCAATATTGTTTGCCTCGGATGCCGTAAGGCTGGCTTCATGCTGGGCATTCGATAGGTCACATCACCAGCTCCCAATGGAAATAAGCATCAGCTCCACAACAAACTCAGGAGGGGCAAGCTATTGATTATACGCAGATCATGCTTGGTTTGTCACAAATCACCCCAGTCCCTTCATGCAGGTATCCTGCGGCTAGATGCAGCCTGGCACTCGTTTATGCAGGGGTATGGGAGCTCTGAGTTTCTCGCTGCGTCCTCTCCGCATCAGTGAAAATGCGCCTCAATGCATGCATGATACGCCGGATCAATCGGATAGTGCGCCTCTACCTACCAAGCCCGGCTCGATTTACCTGGTTTGCTATCGTGAGTTAGGTTGCCCGGCTGCTGAATTGTTGCCCTGCATCAGTTTATTAGTTTTGTGGATCCACTCTGGGACCCCCCGTCGATCCTCATCTGACCGGAGCACTCTTGATCGACTCCACTGTATGTTGATGCTAGAGTCCATCCAAGTCTGATATGGGGTCAATGCTAGGCGTTATACCCATGGATGTAGCGGCTCGAGTATGAGTTATCGAGGAGATTTGCATATAAAGACCATCATCCCAGATATATTTCAGGTCTTCAACCCACTATCCAACCTCCATATCATCATCCCAATTAGCCGCATTCTTCTTTACCTCTCAAACCCAAAAACATTCTGTTATCTTCACCACCAAAATGAAGTTCATTGCGACTGCCCTTCTCTTCGCTGCGGCCACTCTGGCTATGCCCTCCGCTCCTTGTGATAAAGATGGCAAGCACAGTGATGGCTCAAGCGACGATAGCTCCAACAACATTACCTACGAACAAGCGAGCGCAAAGTGTGGCAACGACGCCGTTGTGTCTTGCTGCAACAAGGAGACCGTCACTGGCTCGGTGACTAGCGTCAACAACGGTCTTCTGGCTGGCGTGCTGTCGAACGCTATCGCTGGCGGTCCTGGCAGCGACGGACTTGGTCTCTTCAACGGATGCAGTGATCTTAGCTTGGGTGGTAAGGATTCATTATCACGATTGAAAATGAATTGGCACTTTCCTGACACCATTCCCACCTCTAGTCCCTGTCGCCAGCTTGCTCAGCGCCCAGAACATTCTCAACAAAAAGTGCCAGCAGAGTATTGCCTGCTGCCAGAACAGTCGTTCTGAGGCTGTAAGTGTCATTCCACCATCTTCCGTCCTGAATGCAACATTCTCTTCGTACATATGGAACTAACCTGTTCATCTGTCTTAGAACGGCGACCTGGTCGGCGTTGCTCTTCCATGCGTTGCCTTGGGTAGTCTGATCTAAATCGTCGGATCGAGTCTTCCCTTCTAAAGACGACCGTCGGAGCGGTACAGTGGAATCCGTTGATGATAATAATGCTCCGCCTGTTGGTCTACCTTGTGCTCAACGTAGTGGGTACTACGCGGGAGGCGCGCCACGGGATTTTGTACATGCAAGCTTGAAGTATTTTACTTGATATATAATTGAGTCGTCGTTTCTCCCGTCTAGGCAAAATAATTCTGTTGCATCCATGGGCTCCCTTGGGGAGGCGGCTAGTGAGTCAGTGGAGGACAGCTGCTTCACTTCTCCCGAGGTATTAATGACCCGCCCAGTGGATGAAGGCCAGTCATTGAAATTAGTTTCGGACGAAAAGACTCCGAATGAAGCCAGTATAGTTTACGGATTCCCATGCTGAATCCAAGTCGCGAAGGAGTCGTGTGTTCAACTTCGAAACTTGATCCCCTCACTTGTCGTGACCCGAATTCAAAGCTCATCATCTCAGTATACGTAGGTTTCTTTCCGTTGGTCAATAGGTACAGGCAGAATGCAAGTTGATGAAGTCAAGTGCGAGTCCGAGTGGAGCAACGAGAAAATTCTAGCCTACCCCACTATTATCGTATGAGCCCCAGTAAATGACACTTGGATCTCCTCCCGTCGATTGGCAAGGTGAGCGATACGCGATCGAGACCTTTTCCATCGATTGAAGCCTTTTGAACCTCTCGCTGAAGAGTAATATGGTAATCTCATTACAGCCTACATACGTGGCGTGGAACTCCGCCAATTTCCCATCTACAGGGCTAGTGAGGCGAGATTCGCTGGGATGATTTTGAATGGCCGGGTCGCGAGAGAACAGACGAGTACGCGCGGATTCTGACATTTGATGGGAGGGACGAGCAAGCCGATGCCGGCATGTGCGTGCGTCACGCTGGTCCGGAATCTAGCGACGTTATCTGATCCGAAGGTGGGCCGGAGGCTCGGCTGTGTTTCAACGCTCGGACGAAGACTGCTGTAATCTGTAATACGATGTGCAGTATGGCTAAATACCGAGCCAGACTGCTAATGTTCCGGTATACATACATAATTACCCACTTTTCGGCTTATCTGATTGGCAAATCCCCGGTTATCTGATCTGATAGAAAATAGAGAGCAACTGAAACTGGGGCGGCCATGAAAAGGAAGAATGCGCAGCGATTCCGCTTTCTTTTGGTCGTAAATTGTGGAAATTCCTTCCCTCATGCACTTCGTGTGAAAGTGAAATCTTCCGTCTCTTGACCACCTTTCCATTTTACCAGTTGCCCAAGCACCCGTCAACCATGGAGGTTTCGCGCAGTGTTCAACGCCTGCAGAAGACATTGGATCATATAACAACAACGTCCGCTCCGCTACAATGGTCATTCGTCGAAGGACCTCTCGAGCCGGCTATTCTGGACATCACCCTCGGTGATTTACTTACACTACAGGCGCTTCGGTATGGAGATTTCGAATGCCTTGTCTTTCCGTGGACAGGGGCACGATGGACATACAGTGACCTGAAGGAGGAAGTGGATCGTCTCGCTAAAGGTATGCTCGCGATGAATGTGCATAAGGGCGATCGCTTGGGTATCATGGCAGGCAACTGCGAGCAGTTTATCTCTGTCTTTTTCGCAGCCGCCCGCGTCGAGGCTATTCTGGTGGTGTTGAACAACACTTATACCCCATCAGAGCTACAATATGCTTTGGAACATACAGGTATGAGCAGAGAAGCCTTGAAGAGTCTGAAATATGTTCGATTCCTGGACTGACAGCGCTATTGCGTTCTTGTTGGTTAAAAGACTGTCGTTTCCTCTTCATTACACCTCAAATAGGGCGACATAATCTCGAGGGATTCCTGGAACAGGTCGGCTCTAATCCAAAGCCAAATAAGACCACGAAAATTGTCGAGGAGATCATAATTCTCCGTGGCAAATATCAGGGCTTCACGACTTACGACGAGGTCCTCGGGCGAGGGCGCTCGCAGCCCCTCCATACCCTCCAAGATCGAGAAGCTGAACTACGACCGAGCGACGTATGCAACTTGCAATTCACCAGTGGCTCAACCGGAAATCCGAAAGCTGCGATGTTGACCCATCAGTAAGTTGTATCTGCCATTCTCGCACCAAAATTTCTGGCCTGGGTGGCGTTTACTGATTACGCTTACAGCAACTTGGTTAATAATTCGCGCTTCATCGGCGACCGCATGAGATTATCTTCCTTCGACATTCTCTGTTGTCCACCGCCACTGTTTCATTGCTTTGGGCTTGTTCTGGGCATGCTTGCTGCGGTAAACCACGGCGCCAAAATTGTCTTTCCCAATGAGACATTTGATCCCCAGGCTGTTCTCAATGCCATCTCAAACGAGAAGTGCACTGCTCTGCATGGAGTACCTACAATGTTCGAAGCTATTCTGAGCCTTCCGAAGCCTGCCAACTTTGACACCTCCAACTTACGGACAGGGATCATTGCTGGGGCCCCTGTTCCACGACATTTGATGAAGCGGCTGTTGGAGGACTTAAACATGACTGAGTACACAAGCAGCTACGGTATGAGAAGATCTTTGCAGTCATTGCATATTGTGCCATCATCATGACCATTGCTAATTTCCAGCGAACGCTTGGTCTTGCCAGGTCTCACGGAAGCATCCCCTACGTGCTTCAATGCGTTCACCACCGATTCCATTTACACCCGCATGACGACAGTGGGCAAGATTCTCCCACATGCGCGCGCGAAAATCGTCGACCGCGACGGGAACATCGTGCCGATCGGTCAGCGAGGCGAGCTTTGCATCTCGGGCTATCAACTCACAAAAGGCTACTGGAACAATCCAGAGAAAATTGCGGAGGCCCTCGTCACCGATAGCAACGGAATAACGTGGTTGAAGACCGGAGATGAAGCTTCCTTCGACGAGAGAGGTTACTGCAGCATCACTGGTCGATTCAAAGACATCATCATTCGTGGGGGAGAAAACATATACCCGCTGGAAACTGAGGAGCGTCTAGCCGCGCACCCCCACATTGCACTTGCGTCTGTCATTGGCATTCCTGACTCAAAGTACGGAGAAGTTGTGGGCGCGCACTTGCGGCTTCTACCAGGCTTGTCTCGATCAAGTGATGAGGAGCTTCGGACTTGGACTCGGGAAACTCTCGGACGACACAAGGCGCCGCAGCATGTGTTCGTCTTCGGCCAGGCGGGGGTTCCTCACACGGTACCGGTGACTGGGAGCGGAAAGGTGAGGAAAGTGGAACTGCGACAAAAAGCCATAGCCTTGATGGAAAATCGAGGTCAACCTACACCATGATCAGGAGGTACAGTCATGAAATCGTCGGATTTGGTCCCACGCGCAGGGCCTGAAAGACATTACATTATGTAAGAGCGAGTATTGCATAGCGGGCGCTCGAATGGGCATTCGCGGGAAACAATCCTGCTCGGTCTTGGAGCATGACCCATTCCCATATAGAATTAAACGTTCACTGTCTCGATAAACTGCCAATCAAAGGGTGTTATTTTGTTCGGGCGGATGAATTGTCTCTTAACCTCCGGATCTGTGCCGATGTACGGCAATCTTATCAGATCGCCATGCGGCATGCACCACGTGCCGTGATATGCGAAACGTGCCATAGGTATGTATTGTAATGTAAGATATCGAAGTATCTTAGGGCTGAGGCAAAGCGTACATACATACGGTTCGGTATGTAAAAATGGATGCTGTATTAGTGTATGACTACGTGTATGTGTCTCGGTCTTCTCGGAAGAGTTGTCAATTTCCCTGCACCGAAGCAGGAAAGGAGTCCAATTTTGATGGAGTGGGGAAGATAGCCTTGTAGTTTTCCCCATGAGCGACTTGGCATTGACTCGGAACCGGAGGAAGGTGAATCATAATCATTAAATTGCTTGAGTAATAGCGGGTGACCGCGACGCGGCTATCGGCGGTTACTGTATACTGTACACTGTACAATGTACATGGATCACCCGTGTCTATCACTGCTGGTCATTCATTACAAGATGTCACCCAGCTAGATTCAACTGATAGTAGTACGTCTTCAATGATTTATACCTTGCAAAGCTTTTCAGGATATGGGACAACAGTTTGGCGTCATCATCTTGTCGAGAAAGGCCTGTCAATTTGGTTAAAGTATGATCTGGCTGTGACGGAGAATAGGGCCCGCATCGTGCGACACGCTATCCGTTGAATTTCGTTTACACGCTGTGAACTCATGTACAGGACCCACCACTGTAAGTGCAGATCAGATAAGATAACCCTGTTATCTGATCCGCACCCCTGGATTTGCATGATCCTCCATCCAATGTAGCGATGGAAAAGCACATTCCAATCTTCACCGTGCTGATCAACAGCTTTCATGACGCGTCCAAATCATTCGAGCGAGGTGTGCTCTGTATAGCCTGTCTGTCTAACCCCCATTATGCTTCATGCCGAATCGAAAGGAATTGGCGTGGCGCACGCCCTGGAATGTTGATTCAGGCATTCAAGATTGCGTAATAGACTGAACAGGCTCCGTAAATTTCCGTGCAGAAGCTCCAGAGCAGTGGGACCACCGCAATTCCGCTCAGTATCCGAAATGAGAGAGCCGCAAATTCCACGGAAGACAGGTATGATACAGCAACGCTCTCATCTGATAAATTGTAAGGGGGTCCTGCAAGACTGGTTAGAGCCGCCAAGCACTCGTAGTGTTCGCTCTGCGGAGCGTGTGCGACTATGCAGGACATTTTTGGGACCCCCTGTTGCAAGACCCTTTGTCTTCAAAAGCTCCATAACTACCCATAGAGCATCATATATGACGAAGACCTCTCTCCCCACTGTCCGCCCTCTGCAACATCGACGGTGATTGAACATAGATCAAACAGATATTTCTTCCCGTTCGAAAAGATTACTGTCCATTCTTCTTACCTCACAATGGCCCTCAATGATACTGTACTGGCATCTGCGCGGCCATTTCGTGTCATGGTTATTGGCGGTTCATACGGTGGGCTTTCAACCGCTCTCAACCTGTGGGATCTCACGCAAGCTCGACATCCACGCTTCAACTATGCCTACGATGGGCCAACTCCAACAGAGAGAATCCCAATCCAAACTACCATCGTGGACGAGCGCGACGGATATTGTATGTCAAACCACTCCCATTTCGAAAACGCACGATTGTGGCCTGCTGAGACTTGTCACCGACAGATCATCTAATTGGTTCACCCAAATCCTTGATCTGTGAAAAGCTAGCCACCGCATCTTGGACACGATTTGAAGATATTCCGGCATTAGCATCGCCTCACTTTAAGATTGTTCGAGGACGCGTGAACAAAATCAATTGCGCTGCGAAGGTCGCCCACGTTCTCGATACCGCCACAGGGTCAATTCTTGCCGAATCGTACGATTTTCTTGTTGTTGCCTCGGGCGTTCGCCGGACGTACCCAGTTGTTCCTCAATCTTTGTGTCGAAAAGACTTTCTGGAAGAAGCTTCGAAACATTCCAGTCAGGTGCGGAAAGCATCTGGTGTGGCGATCATCGGTGGTGGTAAGCTTCCGCCCTGGTCTAATAGGTCTGCAGCATCAGACCTAAAATGCTCACCATTATTGGCCCTCTGCTCTCCAGTCCATTTGATCATATCTGACGAATACCAGGTGCCGTTGGTGTCGAGATGGCTGCCGAGCTGAAAATGCTTGTCCCTGATCAAAGGGTTACTCTGATCCATTCCAGGAATCGACTACTATCGTCCGAGCCGCTGCCTGATGAGTTTGCCCAACAAGTTCTTGCCGCACTACATGAGGATGGTGTTGAAGTGATCCTCAGTCAGCGAGTTACAAGTACCACACGTATCGACGACGCAGCAGAGGACAATGCCTGGCGTTTGACACTGAGCGATGGGCGAGAGTCGGTAACAGGGCATGTTCTGAATGCAATCTCACGATGCGTACCGACATCAGAGTATCTACCCGGCAGAGCCCTTGATGATCGCGGCTACGTCAAGGTTCAACCCTCGTATGTTGCTGAATGATGTCGCTCCCTTGTATGTTCCACTTGGACTCTGATGCTGACGCACACTCAGTTTGCAGTTTGCTGGCGACATACCCAATTCCCAGCATCATTATGCAATCGGTGATATAGCCTCATGGCCAGGTATCAAACGGTGCGGAGGTGCCATGCATATGGGTCATTATTGTGCCTTGAACATCCATCAGCAGATGTTGGCACTATGCCGTGGTGGAAATCCCAAATACAAGACCCTTGTGCCATCGCCGCCTGTCATCGGACTCGCCCTTGGAAGAAAGGCCGTGTCATATACGCCGGCTGAGGGAGTGCGCCATGGAGAGGATCTGTTGAAGACCTTGTTTGGAGATGACATGGCAAATCAGAGTGAGTCTGTCTCACGGGAGCCAATTCATAACACGTATGCAACAAGATGACGATGCCCGGAAGCTGATCATGATTCTAGGTTGTCGAGACTATTTGAAATTGTCAGAAGCATGTTAGCAAGTTCCATCAAAGTAGTCAGATGGAGCTCGGTTTTGCAAGTCCTGGCTCATAGATCTCGGTCATCCGGCCGGTACCAATTCGGAGTAATGTGAAAGGCTCTTCTCCACTTCATGACAACGTTCAAGTGGAGATGTCATGATATAGGGACTACAGCGCCGACAGAATGGATGGCCGGGACTTGGAAGCATCTAGGTGCAGATAATAATCAGCGAAAAGCCACGCATGATCTTCTTTCTGTGTTCTTACTCTGTTGTTATTGTTTTGCTTGCGATGGTTCGGCCATGACGATTCCGTTGAAGCCATTGTGGGTTTTCATTTGGATCGATCGCTGAGGCGATGAGCACCCAGCCAACCAACGTTTACCATCATGCATCTTGAATAAGCCGTTTTGTTCTATTGTCGAACCCTCATTATGGTCTACCTATCCAGAGGCAACGACAGCCCATCCCAGAGACGTTTCCAAGCTTGTGCTTTGGAAATTCCGTTGTATTCCATTGCTGATCCCTCGATTAGGTCCATCGTCGAGGCGAGGGGAACCCAGTCTAGCGACCTTTGCAAGCTTACATATTAGTTATTCCGGTGTATTCCGTTCACGATTCTTCGTTTTAGTTTGCCGTCAAGGCGATAGGTGAGAACCCAGCCCAGCGACGTTTGTGAAGTTATACCTCTCCCATGACGATGTGTCCTCTCCCTGCCTTTGCTTCCTCTTTCCTGCGGCTTTCTTCCATTCTCCCTCTCGCATTCGTCGAGACTTTGACAACCAAGATCACAACTTTGGTGTTCAAACGAAGCCACCGCTATCATGGACCGCCTCCCACAGGAGCTTTTGCTGCAAATCAGCCGCCATGTATGTTGGTACCCGCGATATTTTGTCTCCTTTCACTATGAAAAGATCATGGTTCGTAGCCGCTAATTTGAAACAGCTTCAGTCTCTGCAGCCGGATTCTCGGAGACACTTGGGATCTTTTAGAAAGGTCAATCGTGCCTGCTATGATGCAGCAACGCCGATATTGTTCGGAGTGCTCACGCTCAGGTTCTCGGACATGACGAGTTTGCGAGCAGCCGTCGCTGAGATCACAGAAACCCCCGAAGGTCAAAATTCCCTCAGATGGGCCAGGAGACTTCACGTTGCCGGGGATGCCCGTGCACAAGGCTACTGGTGGCATAGGATTGAACGTCTGGAGCCGTGGGCAGTCAGTCTGGCTTCCGAGGACAGGCCCACTGTGCAAGATACATTGTTGGATCACTGGCTTACTGCAGTTGATCCAATCCCACATAGACGACCTACCATTGTGCATACCAGCCACGCTTGCGACTGGAGCTGGGAACCAGTTCTGTCTCTCATCGCACGTCTTAGTCATCTCAAGCAAATTGATTTCTCGACACAGGGTGAGGTGACGGTTGGGGTTGAAGACATCGTCTCTCGCTACCATCCAGCATGCGAGGTGAGCGTCTTCTCGGCACAGGTTGTGGAGCGAAGTCTGGGCAATACGGGCTCATGGCATCAATTTCAAGGGCCAAATTCAACCGAGGCTTTTCGGTTCAATATCGAGTGGCTTCGGCGGCCTCGCTTGAACACTCTGACCGTGGGTCTGGGTCTGTATGGCCGGGAAGAGCAGCCCGTTGTCGAGATGTATGCGTTTCTCGTTAACGCGCCGGGCTTGAAGCACCTGGAAGTGTTTGGTCTCCACCGCCGAGACGATGGGAGCTCTACCGCCCTCCTCCGTCTCAAGCAACAATGGCAAGACTTGCAGGAAACCAGTCCGCCTGGAAAAGTTTGCAATCTGGAATCTATCACGATATCTGGGTCTGCTCTGAGTGAAGAGATTGTGCTCAGCTTCGCGGCTGCAGGCAATCTTTCCAACCTGCGCTCACTCATCCTGGCAGCGCCGGTGCTTGATTGGGCGAGTTTGGCTCGTGTTGCCCAACATTTGCCAAGGCTCGAGGGACTCTTCTTTGAGCTCAACAGTACGAAATTTCTTCCCAGTCCTGATTTGGTCGATGCCATCCGAGCCTTCCGTCCCTTACGGTACTTGAGCGTGGGTGACCTTGGAGGGTCTGAGAACCTGCGTCGTGTGGTCGAGATACACGGACCGTCCCTAGAGGGTCTCATGCTGTGTCCCGTGGATTACGCAAGATACACCAAGCTCAACGCATCGGACTTGATCCACCTTTCAGCTCATTGTCCAAATTTGAGGCAGCTAAGAGTTCAAGCCAAGCGATCCATGGGCACACGACCAGAGTGTGAGATGTACAGGGCTCTGAGCATGTTCCCAAAGCTTCACAGCCTTGTGCTAGACCTCCATTTCGATGCCCGCCCGGAATCTCAAGCCCATGGCCTGATCGCTGCGGATACCACCACCCTCCGAGAGTGTTTCATCAATGCCGCGACAGATGAGTCCCTTGCCACTGCAATTTGGCAGCTGATCAAGTCCACTGGCGCACCCCGTTTGCAGTTCATGCGTATCGTGCCCGTTGGAAATCATCGGTTCAGCCGAGAAGAGGCCTGGCTGCTGGCACGCTTCGCCCGGTCATTCTTGGTGACGCGATACAACTTGAACAATCCAGAACTGCCCCTGGTGGAAGAGATTGGCCGTAGGGAACCGACTCGCAGGGCGAGGCCTGGTTGGGTACAAAGTGACGGCAGATTGGCACAACTTCTCCAGACGATTTGGCCACGGATAGCCCACGTTCAAGACTGGTGGAACTCCGGATGGCAAAGCTTCCCTTTGGCGTTGAATGCGTGACGGATCCCTCGGTGTTTATCCTGCCCGCGGGATGTATTTCAAAATTCTATCATGTGACATAGTTTTAAGCTTTGCGGTCATCATAAATAATGACCGCAGATCCAAAACGATTCGACTCCATGCACGGCAGTAAGACCACCGTAAGCGCAGTGTGCGTCCGGTAATCTCAATGGCTCTGTATCCGCTATGCTGTTTTTTTGGGGGGTGAGAGGCATCAAAAGAGTATCCCATGAATTGGTGGTTTGGTTGCCGAATGCATGAGTAAGGATGCATTGTTGTGAAATTGAGCCGTGTTTCACTGCTGCGGTAGGTGCCTCTGGTACACAGAATGTTGTCTGATTTCTTGCCGGAACTGTCGCACATCTTTCAAATGATCACCTTTTGAGTTTTCCAAATCGTGAAGTAAGTTATGAGAGGAGGAAGCTTGGCAGAGACACATGATGAAAGACCCGTTCAGAGCTCGTGGTCCGGTCAAGTTCAATCAAGTCTCGTGCCAGCAACTTACACAATGTGTCGTACGCCGGCCGTACCGATCTATTGCTCCCAGTTGGAACGTTCGGCACAAAAGGCAAACTACATAGAAATGTTCATTCAGGATGACATGAGCGCCAGGACCGTATCGTGCCATTTCCTGACGCGGATTGAGACCGCACTCCACACAGAATCGCAGATGGCTGTTGCGGCCCGCTCGGCTACGACGTCGCCGCAACATGCTCTGACTGAACTGACTGGATGGGCGCAGTCGAAGACAATACCGACATGTGAAAAGATCACGTTGGCGTGCCCAGTCACCTGATTCAACTTCAAGCAGATCACGATGGGATGGCGGTGGAGTGATGCGATAAAACCAGGTACAAGTCAATCTGAGCCGGAGTTGATCTTCCGGGTGAAGCAGGGCTATTATTTGATTGTGCAGTTCGGGAGGCAGTTGCATCAAAAGAGACATTATTGCTTCGCATTAGGATCTGCAAAGGGTTATCTCTGGCCTGGCTGGCCTGGCTGGCTTGGCTGGCTTGGCTGGCCCGGTGGGCTTAGGTTGGCCAGGAGGTAAAGGCGTGCCCTGTGAGGGTCGTGGAGACGTGCCATTACCGGAGAGGCACAGACGACAAAGGGGGTTGAAAGACAATGGGCTACTGTGTTCAGCCAGCAATGGTTGGCTATCTCATGACAGGGTGTCCAGTCCCTCAAAGCTTCTGATATGGATATAGTAAAGTTTCAATGAAGCGTACATGGAAGAATTCTGGAAAGTTGAACGGCAGCATGGAGCATGGAGCACGAAGTAAGAAGCATGAACTACCCCGGCGGGACAGGGCGACGATTTTATCACGTGACCGTATCGTCATATCGATAAGACGTCTCTTAGCACTAGAACTCGACTACTAGCTGTTAGTAGTTCCTGGAAGCTGGAGAGAAACATTCGTCATAAGAGATTGAACTCTCCTCGAGCACCAATATTTCACAAATGATATATTGCGTTCCACAGTCTCGACGTCTTCATTCCAAACCAGTATAGAATCTGTATCACTCATCCCGTCTCTGACAAAATGCATGGCGTGTCCAAGAGAAGTGTCAATCCTGAAGCTGCAAGTAAGACGGAAACATGCATCGCCGACTTTCCGTCTGTTTCCACCTTGACTTGGCCAAGCTCGATACTGACCAGTTGATGACCAGCGCCCCCGCATTTTGGAATGACCAACGCCAAAACCGACTCTGCTGCCTGCATGGCCGCGACTCCCTCACGCCACTTGACAACTTGACAGATCCCTAACTGTTGGCGCTAGAGACCTTTGCTTCCAAGTCGCTCGTGTGGATTGTGGATTATTAGTAAGACAATTGAGATGTGTCAGCCTCATGAGTAATTGGCAGGTGGTCGGGTAGATGCTGACGAGGAATCTACACCGACTGCGTGTCCCATGTGGACCAAAGGATACTATCAGCATCAGCATGCATCAGCATGCATCAGCATCAGGTAGGCATCTACTATCTAGTATCAGTACCAACTACCATCTCAGTTACTAGTTATCTGCTATCTCCGTTGCACATTGGATCCACGGTAAGACTCCGTGGGAAGCTGCCTCCAGTGTCTGCAATTTTAATAATAGTAGCATCCATGAGTGATAGGATCTGTCAATAGGTATGAAGTTAGGGTATCATGCTGCCCAGGCATTCCCGTGGTGGGCATTGAACTGAGCTTCATTGCAAAACAAAATCGCCACATACTTCGGACGAAGGACCATGGAAAGAGTACTGCAGGACTACGGTATTAATCTACAAGGACAATCAACTGATCAAATGAACCAATCAGTAGTATGGTAGTGGTACAAAAATTGGATGCACACCATTCCTTTCTTTCGTCCAGCAGAACCCCACCACGGATTGCTCCCCATCTCAGGCAGTGGATGAATGTCAGCATCGTGCTTGTCCCACCCAAGCTCGACGGCTGACTTCGTTGAGGGGCAGAGGGTCCGGTGGAGCATGGATGGGATGGAGGGGTTTAAAACGACCCCGGTGGACTTGCCTCTGACCAGCTGTCCCAATTTTCAATCATCTCTCTTCAAGCTCAAATCCTCCAGCAACGGTCAGCAAGGTTAAACACTCGAGAGAACCTCTCAACGTCGTTCAATTAAGCTCTTTCCCAAAGTCTGATCACGACATTCTCCTCCACAATGGCACCTTTCGGCACAATCTACTCCTACACTCCCAGCCCTCGGGTGATCAAGGTACGATCTTCCAACCGAGAGAGCTTCGCATCCACCCTAACCTTAACTCAAACAAACCGGTCGCAACGGCATGGGCAGTTTGCGCATCCGTCAATTGCTCGCGAATATACACATATCATCTCCAACCTCAACTCTCCACCGAGTTGCGGTTTTGTTGACTCTCATCTAACAAAAGAAATGGAATAGGCCCAAGCTGCGGCAAATCTCAACGGCCTTGAATTGGCCATCGCTCCCGACTTTGTCATGGGCCAGAGCAACACCACCCCCGAATTCCTCGCCAAGTTCCCCTTCGGCAAGGTCCCCGCCTTCGAAGCTGCAGATGGAACCCTCTTGACCGAATCCGACGCCATCACACAATACATCGCCGAGAGTGGCCCCGCGGCCGCCAGCTTGCTGGGCGCCACCCCGGCAGAGCGTGCCGTCATCCGTCAGTGGATCTGCTTCGCCCAAGGCGAGGTCATCGAGCCCATCACTCAGCTCGGCCTGTGGCGTCTCAAGTACGTCCCGTACAACGAGGCGACCGAGAAGCAGGCCCTGCAGCGCATCGAGCGCTCTCTGAGCTACCTCGAGACTCACCTGAAGGACCGCACCTGGCTCGCGACAAGCGACAAGGTCAGCCTGGCTGACATCACGGTGGGATCTTCTCTGATCTGGGGATTCTCTCTGTCCATTGATGCCGAGATGCGCAACAAGTACCCTCTTACTATGGCTTGGTACGAGCGTCTGACTGAGGTAGAGGGCGTCAAGCAGGCCTTTGGCGAGAAGATCTTTGTCGAGAAGCGCGAAGAATACCAGGGTTGAGACTACGCACACACGTCATCTTCTAGCAAAGTCTTTATATTGCCATGACAAAAATGATATTCCACTGCAAATGGAATGTTCTGACCGTTGCTTGTCCGGTGCTGAGAAATTCTAGCGTAAACGAATTGGTAATCAACTGTCGAGGCTCGCCGTGATATGTGGTGAACCTCGACCGCATAACGGTGAAGGGGTAGTACGACACACAAGAGAAACGTTACGCGAAGGCTGCTCAGCTGATTTAGGATCCTTGAGCTTGCTCGCAGACTTCTACTCGAGGACGAGATCGGGGAGCAATCGTTGGAGGAGAAAACTCGAGGCCGACCATATGTACATGGAAATGGGAAACTGCTAGATATAACAATACGTAATGATATGGGTATAGAACAGACACATTGCATCGGCTTGACCACTTCTAACAGCCCGTCTTCACAGACGGGCCATGCCATTGCGGTCGCTCCGCGGATTTCCCATGGCCTTGGCGAGATTGCGGCTGGCCCAGTCAGCAATGGCCATGTTCGTGACCATGGGATTCACACCACTGGCACTGGGGAACACCGAGGCGTCCACGACATAGAGACCATCGGTACCCCAGACCTGACACTGCGGATCTACCACACCGTGCTTGGGGGATTTGCCCATCCGACATGTACCCATTTGATGAGCACTGGCGAAGAGACCACGTTCGGGGTTCAAGGGGGATTTGCGCCGCAGCTCAGCAATCCAGCTCTGCAGGGCAGCGTCGTTAGTCCCCTCTGGCGCATCGGGATCGGATGCGTCTGGCCGAATGAACGGCTGAATATCACGGTAGGATGTGTGGAATTCCTTGGCCCCGGTGATGTACGCAATCTTCGCCGCAGCAATGATTCCTTCCACGATGTGGCGGCGATCGAAAGGAGATACAGTGTAATCGATCCGCGGGCGACCGTCGACAGGATCAGGAAAGACCCGACCTCCATCCCGATCCTTAGTCAAGGTGATGAAGCTGGTGCTGCGGCTCATGCCAGCAGCCCAAAGTTTGTAGTCCAGTCCGTCTCGCCAAGGGAAGACAGGAATATAAAGCGAAGGCATCATGGCGACACATTCGAGCTTGACGCCATGGCCATGCCCGTCAAGGTCTTCGAACTCGTTCACAACCGTTGTCAAAGCGCCCCCTTCCCAAGGACGAATCGACTCGTCAAACACTGCGCCAGCGCCCATAACTGTTTAAGATGAATCAGAGACACGAATCCGAAGGAAGAAATAGTCCAAAGTGAATTAGCAGGGAGTATCGCCTTACCTGGGTGCAAGTGCAGGTTCTTTCCAATGTGCGCATTTTTGATCCCACTTCGCAGAAGCAGCAGTGGACTGTTCAAGGTACCTGATGAGACCACTACCTTCTTTGCGTTGATGATCAACTTTCGCTGGACTGCCCCATCGCCGCTCAGTCCAAGATATGAATCCCGTGAGGTCCAGAGACCTTCTACACCAACAGCGACACGCTTCCCACGATCAAGCTTCTTGTGAAAACGCACTTTCTCTGCTTTGAATCCCTCGATGAAAATCGCGCCAGCCCGAGCGGCGTCGGCCAAGAAGCTTTCCGTGGGACCCTTCTTTCCTGCTGAGTGACATCCCAGCGTACAATAGCCACAATAATGCTCGCTGTTGCCAGTGTTTTGAGGAACAGCCTTGGCGGCATATCCAAGCTTACGAGCACCTTCCAAGACGACGTTATTCTGGCGGTTGTGTTCGATGTGTTCTGTGTTGACTCCCATCCGTTCACAAACACGATCCAAGCTGCGTTGAAACTCGAGCGAAGTGAAAAAGGGCAGTCCCGTATCAGCCCATTCTTGACGGACGTAGGCTTGGGTTTGCAATGCGGCAGACCAGTTGATAGTTCCACCGCCACCCCAGGTCGAGCCTGCAAGGACCGCCACTGTTCCATCCTCGCTGATTGTAGCGCCTGCATTCTCATACATGTTGATGTACGCCTCATTCGGATTCATCGGAAACGATTTACTGGAGTAAGAATATGACTTTTCGACAACCAGCACCCGCAGCCCTGCCTCCGCCATGTTTTTCGCGGTCACAGCACCACCGCAGCCACTTCCTACAATAACCACGTCGACCTCGATGGTCTCAGGCTGGCTGCCTGGGGGAAATTGCAAGAACTCGTGGGGGAAGCCGTCATTCGGCTTGCCATGAACAGGGACATGAGGAAAACCCAGAACCTGGTTTATGGTCGGACTGGACATGACCCATGACTTCTTGACAATGGCCGTCAGTCCTCGGTAAATCGCACGGAGAGGCGGCAGTCGAGATGTCTCCCAGCCCCGAAAAACCCTTTCTCGGACCGCGATGGGTTGTTGGTGGATTGGAGTGGTTGATCCGGTCAGAACCAGCGAGCCCGTTCGAGAACTATTGAAGGTGAGAGACTATCTTCTGACGATTGCGAGCTCAATAAGGACACTATTCAGCAGCAATATGACTTACTTGAGCGCATTCATGATTAACCCAAAGCCACTCTTCCCTTCTTCATGCACATAATGGCCGATCATTCGACAAACACATGCTCTGAACACTGGATTCGATGACGCATCTTCTTCAAGATAAGTTGTCGCGAGCTCTACAGCGTCGGGCTTCGAGATCAAGGACGAGAGTTTGGTCACAGCCGCATCCCACTCGGCAGTGGAAACGACCTTGTTTGCAGATGAGCGGCCTGTTGCAGCTGTGCGTACAGATGGAATGATTGTATCGGCCAAGGCAAATAAAGTGGTCCACTGTGCCTCTGAGAAGAAAGAGGCGTCCGGACCTGGGGGAATTGGCACCTCCAAAGGCGTGTACTGGGAGCTCATGTTGACCGGAATATCAGTGTGAGACTAGACGCTGGCGTTGTAGAGGATTCCTTGTTGATCACATGAATATGTGTACAGATGTGGTCGTCTCACATACGAACTACCGGCAGTAGCATTTGAAACTTTGAATCTCCACGTGGCAGGGGAAGCAGGCAGATTATCAAGTAAAATGAGGAGTTCGAGATGAGAAATGACGAGAATTCAGCAGCCCCGGATTTTGAGGCGCTGCAGCAATGGTGCTCGTTCCCTCTTTCCTTCTTGACCCCCCCCCCCCCCCCCCCAACAACGTCTGTTCGCGGATCGGCAATGCCCACACTCAGCTCAGGCAGATCAAAGCTAGTCGCAAGTCCGATCGCTCACACAGCAAGCAAACAACGACAAACTCAATTTTTAGCAGACGACCAGGGTTTTCAAGGCTATTTTTTCTTTGCGCAGATAATAGATGAAGGCGCATTGTGTCGTCAATACACTTAATGTCTGGGTTTCTGGAGACAATAGCCTCGGTACTAAGGGGAGGGCCGGCAGCATCATGGCCACATGGCTTCTTCTGAGCCGCGACGCAGGTCACTTTAGATCCAGCCTTTGACAATCTCGAGAGGGCTGGTAGATTTTCTTTTATTTATTTTTCACCTGCTCTTTCGCATGTGTGTTCTTCTTCCACCTGCAAGCCTGATCGGGGCCAAATTTTTGGCGTTTTCCCCCCGTGGGTCGGTTTGACAGGCACCGGCCCAGTCACGATGACCCAATCCGGGGCCGATCGCCTGGTGCGTCGGGGAAGCTCGTGCGGAATCGACCGAGAGTCCATGAGGCCGCTCGAGATGCAAGATGCAGCGTGGGATCTTCAATGATCTGTTCGTGATTGGACGAAATGTGGCTGAGTAGAGGTTATTCACGCCCAGACATCAAGAACGAAATGCTTCGTTCGAGATGCAAAAGGGAAAGTTTGGTCGGCGAAAAGGTAAAAAGCCAAGCCTCTTGCAATCAACTTGCGGAGAAGGGGGGAAGCAGAGTCGAGAAGATCAAGCCATTCTTATGTGAACGGGACCCCGACTAACGCAGAAGAGAAGTATCTTCCCGATGGTTCAAGCGGCCACTCTCGAGTCATCCGTACAAAGCTCATCTCCGTCGATCTAGATGCAGGCTCCGTGGGGTGTACCACACGACTGTTGGCACCATATCTCATGGAAGATGGTGTCACAAAGCCGATGCGATCGGAAACACTCGTCAACGCACTGGTTGTTGGTAATACTGGAGCCCGGAATATACACACTGAAGACGACCGGAAGTCGCTGCGCAAGTCCCCTCTGTCTGCCTGTTCACGGTGCGACACAGTCCCTTTGGAGCTCATAAGATCGCAGTGGAAGCAGTCGACCGATCGGGAGTTCCTGCCGGACACAGTTGGTAGAAAGTCCCCGATGTGGGTTTTATGCTCCCCATTTTCAATTAGACTGCCTTCGCAGCTTCCGTCAAGTGGATTGATGGGTTGGTATTATCGTTGGTGGCGCCGACCGTTCCAGTGGATTCAACAGGTGGAACCCTCAAACTGCAGGGCCGGGGTCTTTCATCCGTAACCAGTTGGCCGTAGTCGAGACTCGAAAAAGCCATCTGGGCATCAACAGGCTCCGCGTACTCGAGCAGCGCAAGATCCAAAAACGGCCGACTCGTTCAGCTTGGTATAAGCACTGCTCACTTGCTGAGCATATTCATAATCGTAAAGAGACGCTGGGTGCTTCACACAGCCGACGCGTGGTGTTAGCCTCAAGTTGTTGGGTGAATCAAGCTCGGAGAGGAAATGCGATTCAGCCTAGAGAGCCATAACCGGCTTCCCAAACCACCGCAATAAAAGTTTCTTAGACTTGTAAACGGATTTCGGCGCTTTCAATCTCAGCATATCACCCTGCATGGTCCTGTGGATTACGGGGCATGTAAATGCTCGCTTGCGTCCCCGAGGATGAAAGAGTACCGGTGGTTTGATCCAGCTCAAAGCTTCTCCACGGTTCCCGTCGTGGTTTAGCGTTCCAGACCCGCACGTGGACAAGACATTTCTGCATTCCACGAGGTTCAGCTGCTTTGCATGTGTATGTGCCTCCGGAAAGGTCAAACTTCCCTGCCCTCCCACTCAAGCCCGACCAAGCGCCGGTCGCGGACTCGCCGTCGTTGCACGCTCAGATCTCTTTACCGAACATCATTGACGCCCATCTCGGTATCCTTTGAGCTTTTCCGCAGCTTCGCAGCTGGCCTCCTTCGCGATGGCTGCAGACTCATCCAACGCATCGACGCCAGCCAGTACTGGGAAGGCCTCGGCGTGTTCCTTACCTCCAGACAAGGTCTTTTCCATCCAGATCGGATCCGAGCTCTTTCGTCTCTCGGGGGCCTCGATTGCCTCGGATGGTGGGTCCAGAAGCTCCGAAGCTCTCTCTCTCCGTCTCTCTTTCCCTTATTGGCAGTCCGAGAACTGAACGGATCCCCGCTGCTCCTCTAGCGCCTTCATACTTTTCACGCTTTTTCGAAGAGCAATTGCGGTTTGTGGACTCTGCCAACGTGCGAGCCCTCTATATCGATCGCGACCCTACAACCTTTCAAGACATCGCCCGTCATTTACAAGGTACATACAACACGCTCACACGCTATAGACGCCAATGACGAAGCCGGCGAGCTATTCGGAAACACCTCACTCACGGCGGCAGATGGTGTTGTGTATATTGAATGAAGTGTGGCTGATCTCACGCAGGGTATCACGTTCAACCGCGAGATGGCACGCAATTTGTCAAGCTCTTCGCCGATGCGCAATTCTACACATGTCAGCTCAATGTCCCCTTCCCCTAGTCGCCCACGCGCGATCCTCGTTCCGCGCAAAGCCCACAGGCAGGGGCTTTCCGTGACAATGTCATTCTGATGCTCCACAGTGCCCCGACTGATGTCCCAACTATTCGAGTCGGAGATCTTCATCCAAATCGGCGACCGCCACTTTCAAATCCCTCGCGACATCTTCTCTAGTCCTGGCGATTCCCCCAACTTCTTTACGCTGGGCTTTGGTGCCTTTTTCGCCTCGCCCACCGAGGTGTTTCCGGGTCTCGACCGTGTAGGTCTCCTGAGGCCTCCAGCGATTGTCCCCCCTAGCGTTCCCAATCGCTCCGCGGAGGTCTTTGCTGAGTTGTTGCACCTTCTACGTGGATATCCCCTTCACATTCGGAATGCCGAGCACCGTGCCGAGCTGCTTCGTGATTGTCGATACTTCCATCTTCGAGGCCTGGAGCAAAAGCTGATTCCCCACCGTATTGACTACAACCCATACCGAGGTCGAACCGAAATTGTCGTTCGTCTTGAAGATGTTCGTCCATCGGGGGTTCAGTACAAACCTGATCCTACAGGTCGTCCGGGAGCTGGGTTAATCATGTACGCACGTCCGTTTGTTGATGAAGTTCCAGCGGATTTGGTGCTGGAGATCCCGGATGCTTCAACAATTGTGAACCGGAGGCATTGCCGCGCGGACTTTTTAGGGTTGACAAAATCGCGTGTGGTGAGTTTGCTGCAAGTGATAGCCAAAAAGATGAATCTAGCGAATGGGCATTTTGATGCCAGCTCCCCCCTAGGTATACGCTGGGACAGAGCTACGGATCTAACGGTCGACGGAGAAAGCAATCCTGCCGGCTTTACTTTGTCACCTTCCGATGCGGGCCTGGACACGCCTCCCGCCAAGCGCGCGAGGACAGATGGGGCTAGCGATGCCAATGCGGAGATACTCCTGGTCCGAACTGGGCAGTGGCGATTGGGGATTGAAGAGGATAGCAACGGGACTCATAAAGCCGTTTTGGTCGCGATCAAGCTAGATATATGGACAGAGTCGCGAGTCCGAAATCAACATCAACAATTTTTGTAGGGGGACAGAGGAGGGGTTGTCAAGGAGGATATCTTCTAGTGCATTTTGGGAGTGTCATACGAGATGGATTGACACTTGATAGTAGCTTCTAATCAGAGAAGCCGTCCCATTCCTCATCTTCGTTCGCATTGTCATCCTTGTTGCTGCTGTTGGTTCCCTCGTTCTCCTCTTTTGTCTTTGCTTTCTTGCTGAGGTGAGCTGTCTCGGCTTTTTTTGACCCGGACTTGGTCAATGGCTTCGAGGTGGCCTTTTTGGCGTATTTCGTGTAACTCGCTTTTCCCTCACGGACGAAGCCCGCGACGAAGAATCCTCCGAGTCCCTCGGAATCCCCAGACCAACACCGCAAACAAGCCTCCAAATCCTCCTCCGTCAGTGCAGCCACCGATTCATTCTCATCCAGCTCGGTGCCGGTCTCAGGGTCACGGTCACGTCGAACACCCCGATGATTCCAACGGCGCAGACCCTCAGGCTGCTCGTCACGTCGAAGAAGACGCCAACCCCGCTCTTTGGCCACATCCGACGCGAGAACGCGTGCCACCACCGCCTCATTCTCGATCAAGTTGACAGAGCAGGTGCTGTATGTGACGTGGGTTGCACTGGGGAAACTCAAGGCATGCTCGACAATGCGCGCCTGTAAGTTTGACAGTTTCGTCAGCCGGTCACCGTCCACGGCTCCAGCGGGAATGTCATTTTCATCCGATGGAGCAGCGCTTGGTTCACCTAATGTCACGCTCGAAAGCGGCTCTTCCGAGTCGTCATGCTCTTCCGCGCCGCGCTTCCTCTTCTTCGCACGAGATTTGGCAGATTTGATCACCTTGGCTTGGGGTAGTGTCAGCTGAGGGACATCGTCACGGCCAACAATGCCGCTGCCCGAGCAACTTGGGTCCAGTAGAAGGCCGGAAACTCTTTCAAATTGGGGGTCTTCCGGGTCTAAAGCGAGGAAATCTTGGCCTTGGAGCACGGTCACCATGGGGTCGGCTCCAGCGAGCGACACCATTTTCTGGAGCGTCTTCGAACGCATTTTGCTGGCGTCCATTGAAAAGATCTGCCTTGAAGGCTTCCACTGTGTTTCCTGCTGATCGTGCTTCTGTTTCTGCTGCTTGGCGAGAAGTGATGCCATGTGAGTGGTCTTGTTACCGGGCGCTGCGCAGCCATCGACCAGATCTCCTGACCAAGGATCGTTGGCGTCGCGGTCGCCCAGAAGAAGATATGCGGGAAAGCAGGAGGCCTTGTCCTGCAGGATAATCTCTCCATTCTTGTACGCGGGGGAAATGGTAAAGTCGGCGCCGAAGGGGACGGCCACGAGATCGGGAATATGAGGATCGAGGTAGAGTAATTTTCGCTTCGTCCGGTTATCATCCGCCGGTGCCAGAGCTGCCAATGTGTCCACTTGCTCGTAATCCGCAAAAGTAGTGCGTAGCTGCTCAGCGAGCGAGCTTTGAATATTGTTGACTCGGACCCATCGAGGATAGACAAAATGGTTTGATCCGTCGGCTTCGCGCTTCTCTTTCAGGACTGCCGCCTTGAACTGCTCCACCGAGGCACAACCCCGACGAACACGCGCCTTTGTGAATTCGGCCTTTAGACGGACCTTGTGTCGCTCGACCGCTTGACGGAGGGGATGGGCTGCAGGAGCGGCAATGCCCTTTTTCGAAAGCAAGTGATCGTAAACGAGGAGAAGAGCCAAAAGTGGAGTCAACTAAATAGATGCAATCGTTCACCATGGTACTTTGTCAGTCAGCATGTTTAACTTGGATCGAAGCCGAAGCCGAACCCTCTTGATGTTGAACAGACAGCTAGATATCACAGGCACACACACACACACACACACACACACACACCTTGCGCTCGACACTAAGGATGTCCGATTTCTCAATCACGTCGGCCAGGACGCGATCCCATTTTGAGGCTTCGATAATCAAGGCGTAGATCTGGGCGGGGGATGCTCGAAGGTTGCGCGCATTGTAGATTCGAGATTTGAAAGAGCCTCCCGTGGAAGGAGCGGTCAGAATGGCAACCGCGTCAAAGTAAAGAGACATGATCTATGCGACCGCATATGAAGCTGTTTTTGGCGAAACAGTTGACGAAGATTGAGACTTGGGGGAGACTGACCGGGGGATGGGAAAAGAAAATATCCATTTTGGCACGATTGATAGCGGCCATGCTTATCAGGCAGTTAAACTCATTTCCTCCGCGGATCGTGTTTTGCTGAACTACAGACCAACCTTAGCGTACGCCGTAGACCATGCTTTCAAACTTCAATCACCCATCATCTGGAACGCTTATTTTGGCAAGCGTGGTCTCAGACTAGTTCAGTCGTTCAAGTCAGGTGGCGCTTAGCAAAGTGAATAGTGGAGAAAAGACAACCTCAGTCAGGTATATTTGCGCATAATTCTTGCCCTTCTGAATCTGAGCTTGAACGCTGATAGATTCCAGGACCCAGCGAGTATGCAAGCTTTGGGATAGAACTGGATCGGGCTAAAGATCAACATCAAAAATCTGATCGCCAGATACACTAGGACTTATGTGTACCTTCATCCGTATCATTCAGAGTTGGCTCTTCTCCACGACCTGTTGTGCGTAACTAACTGGTCATCTCATCTTCCAAAGCTACCAAGACACTGCTCCTTCCACCGATTAGAATTTCTGGAACCCTTTTGCGTCACCCACGAAGGCATTCTCACACAAGACGGACTTCTTTTCGTCGGCAGTCCAATCACTGTTCCCGGGACGGAGAATTTCCCCTAATTGACCTATCAATCTGATCAACCTGAAATGAAACTGGAGAGATCGACCATCACCGCAACAACATGGCATTAACTCAACCGTCATCACCATATGTCTTCACCACGGCAATCCAACCCCCACCAGGACCCTCAGCTCGACTAGTCATTCCCAGCGAATTCCTCCAGCGCACAGAAACACCCGATCCAAGTCTCCAAAGTGCATCTGCCATAACCAACAGCAGCAGCAATGAAAACCCGCCTGTTTTCAACGATGCCATGAAAGTGCGTGCGCGCGTGTTCATCCATGAACAGCACTGTTCTGTCGAGGGCGAAATCGACGAGGATGATCCACGCAGTTGGCAATGGGTGATTTATGCGACGGAGGCGCCGTCGACCACTCACTCGCCTTCGCCCTTGGCATCTGGTACTCCACAGCCCGTCGCCGTCATTCGCCTCGTGCCTCCTCCCCATCTACCCCATGAAGCGCTCTTCCATGATGATGCCGTGCAAGACTTTTCCAATGACCACGGTCTGTCCTCCCAACCCCTCCCCAGCTACGACTGGACCCATGAGCCCTGCATCAAAATCACGCGCGTCGCCGTCCTCCCTGAATTTCGAGGCCTCGGCCTCGGACGAAAACTCTTGGACGTCGCGCTAGACTGGGCCTCGACTCACGCCGAGGAGATTGACAACGCGGCGAGACAATTGGCGATTCGAGTTGGGGTTGGAAGTGGAGCTGGACGTGAAAGTCAACATGAAAGTACAGGTTCCGATTCACAATCTCCCGCGGCATCAATGGGGCATCGAGGGGCCGAACAGCGCAGGGATGAAAAGGTCTCCACCGCACCGTGGCGCGGCCTGGTCCTGGTTCATGCTCAGGTGGATGTCGAGGCGATGTATCGGGGGATGGGGTTCACTCAAGACAAGGCATTGGGGATGTGGGATGAGGAGGGCATTCAGCATGTGGGGATGTTTCGACGGGTCGATGTGCAGTCACGAGGGTAGGCCAGAATCACAGCCGCTCAACCGCTGGGTTTCTCTTTCGAGGAGATAGAACTCGGGCTGGTCAGAGGTATATACTTGCAGAAGGAGAAGAACTTTCGCGCTAGATTTACCGAGTCGAGGAGTATTTGTACCTAATCTCCATACAGAGTGTGATGTGTAATGTGTATATACAATCGATTAAAACTCGCATGTGGATCATATGGAACAACCACCTGCAGTAGAACATGGGGTCACCGCAGACGGAACTCGAAGCACTCCTCTGTAGTAGATGAGCCTAGGACGGGACTAGTAATAACTCAATGAGTACTGCACTACTCAGTACTTCCTTACTACTCAGTACTCACTAATGGGACTTGTTTCACGATCAATCTACGAAACCAGCTGGCAGAAAGTGTCTTGAGTTGCCCCGTTTCGAGTGTAGGCTGTATTCTACCAAGACAGAAGTATCGGTGAACCATAGCGGGTCACGCTGCTCGATACTACGCCACGTCCGTCTCATGTTACATCGTCTCGTCAACCACAGCAGCCTACACAATACAGATATTCTCTACAAGAGCAGGCCGACACGAGCGAAACGTTTGATAGGCATCGAGAATGTAAAGCCTTGAAACATAAAAGTTGCCGCTCCAGAAGAAAGTGGCGGGGTATCCTGAACGACGAGCACATCTCCCACGATGGAGAATGAAGAACCAAAGAAGGGGGGCACGGATGGCGGGGCCAAACATTCAAGCAGTCGAAAAGAAAAAAGAAAGTTCCCGGGCCGCGTCAAGCCGAGGAAACCGCGGCAGAAGAGGGCAATTGGCAGCTGGCCCTTGGCGCGCACCAAGTGGGGGAGGTTGGCTCGGTGGCATGCAGAAGAGAAAAAACAAAGAGGAACAAGAGGCAGGCGGCCGACCGTAGCTGATCCCGATACAAGACCCTGCAAGCTGCAAGGGAACTGTCGCTCGTCCGGAAGTGACCATATCGACGAGCTGACCGGGCGCATTTAGGGGGGAGGGAGGGGACGCCGACACGAAACATTAGATACTCGGGGGAACACAAAACACAAGGCGAAGAGAATCCAATGTCGGGAACCAATCAAACGCTGGAAGAGAAGGATCTGGACGATCAAGAAGCCAGGCCTCAAGGAACAAGAGACGAGGTACCCTCATCTTGAAAGGTCGAGAGCGAGATTGAACCCAATGGAAACCACATCGTCGACAATGAAGTTGTGGAGGGGGAAGTCATGAAGATCGAATGGCCATGCCCAGGGTCAGACCGGCTGACCGCGATGTTGCTATGCAGAATGGCGTTTCAAGAAGACAAAGAAACCCCCCCTCAATAAGAAAAGGGGGGCGGAAACAACGAGGGAACAGGAAGAGAACCCACTCTCTACACCACATGAGGAACGAAGTGGCGCATGGTGTCTTCCGTGTCAAGGTCTAGAAAGTGCTCCAATTCCAGTCACGAGGGACACTGGCCGCCACTTCGGCAGTCTGGCCGAGGTTGGGATTGAGAGCCGCTCGGCCCGAACTCTGGCTGGACTCGAGGTCGTCGGTCGGAGGGCTGGGATCTCTCTTCGCGTCGATGGAATTTTGGATCTGGTTCAACCGGTCGGTGCGGGTCTCCTCCCACCTCTTGTAGGCACTCCAACAGAGGTCACAGGCACGAGACAGGACGCCCTCGGGGTGGAAGGCGGCATTCTGGTCTAGGGGCACCATGTGTGGGGTGTGGTTGTAGCAAAAGACGTGGCCACAGTGGCGGCAGTGATGGCGACGGGTAAAGATGCCGAAGGAGGATCGGCAAGTGGGGGAGTCGCAGCTCGAGGAGGCCGCATCGGCCTGGAGAAGACGTCAGCAAGAGAGAACGAAGACAAAGGAGTCGATCTACACGACAAGGATGAGGTTGAACACAACCGGGAGGCTGCGGAACATGGGAACGCGTGACGTGGGACGAGGACGTGGGAAATATGTACGCAGACATCGACGCACGCGACACCGTTCCGCAGGAACCAGAAGGGAAAAGGGATCATGAGATTGGTTTTGAAACACAAAGGCATACTCACTTTCCAATGATCACGGGTGGGCATGCCAGTGACCTCACCCAAGTGCTCCGTTTTCATCCACTCGTGTTCGGCCACCTTGCTGATACCGCTGGACTTGCTCTCCATGGTGGAGCGACGACTGATCGGCTCGGTGTCCTCGTTCAGGCTGTCGAGGGAGCCGTGCACACTGCGAGGCGGCGTGATGGGAGAGGACTTTTGTGGGCGTTCGGTCGGTCGCAGCGCCGCGGGGACATACATGGGACCCTTGAGCGGGCGCAACTGACGGGATTGCAGCGGGAGTTGGTGGAGGGCGGCTTTGTCCAGGCGGGGGGAGGTGGGGGAGTTGTTGGCGAGAGTATTCGTGGAGGAGCAGGTGGGAGAGGGTTGACCGTGGGCGGAGATGGGGGTGACGGAGGGCATGTGATCGTTACCGCGGGCGGCTTGGCCGCCGGCGGTGAAGGGGGAGTTGTTGGGCGCGGTGGCCGCCATGGTGGTCGTCATGGTATTCGTAGAAGACGAGGGAGAGGGCGCGGTCGCGGTCGCAGTCGCAGTATTGGTCGTCATAACGTGGGTAGCCATGTGGGAAGATGAAGGGCGAAAAAAAAAGTGACGATGACGACAAAGGTAGACGCAAGGGGGTGGTAGGGTTAGACGCTGAAGATTGTTCACACGCAAATGGGAATCGAGAAGGGACAATAACAGAGAAAAGTAAGAGATGTGGTCAGAGAGATAGAGAGAGAGAGAGAGAGAGAGAGAGAGAGCGCACGCGCGCGAGAGAGGAGAGAGGTATGGGAGAGAAGTAGTTGCGTGGAGGAAAAACACCGGTCGAAGAGCACGATCGTGACAATCACGGCACAGAGAGCGGGCGCGCCTCAATAATTAAAAGGACAGCGACCCCAAGTGCCGATACTCGTCGCACGATGATGTCCGGCACCCAGCGACGCAGCGATGCGGCGATGGAGCGGATGGAGGGACGGAGGCACGAGAGGATCCGGAGGGAATCAGATTAGGCAGTGGGGGAGTGGAGGTCGCGGAAAAGCCAATGAAGACCGCGATATTAATCGGCTAAAGGATGGCCGATATTCAATGGAGAGGGGGGAAAATCCAAATGCAAATAAATCGCAGGACACGAAAAGGGGAGATGTGGACACGGGAACAAGGAAAAGGGAAAAGGAATTAATGGGGGAGTCAAAATAGAAGGAGGAAGCACTCAGAGTTGCCCAAACGGGGGGGGGGACGGGGTGGAGACCCGACGAGGATGGAATCTCCCACCTCAATCAAAAACCTTGAAGGCGGTGGAGAAGTCAATAACAGTAATCCAGATGGCTGGTCTGTTCAGTGTTCACCCCCTGCTGCAACAGTGAGGAGCCGACCCGTGTTGCGGTAGGCAAGGCCACACAGTCACTGGACCAACCACACTGTGAAGAACGTCGAGAGCAAGCGCAGTGGTCGTAGTCGTCTTCCTGAGAGGACAGGAAACCAGCAGAAAGATGGGTGACTTGATGGCTTGCTGGCTCGTGGCCGATCACGACGCCCGGTCTCCAACAGGACAGGCAGAGGAACGACGGTGGCACACTCCACCAGTCCACCGAGCCGGATCGAGGGAAGGGCACACGACAGGTTGGGTCCGCTTGAGTGTACAACCGTTACCACCGCAGGTACCGGAGTGAAGGAGCTGAGCAGCGGCGTTTCCTTCACTTCCAATCAAGTGTTAGTGTTCCCTGAGACAAGAGGTTGCCGAACGGTCGGATTAGGATATCCCAAGAAGCACCCCCGTTCCCGAAGGCGAGGCGCGGACCGGTTGTCGCTGGTGAATTCTGATGAGAACGGAGGATGGATTATGGAGGATGAACTATGGAGTATGCTGCAGTTTCTTGAAATATACTGGAAGGCTATGCAGTATGCACTCTGCAGTCTGCACACTGCACTCAGCACTGTATACTCGATACTGTGTATGCGGTATGCTGTCTGCTGTCTGCTGATTCAGTAGTGCTTGTTGTTGTGACTTCTCGAGCACGCCGAGACTGGGGTCTCGCGATGACCAAGACAGTGTAAGTATGTACGATCGCCGACTGCTTATTTCACGAAGTTCTCCCGAACAGCGCGCGCTTACAGAATATCTTCCAACGGGAGAATCAACGGGAGCGCAGGACCAGGAGGACAAGCTCGTTTCGCGGGGCCCGTCAACTCGGTGAGTGGTCCACCAGACAGGTGGAGACGGGTTTGGAGAGAGAGCAAAGAGAGAGAGAGAGAGAGAGAGAGAGAGAGAGGGACGAGAGAGCAAGGATTGGATGAGCCACGAGCAAAAGGTGGAGCAGCAGGCGAACAGCGAGACCGCGCAAGTCACCGTGCCCGCAACAGAAAGTAATCGGGAATCCACCCAAGTCCGCTCGGGAACTCGAACTGGAGCTGGAACTGGAACCGCCTCACCCAAGTGGGAACACTAGTGGGAGGAGAGTGGAGTCGCACGAGATGAACAGACGAAGAGCGCAACCCACCGGTGGAGATGGAAGCAGCAGCGAAGGAAGAGCCAAGGCCACGGATCATCCAGCAGGGCCTGAATCAGACGGAACGTGGATGAGTGGTGATGGGGACGGGAAAATGGGGAGAAGAGACCGGAAGGCGGAAGGGATGGAAAGTAGTAGACGAATACTGTATAGATCTGTCGAGGAAGAGAGAGGATGTGACGGTCGGCCGACGATGGCTGATCGAGCGACGGGGGAGGGGGACAAGGTTGAAATATGTTCAGGGAATCAATCCTGCTACGCGACAACCGCTAGCATTGACATCCAGACAGACGACTTCTACTGAGCCCGGCACTCAGGACTCACCTGCTACTACGGAGACTGACCCGGACGGTCAAATCTCTCCTCGAGGGGTTCAACGGCCAACTATCATCATCATCTTCCCGCGAGGCGGTCTACGTCGACGCTGACTCGTCGATCTCACGAGTCACGACAGGGAAGGGGGATTCGGGGAATGATCTGAACCACAGGCTGCAGGGGAGGGCTTTGTCCGAGCTGAATGGGCAAAGATAACACGGAAGGGTTGGGGATGATGACGATGAAGATGGCAAAAAAAAAAAGAGAGAACAAAAAATGCAAAGTGATGACCATTGTTTGGGACCCATCCAGTCAAGATGCGATCGCCTCGATTCCGGCTCGGCGTGTTGAATAATTGAGAGCCAGACGAGATTGACTGTGAAGTTCAAAAGGTGAATTGCGCGAGCTCAGACCTCGATCATGCTCTCGCCAATTGATGCAGCCGGGTCGACGAGATTTGACACCAGAAAAAAGTACGACAGTCCGGTGGTAAAGTCATGACTGAGTGGTAGTGGTACCGCTCACCTCGTCGACTCGGGTGGCACGCGGGAGATGGAGACCGGCAGGAGATGCTTGCATCACCACTGGCAGGGAGATCTAACGTGAGTGATTGGGCTTTCCCTCTGCTGCACATGGCCAGGAGATGGGGGATCGATGGAGATGCAGTCCTACAGTACTACTGGACCCGTGGAACGACAATGGAAATGTACACTACCGCACGGACTACATCACTGTAGTACTTCTTCATCCCCCAACCTTTACCTATCACCTGCATTCCACAGATCTAATAGAAAGTGGAATCGGTATGATTGCTGGCATTTCAAAAACGATCGCCCGGCTCTCTCGTCCGTCTTCCGCAGGCCCAGATGAAAGGGGCCAAAGAGCCTGGCCGGACATGACAGGACGATGTCTCTTGGAATCCCAGTTCTGTCGATCTTATATAGTGAAGAGTGTCTACGATGATCTGATAATGAGTCATGCTGGTTGATCCAATACATCAGCCAGCGAGGAGAACCAACGCGATCAAAGGGTACGTATATTCAGTGGTATACTCGGTAGTCGGTACCGGTACCTACTACCTACAGTACTACCTACCAGGGGGCGTGATCTTGAAAACTCCAAGACGAGTGTAGAACAGCGATCGGACGGTAGGTCAGTGTGTAGTTTGTACAGGATCGAGTATCTAATCGTGTCTGTGGGACATACTCACGGACCCGACACAGAGCCGCGGTTCCAAGAGTCGCCGCATCGGGTAAATCCGAAACGTCCAGAGAATGCGCTCTCCGACCTCATTGCTACGATAGGTGGTGCTGTGACATACTTGGGATATGACATGTATGATTTGGGCCGAAAAGCTATTGGTGCTACAGTACCTTCCAGCTAACTCTACGAGGACTATGAGACGAAATGATTAGACCTCCGAAAGCCAATCCATGCTCGCTCGATGCATTCAAAAATCAAAATTTGGTAATCGTCTCCCCAAGTCCCAAACACGGCTTGCTACTGTGATCCCCCTAGCTAGTGTAGGCACAGTAGTGCATACGAATGACCTGTTTCAGACCCGATTGAGTCGCAGTCCAGTTGTCACGGGGCGATAACGATGCAGTCCAATTTGCCATCTACATCGAAGGACTCGATAGCCCTGGTGAGGAGGGAGGTAAATTCCCGTGCATCTGTACAATATACCTCGAGAAGGCAAGTCTGGCCCTGTACTATCAAGATAGATGACAAAGGTACCGGTACATTTGGCCACCACACCGATCATTTTCTCCAGCATTCGACCCCCTCAACCCCAGGTTGACCGCTCTTTTGGGACTGAAGAGAGCGAGCGAGAGAGAGAGAGAGAGAGGCGGAGGCGAAGCGCAGGGGCCAGGGATGGGAGGGGGCGCATAGTGCGTAGTAGCATTCGAGACACGTTCTAACCAGACACGGCTGGATGCCGCATTCTGCCCAGGTTTCTACATCAATTTTTGGGGCTGATCATCAACAACCGCATACTTATTAAGATACTACAAGACTAATAGTTACCGCAAAGTGTAAAAGTTTCTTTAAATGGAAACACAATCGATTGAGAATCTCCACACAGACTACTGTACCACAATAGGTCTTTTCGTTCACAATTTTGAAAGGATGAAAGGACTGTAATAACAGACACGCGTACAGTGGTCTCTGACTCGTCCGGGTATTCGATTCATCAACTCGAATGTCTGTGATTTGATGAGATCTCAATCTCCCTCGCCAGGCGGAAAACCCCCCTCCGTCGGCGCCGCCACTCAGAGCAACGCAATTCATACCGACTTTTGACTTTCCAATCTACATGATTCACGCTACATCCCGCGCAAGCCAACGACTCGTCAACGGCCTCTTGCGCGCTACAGTTCTATATGTATTTATATGTATTTATATGTATATGCGTACATCCGATTTGCGCTGACGGGTATTATCTTGTCGACCAATCAAGCTTGGATTGGACAAACCTGCGAAGCTGTTCATACATGCGTTGCATGCTTAGGTGTGAAGATATAGAATCCACGACTCACGAGTAGATCGAGCAGAGGCATACGCTTCTCGAGGGGCCATAATCCCATTTGGATGGAGTCGAGGGGCATCTTTGGAGTCGATCCCTAGGTTCAGACAAACCGACTATTCAATGTAGCCGTTCGCCCGACGATATCTCAATCAGTATGTCTGGAGTATTGATGCAAAAGGGAATTAAATTAAGAATAGTTGATGTGACTTGGGACTGGGAGTTGCAGCCTGCGTCGTACGACAAGATCCGCGTGATTCCTTCATGGGAAGTCTCAATTTCAGGTCACCGAGTCCTGTCCGACTTTGAGCCTAGCGTCGTCGATCCTACGTTAGATGGATACTCTACAGTCTACACTTGATTGTGAATGCCTGTATTTCAAGGCTCTCGTCTCAAAGTCCACGGGCATTTCCCAAAGCGACGTTCCACGGGTCCACCTTCCCCGTTCAATCCTTCCATCCCACAGCACACTAGTACAGTACTGTACATACATACAAAATCTCAGTGGCGATGAACGTCAATGCACATGGCGGAGTACTTCTAGCGGCTGAGTACAACTTGCGGATCCTTCTGAAGGAGATCTTCCCCCAAAGTCACCTGCTCAAACCCCCAAGGGGCTCGAGAGTCGAAAATAGAAACGATCCAAGGATCCATCGCATCCTCGCACCCGAGGAGATGTTTCCGTTTAGGCGCCCATGGATATACATACATTGGATAGTAGTGAGGTGCTGTTGTACTACTGGTAGTTTACTAGTTACCGAGTAGTACATCTACATCTTACACAGTGTAATCTTCAACATCGGCTTCTAATTCATCTCTTAGATGCCCGGAAAAGGGCACGCCTAGACATCTGCAAAGCTCTACACTGTACCGACTTTTCTGCCGGCCCCGAACATTTTCTTGATTAAACCATGGCAGAGATAGCACATGTGGTATATTTGTACATTGTCCAGTTGTACACTGTACACTCACCGTTCAGGATTTACTTGACAGCGCGGACATGAGGTTGTCGATGTTGCTATCGACTCTCGCTCGTCAACGAATCGCATCTTTCTGTCAGTGGCTTACTCTTGAAGTTTGCCAAGCGTGTGGCCGTCCCGGGATCCGCACGGTCTTGGAAAAGTCGATCACCATTTTGGGTCTAGTCTGCTTTTCCTCTTTTCCATCGGAGATATGACTGGGCAGTGGAGGTGGAATACTTTACGTTTTCTAGTTCTAGCTTCAACACCAAACACTGTACAAACGTACGGGCAAGACTTGTAGTGGAGCCGGTTCGCCCGGTGGGTTCCAGTTCAAAGTTGGGAATCCCCAAATTCAATCAAGTTGATCCAAACTTGACAGGATCCATGCGCGTCAAGTCCAGGAGGTCAAGGTTGCCAATCAGCGGTCGCGCTTACACTCACCTTGACGGTCAATTCAAGGTTGCGGTAAAGCCTTATCAGGGGAGTGTGATTGGCTGGTCCAATAAATCCAGTACTGTACATATTGTATGTACAGACCTACAGACGCAGATGATGCCGCTACGAAGGTCGGGCCTGGCCAGCCTTGGGAGATCACAACGGCTTTTTGAGCAGATTTGACGAGAGGGCTCACCACGAGACAATAATACCGAGAAGACGTCTGTTTCGATATCCATTCGAGTCTAGACGTGAAAGGCGAGGATGGTCGGGGCCACAGTGTTGGATACTTCTTCTTCTTCATCATCATGCTTTACACGTACTAGGCGGTCCAGGTCTCCGCCCCAGCCACCCATTCTGAAGATGAATGACCCGCTTCAACACCCTGAGTAGTAGTACAATGCGGAATCACCGATTGAAATTCCTTTCTTCTAGAAGTAGTACTACTATAGTAGCACTGTCAGTTATCGAGTACTTTAAATTGTGCGTACCTCGCTTTATGACTATGAACAATGGTATACACTAGACACTACTCCATTAAACGCCCGTTTCCGAAGATAATAACAGGCTCAGATGTCTCTCGCTGTTCGTGACCGAGATTATTCATTGTGATAATTATTATTCTGATTGCTATAAATTTGCGCAGGGAGCTGGATGGTGGATTCGAGTGCTGTTGCCACCACCCTAAACCATCTGAAGGATCAACCTTAAGGCCATTGCCCAGTCGCACCACCCCAAATAGACCAGAGAGACCACTCCCCAGCGTCCCCACCCTTTTCAGTGCCTTCTCACGAATCAACGCTCTCTGGGTCCGCGGTGACCACCAGGTGAACAGACGATCGTTGACCCTGGCCCCACTTCGTCCTCATTTTGGCAATCGTCTAGAAGGGTTCCAACTTGTAGAGTTTCCCTTCCTCTCGCCTTAACCACATTGGGTCAGTGGGTCGTGGTGTCTGGTAAGTGCCTCGGCTGTCGACCGCCGCTCGGGACCCGAAGAAAGAAGTTCCGCCGTGGCCATTACGCAATTTCAATTCAGCGGCCGCCCGAGACAGGGCGTCGTCCATGGATGGGCGGCTTGGGGGGGGGGTTCCCTTCTGGACTTGAGTCCGTGAACGGTCGTGCCGGGGGAAGTTTTGAAAGAGGCTTGCAGTTTTACGTTGGAGATGACAGGACCTTCTCTCTGAGGTTGAATTCAACAGGTATACTTTTGAACCAAAAGACTGTTGAGAATTGCGTCGGACAGTCTTCACCTCTCTTTCTCCTTCTGTTATGGTCGAAATGGTCAAAGTTGGCGAGTAAGGTCTAGGCCTCGACATCAACTGCACCCCAATAATGGGGTGAATCACTCGAGGACAGGCTCGAAGCATGCATTGCATGGTCTCTATCTACATACATACCTACTTCATTACAGGCAGGTAGTCTCCATGGTGGAATTCTATTGATCGACAACCATGGAAAATAAGAATTCTTGAATCAGTGAATGCACATCCCCCGACTGGGCAACTTGGTATCGTGTGTCTTTTATCAAACCCCGGTCTTAACTCTTCTTCCATGGTATCTACTAACTACTATATCTGGTATCTAGTAGTCTCTACTGTAGTAGACTTCGATGCTGGCCTCGTTTGGAAGGAATGGATCGCCAACTCGACGGGAAAGGATCCACCTAGTACATCACTCGAGTTCACCATGTTCACGATGAGAATGACGTTTTGGAAATCCTCACGTTCAAACTTCGGTACGAGAATAAGTGAACCATCTTGCAAAGTTCCGCGATACAATAGGTAAATCGATGAATGGAGATTCCATTGCGATGGAGGGTGGTCCTGAGCCTTTCCACAAGGGCAGTCGCTAAGTTATTATTACGAAAAGAAAAGTGCATTTACTCCCACCGGCAGGTAGTATAGTCTGAGTTCACGGTATACATCATCCATCATCAGAAGTCCTATAGGGCGTGTTCCATGCATACCTTACCTAGTAGTGATCTCTGGATGGCGCATACCTCATTCATCGCCAAAGTACTGTACACTACTGTACAGTAGTTGTACAGACTCTTGAGATTACGCTGTACTCTGATTTTACCTTCACGCTACAGCCTGCACAGACCTCCCCACGTTCCGAAGCAACGGGCAGTGGCTGAGACAAGAACCAACATTTGATCATCATTTCGAACGAACCTTTCCTCAAAGCCCATAGGTAAGGTAGTACGTGAACATCATCCGCGGTCACGACCAGAAGGAACAATAAGATTTTGACCTCTTACGACAGAGGCGAAAGCGCTACGCAATACGTTCGCACTTTACAGGAGGGAATCAACCTTACCGGGGGGGGGGGGGGGGGGGGTGTCTTTCAAAAGGGCCATCCATTTTGGACCAAACTCGACTCAACTTGGGGTGGAAACCGGACCGTGGGCGTCATTGACGGCGGCAGGAGTCAACACGGGAACGAATCATGTCGGAATCTTGGAGAAGGCTGGGCTAGAAGGAGGCTTGGCACTCGGAAGGTCTCCGCACTGCCATATGGGCTCCTTGAAGGACAAGGGCATGGGCAAGGGGCAAAGGAGACCCTGCGTCAAGGGGGACTGGAATGGAAGAAGATGATGACGACGATAAAATGGAGGAAAGAATATAACCGAAAAAGAAACTAAATCATTACCAACAAAAAACATGAACTGTTGATCAAACGAATGGCACCCCCACACGGATCGAAATAATTGATATGACATGGTTCTTTGGACGAGGGGGATGATAGGCATCTCTTAGGGATCATCTATCGTCATAAAGAGAAGGAATGAAAGTGATGACCGCATGGACACAAATTTTAGTACTGTTACGACTACCTAGTCGCTAGTAGCTACTAATGTAATCCAATGGGCTGGCAATTGAAAGTCCATCTTGTAGGTGCACACGATCCTGCGAGATACCTATTGTAGATGAAATGCTTCCATTGCATATGAGGCAGTAGAGACTTACGACAAACACAACCCACAGACAATTCAGATCATCTTCATCCTCAAAATGCTCGTGTGCTTTATTGCCGCTAGGGTGCTCCGCTCATACACGTCCGTGCGGCGTGCGGCGTACGGCGTGAACGAGGATCAGCGATGTGTGTAAACAAAATGATCCATGGGGAGGACAATCATGACGTGAGCCTCCCGCGACGGGGCTCCACTCTATAAATGTTTGCAGAGCCTAGGCGTCAGCTCCAGACGTACGACGTACAGTTGAATCCCTATCGTAGGGGCGGATAATTGATCGAAGGAAGCTGAACAGCACCTCTGGGAAGCAAACCTATGACGAGTCCCGATCACCGGGGGGAACATCATCCGGAGCCTAGGTCGGTATCTAGGAATTGAACCTTGGACTCCGGCTTTTGGTCAATCTCCATCGGACCGAACGTCTCTTAGATCATCCCAGCTCTTCATTTGGGAGAAAGTCAAATGTGGAATTGACTTTCGAGATCCACGGCGTAAGCGACAACGTCGACAGTCACTCGATGAAGTAACTTACCTAGTAAACTAGTAGTCACGTACTCGGTACTGTACCTCGAACTTTCAATTCTCTCGATGTGGTAAGGTAGTCAATTGATCGCTGGCCGTTATATGTCACGTCCCGTGGCGGGGTGAAAACCTATCTTACATCATATCTGGAATGGTAGAAGTTGAACGACGTCTTTGTCAGAGCAATTTACCAGGATAATATCACGTGACCTAAGAAAGTGAAACCGTGAAAGTACAAGTCGTGGACACTTCAGACTCGTGGAATTCACTCAAAATGATCCAAGCGTTAGAAAGTCAGAAAAGAGCCTCCCTTCAATGATTGGGGCCTGATCCCATTATCGATGCATTATCGATAACAAGAGTCGCTTGATTCAACGATAACTTTATTTCCCAACGGGGGACCCCACTTCAGATAAGGATTGATGCAGTTGATGTACTGTAGTTAAGAGCTACTAGTAGCTGCACCTGGTACGTACTGGACGGATGGTTTTATTAAAGGATAAAAGTAGTGCTACATTGATGGATGAAATTGACACTGGGCGATAGATAGCTCCAGTCTTGTGCATGTGATTCGTCGTATCTGGAAGATCTGAAGATCTGAAGATCGCAATGTAAGAGACATCAAACTTCTACCCCGCTCATCCCCGGATAGTAGGTAAGTAGGTAGTAGGTACTAGGTAGTAGGTACTAAGGTAGTAGGTACTGGGGAGTAGGTACTAGGGAGTAGGTACTAGGTAGTAGGTAGTCCCCCTCTACTTCCTTCGTGTATACTTTCAACTGCTGAACACCCGATGTTTTACCGGGGAGGATATGCACATGCTCAGAGGAATCAATGGGCCGATTGTCAGCTGTCCAAGACATCCCGTACATCCAGCTCGTCTCGTGTCCATCATGATAGGCTGTACAGCTGCTTGCACCACAGAAGAAGAAGGTTAAGTCGTCTCGATGATGGCACTGACCACGACTCCCCTCTCCAACCGTTCCCGTCATGTCGTCATGACTTTGCGCCCCTGTACAACCCGACCAATTCCAGTACAGTCGCGAGTTGGAGTGGATTGAACGTCTGATCTCTGATGTATGTATGTCATATCGAGCCAGAAACAAATTCTTATCTTCAATAGTGGACGCCCTGGAATGTATCTACAAGTCAAAGTTCAACACAGTAGCCCTGATTACAGTTCCGATTCGTCCATCAGCTTCATCCTGGTCAACTCCGATACAGGTTCTGCGCAAACTCTCTCCTTTCGAAGCTTCAATCATCGTCTGCAACCAGGCCTTGATCTCTTCCCCCGCACCCTTGGCGCGGGCGTCCGTACGATTCCTGTCCATATTCCATAGTATTTGCATGATTTCGAACCTGTCCGACAATTGCCCCTCTCCATCATGAAACTCGCCGTCTTCAGTGCCAAAGCCTACGATCGCACCTACTTTGACAAAGTTTCATCCACACGATTCGCAGATCTCTGCACAATCGACTACCACACATTCTCCCTCTCTGAAGAGACAGCGCCCCTAGCACACTCCTGCGATGCAGTCTGCGTCTTCGTCAACGACACCCTCGACGAGCCCGTCCTCCGCGCTCTCCATGCCGGCGGCGTACGTGCCATCCTCCTCCGCTGCGCAGGATTCAACCACGTCGACCTCCTCACGGCCGAAACCCTCGGCCTCTTCGTCGCCAATGTCCCCGCTTACTCTCCCGAGGCCGTGGCCGAGTTCGCAGTCACTCTGGTACAGACGCTGAACCGCAAAACGCACCGGGCGTATAACCGCGTGCGAGAGAGTAACTTCAACATCGAGGGATTGCTGGGCATGACGCTGCATGGGAAGACGGTGGGGATCGTGGGCGTGGGACGCATCGGTCTAGCGGCGGCCAAGATCTTCCGCGGGTTTGGGTGTCGGATCCTAGCGTATGATCCGTATGCGGGACCCGAGTTCACTTCGGAGCTGGGCACGTTGGTCGAGTTGGATACGCTGTTACAAGAGAGTCATGTGGTCAGTTTGCATTGTCCCTTGACTGAAGGGACGCGACATCTGATGAATGGTACGACGTTGGCGCGGATGAAGCCCGGGGCGATGTTGGTGAATACCTCGCGGGGAGGACTGATCGATACCGCGGCCGTGATCGAGGCCCTCAAGACGCACCAGTTGGGCGGAGTGGCGCTGGATGTCTACGAAGCAGAAAGCGAGCTCTTTTATAATGATCATTCGGGCGAGATTATCGAGGACGATGTCTTGATGCGTTTATTGACGTTTCCGAATGTGTTGATCTGTGGACATCAGGGATTCTTCACCCGCGAGGCGTTGACGGAGATTGCGACTGTCACTTTGTCGAATTTGTCGGATTTTGTGGGCGGGCGCTCTTGTGCCAATTCCTTGGTCACGGAGGGACATGTCCTGGTCAAGCCCGATACTGCTCCAGTCAGGCTATGAGGAAGGGTTCAAGGTGCAGGAAGGAATATTGGAAGCTTGGTGTGATTGGAATTGCTTCGTGAAAGGTAACTTTGGACACAAGTATACATTCTTTCCATTGAGAGTTGTGTGAACACCAATTAAGTATCATATCAAAGTTCGTGGGAATCATAAAGATCAATGACGTAACATGGAAGTATTCAAGGCAGAAAAAGACCGATGTCGTTTCCAGGTCATATGAAGATCAAGCACAATAACAAAGAAGATGTGTGGGCTCATGTAGTAATGGGCGCCCCCAATTCGAGGCAGTTTCCTGTCTCACCGAGGCTCAACCTCGCAGCGGCCGAGTGGATTGAAACTGATTGCGTAGCACTTGCCATGCTCGAGGAATAAAGCGATGACCGTGGACAATAAGCGGGACTACCGCGATCAACCACATAAAGTACACCGTGCCCACCGCCAATCCGAGGCAGATGTGTTCCAGAATGGAAGCGAGAACTCCAGGCCGTGATACCGGATGTGTACCATGTGACTCTTGATCGTTCCGTGTGAGGGCATCCGCAATCTGCCAGGCCGCTCGGCGATTGATCTTCTCCCATGTGGTATCATCGGCGTACTGACGAGCAGATAAAGCGAGTCTTGTACGTAGTTGTGAATCTTGCGCCACTTCGCGCGTCAAGTCTGTGAAGGCATTGAGATCTCGAGGATTGACCAAATACCCCGTCTGGTCGTGACGGATGATGTCAGATGGTCCCCCCTGATCGCGTGCGATTACCGGAAGGCCACTCGCCATGCCTTCTAGCACGACTAGGCCAAAGGTCTCGGTGATGGAGCAGTGCAAAAACACGTCCGCTGATGCGTAGGCACGAGCCAGAGGAGCTCCAGTGAGAAATCCAGTGAAAATCACGTACTCTCGAACTCCGTTGAACAAGCGCTGAACCTGCTGCTCGACTGCTGGGTTTCGATTACCTCCAACAATGACTAGTTTGAAAGGCACCTTTTCAGCGGCCAAGCGTGTGGCCACCTGTGCGAGAAACTCAAACCCCTTCTCTGGAGCAATTCGGCATACAGTGATGAGAATAATCTCCCCATTTGGTGCGATTTCTCGGCGGAGCTTGTCGTCACGATGCTTTGGATTGAAGCACGTCGTGTCAACGCCACGACCTAACTGCACCAGGCGATCAGCCGGCGCACCCGCGCGTTCGAGATAGCTTCGAATCGCTGAGCAGGGATAAAAAATCGTATGAATCGCTCTTGTTCGAAACAGAAACCCTTGGACAGTGGCCAGTAGCCAGACTCCGAATTGATCGAGTGGAGTTGGTAGCATAACCTCTGAATAGGCCGACAGATCCGTTTGAAAATTGAGTAGCACTGGCGGAGGTGATCGCAGTTGGCGGATCTGTAGTAGCATCTGGAAGCCGAGTGATGCGGGACTCGCGAGGTAGATGAGATCGGGTTCAAATGTCTGCTGATACACCTCATGAATCTGAAACGGATATACCACGGTCAAGTCTGGATTGTATGGTAGTGCGCATCCTGGGAGACGATACTCCCACGGGAGGTTTGGCTTTTCCGAGTCTCCCTTGAAGTGAGGTGCCACCACGATGAGATCGACGCCATGATTGCGAAGGTATTCCACCAAGCTGCGAGTTGTGCGGCTCACTCCATTGACCGGGCCCCATGACTCCGTCGCAAGAAGGACCTTTTTTCCACGAAGCACGTTGGGAAATTGATCATGGCTCGGTTGGAAGGCCGCTATGAGTGGTGAGATCTCGGCCATGACGGTCAAGAAGACGTTGCATCATACATGAAGGGGAGAAAAAAACAAAAGAAGAGAGAAGGAGGCGAAGGAGAAGGAGGAACTATGAGTCACTACCTCCTACATGCGACAGGAAACCGGTGAAGAATGGACTCTCGTATGATTGATCGTGAAAGCGTGTAAGGGAGTTGGTCACGCTGGAAGCCCATCACCAACCTGACAATGGTTCATGTGGTTCTCTGCTCCATCCTGGAGACAGTCATGTTCACCATATCCCTTCCTTCACATTGCCATCTGCGTTGAAGCTGCTTCGGGATAGGCCACGATGGGGCACGGGCTCCTCGCATGGCGTTTATTGGAAAGGTTGAAAGAGGGTTGAAGTGTATAGAGCTTGAGTGCGGCTGGGTGGGATGTGGTTGGCTGACAGGATGGGAGATCGCTGCACGTGCCGAATTCACCCGTCGAGAGGGCTCGACAGCAGCGCAACCACAAAACCTCACGAGGCTTTGAAAGGGGCAAGTGCATTCTTGGAAAGTCTCGAGTACATGCAGCGTGCATACGAATCTTGCGGTAAAGTGCTGCATCTGGTGGTACCCGACTTCAAGCTCCAGGTGGCCAAAATCTTAGAGATCGCCCTGTGAGATGGTCGTGCATAGTAAGTATCCTGCGGCGCCGGTGGAAAAAGGCTTCTTCAGCTCTACAGCCAGTGGAGATGCGCGAATCCGCGCGTGCCCCAACGATGCGCTCTCGAGTGGACCTTTCGGTAGTATTCATTCACGGTATCGTCGTGATCGCTTTGACATGGTGCCGCATACAGCATCGGACAGGAGTAAACGGCAACGCAGGCGTGGGAGGGGCAGATAAGGATTGCAGGTCATGAGGAGCGTGTCATTTGGAGAAAGGCGTGCCGAGACTCGACAGACGACGCCGTCTAATTTCTTGTGCGAGGAAACCTGTGTATTTGCCGGCATCTTTGACGGAGTCAAAAGCAATGAGCATCTATTGCCCTTGATCATCTCGCACATCCAGGGTGGAGCTAGTCCTCACACAAGCCCTTTTCTTTTTCTAAGCCTTCCAGTCCCCCGCGGTATCAAGAACGATCTTACTTTGCGCCAGACAGGGGGCAAGAGGCAAAGTCGAGTGAGTGAGTACATCAACGATCAGATTGCTGTTCTCCTCTCAGCCCAGCTTACTCCGACCGACAAAAAGACCTCAAGGGTTGACATTACCATCCTCTTACGGCCAAGGGAGATATCTCCGTCGCAATGTCTAGCGACGAAATTGCCATGGAAGTCTTCTCGTCTTCTCCATCCGCGTCCGAGGGCAGCCTTTTCTGCGAGACTGGTCCCACCACGCCAAGTGGCAGTCCGTTGTTTCGTCCATCGCAGGACGACGAGATCAAGTTTGCCTCATTTCCGCAGTCACGCGATTTGAGCGAGACAGGACCACTTGAAACAGTGGTGAAGAATATCTGCGTTGTCGGGGCAGGCTATGTTGGTATGTGCCATCGTTGAGTGGGCCGTGCAAGCTTTCAAAACACGTCAGGAGCCTGACTCAGATAATCGAAATGCGACAGGTACCCCTACAGCCGCTATTCTGGCTCTCCACCATCCATCGGTAGTGATCGAGGTACTCGACCGAGATCCGCTTCGGATTCAACAATGGAGATCCCTGCACTTACCAGTTCATGAGCCTGGCCTGGAAACAGTAGTGCGCATCGTTCGTGACGGTGCTGAGATCAGCTGTCGAACTGGGCTTCAGAACGAGCCCGGTCAAATCATCCGCGGCAAAAACTTGTTCTTCACGTGCGACTCTGCTCGAGCGATTTCCCAGGCAGATATCATTCTCATGGCAGTCAACACGCCAACGAAGACGTTTGGCGTCGGCGCTGGATGCGCCACCAACATGACGGCTTTTGATGGCGCTATGCGCGATGTGGCAACTCATGCGAAACCCGGTGCTATCATCGTAGAGAAGAGCACCGTACCTGGAGGCACAGCAGAGCGGGTGCGCAAGCTGGTAAGATACACCCCGTATTGTCATATGAGAAAGTACTCTCACTCACTCATACATCTGCTTAGTTAGCGATCCATCGGCCAAATGTGCCATTCGAGGTGCTCTCTAATCCCGAGTTTCTCGCCGAAGGCACAGCCATTGAGAATCTCACAGCGCCGGATCGTGTACTGATCGGATCTGCTCCAACTCCTGGTGGACGTCGTGCGGCTCAGGTTCTGGCTCGTCTCTACGAAACGTGGGTACCTCGCGCACGCATCATTGAGACCGACGCCTGGTCGTCGGAATTGGCCAAGCTCGTAGCCAACGCCATGCTTGCTCAGCGTATCAGCAGCATAAATTCAATCAGCGCGATTTGCGAGAAGACTGGCGCAGATGTGAGCCAAGTCGCCAAAGCAATCGGAATGGATGACCGTATTGGACCCAAATTTCTCAAAGCAGGATTGGGCTTCGGTGGGTCATGTTTTCGCAAGGACATTGCGAGTCTCGCCTATCTGGCCGAGTCGTTGGGCTTGGATGATGTTGCTCATTACTGGCGGCAAGTCAACACCATGAACGAGCGACAGCGTGACCGTTTCTCTCGGAAGATCATTGACCGATTTGACGGCAACCTGGTTCGCCGAAAATTGGCCATTCTTGGATTTGCTTTCAAGAAGAACACGGGTGATACGCGCGAATCCCTAGCGGTCGGGGTAGTTCAGGTCTTGCTGCAGGAGCGACCGGCTGAGATTGCTATCTTCGATCCCTATTGCCGCTCAGAACAGATCGAACACGAGTTAAAGGCAGTTTGCTCCAAAGAGGTACCGAGTCAAATAGTGAAGATCTACCCAGATCCCTACATGGCTTGCTCTCAAGCCCATGCGGTGCTGGTGGTGACCGACTGCGACCAGTTTCGGAATACTCCGTCCCGCGACACATCGACGGGACCTGCTTCAATGCAACGCGAGAGAAAGTTGGGGCCATCTATCACGGAGAAGATAGGTGTACAAGAGACCAGGCGAGCTCGCGCCGGATACAAGCCGGAGACTTGGAGTCATGCGGGTGTTACGTACCACCTCCAACCTCAAGAGCCCTGTCCTGAAGATTGCAAGGATTGCCGCCCTGTAGCAATGCTTCCTCTGGCGGCCGAGATGGTCGAATGGCCACGCATTGCGTACAACATGGTTGAGCCCAAGTGGGTGTTTGATGGGCGGGGGGTGTTGGATGCTGCTGAGTTGGAGAGACTGGGAGTGAGGGTTGACGTGGTGGGCCGGCGAACACGAGACCATCATGTAGCGTAACTTTTGCAGATCGATACCCCGGATTAGACTGTTGATGTTTCAGCCCTGTTTTCACGACACTCTCAAAGACGTTCGTCTTTTTCCCCTGGAGAGTATACATGCATCGGTATCAACCACCGTATCTCAATTGGGATGTCTCATGTCGCAGCCGAAATAGCTAGTCAGTTAGTCTACCGACGGCGGCTGATCACTAGGGGCCACAGGCTTGATCGCTCTCAGAAGCCGAGAGGCTCACCGCGATGCTATAGGTTACCTACCTTGGTATTCAGTACTCACTACACCGTGGAAGTCACGAATAGTCCTACTGTAAGTTCATGGTCGGATCCCTGAGGCGAATGATACGATCACTTGCCATGAACAAGTCTGGGAAATGATCGGAACACGCCTGTTGCACCGATACCCGGCCTGAATACAAGCTTCTACAATCCATTCGGATCACATGTACCCGGCGTGTCTGTGTCCATCGCAGGTACCATAAAAGATTCAAAGTCCGACCAAATCCAATTCCTTGAACAGAGATGACGGGATCACTTGCTTTTCTTACCACTAGAAGGAGATGCTTTGGGCGAAACGTACATAGGCACCATGAAGAACAAGTTGATATCGCTCCTGATGTTCTAGTTGACTATCTCCTCGGACGACAGTGCTGACGGCAAGCTGAGCAGCCACCACGGAGATATGGAAATTGACGCGACCGTCAAGATTCACAGCTTAGAGGGTTTCAAGACTATAGGACCCAGAGCAATGTCCGTTGATGGCCACCACGGGTAACTGGGGGCGCTCTTCTCCCCAGGGTCGACCTCGAATCTCGGTGATCGCTTCTCAAGGAAAGCATTTACGCCTTCCTTGTAGTCTCTTCAACGGGCCATTAGCGATAGCCCGGCAGGTTCATCAGTGCGTGGACTCTAGTCACTTACTTCTGACCGACCATATGATGAAAGATACGCGACTCAAGCAGGTGAGCCTCTTCGGGGGAGCCTGGACCCCGCCACATCAGCGCGCGACTCATTGACGACGCCAGAGGGCTGACATTTTTGGCCATGTCCTCGGCCATTTCCAACGCGCGGATTAAAACTTGGTCCGAGTCGGGGAGCACCTCAGTAAAGAGGTCTCCGAAATACTTCCTCGACGGGGGATAAACCGCACCGGTGGTAATCAGATGCATCGCACGCGAGTATCCCACCAAGCGAGGAAGAAAATACGAAGCGCACGACTCGATGGTGAGTCCGCGTCGAGTGAAGACGAAGCCGTACTTGCTCTTCTCGTGGCATATGCTGCGCGAACGTTAGATGTGTCCCGTTATTTTAGCTATCAAGGACAGATGCTGTAATGCATACCGAACTGCAGCTGGTAGAGTCATCGTCATGCCGACGCCCACTGCCGAGCCTTGAAGGGCGGCAATGGTAGGTTTGTGACACCGATGCATCGCCAAAGCAACTCGACCGCCACTGATCAGAAGAGTAGGTCTTAGTGCTGGCGCTACACACGACTGGGACCACGTCTGTACAAGAGACAGTACGGCTCACGGCACCACTGACATATCACGGAACTCAACGGCACTCCCTTGACCATCCCCAAAGCCAACATCGAGATCCGATCCCGCGCAAAACATCCTGCCTGCTCCTGTTAAAACAACCATTTTGACACGCGAGTCCACGTTGAAAATATTGTAAGCCTCTGTCAGACTATTGGCCATCTCCGACGTGAACGCATTGTACTTCTCAGGCCGGTTCAAGGTAAGAATCACGACCGGGGTAGCAGTCGAAGTACCGCCAGGATGATGAGATATCTTCACATCAGGGAAATTCAGAGTCTCGTAGGACTCCGGAATTTCAATGCTGCATGAACTTGTCGGCATTGTCGAGTAGCATCTGCGAGCTGTCTTGCATGCTCTGTTGAAAGCATAGGCAGCTATTGGCAAGTCTCAATCGCGAGTTTCGTCTCACCTAATTGCCCGAAATATTGAAGAGACCGTCCGCCATTGTGATCGCGCTTTCGGACGGGCTGGACCTCGGTTCTTGCTCCGGCGATCATCTCATCCTACCAGAAAGCGGGGTCGATCGTGGTGGACTCCCATCTCAACAGAGCTCATCATCTTGTCAAGGCTTCCTTTGCTGCCATTATTCGGTCTAATGAGTGTCGTCGCCGATCATCCTTGTCGTTCAAAGAGGCGCAGCGTGTGTTCCTCTTGTCAAGATCGACGACCTTACACATGCGAATGCCTGCAATTGTGAGATCTTGACTCGTCAACAAGCCCCATTGATTTGCCCGGGGCGTTCAGGCCAAATGGGGTTTAGCATAAGAAAAGGCTTGTGAGATTGCCGTAGACCGCAAGCCAAATCAATAGAAATGTCAATTCAACCTCGGGCCAACACCGGCGTAGTAGCCTGAACTTGCAGTCAAACGGCGGCCGCTGTCTTTCACTACCGAGCAAGATTGGGGAATGAATGACCCACATCATCGAGATGTCGCAGGCTCAACTGGAGGTATTGGTTTCTCGATGCGTCAATTGTTCGAGAGGTCTCAAGTCAGCCAAACCCCTCGACCAGTTGAAGCTGCAGAAGAAATTCATCCTTGAAGCTAAATTAAGCTCTGCAGATTCCACAGCTGCGTTTCACGTGAATGAAAAAGGCTGAAGAGTGGTGGTGGCTGGGATCTCGGCGATATCCCAAGCAATCGAGCCTCGGGCCATTGACATCATGCATCCACCCAATTCCTCACTCACCCACCACAGCCGGGTCAAGCCGACTCGCTGATGATGAACGGCGCGACCGACAAACGGTGGAAATGTAAATGAGAGGACCAGCGATCATGGAGCACTACCACCAGATTCAATGTTGTAGTGCAGTACGAGATCGCTCAAGTGGGCCGCCTGACCTGCCTTCAGGGGAGTCGGGAGTCGGGGCTGTAGTAGTAGTTAAAAGGCCCACGTTTGCCCAGAGACACGAGTCCGCGGGTAAAGTTCCATTCTCACGTGGAACTTCAGAAAGGTCCAACCGCCCGACACAATGACCGATTACAACAAAGGTTGCAAAATTACCCTCTACTGGTATGGATCAAGGCGCTTCTGCTGTGACACAACAGACAAGCTGAAGATGCACTCACACCCTGAAACGCGCGTAGGCTCGAACAGTCCCGAAGCCATCGTATCCTTTGGCTCCTTGAGGAACTCAAGCTCAACTATGAGCTGAAAACATACAAGCGACGCGCCGACAAGTTGGCGCCTTCGGAGTTGAAAAAGGTGCACCCGCTTGGCAAGTCCCCTGTGGTCACCATCGAGGCTCCAGGAGCCGAGAAGCCTCTCGTTCTGGCCGAGTCTGGTGCCATTGTTGAGTACCTCTGCGATCATTTCGGCGACACGCAACCGTCGCTCGTCCCCGAGCGCTACCAAGCAGGTCGTGAGAACCAGCCCGGTGGAGAGCGCGAGGAATGGTTACGTTACCGCTATTACATGCACTATGTTGAAGGCACGCTCATGCCGTACCTGGTCATGTCCCTGGTCAATGACGGTAAGCCGCAGAATTCGCTCATCATCTAGACAGGCAACGACTGCCTTGTCCTGACTTGAGACGTTGAGAGTCGTGAATTTGCGCTAAATGTCAGACACAGCTGTTCGAAATTCACCACCCTTCTTCCTGCGCCCCATCACGGGCCTTGTGGCCTCGCAAGTGGAAGCGTCGTTCCTGACTCGCAATATCAACAGCAACCTGGCGTTCTTGGAAGAGCAGTTGAAGACCGCTCCAGAGGGTGGTCCCTACATTTGCGGTAAGGAGCTGACTGCAGCAGATATTCTGCTCAGCTTCCCCGTGATCGCTGGCAGTGGACGTCTCTTGAAGGATGAGGAGCAGAAAGCCAAATATCCTCTTCTTCTTGCTTATGTCCAACGACTGGAAGGATCCGAGGGCTACAAGAAGGCCGTTGCCAAGGTGGAGCAAGTGGAGGGTAAATTCTCGGCCTCTATGTGATTTCTCGTGTTTTCGGGGTTGGTGCTTCAGTGATATACCAAGTTGGATCATTTCATCAGATGGGGGTAAGTGAATCATTTTGAAACGAGCCTGTACTTTTTTAAGTGCCCAGAGACATACAGGAGTACGCCGGGCATTAACCGCCCCTCGCAAGTTCCATTGTACGACTACACAGTCTTCCATATGGCATAATACGTAGTCATCTGTATCTTGAGTCGGTGTTTTGCAAAGATCAAACTTTCGAACCAGTAAAAGACTCCAAATCAAGACAGATGACAATCAAGATCAGTAAGTAAATACCTTATCTATGCGTGGTTAGGTCATTTGTTGCTGAGTCATGTGACGTGTCTCGCACGATGGTCGAATCACGTGATATTGAACCTCTGATCGCTTTCCGGCTGCAAGCAATAGCGACGCCGTAGATACGCTCCAAATCACACCACAATCATGGCTGGTCCTAGCAAGTGTAAGTCCTGATATGACCAGAACCAGGGCGACTTTGCGAAGATTCTCAAGCTGATCAATTGAATTAGCTCTGGTCCTTGACCCGGCCCTCCAGAAATACTACGGTACCTGACCCCATCTCCGACCGATCTGTACTCTCTCCCAGATGTGCGACTCGCAGACATCCAAAGACAACTCGCTTGCGACTGCGCTCTCATTAGACATGAAATGGGATGATCAATGTTGTGCCTTCGTGGCATGACCTCACATCTGCGCCGCCATGCCTCTGATCCAGCAACCGCTGACCCGATCTTTACAGAGCTCAACGCCAACCGTTACAAGTACTTCCGCTGGACTCCCCGCCATGCCTGGCTGTCGGTTCTCTACATGGCCGTCATCCCTGGCGCTTTGACCTGGCTTGCGTTGAAGACCGAGGTACGCAGGATACTCTCTTCAATCTGCCCGAAGTCCTGAACAGCAGATTGTGGACGTGGAAGGTGCTTTTTGACTAATGACGTGCAGGGCAAATATGATCTTCGGGGCAAGCGCAAGGGTGACACGATCGCTGAGTGGTAGGAAATGAATAGTTCCTCTTGGCCAGGTGGAACGTTGATCCGGCGACTATGCGCCTTCAGGCTCGAGATTGAGAGCAATAGCACTGGGGAGCATGAACTGAGGTCTCTATCTTCAACAAGTGCTACGTGCGTCTCACAGTTGACTTTTTTTTGTACCCTACTATGAGCTTACATATACCGCATTGATTTGCTATCTTCGTTCGCCCAGATGTTAGGTTCACAGAGAAAGGAGGAGTTTAATGTTGACTCAAAGTTACCCATGATCGGGTTTGTTGACTTGTGTAATTGTCCGAGGATATGTCAAAGCGGATCGGCATTGAGAGTAAAACTCATTTGCTGCATTCCTCATCCATGACCCTCGCCCTCCAGGCGGCTGATTAGTAGGGCGCCCAGCCTCGTCGACCTCCACCCCGAGGAGCTCCTTCAGGCAATCTCTCTCCCCTCTTCCAATCCCCCATAGGAAGAGCCGGGGGTCCTCCACGATCACCACCACGGTGACCACCCCGAGGTCCCCGTCCCCCATAGCCATTGTCGCGGAATGCACGCATACCACCTCCCACGGGTGGAGGGGGACCAGGATTGCTGCGGACAATGGGCGCAACGGAACCATCTTCTAGAGGCGGCAGGATCGCACATTCGATGTAATCTCCAACAATGAACCGTGCGTCCTGCAGAGCTTTGTCCGCGTCTGACCCCTGGAATCGCAAGGATCCCGCTCGAGGCCGAGTCTCTGTGCGTGGATCTGCATCTTCATCGCCGCGGTATGGACTGTCGCGAGGCGCCACGATCACACTTCCCAGGTCTCGAGTCTGGTATCGCCCGCGCGCATCGGGTCCCATCATCGCTGCATTGCGCGCGTCCGGATAGACCAAGCGGAAGCAAAGACGAGTGCCCACGGGAGGATCGGGCAGTAATGACGGAAGTGCAGAAGTGAGAAGCTGAGAGAGTTCGCGTAGTGTGCATGACTGCCATGTGTAGATTTCGAGGTGTGGAGGAAGTGAGGCCGCAGTTGACGGAGGTGATTGGGCGCGAATGGCATTTGGCCCACTGACTGGACCATTGCGACGCGAAGGCTCGGGAAGACTATATTCGGAGAGCGAGTGGTACGAGTTCACCCGATAGAAGAGCTTCAAGTGGAAGGGGACGGTAGTCTGGCGATTGATAGTGGCCTTGGTGCCCTCTCGTGAGGCGTTGGCCATGACGGATGTAATTGCCCAAGGCGCGTTCGTAGCTTGAAACAGAGGAGTATCAATGGACGTGACGACTGGAGGGGAAAGGCTGTCAAAGAATGGAGAGACGCCAGAGCTTGAAACTTTGGATTATGCGGGTGCTCAAGTGCTGAGATATTTGCGATTGCGAAGAGGGTGAAAGATGAGCGTAATGGAAGCCCGGCGGGTGGGTGAGAAATTCCCCAAATGCGGGCGGAGACCGGAGCTTACAACCATTCCCTCTGTTTCCTTCGAGTCGATCGACCTCGTCCCCGAACCACCAACTCAAACTACGGGCTTCTCTCTCAACCAGTGACCGGTGATCGAGGCTCAACATCTTCGTCTGGTACCACCTTTCATTCACCAATTTTTTTTCGACACGGTCAGAGTCTACAAAGAGCGCACCCCCGCATCCCTACTCCACCATGGATTTCGCGGCGCTCATGTCCAAGGAGATTTCCAAGGCCAAAGCTCCAGCAACCAACAAGACTACAGAAGCCAGCCAGGAAAAACCTACACTGTCCGAACAACCGAAAAAGTACATGCGCCGAGCAGAAGTCGAAGCCGCGCGGATCGATGCCTATAACAAGGAACAAGAGCGACTTCGAAGAGAGCGCGAGGAAAAGCTGAAGAACAAGCGCAAACTTGAAGAAGAAGAAGCAGACCGGGCGCGTGAGCGAGAAGAGAAGAAGCGCAGGATTGCAGAAGAGCATAAAAGGAAGAGGGAGGAAGAAGAGGCAAAGAAGGAACGCGAGAGACGACGAAGGCTCGGCTTACCTGAACTACCGGCAAAGGATGAGCGTGGCGAGACACCTGCGAGCGAGGATGCCGAGGAAGACAACATCGATGAGGAGGAGCTTACCAAAAGATTACGGGCGCTGAACGAGCCAGCGCGGCTTTTCGGCGAGAACCACCGTGCTCGGCTGCGAAGGTACCGCCGATTGAGGAAGCGCGCAGCCATGGCGAAGAAAATGACTGACGGGCCAATTCCCACGATATTGGAGCCGGTACCTGGCGGACAAATGATCATTGGATCCAAGCCTCCCAAGGAGAAGGAGGCACGAGAGTTTCTGTTCAGGCAACTGGCGTCCTACTTCAACATGGTCTTGTCCGAGTGGGAGTTGGCCTTGGCTAAACGTGACGTGACGGTTCGAGAGAGTTTCCAAGGCAAACAAGCCCACAATGCCATGCTACAGTCTCGGGAGAATCTGAAGCCGCTCTTTCGCCGATTCGAGAAGGGCGACCTGGAAGACGGACTTTTGGAACCTATCGTGGAAATCGTTCATAAAGCCCAGCAGCGAAGATACGTCGACGCAAATGACGCCTATCTTCGAGTGAGTATTGGAAAAGCGTAAGTCCGCCGACAGCCCTCCTTTCCTACACACTGGAGCGCAGAGACAAGACTGACAAACTACAGTGCCTGGCCCATCGGTGTGACCATGGTTGGTATTCACGAACGTTCAGCCCGAGAAAAGTTGCATCAAAGCGACCAGCAAGCCCACATTCTTAGTGATGAAGCGACGCGGAAGTATCTGCAAAGTATCAAGCGATGCTTGAGCTTTGCACAGACTCGCTGGCCCCCGGAGGATCAGTTGCAGGTAATGGGATGAATGGTGCGGCTTCGACAATTGGGATAGCCTTTTTTCTTTCATTTCCTCGGGGGCGGCTGACAGAGAAGTTGTATTTATAACGACCATCCATAGCTACATTTAGTTTCAGCCAGGCGAGGCGAGTCATCCGGGTGCAAGTCTTCAAGTATTCCAGGTAGCAGCGTAAACTTAGCACAGCATTAGCTAGTAGCTACCAGCCAGTACTCGTGACTCGAGTCGACAGTCAAGCCTCCAGTTCTCGAAATTGGCGAGTGACCTATCAAGATCTGACAGCTTCGGGCGGCCGTAGCTGCAAGTCACTCACTAGTCTGAGACGCGAAGAGGACGCGCATCAACAATCAGTCGGGTGGAGATGCTCGGAAGACCACCCACCTGCAGTCATTTTGCGCTTGCGCGAGGTGCACGAGATTAGTGAAGGGTTGGAATTGGCATCTCTCGCCCGTGGCTCAGAATCTGCAGCGATGGATCTCGCCCGGCTCTTCAACCTCTTCATCGATTTGTTATTCGAGCTCTGGCCAATCTTCGCAGCCATGTTTCGCTATATCCTCTACGCGTACTTGGTACTAGGCCCTCTGTACCTGATCTACAAACCGCCTCGTCGGCTCATCGCCTGTTTTCGACGCCGATGGCCCGATGTGCTATTCTACCATCCCATCGAGCAGAAAGTGATTGCCTTGACTATTGACGACGCCCCCTCGGCACATACATCCAAGATTCACCGTCTGTTGCAGTGCCACCATGCAACCGCGACGTTCTTCGTCATTGGATCCCAAGTAGACGGCCACCGAGACGATCTGGTAGACCTTGTCCGCGGCGGGAACGAGCTCGCCAACCACGCCATGCACGATGAACGATCCCGTTCACTCAGTTATGTGGTTCTCGCGGAGCAAATCTCCTCCGTCGAGCACATGATTCGGGATATCTACCGACAGGCTGAGCAGTCCGATGCGCCGGAGAACTGGTTCTTCAGGCCTGGCTCGGGATTTTTCAGCACACGGATGCGCAAGCTTGTCAGCCACATGGGGTATCAGCTTGCGCTGGGCGATGTGTATCCGCATGATGCGCAGATTCGGCTCGCAAGTCTGAATGCGAAACACATCCTGAGCCAAGTCAAGCCGGGCAGTATAGTCGTGTGTCATGATCGGAGAGAATGGACTCTGCCCATGTTGAGCGTAGTACTGCCCGAGCTGCGTCGTCGGGGATATCGTGTGGTTACGCTGTCTGCTTTGTTGAGAGAGAGAATGTATCAGTAAAACCTGATGACAGGCGAATTTGTGTCAGATTGAGCAGCAGATGATTGTTGACCATCTTGGAGCGGCGGCGAATAAAACCTAGACATATAACTGGAGCTCCTCTGCCAGATCGCGTCACACGCGAGGTACGCTGCCTACATGGATGAACTTTCGCAAATTGATGTTAATGGATGCCTTGGGCGAGGCACCCTAACCAATGTGAACCTCCAGCTCTCACAAGCGATCAAGAGCTCCGACTTCGCCCATCCTCTGAACGGCACAAAAATATATACGTAAATTGTATGACAAACAGTGGAAGATATGGCCTTAGCACTATCATAGTCGAATACAATCTCTATTCTAGATCAGACCAAATCTCAAAGAGTGGAGGAGGGAGGGCTCCGTGCCCGCCAAAGTGCAGTATCGCGTACAGGTACATCGTCCGGTCATAGTACCCTCGAAAGCGAAAAAGGGGATGTTTTATTATGTACAACTTCAAGGATAAAGCCTCCTTATCGTGTCAAGTCTTTCCACATATGTACGACCGTCTTCCACCAGCTCTGCACGTTCGTCGGCGCAGGTATGGTGGACACCTTGCTTAGCAGAGTGTCTTCGCGAGTGAGATCGGCCTCGGCGACCGGGTAGACGTGATGACCGTCCATACCATTCATCGCTTGAAGTGACGAGGAAGTGGGCCGTGTGGAGACGGCGCTGCTACACGGGCTGCGTGACCCCCGATCACCGTCTCGATGCTCTATCAAACGCCCTGCCGTGACAACGCAACCTCCGTAAGCAAAGCGCACGAGTGAATCGCCAGTTAAACTGCCGATAATGTAAACGTCAGGGGCAATTTGAAGATTTTCCAGCGCTCTGGCGCGCAATGTCTGGCCTGAAACAGCCAGGTCGTTGTTGGCTTCATCATGTTCCAGTACTTCGGTGCGCAGCTCAGGCTCCAGGTAGGCCATTGTGCCGCGTCGCCCTGCGGCGTACACGAGCCCCTGAACTAACCGCTTGAATGTTGAACCGTTCTCGTGACGGAATGTGACCTCAGCTGCGTGATCCTTCATAGCAACTTCAACAATTTCCACGTTGGAAAGCCCTTCGTAGATGTCGTCCCACTGCCGGGATTCCAGGAAGGGCATGGAAGATCCTCGCCGAGCATTTGGCCGCTGGGATTTCTTCTCCGTCCGGCTTGCCAGGGCCGCGCGCTTCATCAATCGATACACACCGGCATACTCCGGGTAGGCGTGTTGATGGCATCCACGCAGCGGGGACGGACGGTCTCCGGGAGACCACCTAAAGACGTGCAGGATCTTTTGATGGGCCGGGGCGGAAATGATGGCGTCGGCGGCAGAGAACCCGGAGCCGACCACGAGTAACGGCATCGTCGGAGTAGACGATGTTTGCAGTACAGGCTGCAGCATCGCCGGGGGTGGAAGGATTTCCGAGAATATGCCACTGGCCAGCACTAACCGCTTGCAGTGAAGGTTGTGAGATTTGATGTAGAATCCAGTGTCCGTACGGGAGATCCCCTTGACGTCTTCGCCGCAGCGGAAGACATCATCGATCTTCACCGCGCCCGGATATGCCTCGAAGTAGTCCGCGATCTCTCGTCGGGTCGGTCGGGTGAACGGCGGAAGGTCCGCTCCTATCACGGCACGATGATGGTCGACAAATGAGTATCCCGGCAGGGAAAGCATCGCAGCGTAACTCAAGGTCTGAATATCCCAGCTTGCTCCATGTGGATCCTCCGTCCATTGGCCTCCTGGGCGAGGCGCATTGCCGAAGATGAGGTGCGGAATCGCCTTTTCAGGCATGTACCGCCATTCGACATTCGATGCGCAATCTGACACGTCCACGTCTAGGCTAGGGCGCACAAGAGTGTCTAACAGGACGTTGACAGGCAGTGCCTGAGTCGAATATGACAACCGAGACGCCGCAAAGTGGGCAGTGAGTGCTCCCACGTCTACGTCGAGGAGATTGGGGGCCTCTGTTAATTTGGCGTCCAGTAGAGAGTCGGGATGGGGAGGGTTCCGCGAGTAGAACGGAATGTGGCCATGAAGGATGTATGAGAGGATCATCGCCGACGGTCCATTGCCTTTTATGGGTCCCCCGCGGAAAGATGGAATGTTAGTGAGACAATTGCAATCTTTCGGCGCCAGTATGTTAGGCCGCCCACAATGGGTTATGACCATTCTTCAAGTTCATCAACGAGGGAGATCGACCTACCGACGATGACGGTGTCGGTCTCCATTGCGGATGGCGGAACCTCCGATTCTGCATCAACCCGCGCGGGGCATACTGGAGTCATGCAAGCCGGGCAAATCAGGAATCAAAATGGTTACTGATCTCGTTCGTGGACGAGCAACAATCGAAGCTGTCAGGTGAGAGACCACAGTTCATAGAGGCCGAGAGCAGCCATGAACCCCAGAAGAAAGGAAGAATGCAGATGCGATGTCAAAGTGAATGGGGATCAAGAGGAGGGAGAGAGAGAGAGAGAGAGAGAGAGAGAAAAAAAAGGGAAAATACTGTTAGATCCGATACGGCCGGGGCGGACGCTTCATTGACGGGGAGGGGAGACTCGGCGATTCTGGGGGAGATGCTCCCAAAAGAGGATGAAGTGGACCCTGGAAACCTGGCGATGATATGCGATTCCAGGGCCGGACTGGATCTCTCCCTCCCTCCACCTGCCAGAAATCGCCAGTTCGGCACAGACTTTCAAGTCCCCACGGTTGATCGATAGTTAATCACCCTCGAAGTTGCTGACAAACTGGGGTGATCCACGCATTGTCCGGAGCAGGCAATCGCCCACCAGGATTCGTGGTGCCCCGCGAGTGAAGTGGACTCTCGCATCACTCCCGTCTGACAGCACCATTACCTACGCATATTGCGCTTACGAGAAATGAGAGAGCTTCACCTTGAGGGTGCTGTTCTGCGTAGGACAAAAGGCGTTCCGTCAACCCCGTATGTGGAATGACCATTTAGGACGTGATGCTGAGAGACTTTCTCAATTACAGTCGGACCATTTTAGTTTGGTCGATACTAGGTAACTACTACTACAGTAGTAGTAGTAGTAGTAGTAGTAGTAGTAGTAGTAGTAGTAGTAGTAGTAGTAGTATAATGATAGAAGACTATGAGAGGATACTTTTCATCCCGTTTTTGGTCGAGTAAATTATCATGCGATTGTGATACGACTTTCGGTCCGACGTGTCTCATTCTGAGTGTGCTGAGGGTTGGACTGACAGGCAACTAATGCACCATGATAGAACGATCCAAGTAATCCCAGGATAGTTCCAACTACAAACTGCACAGTGCACAATAGGAGTAGTATTACAGTACCTTAGGCTAGCTGTACATGAGAACGGGTGCATGACGTGCATATGTGACTCAGAGCCGATCCGGAAAGCCCATCTGATTAGATCTCCTCTGGGCAACAGGAAATCAATTCCACTTTGAAGTCGGTACAGTTGCCTCCCCGATCTCTTATTGCTTGTAATTATTCGACATGTTCTTGTTCTCGAGATACTAAATACTTCGCTCGTCGGTGTCGTGCTGCTTCCGATTCGAGTATACCAGCCTGCCAGTAGTGTTGCATACTTGCATAGTAGCTATCTGGAAATCATGACTGACTTCAAAAGTTCAACCCCATATATAGGGAGGTCAGTATGGAGTCCACACAAACGACTGGTGTAGTGCAAGTAAGTAAGCTTGGGGCACTCTACACCTTCGTGAACCAGTCATGAGTTGGGGCCGCGAGAATCGCAGTAGGATTCGTACTATTGCTGTTACCACTTTCTTGCTGTCCTTGACCCAAGTATGTAGTAGCGCAATAGAGCTACCAAGTTAGGTAGGTTCATGTTGAACTGTTTCATTGCTGACTGTCCAGTGTCCAGTCTCTTGTTCAGCCCTAAACCCTACTGTCCCGATGCAGTACTCAGTACTCACCGCGGAAACAGCGCCAGTTGGCAGATTGCGCGGCTAAAGCTATAGAGGGGTGCTCCCAATTAACTCCGGAAAGGTCCAGACCAGACTCCAGAGTCATGCCGACGGGAGCCTCAACTCAAGGATCTCGTGGTTCCTGGGACTCCCGCAAAGTCATCTCCAACGATCCACGGCCCACTCGTCAACAGCCCTATGATTCCCTACATTGACGTCTGACGGTCCCTTCGATCTTGATCGTGCGATCATGTATCATCTGGCCAAGTCCCTGTACACCTACGCGACGAGCAAAGAAGGTATGGTGACACTGTCAACCAATGTCCCCCCCCCCCCACCCTCTTCGCGATTCTGCACCCGAGTAGACCCTCAACACTTCGCAACCATCCCGTCTCCATGCTTACTCAACCCCTTCTCTCGCTCGTCTCGCTCGTATAGAATACTCCGTCCTTCTCCTTGGTCTGGATAACGCCGGCAAGACCACGCTTCTCTCGCAGATCAAAGCCCTCTACCAACCCCGTTCAGATGGGGCACCCGCCCCCGACCCCGGCAAGACGGTCCCCACGGTCGGTCAGAATGTCACTACCATCTCCCTCTCCGACATGAACCTGAAGATCTGGGATGTCGGCGGTCAGATCTCCATGCGCGGTCTCTGGCAAAGTTACTACTCCAGCTGCCATGCCATCATCTTCGTTGTGGATAGTACCGACGTCGGCCAGGACCCCGATATCTCTCGTCTCGCTTCGGTATCCGGCCGCCAACCCAGCATGAGTGCTGGGTCGGGCCCTGCACGCGGCAGCGTGAGTGCAGGCGATCAGTTCTCCGAGCAAGCCATTGGAATCAATGCGACCGGCAGTGATTTTGGCCGATTGGACGAATGCCGACAGGTTTTGGAGTCGGTCCTGCAGAACGACGCGGTCGCCGGTGTGCCCATCTTGGTGTTGGCCAACAAGCAAGATCGGGAAGATTGTGTGGAGGTCGTGCGCATCAAGGAAGGGTTCGTGCGCAAGGTGTTTGAGGGCGACAAGGGGAGTCGGATTCGAGACAGTCGTGTGCTGCCGGTCAGCGCCTTACTTGGATCGGGGGTCCAGGCTGCCGTGGAATGGGTGCAGAGTCGTGTGCGATGGAACAAAGAGGGTCGCCCCCCAGTAATGCGGTAATCCTGTGGATCTCTTCATGGACAGAAGGTCGAAAAGGGGACCCAAGGAGTTGCATCTTCCAGAAGATAGAAGCGATGTGCTGAGCATGCACGGCTTTCAATTTCATCGTCATTGCTGGGCGCGGTCATGATCGATCGAGTTGCTGATCTGAGAGCCCTACCCGGGATGTCTCGTAACATAACGATAGATACTACTTTTGCGCGTTTATACTGATTCCCACGGGCCTTGCAATGAGATCCACCCTGTACTTCCAGATATCAATCCATACTTGGTGTCTGCCACATCCCGCGTCTAACAAAGTACCTACCTTATTGTGCCTACGTCGAACCGACTCCAAATGTGATCACCTGTCCGATACAGAGCCTCGCCCTTGAACAATCTCAAGATTCCAGTTTCAAATGGCTATTCTAAAGATCACGGTTGCATAAATTAGATCTGATCGCTACTCCAGATGCTGACCCACTGCTCCGATGGCCCGCCGCCACGGGTCTCGGTTCCTCCAATGAGATCGGATACCTTCAAGAACGAAGCATACTGATGCATTCGCTCGCAGGATCCAACTCAGCGGAAACAGGAAAGAACAGACAGAAACATCATCTTGACCAGGATACTATCGATCAGAATGTCTCCACATAGCCCCCAAAAAGAGCGATCTTCGTTTGGAACATCACGACTGCTTCGGATGATCCACTGATGACTCTCATCTCTTCTCCCTTATCTCTTAGCTCTTCCTTCCTGTAGGTGTCTCCCGAGTGCTTGCCTGAGACCGAACCCACATCAAACGATGACATGACTTGAGAACCAAAGCGTCGGGGCCGTAGAGTCCAAGTAATCCTGGTAGCTTCCCACGCGACTGACATCTTCGAGCTTGGACATAGCTACCTTATGTACAGAAGTAGTATTTCGCATGAATGAAGTCAGAAACGCTGAATGTGACGTCACGTTCTTTGGTATACAACGCTTCAATGATGCTTCACTACTGTAGGCGGTAGGAGTCGGAAGTCACTGACATGTATGCATAAGTATAAAGCATTACAGACGCGGAGGCGAAGCAAGTCTTCCTTACAACATCTCATACTCAATAACAATTCATCTACATATCCTCATTTGATTCATCTGTCCAACATATTCTTCAAGTCACCAAGAATCAATCCCAACCTCAAGTCAACTTACGTCCTCGAACTATCAAAAGCAATCCATCATGAGCACTTTGAACAACGCCGATTCCGTCACCAACCAGGGTGCCTTCAAGCCCTCCGTGGCCCCGGAAGCTCCACTCACACAAAAAGGCGTAAGTCTTGAATCAAACTTGCGCATCACAGCCTCTCAAGAACCAAACAGAACCACTGAAATTAACCTCCATACTCCTCCATCAGCACCAGGTCGGCCGGAAAGTCAACGAGGCCGACCAGCGTTCAGAATTCCACATGGAAAAGCACCCTCTCGGCACCGCACCCGCCGGCAACTCGTACTCGGCCAACGCACAGGGTGAAGTCGGTAGCCAGGCCGACAATCCGGCCGTCATGCCTTCCGACGACAAGGAGGGCGTCTACACCTCTGCCGCCGACACCATGACTGGATCCACATCCGCAGACCTTCACACAGGCATGGGCAAGCCCATCAGTGGCCAGACTAGCTCAGAGCTCGCCCACGACGGTGCACATGGCCGCAAGAAGCAGGGATCCGGTCTCGAGGGCGTGGGCTCGTCGATGGATGACCGAAGTATCGAGCGCGACATGCCTAACCAGCGTGGCTTGGAACGTGAACAGAATGTCAGCGGCCAGCGTGGAAACAAGGCGGATCGTTCTGCGGCGGATATGCGTCCAGAGTCTGCTGAGACCGTGGCTGCTGAATGGAAGTATGAGCCTAGCACTAAGCGTTGAGGTGTTCTCGATACAATGTGACGAAATCAAGCAAGACATGAAACGATATCTACCAAGCTTGTTGCACGGTATGACAATGTAGATGAAGTAAATTTCGCTCGTAGTGGTATGGACACATGCCGCTGTGAGTAACAGGAAGGCGGGAAGGCAGGTCTCACTATTGAATACCTGATATTTATCAGGTAGACGTCGCAAAAAATATGTACAACCGGTTTTGCTCCTAAGTTGCGGCCGTCGGGAAACCGTTGATTTTGTGAGTTCTCATCATTGATCCCTGCGCCCCCCGTTTGATGAGTGGGATTTGTCCGCTGGGGGCTTTCTCGGCCAGCTGCGAGCAATATCGATATTGGCGCGCGGAAACCACATCTCAAGAAACACGTAGATGAGAAAGTCAATGACAACACAAAAGCAAAACAGCTTGCCGGCCCAGACACCACAGCCGTAATATCGCTTCAGTCGATCAATGAGGGCAAAACTGCGCACTCGATCCCCGCTGACCTCCCAGCCTTGACCGGGGTAGTAACCATAGAACTCCTCGGGGCTGATATCGCCGGTAATGCCCTTATAGACTCTCTCCGTTCGTTCAGCGACATCTCTCCACGAATACATCATCTTCACCTGATCGTGGAAACGATCGGTTCGGACCTTGTTTGAACGTAAAGCAGCAATAGCCTTGCTGGTGGCAACCACAAGATCGTCTTCTTCGGGCTTGGCAAAGGTGGTCATGTGCTGCGGCAACACTTCAGGAATGCCGCCGACCCGCGTACAGACCACATAGAGACCGCAACTGGCAGCTTCAACAATCACCGTGCCGAACGCCTCTGTCAAGCTGGGATGCAGGTAGATATGTCCACGCACCATGACGTCTCGAACTTCTTCATGACGAACCGAACCCAGCATCTCAACCTTGTCTTGCAGAACATTGCGTTCCAGCATTTGCTCCAAGTCGATAGCCTTAGGTCCAGAACCAGCAATGATGAACCGCGTGTTAGGGTTCAATGCCAAGATACGAGGTATCGCGGCAATGAGCAAGTCGGTTCCCTTGTTGTAAAAAAGCCGTGAAATGACCACAATGGTGATGGTATCGTCCGGGCCAATTGGTGCAGGTTGTGGCCGTTGATCGATTGGGGACATGGCACCCTGGTCCGCTGCTCGAGAATCGTTTGACAATGGGCGAAAGTTCTCAGCTACTACCGCGTTTGGAATCACCGAGACCATGAGAGGGTCCAAAGATGCTCGAAGCACAGTGTTCTCCTTACTTTAATAGGTCAGAGAAGCGGGAGGAAGTATGTGTTGTAGGAACTCACCAAGTATGGCTGACACAGATCGCATGGTCCACATCACTCAAAGTAAATTTGAGCAGCTTATTTGTCAAGATTGACGCAGCATCCGCAAAGCCAAATAGTGAGTGATCGGTAAAGACTGTTCGTAGGCCCATCGTACGCGCGTGGAGGATGGCTTCTCCACAGAAGCTACTGAGACTGGCATGGCCGTGCACAATTTCAATCTGTTCGCGAATGACGATGTTGCGGAAGATGGGGAAGAATGAGAACACAGTCGGAAAGGTTGTTTCTCGGTAAATGACGAAGAAAGGAACGTGGTAGATCTTCAGGCCATTGGTCAAATAGCGAACTCCTGTTCGGTCTTTGTAGGCATGTGTGATGATGATGACTTTATGCCCACGGTCGATAAGTTTCTAGGGAGATATTAGTGCCGATAGGTATGGATGTGGTGAACAGCCGAGGTCTTCGTACCGACGATAGCTGATAGATGTGACTTTCGATTCCACCTTGAATCCAAATTAGCAAAGGCTCACATGTCACAGAGTAAAAATAAAAAAAATATCAACTCACCTGATTGAGGGAAAAAAAGTCACTGACCATGCTATCGCATACAACTTGCTAATCAGTGTCTCGAGCGGTCGTGCGGCGTCGCGGTCCCCTGAATAGTAGTGGGTACTCACGCAATGTTATACGGCATTGTGAGAATTTAGTCGCGGCCAATCGAAATGAGACAACACAGCGGTATCTCTGAAGTGTTTCACTCTGCCCATGGCGACAGGGTCAAGATATTCATTCAGTCATGAACAGGCCGGCCGCTAGTTATCACAAGCACGACTTGCTAAGAGCTTAAGCTTAAACTGGCTTGGCATACAGTGAAACGGAGAGCAAGGGGCGGTCAACAGGGCGGTAAGGTGAGCTTCGGTGTAATGCCGGCATGGTGGAGAAAAAAAGCGCCCACTAGAATTAGACTGCAGCAACAGCAGCGCTTCCGAGAAATTCGAAGGCCAATGGTCAATTCGAAGAACGAATCCAGATCTTCAAAAATGGAATCCCCTGCGAAGTCATCAAAGGCTCACAAGCGAAAGCGAGGCCTCGAGACCTCCACTGCCAATACCTCTACCCCACTCACGAAATCCAAGAAGCGCGACAGTCTATCCTCTGCGGTATCGCCCACTGATGGAAGCACAACTAAGCGCAGACGCTTGAAGAATGCACTGGAGGGGAGCGACGTGGAAACTATGGCTCAGAAGTCCAATCGCTCTCCCAAGGAACGCAAGAAGGACCGCGCCACAAAGTCAGAGAAAGATGGCTCGAAAGCCAAGTCCAGTAAGGTTGTGAAAGCGGACAATTCCTCGTCCGAGTCCTCCGAAGACGAGGGACGTCGTCGCAAGTCCTCGAAGGAAAAACACGCTAGCATTTTGTCCAAGTTCGAGCGGACAAAGCAAGCTGCTAGCGCAAAGCAAAAGAAGGTTGAAGACAAGACAGAGGCGCCAGCCGAATTAACCGCAGAGCCTGTCATCGCAAAAGGCCTCGAGCCGCTACCACAGCCAGAAAATCCACCTGAGATTTACGAGGCGCCCACATATTCCTCCCTGCCGCCGTGGCTCGCGAATCCCTTGCAAACACCTGCCAGCGAACGAGCCGCTTTCTCCGAGCTTGGTATTAAACCGGAATTGCTGCGGATTCTCCAGCAACACGGTTACAAAGACGCATTTGCTGTGCAGAAGGCTGTCATCCCCCTCCTACTGAAAGGCAAGAATCATCATCCTGGTGATCTTTGCGTGAGTGCTGCCACTGGATCCGGAAAAACTTTGTCATATGTTCTTCCTATGGTCACGTCCCTCACCCCTCGGCCTTCTTCGCGACTACGGGGTCTGATCGTCGTTCCAACGAGAGAACTTGTTAAGCAAGCTCGTGACGCATGTGAACTATGCGCTTCGGGGTCTCGCCTCCACATTGGAAGTGCAGTGGGCAATGTGGCGATCAAGGAGGAGCAGAAGATCCTTATGCGTGTTGACCAGGTTTACAACCCGGCCACTGTCGAACAACGACAGAAATCCGGATTGCAAGGCAATGACTGGATGGACTTTAACTTGGAGGACTGCGTGAACGAAGCTTTGGATACAGATGGCTTTTTGCCCGGTTATGTTCAGCGAGCTGAGCCAAACGTCGACATTCTTATTTGCACACCCGGCCGTCTGGTCGATCATATCCGATACACGAAAGGCTTCACCTTGAAGCACTTGGAGTGGCTTGTTATTGATGAAGCTGATCGGTTGCTCAACGAGAGTTTCCAAGAATGGGTTGATGTGATTATGGGATCACTCAACTCACGTCAAGCACCCGACACTTTTGGGCCTGGCGGTCAACTTCTCCATGACCTTAGGCTATCTATTGATACTCACCCCCCTCGAAAGGTGATCCTGAGTGCCACAATGACTCGCGATATTACCAAGTTGAATTCCCTTCGTCTTGATAACCCGAAGATGGTCATAATTGGCGCCGAGAAAAACACCGGAGCAGAGGAGGCCTCTGCATCTCACGCCGATGCCGATTTCACCCTGCCGTCCACCTTGCATGAGCACGTCATTCCTGTTGATGATGCGTCTCAGAAACCGCTGTATCTTTTGCAATTACTTCTGGAGCACATCAAGATTGACACGAATAAAGTCAAATCGATCGTTCCCAGGGCCAAAACTTCGCCTTCCGACTCCGAAAGCACTAGCTCGGACGACACTAGCTCGGACGATTCGAGCTCTGATGACTCTAGCTCCGATGAGTCTTCTGATGATGATACATCCTCGTCTGGATCCTCTTCCGATTCTTCTTCCTCCTCTGATTCGTCTTCCGACTCTGACTCTTCATCCGATTCCGAGACCGACCTGTCAGATGCTTCCGATGAATTATCTTCAGACAAGAAACCTGCAACAAGACGAGTCAAGGCTCTCCCGAAGACTGCCAGTTCCCTGAAAACTGTTCTTATCTTTGCCAAATCGTCCGAGGCTGCCTCGCGACTGTCTCGCTTGATGTCGCTCCTGCACCCCCCTCTTGCCAATTGCATGGGGACTATCATCAAGTCAAACAAGTCTTCTGCCTCTCGCAAGACGCTTGCTGCGTACCGCGGGGGTCGCATCTCCGTCATCGTCGCTACCGATCGCGCCTCTCGAGGTCTAGATCTTCCATCATTGACGCATGTCATCAACTATGATGTTCCGCCTAGCGTGACAACTTACGTGCACCGCGTGGGACGTACAGCCCGTGCCGGTCGTGAGGGCTCTGCGTGGTCTCTGGTCGCACATCGCGAAGGTCGATGGTTCGCCAACGAGATCGTCGCCAGCGTCGACGGCCGCATCACACGTGCTGCCTTGGTTGATCGTGTTCGGGTGAAGATTGATTCCATCAAATCACTTCAATCAACCTACGCGGCCGCCTTGAATGAGCTCGAAAAAGAAGTGAAAGAGGGCAGGGCGCATCCTTCCAAGCGTGTATAGAATTCTCTTTTCCATGTCTGTACATTAGTGTCATATCAGCATAGCGTCTCTACCGGTTAATCGGGTCTCTACATAAAGTCGGAATCCACCTCGAGTTGTCCTATTCAAGTGTGGGACGGCCTCGCCTGCCAGTCTGTCGTTTACCCGTCAAGCATCCACGCACTCTACAGCTCCTCTATGCTCTTCCATAGTCCTGCGGCCTCCTCGGTCCTTGTTATTTCGAAGCAGCCGAAAGGCCTTCACCTGACAATGAGGTGTCATTGTCAAGATTCCCCGAGAACCACAGCCATTGTTCCCCGCGGAGAGCCATTGTTTGCCCAAAAATCCGCCCTCGATGATGCCCGTGACTAGCGCTGTCTCGGGGGAATCCAGCCTTTGTCGTCATTTCCAAGGCAGGTGAATTTGCAGATCACCCTGATTTTACCCGAAATGTGGCAATTCTTCCGTTGAGTTGCAATGGGAAAACACCCGATGCAGCTTCCCCAAGTGCGGAGGTCTGCACGCCATCACCGACGGGGATCGATGGGGGTCGATCACCAAGCCGGGGGGGAGTTGGTACCCTTTGCTCCAGTCCACCCGCACAAGACCTTCAAAGGCCGTTTGACGGTCCAGGATTTGGGTAGTGGGATGCAGCATGAGGACAATCAACGCAGACCGCGTACTTAAATAGACGGAGAGCCTTGCAACACCTTGAAAGTCCTCTACGCGTTGGAAGAGTCACTTGGTAAGCGCTCATACCTCATTTTACCACCACGGGTCAATATCATCCTCAGTATGGTTGGCCTAAGCCCGTATATACTTTCTGCCTTTGCGGCATACTTCGTGACGCCGACGACTGGGGTCATCTTCAAACCTCAAAATGAATATAAGAGTCTATCAACCAGCAATCCATCCTTTGCTGTTGATTTGCAGTCGTGGCTTAACAATCGCGCTTTCGGCATGAAACCAAATGAGTCCAGCTTTGATAGTGATGGAAGTATGCAACTGTCCCCAGATCACTTACTTCATGGGGCCAATATCCCAGACTAGATCGATTGAGCCGATGGCCACCGAAGTCCTTGCAAGAGAAAGAATGCCCAGATTGACGTGACGTTCCATAGACTCCTATCCTGCCTCTCAGATTCCGCCTGAGAGATTCGTATACGGGGGCGTCAATTATCAATTTCCGTCTTATAATGCGACAGGCTTCGACAACATCCTGGTGCAGGGACAGACAGTTGACATCCCTCGAGGCAATTACTTCAGCTATCATATGCTCGCTGCGTCTGAATCAGGAATGGCCTCCAGCTCCGTCACAGCAAAATATGCAGACGGCAGTTCTACAAGCGGTCCACTTTTGGTGCCTGCCTGGTGGAGCTGGCCATACCCTGCAGGGGGAGATCTTATATTCACCCACTATCTGACAGAGAACGAGACCAACTTCAATCGGTCCAATATCTTCCAGACGACCAATTGGCTGGATTCTTCTAAGGAACTGGTATCCTTGACCTTCCCGAACAGTTCTGCTGGAGCATCCACATCCCCCGGCGGTGCGTCAGTCGATACAAAACTGCATGTCTTTGCCCTCTCGTTGATTCCAGTGACAAAGGTTGAGTGCAATTCAACCCGTCTGTCGGTTCAGTATGCCCGTTCCACTCAGAAATGGATGGAGGGTACCGACAAGGTTCAGATCGTGGAAGTCATCGTCAACAACGTCGGATCCGAATTTGTACTTCGCAAGCACGATGCGCGAGTCATCATTGATGCACCCGGCTTAGAGACGGTGACCGAAGGTGTCATAAAGAGACTTGGACCTGGTGATCAAGCCATCGTCGAAGTTGGAGTTCGGAATCGTCAGGGACATGATTCGGGGTCAACTGGTCCTGCAACCGTGAAGATCCAAGGCCATCATGTGTCGTCCTCAACATACGAATTCCAGGCAACATACGGGATCAAAAAGTACGAAGCTACGTACGAGTCCGTCTACAGCCACGAGTCACCAAATTGGTACAATAACGCCAAGTACGGTATCTTTATTCACTGGGGAGCATACTCGGTTCCTGGCTGGGGGAACGTGGGTAAGAAGGAAGGATATGCCGAATGGTAAGACCTATGTTCCACGTTGCTGTTGCAATTTTCTGTGCCAGATCAGCTCATCTCCCTCTCATTCTCAAGGTACTGGTGGGCTCTGAACTCAGGTCCTAATGCTTCCTCGGAGACGTATCAATATCATCTTAAAACTTATGGCAAGGACTTTGTCTATGACGATTTCATTCCTCAATTCTCTGTGAGCGCATGGGACCCAAAAGAATGGGTCGACTTGTTCGCGGACGCCGGAGCGAATTACTTTGTTCAAGTTAGCAAGCACCACGAAGGATATGCGCTATTTGATCTGCCAGAGAATGTGACGAAGCGGACATCGATCGCTTTGACACCCCATCGCAATCTTATCAAGGTGAGTAGACGTGGCTTCGTTCCGAGACTTCAAGGCTTTGATCTGACAACGGCACCTCACACGCTTGATAGGAACTGTTCGATGCCTCCAAGAAGTACCAGCCTCATTTACATCGTGCCGTGTACTACTCTCTCCCTGAATGGTTCCACCCGGACTACAAGAAGTATGGATTCTCATCGTGGCCAGGAGGTGAGGTTCTCCAAAATTTCCTTCCGCGAAATTTCAGTCAGAGTTACTAAGAATGCTCAAGGCAATGCGACCAACCCCTTCACTAACGAATCTCTGCCATACACGGGCTATGTTCCTCTCAACGACTACGTGACCGACAAGATCGTCCCTGAGATGAACACCCTAGCAGAACTAGGCACAGAAATCATGTGGTGCGACATCGGCGGACCCAACAAGACCCAGGAATTCGCTAGCGCATGGTTCAACAAGGCCGCCGAGCAAAATCGCCAAGTGGCCATGAACGCCCGTTGCGGTCTTCCCGGAGACTTTGATACGCCCGAGTATGCCCGTTACAATGGCGTTCAAGTGCGCAAGTGGGAGAGTAATCTGGGAATGGATCCATTCAGTTACGGCTACAATCGCGCCACACCCCTCGCAAGCTACATGAATGCTAGTGAGATTGTGACGAGCCTGATCGATATCGTCAGCAAGAACGGTAACTTCCTGCTAGACGTCGGTCCCACTGCTAACGGGACGATCATCGACGTGGAAAAACAGCATCTGCGAGAGGCCGGCAAATGGATCAAGAGCCACGCGGAGGCAATCTTCAACACTACTTACTGGTTTGTCACGCCACAGGAGGGAGACAACATTCGGTTCACTATTTCCGAAGACGCCTTTTACATTCACGCTCTCGCCAAACCGAACAGTACCCTGACTTTGAATAGCCCTGTCCCGTGGATGCAGAATGATCGGGTGACTGTTGTCGGAGGCAAGAAACATGGGGAGATTGTGCCTTCTCACAAAACGGACAACGGTTCTGTCGTTTTTTCAGTGAGCGAGGAGGTTGCTTGTGCTGATCAGTTTGCATGGGTGTTCAAAATTTTGTACTAATGAGGTGTTGTAGTGGATTGAGTGAACAATGTATGTTTTGCATTCTCAAATGTCATCGGGCACCTCATTAAACGATGGATATGAAGGTGAAACTCGCTTCATTTTCATTCATGAATTTAATAGACGCCAATGGCAAAGTCAATTCAGGGTTAAATAGGTGAAATTTATCGCCTATGAACTAGTTTGAATCCTTTTGGTCATGTTCATTCGTCGCTAAATAGATCGATACATGTGTATGCGTCCACGACTTGAATTACTCTCACGATAAGTCAAACCACATGTCTCATTACTTCATAACAATCACGACTTCTCTCACACCACATCCACTCAATACTTACTTGGCAGGAGGAATGAGCTGCTTCTCCAGTGGCCACTTGGCGAGGGTAGTGGCGTTACCAGTCAAGGTGAAGGACGTCACAACGGAACGCTCATTGTTCAATGCCAACTCGTACTTGCCGGGGTAAACGATACGGTTGCCCAGCTCGTCCACTCGAGCGACGTCGTCCAGCGTGATAGGAAGGACCATGCTGTCAGACTTTCCTGGCTTGATGGAGCCGAGTCGGTCAAAGCCGACCAGCCACTTATTTGGGTATGGGGCAGGACCGGCGGTAGTGTTGATAAACAACATTGCTGTGTAGTCTGACTCAACCTTGCCGGTGTTCTTGATGTCCGCGGTGAAGTTGAGGAAAGGGACCTGCTCGATCACATTGTAGCCTGCGTGGGGCTGGGAGAGCAGGTCAACGATGTCGAAGGAGGTGTTCTTCTCCCTACCCTTGTTGCAACCCATTGAGGCCTGGAATGTTGTGTAGAATAGTCCGTGGCCGAAGGGATACACGGGAGTGCCAGTGTACCACATATAAGTCTGTCCTGGGTTATCACCGGATGGACGCAGGTTCATATCAGTCGCGGGAAATTGCTCTGCGTATTTTGCGGGATACTGCGTCGTGGTCAAGCGACCTGCCGGCGCACGTTTACCAGTCAAAATATCCAGAATGGCTTTGCCACCTGACTGGCCGGGATAACCACCCCAGACGAGAGCGTTCACGTTCTTGTTTTCCTTCAATGCAGAAGAGTCAACCTGACCACCTCCCATCTGGAGAACAACTAGAGGCTTTCCAAGGCCGCTCAGCTGCTTGATGAGTTCAAGCTGATTGCCAGGCCATGTGATGTTTTGACGATCCATACCCTCGGCCTCAATGGTGTTGTCAATACCGCCAGCGAAGACGATAGCATCAGAGTTCTTGGCCGCTTCCATTGCGGCAGCGAACCCGTCGGTAGACTTGGAGGAGATATTGGTGCCGAGAGCGTAGTTGACGCTCAGGTCTGATGCCTTGAGCGCACTCAGTGGACTCGTAAGATAGGGGGCCGGACCATAGTAATTGCCTTGCATCTGGGTAGTCGCATTGGCCCAGGGCCCAACCAAAGCAACGCTCTTGACCTTCTTGGAAAGAGGCAAAACTCCATCGTTCTTCAGCAGAACGATACTTTCCACTGCCGCCTCGTATGAGATGTTCCAGGCATCGGTTTTGACAACGTCGGACCACGTCAGGTTGCGGTAGGGGCCTTCGTTACCGTCAAAGTATCCGAGGCTGACAAGATTAGAGTAGAGTCTGGTGACTGCACGCTCAATCTCGCTGCGGGAGATGTCACCGTAGTAGTAGGACTCATTCAGGTGATGCTGGTAGACAGTTCCACAGTTGATATCCACGCCGGCTCTCATCGAGTCGGCTGCAGCACCCGAGACGTTGGCCGCATACCCATGCGGGTTGAAAACACCATAGACGGCGCCGCAATCAGAGGAGACGAAGCCGTCCTCCACAAAGTTCCAGGTGTCGCGCAGCAAAGTCTGCAGGAAAAAGGAGTTGGAACTGCTAGGCACGCCGTTCACAGCATTGTACGAGGACATCACGCTGTGCACTCGCGCATCACGCACGGCGGCGACGAACTGGGGAGTGAAGTATCCAGACAGGTCTTGCTGAGTGATGTTCAAGTCGTTGCCCAGTCGAGAGTGGTCATCCCAGTTTTCGATGTCGTAGCCAGCAAAGTGCTTGGCATTGGCCACCAGTTTGAGGTCCTCGGGATCGACGCCTCCTTGGATACCGGTAATGTACTCATACGCATAGACAGAGCACAGCTTGTATGCATCCTCACCAGGCGTCTCCTGGCCACGACCCCACACCGGATGGCGGAAGGCATTGATGTTGGGGGCGTAGACATCGAGGCCGTAGCGTCCGACATTGTTGAATGCCCGACCCTGAGTGGAGATGATATCACCAATCTGATGGATCAACGTGCGGTTGAGGGCTGACATGGTAAGAATAGGAGAAGGGAACGACGTCGCCCAGCTCCAGTCGCCCGATTTCGTGTTGTTCGCACGATCCAGACCATGCAGCGCTTCCACCCAAACGTCGTACGCTGGCAAACCGAGACGTGGGATGGCGTAGATAGTGTTTCCGGTGCTTTGGATCAGCTCGTCCAACGTCATCAGTGCGATCAAGGCAGCGGCACGGTCATGAGCACGAGCAGATTTGTCACACACGAGGCTCGTATTCAAAGGCGCCGCTGAACAGTCGGGGAATCCATAGTGGACCTTTGCCAGTGTCTGCTTGTCGAGGCTGGGCTGTGGTTCTTTGCTGTAGTCCACGTACGATGTGTTTGCCTGTGCCAGAGCATTCGGAACAAGCGCTGCAAGCGCAGTGAGCAGAGCAACGGTGTTTGGCATTGTCGAAATGAACAAGCGAGGTGCTCGCCGTCACCAACTAGGATGTTCTGGATCAAGATTTACCGTGTCTTCCAAAGCACACCATAGCTTCCGTTGAGATCATTATATATACTGTGCTCAGGAAGATCTCCACTCGAGAACCATTGGCTGGGTCCATTCCCATCGCTGTTCGCAATTGGCATGATCAGCGCCGCAGGCGTGCATATCATCGGGTTCACAGACAATTGGAAGAGAAGAGAATTCGAGAGTCTTCCTGCCGGGAGAAGGAGACCCTCGAGCCTTGCTTTGTGGTCGATCTCATCGATTGGAAAGTTCATGTCATCCCCACATTCCGCCCAAGCAGGCAACTCCCGCGGTCGATCATCTGTTGGCGACTCCTCAATGATTCTCCCCAGGATCTAAACTTGCGGAGATTCTCCGAATTTTGGAGTAGTGTGGAGAAAGCCGCTTGCTGGTGCTTGTCAACGGTCTCATTTAGGCTAATTGTCCGTCAATTAGATTAGATGACGACAGACTGCATGAGTTTGCGGTGCCTTCACCCGGCAAAAAGACCGATTGTTGCGATGACACCAAGGTCGGGACCGAACCAGACTCTCGCCAATCCGACAGACTGGAAGAGTCTCGCCAGATATGTCAACAAGTGAGCTCGAACTTTAACATCGGAGGTTGGTAGGCTGCAGCCGAGCGATTCAGCCTGAACTTCATCCCGACGCCATTGCCGGGCTTTCCGCCTCATAGTACTGAATCTGCCCGCTAGGCTCGGATATCAAGTCGGCTTTACATCTCCGTTGCAATGCTCTAGACATTCGTACTTTGAGGATTTTCAGTTCATCTATATCAAGCTTCGCCGTCTGGGTTACGTACCTGAGCATGCATGTCCCTATTAGCCGTCAATAGAGTTCCGAAATCATCCATGCAATGGCGCCCCCCTCCCTCTCGATGAGGCAAGACGACTTGACTGGTGGAATGTGCATAGCTCTCACAGATAGCATCCTCGGGAGAGAAATTGAATAGTGGCCCGGAATTTTCCTCTTATTTTGACACATCTTCAGCTCTCCGACGGCTGCAGATCTATGTAAATATTCTAAACATGCCGTCTCTCGCTGTTCATTTTCAGATTGCCTGACGAAGAAACTCCAATACCCTTCAGTCACGCTCCACTCAGCTGACCATGGTGTACACAGCAGAGAAAAGCATGCCGACAAAGACTACTGTAAGCACGGCCGCTCCGGCTCTGTCGCCCGTCGTGACATGAGAAAACATGATCTCCTGGATCTCGGTCTCGTCTGGGGCCGTGCCAGCTGAGGTATTGCCTTCACTGGTCCCACCAGTTGACGCGGTGAGGGGACCGCTAATATGGGTAGCGAGGAGTCCATGGAGAACCTCCAAGACACCCATTTGCTGTCCTACGCCAATGGTTCCATCGTACTTGCCGCTAGACCACCGATGTCCACAATAAGTTCCGGTTTCTCCCCCTTGACATTGACGAGCGGCGGCCTTTGCGGTGGAGCGAACCTTCGCAGTGATGTCGTAGTAGGTATGGGGAGCAAGTTGAATGACATCGGCTAACCAGCGGGATAAATATGCCTTAAATGACAATTGATCCGTATTGCATCTCTGTTGGTGCTCGCACGGAGGTTCATGCATCACTTGAGCACCTGTGGAGTCATTCTGGTAGAAGTGATTGGCAGCTAAGAGCAACCCATCGAGCCGCGACTTCCACTTGACGGAGGACTGGGACGGTGATGTTGTGGATGATGACGAGGTCTGTCAATCAGAATGTATGTCAGCGTTGGGGAGACAGGCCTCCTGTGCGACTTTACTGAATGGACATGGCTTGTGTCACTTACATAGTTGTACATGACAGCAGCTCCGTGAAGCCAGATTCCACCGGTATAGCTCCAGCGCGTTCGGTCATATGACGTGCAATTCGTCTCCTGTGTTGTGCCATCAAAGATTTGGAAATCCGGCGTGATCAAGCCGACACCTTCGGACCAATCCCAGACTTTGTCCGCCCACTCGGCATATGTGACGTTCCCGGTATACCGAGCCAGTCGAGCGGCGATATCGAAGAAGCCACCGTTTGAAATGGTGTTCTTGTATCCATACCCTGCGTTCCAAGGGTAAATCTGCCACCGTAGGCCCCCCGAGCAGCTCATATTGTCCCATCTATGGGCTTGTTGGTTGAAGACTCCCTGCACCATGCCCAACCACCCTAGATTGGAGGTGACAGGATTGGGAAAATTCCGCTCGGCAGCCATCATTGCCGACATGGCCCAGAAAGACTGATCATCGTTACCTTCGGTATAGGTCTGATTCACTGGCATAAAATCCCCCTTGACGCCGGCTTGATGTTCTAAAGCTCGCACGGTGATTGAATTGTACGTGGCATCCCCGGTGAAGGCCCAGTAATTGACCAATGCTCCAAAGAATGCGCCAGCTTCCCACCAGTAGTAGGGAGCGGGTAGGTTACCAGGGACATCTCCCGTGCGGTTGCCTGTGTAGAAGGTGACTAGATCATAGGCGACTCTCCTCGCCGCTGACTTGATAGAATCTGTTCATGAGAATCAACCAGGCTGGCCAATTGCTGTCAAATTTTCCGACCGCACCTGCCGATCTTACCGTTATTATCCAAGTCAAGTGGCACGCCTGCTGACTGAACAGACACGACAAGGACTGGTGAGCAAAGCGACCAGAAGAGCAGGAGTATTGAGATATCTTTCCTTTGTTGCATGATAAATCTGGAGTCAGGACTCAACGAGGGTTGAATCACTCTTCTGTAGTAGCCGTATGGACCGCTGAGGATACACCGGAAGTCTTGACTTGATCCGATGAACGTTGGCTGGATGACCCCGGCGATATCTGTTCACCATCTTCTCGCCCATCATTCTTATGAGTCTCATCAGAGGGCCAATCCAATGTCTTTCAGTCAACTTGGCGCCTATGAGGCGAGACACGACTCTGGGGGATGATGATCACATCATAGGCCCGTTAGGGCCATCCCATGAGACTCCGGCATCTGGCTGGATACATAGCCACTGCCCAGATTACCTTCAAACAGAGGCAGCCCCTGAATCAAGTTGAGCGGCATCTGGTACTTTATTCGGCTTGTTGTTCCAGTGACGAGAACACCGGTCACTGAAACTTGGCCGCGGCTTGGCAGCCAATTGCGGAGGCGACGAGGCATTTCTGACCTTTCGTCTCCGCCGATGTGCTCCGTCGGCCGCGTCCGCGCCAAGTCCGCTGGTCTGGGCAGATCGAGTTGTCTGTGCAAGAGAGGATTGATGGATCTGTAAATTGTGGTGGGCAGATTTCCGTGTTGGACAAGTCACCGCCCCCAAGAGGGCAGCGTCAATTGTATGAAACACTGGGACGAGACTGTCGATTCACTGGAGTGTTGCCTGCAAAGTTGGGCCAATGACACGACAGAAGGATAGCATTGGCACTGGATCTGCCAAGATTTTCATGGCATGGCGATGCAGAATAGGGATACTTCGTCGAAGCCCCGGTCGCCATGCAGAGACGAGACGTGAGCCCGTACAAAGTGTCCTTCGGCAGACTTGCAATCCGTGAGGATTGAAGGGGCAAGGCCGGGGTCCAAGGAGTAACCGATCAAAGACACCGACGCGTATACACCAGCGATTCGAACATCACATCCAGACGAAAACCAGTCAGATGAGCGAGATTCGTCCCATAGAAGGAGTTTCTAGCTTCACCTCGTATTCGTGGTTGAGATCTGCCAAGGCCAGAAGACCTGGTCAAAAATAGATGCAAATGTAGAACCAAGACGCAACTGGGTAACGAGAAGATCGATTGGCTGACCGATGACGCACTGAAGATCAACGTGATCGAACATCCAGTTGAGCTCGATGAAGTGAAAAAAACCGTGAGACCACCTGTCTCAGCTGCCACCCAACCTACACAAGGGCATCGTCAGTCGCGAACCGACTCTTGAAGCTGCTCGAACCCTCGGACCGGTGGCGCAGTTGGTGTTAGGCAGAGACCTATCAGTACTCAGTAGCATTTGCCATGGAAATTAGGTAGACCGGGCAGCACCAAGGGCTAGTCCATCTGGGAAACGATAAGAGGTGGCTGACAAGAGTAAACCTCCATCAATGCAGCTTGGCAACCTCCATCTTGCTACTTTTCACCCAAACGCTTCCTCGAGAGTGGATGCGCGTCTATGTATTTTGGCGCGAGAATGGCCAAGTCGCTTAGCCATCCCACCAGGCACGACTCAAATTGCAAGACAGCGAGCAGTCACGCTGAGTGTAGGTGAACGCCTAACCACTTGCTTGCAGGACGTGTTGGCCTTGCAAACTCGCCATGAGAAAGACTGTTTTTCCTTTGTCGTGGTGATCAGGTGGATACTTGATTAGATCGCAATAGGGATCTAGACTGCTTGCCTGATTTCCAAGGAAACAACCCCGAACTTTTCAGATCTCATGCGGGTCACACCCCGCAATGCGTCGCAAGGTGATATGAGCCGTTGTTCAATCTAACTGAATTCAGAAATCCTAAGCCGTGAAATCTACATGCTCCCAGGAGTGCTCGGTGGTCCGTATCGAGCTGCCGAAAGTAGGTAGGCATTGAAGTCAAACGATGGACTTGCCTTCTGCGACAGGCAAACCGTTGTCGAGTGCATCAAGCTTCGGACGCGCTCCGTCATCGGCGCGAGCACCGCTCCCTGGCGGTCGCCAGATTACTCGAAATCGGGCAAGCTACAGCTGCCACACTTGCCGCCGGCGGAAAGTGAAGTGCGACAAGGTATGTCTGTAATGATGATTCTATAGACACAATGCATGCTCAATCATGTCTTTTCCCTCGCAACTAGATTCATCCAATCTGCGGCAATTGTGCAAAGACAGGCACCGAGTGCACCTACGATGTGTCGGCATTACGCAAAGTCGACGATAGGCGAGATGGATCTGATCAGGAACCTCATAACCTGAAAAGGCGGAGAGGGCAATCTCGCCCAAGCTCAGATGGCATGGATGACGTGCAATCTTTGTATGCCCGTTCCACCGAGACAGTCTCTTCAAGAAATCCCAAGGCCAACCCGTCCGCCATCGAAGCCCGACTTGACAAACTGATGTCGATGATCGAGCGCATTGGCGGTAGTCCTCGTTCACTGGAAGAAGCTGAGAGACAAGTTTTTGCAGAGAAGAGTGGCGTCGATGCGACATTCACTCAACACTTGCGGAAAGGCAGGGACATCACTTCATCCCGGAAATCCAGCCCACAGCGCCGGACGGCAGACTCAAGCGGCGACGAGTTTCCGATCCCATCAGGCCCTGCGACTGATCTTGTTGACCCGATTGGGAGTCTCAACTTGGGTCACTTGAGCTTGGACGATGGCGGGAGGTCTCGGTAAGTCATTTCTGAGATCAATTTGGGCAGCACGAAGAGAAGAGTGCTAAGACAGAGACTAGATACGTGGGCACCACCTATTGGGCGTATATATCGCATGAGGTTGGTTGATTTTTCATGTTATCCCTCCTTTCTACAACGGGTAGAGCACGATCTGACCTTCTTAGATCAACGACCTCAACCAACTGTTACGAAGCCAAAATAGGTCCCATGAATCTTCTCCAGAAAACACGCACACGGAAATCAACGATCCTATGACCGAGGTACGAGATCGGCGCAGCGTATCTGCGGATAGTATTGTCGGCTCGCCCACATTCCACGGCCACAGCGGCTCCTTTCAGCGATCCATCATATTCCCATCAAGCAGCTCTCCTCCAGCCCCCGAAGAGAGCATCGAACCCGAGATGCTTGAGCACGTCCCAACGCGCAGACAAAGCCACTTGCTATATAGAGGCTTCATGTCAGGTGTGCACGCTATCAGTCCCGTGCTCCACCCACCAACGATACTGAAGCTCTATTGCGCATTTTGGGAGTGGTACGACTATACCAGCTTTTCAGGGCAGCCGTGCCCGAACGCATCATTTATCCCCCTACTTTATGCCATATGGTATGGAGGTTCTGTAACGGTGTCGCTGAAAACCATCAAAGCCGAATTTAATACATCATCGCGCTTCACATTGTCCTCCAGTTACAGTGAAGAGGTGACAAGATGGTTAACCAGAATATCGTTCCCTCGCAGCCCCTCACTGCATGGATTAGCGGCGTACCTGATTGTACAGACAATCTTGTCGAAGGAGGAAGAACCCTTGAAAAGCAGTCTTTTCGTCAGTCTCGCAATGCGAGTTGCTCAAACAATGGGTCTTCACCGAGATCCCTCAAATTTTGGAATCGAGGCCAGCGAAGCAGAGTATCGCCGACGCCTTTGGTGGCACATTATGCATATGGATGGAGTTGTTGCCATGTCAAGTGGGCTCCCGCCGCTTGTCGGCGATGAAAATTACTGGGACGTACGATATCCCAGCGAGGTTAAAGATACGCTGCTCGGTACGCCACTCGCAGAACAATACGAGAAAAGCATTACTTCGAAGGAACGGGAGCCTGATAACCCTGATGATCCCTCGGTTTGTGGGGGCCCCTCCGTGGTCAACGTCTTCTACCTGACAGCGAGAGGAAAATACATTATGGCTCGTACGGAACTTCTTCAAGGTCACTAGACATTCGACTGGCTGGCACTGACCTCGTTCATTAGGTGCCATTCGAAGAATTCTTCGGATTCAACTTGGTATCAAACCCGTGACTCGCAGCGACATGGAAGAACTGCGGACGATCCTGCTGAACCTTCAGAGCAATTTGAATTCCATAGTCAGCCGAATTCCAGAGAGCTCGGAAAAATCTGTCTCTCCTGGGAATGGGAACATGAAGAGGGAGCCATCCTTTTCCAATTCCCCAGATGACGATGGGCTTGCTGAATCAGGGCTTCCCGGTGAGGGTCCCCATGGATGCACGGAACAGTATCACACAGCGGTCCTTGTCTCGTACCATAGATGGGCGAAGATAATGCTATCGTTGTACATTGACAAAGTAATAATCTCAATCATACCAAGGAACTTTATCGAATGACAGCGACTGACTCATAGACACAGGCATTTTGCGTTGCTTATCAGCCTTTCTTGAAGAACGTCCACAGCCGGATATGGCCCGCTGCCCGCCAGAGGTACGAGGGTCCTTCAGCATCATTATTTGCAGTCACCGTGTCTCATCCTTGTCACAGTGCACTTCGACATTGTCACGGGTTCATGGAAAAGTTTATCGAATTAGCAACAGATCCGGATTTCCAACCATTTCAGTGGAGCTGGCCCGGGTAGGTGATCATCCGCCGTCAACGCATGAATGAAGAGGAATAACCGATCTATAGCAATCACCAGCCAATGCATGCAACAATGTGAGTCCTTAGTTGCGACTTCCTCAGAACCGCGAATCGTCGTTGTTTGAGCAAAACGGTCTTCATTGTATTTTGCTAACTTGATGTAGGATAATGCTTATTGACTTGTACGAGAGACCATGCAGCCCCGAGGCTGCGCGGTCTCGGGCATTTATTGACCGAATCTTAGCACTATCGGGGCCCGATGGCGGCGTGGTAGGTGGTGAAGACGGCATCACCACGCAACGACCGCTTAAGGATGGTGGGCGTGAAGCGTGGGACATGATCCGTCGTCTACGGCAAAAAGCGTGGCAAAAAGCGGGCTTGAACCCACAGATGTTTTGGACAGAGCAAGACCAAGCTCATGTGAGCTTGAGGACGCCGGCAGAAGAGGCGAATGAGATCAGCCCTCGTCCGGTTGAGTCTAATAATTCTTCGGTGCATTGCTCGTCGGATCCTTCGTCAGCGGCGCCTCCCCGCTCGTGGTCTGTGGCCCTTGGCCGTACACCTGCCGAATTCAATCACATATTCTACAACCTCACACGTTCTCATACGGAGTGTGGGCAAAGAAGTGCGTTGTCGACAAGTATACCCGGCACATCGCAACAAGATCCATACAACAAACTTCCCACTCCGGGCCGAACCTCTGCACCTTTCTCAACCCCACAAAACGACCCACTTCTAACAGCCGCCACAGCAGCTGAACTACAGCCATCCTTTTCTTCCTTCCCATCGACCACTATACCTCCAGGGGCATTACCGCTCACTGCGATATCAGCCGCTGCTCCCGATTTCACAGAAGAAGGGAATTTGGCCCAGTACCCTTCAAACTCCACGGTTCCACCCGTCATGCCGTTCATGGACTCGACTTCTCTCAACGAAGCTCAGATGGGTGCTCCCACTCCGCCGTCCATGGTTGATCCAAACTTGAATTTTGACTGGGATCAATGGGATGCGGTCTTTGGGCAACATCTTCCCGTTGCCGACGAGTTGATGGAATTAGACCCTGTCTCCGGCCTGGACCTTGCTAACCCGTCGATGATCTCGGGACCTGAACTCGTGAATGCGCCGTTCGGTGCGAACCCGAATGTTGTTCCTCCAGGCAGCGGAAGTAATATTGCGTCTCCGTGGCCCAACCACGGTCAGGATAATCAGCAAATGTCGGCTGGAGACTGGGCAGGTTTCTGACGACAAGGCGAATCAGCTAAAGAGACAGCCCGGAACAGGATACCAAGTACAGATTCCATGATTTACACAGAACGAAGAGCCCGTTGGACAAAGCACGGTCCACATTTGATGTATACTTAAATCACACTACATGTACTCTTGTATCTGACGGATCTACTGCGATGAGAAGAATCTTTTTGAAACGAAAAAACCAGCACTTTTGAGGACATGTGTTGGTAAAATGAGAAAGGTATATTCGGTAGATGGGAAACGTGACGGTTTATTGATTCATGATGCGTAACTCTTGACGATCCGATCGATCAGTCAATGATGGTACGAAGATGCGGATGTGGTGACAGCCAGAGCGGAGCGGACATCCAGCGAAGGGAAGGATCGGTTCCCGCGACGATTCCAGATACAAAAGCCAGTCAGCTCGCGCTTCTTCGTTGGGGTTTTCTCGTTCTTCATGTCAAAGTCCATTTTGTGAGGGTCGGTGGGAGGAGGATGACGTTTAGACCTTGACCTCACGGAAACCGTGCTTCCAGACGGTGGCGTAGGGGGTAACACCATCATCACGGAAATCGATCAGGACGTGCCTAAGAAAATCACTGTCAGCAGGGGCAAGATAGAAAATGTCGGACCGTGAAGGGGACTCACATGGCATCACCGTCCATGGAGGCACCCATGAGGACATCGTAGTTGTCGTAGTTGGCGATGATCTTCTTCATGGCAGCGGGGGCGTTGGACTTGAACTCGGCAATGGTCTCAGCGCTGGCGTTGTTCTCCTCCAGCTTCTTCATGAGCTTCTTGAGGTAGACTAAAGGGAAGAGGTCGCATGTCAGACATTCGGAAAGGAAGATACTAATTGATGCGGTCCATCTTCATGGACGCAGACAGAGAGGGATCATACCCTTGAGATGAGACTTGAAGGCATCCTTGGAAGGCTTGAGGCCCTCCTCGGTCTTGAGCCAGACGAGACGGAACTGGTCCTCGATGTCGTGGACCATGACGGCCTCATCATCACCACCGTCCTCACCGGCCTCCTCAGCGGAGGGGTTGGCACCGGCAAGCTCGAAGTCCTCGTTCTTCTTCTTGAGGTACTTGCGGCAGTCGGTCTCCCAGAGGATTGGGCAGTCCTTGGCGGGAGTAATCTTGAAGGTATCCGAGAGAATCTCGTCTCCGGAGATGATGTCCTATCAACATTGTTAGATCGTACTTCGTTTTTTTTTTCGGTCCCTTTATCAAAACCGATCCACATTATTCGATGCAGACAGTAGGGCAATCGAAGCAGTGATCCACAGAATCATACATACCTCGTAAATGATCATGGCGGCGGGTGAGAAGGAATGGGAATCTCAAAAGGGGGTATTGATTGAGGTTGGGAGAGGGGGAGAGAAACACGAGAAAAGGAGGGGAAATGAAGTTTTTTTCTTAGTGGCACCTGGTTGGTGGGGGAGTTTGCGCTGTTTGTTTCCCGCAAGTCACGAGAATTGGAGGCTCCATTGGGTTTCCATCCGCCCTGAGCTCTTCCGTGACCCGCTCTCCCCACGTCCATTTTCGAGTTTCGGGTTATTCTGGTGATCGAGATGATATGCAGATGGAGTGACCTTGGGTGTTGTTGTAAAAGCAGGTATACTACTTCAACTTCACGACCTACTGCAGCAGAGTTTACAGTCAAGATGGATTGATAGAAGCAGGGAGTCTCCGATCGGCGGGTCTGCTCTACCGGCAGAATACTATTGAGCATGAACTGAGTTCTACGTAGAATCTCGACTCTCTGACTTCCCGGCCAGTTCGGGCAGTAGCTTCATCTTCTGCACCGCCAACTTTGTAGTAGTAGTACTACTTACGCTGTTTAATGAGTCATTAGACAATACACAGTCCTACACGCGATACCAAGGTTGCCTCCTGTCACAGCACATTCGATTTTCGCAGGAAGGCCAAATGACATCCGCAACCTGGAATCTAACGAATCTATATCACCTGACGCGAGTCATCTCACCTGCCATTACTACATAGTACATACTGGATGGATGCCGACCAGGCAAAGTCTTTCCCCATTTAGCTCATTGACCGAATTGCCAAGAGAGAAGGGCATAGGCAACCTTGTTTGAAGTCTCAAGGCAGGATTCTGCTCGAATCCGGGCCGTAGAGAGGGCCAGGTGCATAGAAGGCACTCAAGGCACTGGCAGTGTGCTTGGCTAGTGCAAGTCGGATAGCTGTGATCCCCCTGTACATAACATTGGGTAACTAATATTAACTTACTAAGTTACCAGCAAGTAACTAACAACCTTACCTTGTGCTGCACGCAGGGTGTGGTCTGACAAGTCATGTGACAAAGAGTCGCATAGCATGGAAATTGCATGATCGAAATTCTCTTTTATCAGTATCAGACACTCGGACACTGATTGCTGCTCTCCCACGGCTCGTGAGATAATAAGATCAACAATGAGAATGAGTTGTCAAGAATCATGCGGTAGATCTACAGGGGGGGACTTCCTGCGTGGGTCAATATCCTGGACAGTGACACTGATGATGAAACTGGTACAGAGGATGCATCAGTTACCAACTTACGATATACGATATACGAGGATGATACGGTATGTGGAGCTCATTCACAGTCTGTTGCAATATGCCGTTGATTTAGGAGCAACAATCCGCTACTATCGAATTTGCACCGGTACAGATTTCCCTGATCGCTGCATGATTCCACCAAACAATACGTCGGTGGATGACGGGAGGGATCAGCTTCCGACTCGTTATGACAAGGTGTTACGGTAAATAAAATATGCAAAGGGATTCTGTCATCAAAAGATGGCCCAATTCTTGATTATTCCGTATTGTTACAGTTTCAATCTCGTACTGTCGAGACCGCATCCGTCTGGCGCCACCAGGCCGGGTCGTGGCACTTGTTCGCCTCCTGATCCGCGTGGATCCTCCGGGCCTTTCCCTCGAACGCCGCTCCTTTCATTCTTCATTCCCCTCGACGATATTCTTATCGCAATCCCCTCGCACACTATAGCCGCCTTTTCCCCTCGGCCTTGCCCCGCTGTGTGCTTATACTCTGAGATTCCAACAATCTGCATCGTTCGCTCGACCTGAGATCTGGTGTAAGACTCTTCCGCGTCCGCTTTGCCGCTCGTCCCTTGAGTGCGCCCTGCTCGCGACCCACGCAGGCGGCTCCGCTATCGCCTTTTTTCTTCTCCAAAGTTGTTCGATGCCATTTGAACCAACAGCGGCTTTGACATCTTCGTGAATTGATCGATCATGGCTGCGAACGCCTCGGCCGTCTTTGACCTCCCACCATTGCCAACTTACACTTTGTCTGCGCGGGAGCCGCTTCTTCCGCCCATTCCCGACAATGTCCTGGCCTTGATACTGCCGATTATCGCCTACTGGGGATTGTCTATGGTCTACCACTTCATCGATGTCAATGGCTACTTTGAGCAATACCGCCTGCATACTCCGGCTGAAGTCCTCAAGCGTAACAAAGTTACACGATGGGAAGTCGTTCGCGATGTGGTACTTCAACAAATTATCCAGACGATCGCCGGATATGCGATGTCCTACTTTGATGCGGTGGAGGTGGTAGGTCGAGAGGACTACGATGTGGCTGTGTGGGCTACGCGTCTGCGTCTCCTCCAGACGGTCATCCCCTCAACACTCGGATTTGTGGGGGTAGATGCCCTCGGTCTGTCGGAATCCTTGTACCACAGCGGCCACTCGGTGCTCGCCGGTGTGCTCGCAGGGGGATCCTACCGGAACTTGGTGCAATCCATGGTTTTGGACAACGGAGTGGAGGTGGTTGCTCCTGCATTTGCAAGCTGGGAGCTCTCAGTCGCCAGCATCATCTATTGGTACCTGATTCCTGGCCTCCAATTCGCGCTCGCCGTGTCGATTCTGGATACTTGGCAATATTTCCTCCACAGAGCGATGCACCTCAACCGTTGGCTCTATGGTAAGTTCCGGCCCGAAGTAGAATTAACCCGAGGTACTGTAAGTCGGTAGCTGACTCTTCCACCAGTAACCTTCCACTCCCGCCATCATCGTCTCTATGTCCCGTATGCCTTCGGTGCTCTCTACAACCACCCAGTTGAAGGATTCCTTTTGGACACTTTGGGTACAGGCGTTGGCTATCTGGTCTCGGGGATGACTAGCCGTCAGAGCATGATGTTCTTCACATTCTCCACCATCAAAACGGTTGATGACCATTGCGGCTACGCTTTCCCCTGGGACCCTCTGCAGCACGTTACCTCTAACAATGCCGCGTATCATGACATTCACCATCAAAGCTGGGGTATCAAGACCAACTTTTCTCAGCCGTTCTTCACTTTCTGGGACCGCCTTCTCAATACTCAATGGAAGGGCGAAACTAAATTGCGCTATGAGCGAGCGCGAGAGAACGCTCAAAAGCAGTTGGAGGCGGACATCGTTCAAGCTCAGAACGAGACCTCAATCTCGGCCCCTTCTCTGGAACGTGAACGCGACAGGGTTGTGGTGTCCCTCGACGGACCCGCAACAAGGACTCGCTTTCGACGGAAGACAGTGGACAGCCTAAAGGGCCCCAGTCACGCAGTCCCTGGCAGCGTGCTCCACAAGTAATGTACTGTGATGACCGATAACAGTCTTGCTCTTTTGCTAGCCTTTTCTGCGTTGCATATGGCCCAGTAGTCTCCGGAGCTGCGGGCCACCTCCATGAGACAGCTGCGGGCCTTTCTTTTCTTTCTACACGTCTTTGCCTTTTCTCGTGTTGGGAGGGGGAGGTTTGATCCCGTGTATCAATACTCAAGAGGAGGTGACAATCAATGCGCCGTGGACTCTCCTGCACTACAAGCTCAGGTTACTATTGATAATAATGTCTATTTCACTTTGTTTTCTTGCCAACGAGCATCCGCCTTTACTCTTACTGTGGCGAAAGGGGCGTTTGGGCTTCTATCGACTTTTGTGCATATCACTCGAGGACTGAAATACATCCAAATCTTTCGATCCTCGTGCCGTATACAGTTTCTAGAAATTCTCATACCATGGGACTTGTCCCTTGCCTGACGCCTTTGTACCGCCTGTGTTTCTAGGCAAGACGTGGTACTGCCGTCCACTTGGAGTGCAGCCAGGTACGAACGTATCGTACTTGATCCACTTATACAACAAGCTTAGAGATCGACGAGAACGTCCTGTGGTCTTGACTTTACTGTGGCCGTCATCCTTAAGGGCATGAGCCTAGGTTCAGCAGGCCAATAACCGTCTCGCGGCCCTTTGGAGATGATCCTTTCAAATGGTCTTCCATTCTCTGAACTTGATTCTGGCAATGTTCTTCATGATCTTGCTCTTATTAGAGTCTTTTCAGGCTCATCTGATCACCAGTCTACGCAACATGACATTTGCCCCCGGGTATATTTACACTGGTCGGCCGCGGTAGACGTGAATGGCCCATTAATATGCGTTGATCACAGGGACTGTAAGTAAATTTCCATCTGTATTTCGATATGGTTGCGCAGGCACTGCTCTAAAACGACATCTTGCTTTGACAGTCATCATCCTCCCAATCACCGGCGCTATCCTTCAGCATCGAACCCTCACTATTCGAGCCTTGCGCCGCTTGCATTGACGAGAGCACGCTCGATCTGACACTGCGAGTATCACTTGTAGGGCAGAGCGGACTCTTATGAGCATCGGGAAAAGACGCTGCCTGGGAGTAGGGGTTCTCATGGGCGAGCTGCTGGTACAGAGTGATGTTCGACCGCACGTTCATGATACGCCGCGCTTCTCCAGAGAAGCCCGGAAGCAACTGTGCATCGGCGCGATTGCCAGTTGGATGTTCGGGACTAGGGGCATACGATCTTCGAAGTCGGCCGTCATTAGAGTCACTCCACCAGCTGCATGACGAAGCAGAATCGCTGCCCGGACTCGATCGCACATCAAGATCATCCATCTGCGTAGTTAATGGTGTGCTAGGGCTCTTCAAAGAGTCAAGCGACATCTCACTCTCAGCTCGATGCTCTTCCCCCGAAACTACCACGGTCAGTCCAGCTCTTTTCTTCTTTCGTCCCCAGGACGGGTACGGATATAGGGCGAAGTACCTCTTTTTCTGGAGTCGTGGCTCTGATGACAATGGCGCCGGCGCCGGCGCCGGCGATGCCGCTTCATTCGGGATGTGGCGCTTGGATCAATCTGGCAGTCACGAAGGTATGCCTTGACACAAGCCTTGCGGGCTCGCTTCATCCCCAGGGCAAGCTGATTCGATGTGCGACGCACATCGTCTGCTTCAGCGGGGCTAAAACGATTGATACAGTGGTTGATGAAGAGGGTCAGCTTCCGAGGATGTTGGTTTCGGCGCGTTTGTGTTCGAGAGTGCACCACGACGCGGAGGTTGCATAAAATATCTTTGTTCCCAGCAATTGTGGCTAGTATGCAAGCCGGGCACTTATTGAACTGGGATGACTGGGCATCTGCAGTGGCGACGTTGTCTTCGCTTGGCTTGGACCAGTAAGCCCTTAGAGCTCGAAGACGTTGAAGAATAGTCTCTTCGACAGGCTCAACTAGCTGCGGGTATGCATCAAGTTGGCGAAAGTGCGATGTGATCTCACGGCGAACGAGTCGCGAGATACCATGAACCAGATCATAATTCAGGACCTGGTGCAGGTCGCAAAGCTCACTGGAGAGCCCTTTGGTGCTGGCAGAGCCACTTGACGTCTGCAAATCCTTTGGCAAGCCTTCGATGAGTTTTCGAATCTGTTCATGCAAAGTATTTTCGAAGGTTTTGGGGAGGTCAAACTCTGCGCCTATGTCCATCGTTAGTGACATTCTGTTCTTGATTCAACGTATCTCTCTTTTCTTGTACGTACAAGCAGGCATGGAGCGCCCTTCGTCACAGGTCATCCTGTCCGTTGTGGTCTTTTTCGACTCCCCGATGCTCCCGAATAGTCGTCGCATGGTGCAGGGTGGATTTGGAATTAGGCAAAGGCAGGCTAGCTGGATGAGAGATGAAATGCAGGGAGGAAGGGAGTTGCGCAGTGTTGCGAGGTAAGAGGTGAGAGTTAGTGGTGTCCACGACGAAGACAAACCCTTATGAGCAGATCAAAGATCGGGACCCTACTTGACTTTATTCATCTCAACAAAATGAGATCGCATTCGTTTGCCTCGTCATGAGATGTCATTTTAGTATTGTTTGGTAGATATCAAGAGTAAATGTTGTAGGATCTGTTCTACCGTTTCTGTATGAGGGATCTCCATCGAATGTGCGTTGTTCCAATTTCTGAATGACTGCCTTTTGCATACCCTTTGTCTCAGGATTTCACCAAAGCCACTCGGCTTTTGAATATAGACAAGACTGATATGGACACAACGTAGATTTTCTGAAGCTTATTGATGGCAAAGTCATTCTTGAGAAATGGGAGATCTCTGAAGTTCATTGTGTTCATTAAGGATATCTGTCTTTGAAGCTTTGATCTCGCCATAAAAGGGTCAGGCAGACTGAAAGACTGCTTGTGCCTTGAAAATTCCGAAGCGACATGGTGCATATTCTCGATGCCAGCTCTTAAGTAGAGCAGGCTATGTCGTTAAATACGCATTCGTAAACGGGAGAGTGGACCAAATCATCCCAATTTGTTTCTGGTGAATGGATGGTGCTGACAGCCACAACGACCCGCGACTTATGCCATCAACATCCACCAGGATACTCCATTACAGAACATGGATTTTAGCCTCGGCACGCTTCTTGAGCTTGGGGAGAGACTGGTCCGCTCAGCTCGTCGCACTTTCATCCACTTCGCAGCCCTTTTCATTTCTGCCGGTATCTGCATTGTCGACATGAGCACCACTTCCTTCATCGTCTGCTTCCAGGTGGCTGATATGATTGTGGACATTGTGTTTGATTTCGTAGAAACCGGCGTGCGATTTCTCATCCCCAGATCAAGCCCGGAGATCACTCCCTTTCTCATTGCCGCGCTCACGTCCATCCTGGTGTATGGGACTGTGCACGAGGCACCGTAGTACGCAATATTCCAGAAGGCACGAAAAATTACATCCAATATCGAGTTGTGCCAAGCTTCTGTTATGCAGGAGGTCTTGCTCAGGACACATGGAAAGTGAGAATCTACAGATTCAGTTGAATGCGCCCAATGCCACGTGAAACACAGCTGAGCATCGCAGTCTTTTTTTCGCTTGGTAACAGTCCCGTTCCTCGATGCTCGACACGACCGGTATGGAAACCAACCCTGCACGTTCCACAATTCCTAGCCTCACACGACGATGGTATGTCGAATCCGGCGGAACGAAGGATCTTCAACAGACTCGCTTCTGCGGGCACTTCAAGCTCTCGCTTGGACTCGACTAGCTCAGCTGTGAATGGATCGCCGGTACTCTGCGCAATGAAAGACTCAAAATGTACATTTTCGTCGGGGAGCCCGAACCGCTTCGCAGTGTCCTGCACATCTTGGGTGAGGCGATCCCCTGCACAGCAGTAGATATGGGTGTTGCTGTCTGCTTGTTCTAAAGATTGTGTGTAGATCCAAAGCCTTGTTCTGCGATTTGCAATAGATTGTGACGCGAGGTTCCAGTAATCTGAGAAGAGGCTCAAAAGGGACCTCCTCCAATGATCGAACAGCATAGTGAAGATGATTAGATCGATTCATCTTGTGCAGCTCCTGAGCCTAGGCAATCAGCCCAGTAATGCCAATGCCGCCAGCTATCAGAACATAGCGATCGGCCTTCTTATTCAGAGGGAACGTGATTGTAAAATTGTTGATACTGATGATGGTCCCCTCGAGAAGATCATCATGTATAAACAAAGATCCTCCGCGGGAGAACGGTGTAATGCCACGCCCAACGTGAACTGGTTTCGATTTCCACTCACGACTAAATGAGCACGGATCAATCGGTCTTGCAATTTGACACGAACATGTGTTCCTGGCTGGACGAGCTCATCAGGAGATTTGGCCTCGACGGCTTCGAATTCCAGGGATATGACGGACGATGTTTCGCGACTCTTATGTACGAGTCAATAGTTCGCCCACGTATCGAATACTGAAGCCTCGTCGCCAACAAGTCTCTGTTCCTGGTTCTCAAACCTCATCTGGAGTCTGTTTTTGAGGAGAGTTTTGATCCCATTGCCGAGTTCGGGAAGGGCTGCAAGCTCTCTCATTGCCTCAAAATTCTCTTTTTCAAGGTAGAGGTAATGCTGGACTCGCGCAATGGTCCACTTTGGATTGGGCCCTTCAAGTAGAGAAAGTCCATCGCCGGCTTGTATGAATCCTCCCCTGAGAATTCGACAGAACCAGCCGGTTCGGAAACTCTCCGGCGACAATCTCGCCATGTTTTTCTCTTGAAATCGATGGTTGAGTTTGTAACATGGCTGTCGTGGGAGGCTCACTTGGACGATGACTTCTGAGCCTATCGCAATACGATCTCCAACGCATGTGTTTCGTTCATTCGCTCGAAGGCTGACCAAATTCTCTCCAAAGGCTCCAGTTCGAAAACAGTGAGCACTCCCTGGCAGCTCTTCAGTCCAGTCGTCGAAATGGAGCGCACAATAATGAAGGAGGGCTTTTTCAGGCCCTCCGTGGAGCTCGAAGACATGTTCGTCCCCTTGGCAGCCAAGATCGTTCACCGCCACTGGGCCATATCGGACAGACTTGAAGATTGCAGATTATTGAGGAAGTGCAAAGACCGCTTGGGCTTTCCCCGTCCGAACTTGCAGAAGCTCATCCTGTTCCCAAGGCTCTTCCAACTTGCTAACACGAGATTGGATCGCCGTCATGAGGGATCTTCAATCTTCCATCCCCCTGGCAGTGGCAGCACGCCGTGTCAGACTATACTGAAATCAGCGGCACGAACCACGGCGGTGTATGAATGGGGGATACTGTGAGTTACAGGTCGTTGATATTGGGATCTGAGCGACCTGAAACCCAGAAATCAGAATAATCGCTTCCACGTCAGCGGATTGAAAGATTTCTGACACAAAGATGCATCTTCGGAGTGAACACATGGAAGCTGCAGGCGCATGTGACAGGATTGGATTGGTCTCCGATGCGGGGGTCCCTGCAGCGTTGGCACATCTCCGACTTCCGCGCTACGCCCGTTGGGCTCCTGTCAATCCAAGTGAGTTCAAATGACGAAATCCTTTTCCATGATTCCACGTGGAGTGAGAATCAAGAGACTCTTGCATCAAAGGGCTCGACATGTCAGGCGGAACTATGGAGCGCGAAGATCGGCAGTCGAGCGGCGCCACATGACAGTCGCAGCTACCCCCGGACAGCAAGAGCAGTTGCATTTCTGCCAGTGTGTGATTCCAAGTGATCATCCTTTTAATACGCAGCTGTCGCCTGCATGCTGGACACTCTGAAAGCCCAGGCTGCCATTTTGACCACAGGCGGCGAGGAGAGTCGTCGCTGTTGGGCGTACAGGAAATCATTCAGAATTTGCGCTGTTCCCCCGTGGCCATGGCTGCCCAGCTCAAGGTCTCCCGAAGAAAGACCAACGAGACACCATTGCCCTACACTGCCTCTCCTCCCTATCTTTTATGGAGTGATATCCGTCTGGTGCTACGATATGCTTGGGCCTTGCCGATGATTTTTCTGCCTCTTCATTTGCGTCGAACAAGCTCACTAGATGAGTTACAACTGTCATTCCAGAGCATAGTGTCGGTGCTCGTGCACTTGTTTCTCGTGGTCTTTCAGCTCATCTTTCTACTTTCACTACCTCTTCTGGCGATCTTCCCGGTGCCTGTACCCTGGGCTATTGTTTATATTGCGGCGTGTGTTGCATTCAATTATGCTATCTGCATGACCATGTTGAATGGCTTCGAGCGCGTTCTACAATCCCAGGCGCCAGTAGCCGAACAGCCTTGGCAACGGAAAGAGCGTTGGTTCTATATTAACGGTATTGCTTGTGGGTATGTTGTATTCTGCCTTGCTCCGGCCAGTATCTTCTGCTGATCATTCTTCAGTCGCTACTGGGTGCAAAACAATATCGATCAACTGTCCTACAGCTTCGGCCGGAGAATCACCGGTGTACATAATCGCACGTATGTTGAGTGAATACCATACCGCGCGTTATACCACCTCTCGTCCAATTCTACCAATACTAATCATTCAAGCAGTGCCGGTATCATATTTGATCTCATTGAATGCTTGATCCAGCGTGGGTTCGCCTATGCTACAGACGATGTTCGACGAGCCTATGTTCTACTTAAAGAAGCGTTGCTCGATTCGTCCGTCGAGAAAGTCGTGCTTGTACTTCACAGTCAAGGGGGGATTGAAGGTGGTCTGGTCATCGACTGGCTACTCGACGAATTGCCGCAAGACCTTCTTCACCAGCTCGAAGTCTATACCTTTGCAAATGCGGCCAATCACTTCAACAACCCAGTCGATTCTTGTCAAGCGCCTGCACATGACTCTTTTCGCGAAAGGATGCAGCCCAAACGGCGCTCTATCAAATACATTGAGCACTACGCCAATGCAGATGATCCTGTCTCATGGCTTGGTGTGCTTCAATTTGCCAATATTCCGAACCGATACCTCGGGCGTCTGTTCGTTCGCCCGGGCTCGGGTCATTTGATGAACCAACACTACCTGGACAACATGTTCACTCTGGGCCCTGACAAGAAGGTACTGGAGTCCAACGCCTTCATGGACATGAAGGTGGAAACATCCTCCGACCGCGATGCTCTCCCGGGAAGGGAGTCATTGAAGCCCGCCGGCGAACTTGATGAGCCTGACGAGGAAACGCTTTCCCCATTGGCACAATCCGCCCCAGTGTTTCAAAATGGTACGCCACTCTCTGGACAAGACTACACGAAACTTCAAGTCAAGGATTTCAGTAGGCTGTGGCAATACAGAAATGGGGGCTCTCCTGACTGATAGTCGCATTATTGTGTCTCTATCACTCGGACCAGTGAAATGGGCTGGGTGGTCTGAGATTGGAGATGCGAGTTTTTGAAATATGGTAGGCCACGAGATAAGATTTCAGTGGAATGATCATGAAAAATGATGCCTTGTTTGTCATTCGCTTTACGGTTTTGCCCAATGGAACTCTCCGAGAGCCTTTGAAGCAACACATACAAAGCGCTTTATCCTTAAGTACTCTCAGGGTATATCCATCATTCTCTCACAATGCCGCCTTCTGTGGGGATTAGCAAAATCATGATCTGAAGATTGCGACCAAATGAATGGTCTTTAAAGACGGGATTCTACAGCGATAAGACTCTCGTCAAACCCATAGAGACTATCTCATGAGATTCTTTCTTGTCCTCGCGCCTCAAAGCAGGATGATTAGCTAGGTGGGCGAGAATTGCCTTTTCTTGGCAATCGTTGCACTATCCATTGCAATCTGAAGTCATCCAACACTTGTCCGTTACATTCACTTAACGATGATTGCCGACTGTGCACCCTTTCAATTTCACTCAGGATGGCATCCCTATCCAACACCGCCGCCCTCGCCACCACATAATTCATATCCGTCCCCGCGCCCCTCCTCGAGTCCTTGACATGCAATCTGGTGCGTTGTGGCATTTAGTGTTCAAATCTGACTTCTGCCGATAATGGCGAGCTGTCAATGCTAGCACCAGCGTCCTATCCGATAATAAATCGAATTCTTACGCAGTATTACGAAACGAAGGTATAGAGTTGTCAGGACAAGGGACCTTAGAGCCATTAAAAAGAACAGTCTCGGTCTACAAATTCACACTGAGCTGCCGTGGTGGAAACTTGGGAGAATTCACTGCGTCAGGCTTGGGCCATTTGCGCTATGCCTCAGGTATCTCTCAAACGAGCTACGCCTTGATTTATTCATCGTAAAAAAAATGCACATGTCTCTCATACACACTTAGCCCTTTATTGCCAAAATGTGGATAGTTAGACGGATCAAGGAAATCTCATTTTCCTCGTAATGATGAAAAGCAAGGAGAAAAGATATAGAACGCCTGTCGCCGTGCAATGCAAGTAAAGAGTCGGAAGGATTGAAGCGTCATCGACTCAATCAGGCCTTGCCCTTTTTCTTATCCTTCTTCTCCTTTTTTGAGACAGTAGGCGCGGAGGGCTCCCCGCCCATGGCGGCCAGGTTTTCCAAGCCCGGAATGGAAGGCATACCTGGCATACCATGCATGTTCTGCATCTCAGCCATAGCCTCCTTGAAGGGATTGTCACTAACACCGCCTCCGCTGTAGGCTGGAGAGTGTATGGGAAGGATCTTGCCAACCTTCCAGCCACGTGGGGCAGGAGGGGCCCCAGGAAGCTTTTCAGGCGTGGGCAAGCCGCGGATGCGCAGACGAAACGGCGATTGTTCAGTGGTAGGGTGAGCTTTCAGATATTGAGCGACAAGAATGTAAAGGTGATGCTCTTGAAGAATGGAGATCCCAGGTCAGTCACATACCTCATTAGGAGTCAAAGCAATCGGGTTATGCTGGGGCACTCACTATTCTTGATCTTCGGGTTTATGAGTCGACCCTCCTCGTTCTTCAAGAGCACTCGCACACGGCCGGGATTCGCCCAGTCCTTGGGATGCAGCTTGTCTGCTTCCAAGCCAGCTTGTAGCCCGACCATCTGCACTGCATCCAGAATGTCGCGAGCAAGTGGATTCTCCACCGCAAGCTCGGACCCAACCTTGCGACCCTCGGCCCGTGAGCGCGACTTGTCGAAATATACCGGGTAGAGACATTGAAAGTGCTTGGGGATCTCGCGTTGGGGCTCTGGGAGCTGTTGCGTTATCGAGGCCATTGAAGCCAATGGCGAAGGCGCGGCGGGTGTTGGGATCGACTGCTTGGGAATTGATGCAGGCTCGATGATGGAATTCACCGCCATCAAATCAGAGGGAGCGACCTCATCGGGATCGGAGTCTGACACTTCTTCAATGCGGGCATGGTGTGACATGGTGGGCAGTGCGACGAGATGTTTGAAAATGAGGGGGCAAGAAGAAGAAAGTGCGGGAGGTGGTCTTTGCGGCCTTTGGGATCTTCTGTGCGGGCGGCGGGCGGCGGGCGGAGGAGGATTGACCAGTTGGTGGTGCTCCTGGTAATCTGGGGTAGGCGGCCAGACTACTACTACTGTTGGCTCTTAGGATTAGTAGTAGTCGTTAGTGAGCGGTCGGGATGCTTGAGCCGAACTTGGTTTTACATCTTCATATGGCCGAGACTGGAACATTCGGAGTACTTGCTGCTAGGTAGTAGGTCTGTAAGAAGAATATGATCTTGCGAGTTGTCTGAGCGCCGGAATCTTGACTTGCTGGTCCTTCCCATCTCATCGATTCAAAGCATGTAACTAAATGTATATGTCACATGTCGGAAGATCACAAATTAGGTACCCAACGAAATCCTGTACCCGACGATTTAGCCTTTCCAATTCGGCATTTCGTCTCATGCCCAACCAAGTGAAATATCAGATCATGTCAGCATTTAGGGACATTCATGGGTGATCGATTCATTCAACTCCTGGAGACTGTGAGGTGGCTAGATTCAGCCCATCTCAGGCGTATGGTACATGAGCGGCAATGCAGGGTCCTGCATGGTAGCACGCGGAGGAGTCTCACCATAACGCGCCAATCCACCTATCTGATTCGGTGGGACCGCTCACTTCGTCACCGCATTCGTATGAAATATCCTAAGTCGAGTCTTTCCGAGAACGACATTCCGATACAAAGTAGTCTAGTATCTTCGTATTACACTAGCTTATTTCAATCGTGACTCACACTGATAAAGGCACACCAATTGACGACTCGGCTTCGCCACGGCTCGGCATGCCGAACCCACCATCGACTATTCCCCCGCAATGAGCAGATAGCCTCGGATGAGTTGGGGAGATAAAAAGGGGAGCAGCCCTGACTCGCCACGCTCGAATCTGATTCAATAGTTGCCATCCTATCGCCCAATTGTCTCCAACATTTGCAGACATTGAAGGAACAGGGAGGCCGCTTTTTATTGGGGTTCTTGCTATCGTAGCCATCTATTATCCCAACTTTCCCTTGCCGTCCTAGTTACCTGAACCACGCAATGTCCAGTGCTGTTCTCCATCGAGACACCCACTTCATTCCCCGGAAAGCTGTCGGGGGCGAAGGATGCTACATCTTCCTGGAGGATGGCACCAAATTCCTGGACTCTACCGGAGGCGCTGCGGTGTCCTGCCTGGGCCACGGAAATGAACATGTCAAGCAAGTCGTCAAGGCACAGATTGATCAGATCTCGTACTGCCACTCAGCCTTCTTCGGTACTCAAGCAACAGAGGATCTGGCAACCTTTCTCACAGAGTCCACAGGCGGCAAGATGTCCAAGCTGTTTGTAGTGAGCTCGGGTAAGTGCTCCGTTGCAGAGTGCTCTCCCATCTCGACATAACCACTGCAAGATCGAACGATCATTGATGTGATGATGTATTAGGGTCGGAGGCTTTTGAGGCAGCTCTCAAGCTTGCTCGTCAATATTTCCTCGAGCTGCCGACTCCACAGCCTGAGCGGACAAGGTTCATCTCTCGCTTGCCCTCGTATCACGGCACCACGCTTGGAGCGCTGGGCGCTGGTGGACATGTGCAACGAAGGCAGCCATTCGAGCCCCTTTTGGCCCAGAACACATCTCATGTCTCACCGTGCTATCCTTATCGGGGTAAGAAGGAGGGAGAGTCAGACGCCGACTACGTGGCTCGTCTTGCCGCAGAGCTCGACGCAGAGTTCCAGAGAGTCGGTCCTGAGAAAGTGTGCGCTTTTGTCGCTGAGCCGATTGTCGGTGCGGTAAGTTCAGACAGTCAAGGTGAGATAGAATGAGGGAGTCAAACTGACATCAGTAGGCCCTTGGTTGCGTGCCCGCTGTTCCTGGTTATTTCCCCGCCGTGAAGGCCGTCTGCGAGAAATATGGAGCTCTGTTGATTCTGGATGAAATCATGTGCGGCATGGGTCGGTGCGGAACCCTTCACGCATGGGAGCAGGAGGGTATTGTGCCTGACATTCAAACCATTGCCAAAGGTCTTGGTGGGGGCTACGTGCCGGTGTCCGGTATTTTGATCAACGATGCCGTCGTTCAAACCATGGACAAAGGTACCGGTCAGTTTCGACATGGGCAAACCTATCAGGGCCATCCAGTCTCTTGCGCGGCAGCATTAGCGGTTCAGCAGACTATCAAGCAACAAGCGCTTCTGGACAATGTCCGTGACATGGGCCATTACCTTGAGCAACGTCTTCGTCAGGAGTTCGAGTCTCATCCACATGTTGGCGATATACGTGGAAAAGGCCTGTTCTGGGGCGTAAGTAACATCTTCGACTGCGGTGCCCGCTTGTTTTCAACTGGCAGCTAACTTGATTGACGTCCTTTCGTAGTTGGAATTCGTGCAAGACAAAACCACCAAAGAGCCATTCGACCCCAAACATCGTTTAGCATTCCACATTCAGGAGACTGGACTGAAGAAAGAGTACGCCGTCTCATTCTACGGGTCTTCCGGCACAGTTGATGGCATTCGTGGTGATCATGTGATAATAGCACCACCTTACATTGTGACAAAAGAGGAGATCGATGTTGTGGTGGACACGCTGGCTAAGGTTCTTGAAGTCGTGCTTGCTAATTTTCACGAGTAGCTCTGATCCGCCTGTCTCTCAACTCAACGGAGCCACTCTGATCCTGTCACAGACATGATAATGGTCCCTAGCATATGTTTAAGGTTACCACCGAAACAATGGAAGAAGTCAGCTTTTACGGCTCTTGTGCCAGCTTGGAAAAATGGACCGTTTTCCGTCCTTCGTTTAACTCTCATAGAACTACATCCCAGTTAAAGCAAAATATGACAAGATCAGCTGGAACTGAAGAGCTTATGTTAAAATGCAGAAGCGATAGCAAAGCGAATTGTGCACTAAAATGTCTCCGAAATGGCTCATTTTGTGTTGGGTATCCTGATATCGTACATGAAAACTTCTTCATTTCTCGGCTTCAATTGCAGCCACCTTCCTTGGAGGCCCATTCGCCTCAATGTGACTCTTGGAAGAACCATTAGACACAACTTCGGTGGGCATAGAGCTGGGCGCCCACAATCCTGCGACAGTCTCGACTGCTCGCTCAACGACGACTCGTACACGGTCGCGAAGTACAGCATTTGAGCACTCCACTTCCAAAGTCTCCAGCCACACGCGCGCAACATGCTTGTCGATCTTGATCTCAAGCCCGGGCACCGGGATACCGAGGGCATGAAGACGGTCCAGCTCTGCGGATTCAATATCGTCCACGCGCTCTTCCTTATTAGCTTCAGTAGTGTCGTCCGTACCGATCGCTAGATCGACTGGAACGCGTGGCTTTTCAATTGGTCCAATATCTGAACCAAACTGAGCTTCAAGCATCATGAGAAGACGAGCCAGCCGATCTTCGGGTCCGACGTGAGCATGGGGATTTTGAAGGGACAAGAAAGAATCCTCATCGTCGTGATGGTGATGATGATGCTTTTCCTTGGCAGATTCTGCGAAGCATTAGCACATTGGCCGGAATCTCAATCAGGAGAATTTGTACTCACGCTTGACAGAGGCTGGACTGCTCTCAACTGTGAGTAGTACAGCCATTACCGCATCGGCAACGCCATCATTCATCATGTTGCCTTCCCACTCCAACTCAATCTCGCGAGTTCGAGGCTGATAATGAAGGGTCACACAGCCCATGACCAAGTAAGTCTGCTTTTCCTCCATGCGAATCTCCTCGTCCGCATCCTCCTGCTTCGGATCCGACATGGACGTATCGCCGTTCGTCTCCTTCTTGATATTTTGCTTTGATTGGGTGCCAACCTCCTCAATAGCCCCGAAAGTGCCTTCAAGCGCCCACCGAATGAGATCTATGCTCGCAGAGCTGAGCGTCAGATGTTGTTTGCAAATGATAGTGGTCGTCGTAAGGCCAGCATATTCCCGAAGGTCATCTGCTGCCATCAATGACAGATCGAATCCATTCTGTACCAGGACTCCGGCCATCAACTGGCTTTCATCCTCAGAGGTTGGGGGAGCAATGTCTGCGAGCTTGCCGACAACCCTGGCAAACTTGTCCTTGCGGAATGGAATACGCAGCTCGGAACAATTGGCTGGGGTGAAGACTTTAGTCGGCGTGGCCTTTTGGGCATTGAGAGATAGCAGCTTTGACTTCAAGCGCATCATCTGATGCTTCTCTCCATGTACTAGAATCTGGTCGAAAGGTCAGCTTCCAGGTGCAGGGTAAAAGAGACATGTCCTGAGGGTACATACGACTACTGGTGCAGCCACTTCTTCAATGAAGTTGCGATTCTCAACACCGTCAACATGCGCGGCAAAACTGATTTCATCAATAGTGCAGCGACGAGGAATCATAACCTTTTGATCCTCGTCACCTCCGCCTGGGACACGCCCACGGCCTTGCCCTGCTGAGACTCTGGACATGATTGCAGGAATTGCCTCTGGCTCGTTCAGAAGCTGCTTGGCCATCGTCCCCTCCACACTGTAGCCTGTCATTACTACACCGTTGCGGTCGCTAGGTGCCCATCTCTCAAGAAGCTCACGGCTTGTGCCGGTCTGTAGCATACCCGGAGATGCTATCATCACGCAACCTCCAACATCATCAAAGCGCTCGAGGCTACGGAGGCTTCGCACGAAACGGAAATCCCACGGGCCTGCTGTTGCGCTTTTATCTCCGCTTGCCTCCGCTTCGGCCATGCGTTGCCTGAATAATCGTTTGATATTGTCGTTCATGGCACCAATATATGTCTGGTAAACCACCATACAACGCCGTGCCATGTTACCAATGTAGTATATAGGAACCTTTTGTAGCTCGGGGTGTCGTTCCCAGTATTCTTCGAGAATCAGCAGCAGCTCCTGTGCGCGACCTAGGGCAAATACGGGCATCAAGACTCGTCCACCCCGGTTTAGGATCCCCGTGATCGATTTCATGAGCGCAGCCTCCCGCTCCAAACGTGGGGGATTCGAAGAAATGCCAAACGTAGACTCGGTAATGAGTACATCAATTTTGATGCCGCGCGGAACCTCAGCAGGGATCAAATGGCGATCTTCCTCACGCGAATAATCCCCTGTGAACAAGATATTCAACCCAGCAATAGATACGAGGAACATTGCGGCGCCTAGGACGTGGCCGGCAGGGAAAGGCGTGATGCGGATGCTGTTAATTGTATGTGTCGTGTTGAAATCGATTGTTTCAATGAGGGGTAGAGTTGACAGGTGATCGCGCTCTGTATACAGAGAGGTGCGTTGGTCAGATGAGGAGGACGTGTTGCTGACTCGGACATTGTCCTGAATCAGCCATTTGTAAATGGCCTTTGTCGCGTGGGTCATGAACACACGACCTTTAAAATTTGTCTTGCTCAAGACATACGGAAGTGCGGACGAGTGATCGACGTGAAAACTAGAATTATTAACAATCAGTACCAAGTAAAGAATGAGCGTTGCGCCAACGGCGGCAGCGCGAAAATCGAAGTCGCAATTGTTCCTAACAAACAAGACCGGGGCAGGCCGGACTATCACGCAGGGATATCGTAACGTTCATCTTCACAGCGCCTCCCCCGACGAGAGTAACAAGATCTCTATCTGTTGCAAAGAAGGCAGGGGGACCACGAGGGCTGGGGTATGTGCACGTACTGGCTAATCAATAGGATGTCGACAGTGCTCAAATCGAATTCATCGAAGAACGGGAGTGCGGAGAAGCCTTCTTTGGCTGGATGCATACCCGCATCAAACTGGAGATGAAACACATTAGCACGTTGTCAAGCAGATCAATAGTCTCGTATACGCACCATGACTGTTTTGCCCTTATACTGGATGATATGACATGAACGTCCGACCTCGTTTCCACCGCCCAAACAATAGAACGCGAGCTCATCAGAGGGATCCACGGGTTCGTCATCGGCGCCAGAGCCCATTGCCACAGCCTTGCGCTTAGTCGCCATATTTGCGTCTTTGCGTCGACAATGTGCGCCCCCGCAGGTGGTCCTGAGAGCTTGGTTGGGGCCAGTCCAGGATAAGGACCGGTTGGGTCTGAAGACACCACGACCCTCGCGAGTCGCAAAGTCACAATTTCGCCACCAGAGGATGAATTACCAGAGTTGACGCCAGAAGCGCAAAATGGTAAACTTGTAAGCAGAAATTGAGAGCAGAGTGAAAAGGCGAATGACTTTCGACATGGAAGCTTCTGTCGAGACGCGGCGTTATCTGTAGTATCACGTGATGACGCGAACCGCGGAGCAAAACCTCAAGTTACGCCAGAAGCTCCCGAAGCATCCACTTGGTAGACACTTGCATCGAGGACCTCGCCGTCCTACCAGCTCGTATCTGTCATTCTTCTACAACGCCAATCAGTACTTGCATACACTGCGATTGAATGGCTGTTGTGAGATGATCAGAGCCAGTGGTTGTTGGTGGTGCGAGCATATCGCTCACTTCAGAACCCTCGTGTGGTCCAATCCACAAGCGACTCGGGCTGCGCAATAGCGATTTCCCTCAACCATCATCATCGGTTCTGAGCGGTTCTAGGTGTTTGTTTCACCATGGCGCAAACACGCCCTCCCCACCCACAGGGACAGCAACAACAACAGCAGCAACCCCCACCGCAATTCGCTACACACCCCTTCTCTCCTCCAGTCTCTTCGCCTTCACCTCACTCTGGACAATCTCCAGTCAACGGATCGATCGCGCCGCCACCTCAAAAGAAGCCTCGCTTATCTCCTCTTCCTCCATCTCAAACGCAATCACCGTATGCCTCGCCAAGCTTCGGCGCAATGCAACTTCCTCCGGCACAGCCTCAGGTGAACGGCATGGCCACCAATCTCACCCCGTCAACTCCCACTGGGGCTGCGCCTGCTCCAGGGACCATGGGACCTCCATCACGCCCTGTTGATAAGACAACTGATGCAGCTGAGCTCACAGACGTATTGGCCTCCTCGGGAATTGACGTTCGAGAAGAAGAGGCTTTCCTCACGCGCAGTTTCTCTGGGCCGAATGCGCAGGCGCAGGCGGCCAATAGACCCCCACTGCCACAGCAACCATCCCAAACAAATGCGTCCTTTGCATCGCAAACGTCCACGACTGGGACAATCTCTGCGACGAGCAGTTTTGGTGACCCACCCAACAACAAGCCAGCGGCTGCGACGAGTTCGTTCTCTTCCGATCCGACATCTCAAAGCTCCACCATTAGCAACCAGCCCACACGTGCAAACACAGAGGCGGCACGAAGGGCACAATACCATCTTCAGGAACCGTTCCTGTTCGCGAAGCTTGTGGAGCAGAAGATTCAGAAGCGTGGTTTTGAGCTTGGGGTTCGGATCCCCTCGGAAGGTCTTTTTCATCCAGTACCCGGCCGCCAGGCTCCGATTGAAGTCACTGGTCCCGATGGCTCTTCTATCGTGCGAACTGGTCAAACTATCCTCAATCAGGAGGGAGCGCCGCTTGTCGACATCTTGAATCTCGTTTCTCTCTCATGCGAAGAGCGCCTCCGAGGGGTCATAGACTATGCATCTACGCTGGCGCGCAGTCGCAGAGCCCATTCGCACGGGGTAGTACCAGATGCGTGGGTTGACATTGCAAAACCTCTCGGTCCCACTGCGGGGAATACTGTTACTCCGTCTAAACGTAAGAATGGCTGTCACTCAACTGAGGTACTTTGCTTCCTGGTCATCCAACTAATCTCTTTCTTGCTCCCCAGGACCCCATTTGGACGGCGATGCTGCAGCTCGCAAACCACCAGCGGAGAGATACAAGGGCTTTGTTACGAGAGAAGGTAGTCGGGAAAACAAACGGGCTGCCAAGCGCGCAAAACGTGGAACCAGTGCGACAGCTGTTGATGAACCGAGCGCACGATATGACCCAGTGGCAATTATGGGTTCAGCCCCGTCCACACCGGTGGGGGAAAGAGCTCCTAGCTTTGACAGCAAGAAGTCCATGACGAAGAAAGAGCAAAAGAAAATGATGGATAACAAAGCCAACGAGGCACAGCAACATCAGCAGTCGGTGGAGACAGCACGACTTGCCACAAATTCCATGCTTTCTGGGCGCATGTTCGGCGCCAAAAAGTCATATTCGTGGCTGAAGCCTGGAGGCTCGTCGAGTGGCTTTTCGACGCCCACCCGACCTGCACCCTCTACCCCTACAACAACAGCAGCAACAACAGGGCCAGAGAAGCACACTCAGTCCGGTGAGACACCAGCCGGGCCACCGAAGCGACGCCTCGGCACGTGGCGAGAAGACCAGGAGAAAGGACGAGGCATTCAGGTTCGGGACATCTTGTTTGCTGTCGAGGCTGATGGGCGAGCGAGTAAACATGTCCAAAAGGGTTATTCGAGGGATCCAAAGGAGGACCGAGGGTCATGAAGCCCCCCACCTGCACTTGTAATTTTAATCGATACAGCGAATGCGTGAATGAACCTGCCAAGAATTCAAATAACTGCTTTTACAGAGGAAGGGAGGGCATATAGGCTCCGTCAACGACGGAGAATGCTTTTTGTTTCTACTTGTAGTGAGCTGAATTCAATTGGACTGAACAGACCGGACATACATCGTGTTACCTTGCTCGTCGAGACCGTCCCTCGCTGCAGGATAGCTCATCGGCATCCATCAGCGTCAGCACCCAGTAACTACTCCACCTAGCCGCAGTAAAGTCTGGTCGAAGAGGGTCGTCGAACACTGTCTCCAGTATACTACATGTCTGGGTATGTAGTTCTAGGTTGTGTTCAAGTCTTACATATACTGACTGCATATGGATGTTCTGCTGTCTATTGATGTTTAGGGGATCAATCACTGTACAAGGGTACACAGAAGTAAGGTACTACTAAGGTACGAATTATGTAACTAGTGATAGATATTGTACTTGTCTGGGCTTCCAAGTAAGATTGCCTCCACATGTGCATTATGCGCAACATTTGAGATATTCAAGAGAGTCAGGGTTGTGAACTATGTCCGATAAGTGATAGGGTCGCGCGTCAGATGTGGAGATTGAGCGAGGTTTTGCTGGCTTATTGAGGATTGGAAGGTTCCAGTTGCTCAGCCATTCTCCAGCTTAATGGAGGTACCTACATACATGCTATTGAGCAGTGTGCACTGTACAGTCACTGTACAGTGTACACTACTCATCTTAGCTCCTAGGTGCCCGGTGATGTGAAATCTCACGGGTTACTCCCAGGGTCTACACAAAAGTGTCAGATTTCCGATGGATGATGATCAGTCCCATTTGAAGATGCACCAGAATCCCCCATCGCCGTCTGTGGGGGCGGAAATCGATTGCCCAGGTGAATACCGACGCCGATGGATACAGTATCTCGGTTCTGTTGACCTGCAGTGAAAAGATTGGTAATTGTACAGGGGCCTTCTCTTTATTTTGAGATTTTGCATGCCAAAGCGGTCCCTCTTCCAGGAATTAATAATGGCCACCACAGTACGGTTGTAAAATGAGGAGTATTCATACTCCACCGCGTCATCCGGTGCCCGACACTTTCCACGGTCCTCTGCCCCGAAAGGTTTATTCCCGCGCGGATCCTCCAATGGTGCCTCTGGAATGGTGACTTTTATAAGGAAGAGGGGCGGTGTGAAAGACCGGCACTCTCGCAGTAAGATTGCTAGGCTGGGGTTTGAATGCAATACGTATCGGAGCCGAGAGGGCACGGAATTGGCGATCGAACTGGTATGACTGTGCGGTGGGCGATAACAGTGGCAACGGGCAGTATACACTACATTGTTACTGTATACTTATAGCGTATACTGTACGGTAGAGACTACATAGAGACCAGAGACCTATAGTAATGTGAAGACTTTCACCTGCTTATTTGACCGAGTGGTGTCCGTGGCACCTGCCTCAACATTAGATGTCTCCGTGTGGAAAAAGGCCGACGAAACAGGAGCGAAACAGAAGCGGCTGGAGGCATAGACTAGAAAGAGAATCGGCATTCAAAGAGACGCAAGTTGAAAGAGAAGCAAGAACTTGAGACACAGCCTCGATGGTGAATCACCAGCTTCTTGAGGTGCTGGGACGATCCTTCAATAGGGAGTCTGGTGTGGTCATGCCAGATCGTCTGGATTTAGGGGCGACAGTCATATTCTAGACCGTTAAGAGATCGATGTTTACCTGGCACACCTCACAATCTTCGGAATACGCTAGGAATCTGATCTAAGATAGGCGGGTTAGCGCGATGAGAGGATCAATGCAAGACGCGGGAGAAAGTGTATACAATACTGGACCGGTGGACACACTGGACAGAGTATTTAATCTATGGGTCACAAGAGCATCGACTGTGTTTGACATTTATTGCAATGATTCGTAGTCACTTGAGGTTAGTCTAGGAAGTAGCCCCCTCAGTGGTATATGGCCTTAGTACTAGACCACTGGCAGCATACCGCCAACTACCGCCAGGCGAATTGGTCACTGGCGGGTTTTGAGACGTACAGTAGGGCGCATGCATCAAGATGCGTTGAGCCTTCGGGCACAACGTTCTTTCGCTTCAAACTCGTGAATGACTTGATGCCACTGAGGCATGGGTGCATTGTTCCCTGGGAGCTGCTTGAAGGCTTTCTCGACAAGTGCGATCATCGAGAGCATCTGGTTGAGAATTGTCTCGCGATAGTCTTGAAAGCCAACCTGCAACTCGGGATCTCAAGAGGTTTCATTTGTTCACTCATAGCACGCCGGGGACTCCAGACTCGCAAGAACAGTTGATTGAAGGTCCATATTGAGGGATTGATGATCCGTGAAAAGGAGACTCAATGTAAGGAAGGCAAGAGCGAGGGAGGGAAAAAGAACTCAAGGGTTGTAGAAGACGATCGCGGGCGGTATCGTCAACCACTACGGTCACGTTGACGTACCTTTCCCCAGCGGTATTCGACCCCCCGAGATCAAACATCCGCCTACTCTCACCTCACGTTCAGCGCTGTTCGTGTGACGGACAGGACTTCTTCGTCCACCATGTCCACACCATCCACTGCGACTGCAACTCATCATCCTCAGCCTCAGCACTACGGATACTATCAGCCCTCCGCGTCGTATCCGACTCCGACCACCACCGCCGCAGGGGCTCGCCTTGCAAATCCCTACACCTACGCCATTCCCTCTCCAACCATCTCCACCACACCCAACTCCGCTGCTGCTGCGAATCCAACCACCACAGTGCCCTACAGTCAACCTTCGCGAATTGCTCCGGTCACATCTTCGCAGGCTTCGACCCAAACGGTCATGGCATCCTCCCAGAGCGCCCACAGCGCGTCCCACGGTGGGCGGAGAAAGAAACCCGATTGGGGCGAATTCTACAAGAACGGCCTCCCCAAGGAGGTCATCGTGATTGATGACAGCCCTGGTCCCGAATCATCCAAACCTGCAACAGGCACAACAGGAGCCGCTGTATCACCCTTTCAACCATCATCGACGGCGGCGGCGCCGGCGGCGGCTGCTGCTTCCTCACATGGTGTCCCAGCCAACGGCCAGGCGTCCGTGGCTCAACCCGCTGGCAAGCGGCGCCGCACGGGGATTGAGACCGCGTACGATCTGGGACATTACGATCGGCCATCCTTCTCAATAAATCCCCAACAGTACGGAGAAGAATCGCCTGCACATTCCAGATCCACCGATCGCACGACGTCACTACATACGACTGCCCCGACCTCCCTCGGGTCACAGGGAAGCACGGCGGTCAACAATGGGGTCTACTATGATGATGGCGCGGTGGGCCAAAAGCGCAAGCGTACCACGCGCAAGTCCACTCGAGACGAGCAGAAACGCCGCGAACTGGAGACTGCGCCGGAAGCACTCCCCAGTTACATTCCTCCCTCGAAACCCATCATCAAGGCCAAGGATGTACCGGTCCCGCTTGTTCGAGACGTAAGTTTCACAAAGGTCCCCACAGCAAGATGTGGTGTTCCTTTTTTTGTTTTCTTTTCAAGCCCACCGTCAACTAACGCCATATGTCTGCCTTGGATAGTATACCGCTGGTCGGGGTGAAAAGTACGACGACGATGATGGCCACTACATCGTGAACCCCAATACACCACTTACAGAACGATGTGAGTGAAAGACAGACAATGCAGCCTGGGAATTCGGATCGGGACTGATTCTCTGCTTTCTTGCGTCTCAACAGATTCAATTATCAAGCTTCTCGGCCAGGGGACTTTCGGTAAGGTTGTCGAGGCCTACGATAAGCAGCGAAAATCTCGATGCGCGGTAAAGATCATTCGTTCCATTCAAAAATACCGAGATGCTTCGCGCATCGAGCTCCGAGTCTTGTCGACTCTGGCCTCGAATGACCGCTCCAATCGCAACAAGTGCATTCACCTGCGCGACTGCTTCGATTTTCGTAACCACATCTGCATAGTGACCGATCTTCTGGGTCAGAGCGTGTTTGACTTTCTCAAGGGCAATGGCTTCGTGCCATTCCCCAGCAGTCAGATCCAGAGCTTTGCTCGGCAACTGTTTACAAGCGTGGCCTGTATGTCTGCCCTCTCTGATGCTTCATCTGGCTCTGATCTGTGTGGGAAATGCCTTGCTGATTGATTAAAATTCTAGTCCTTCATGACCTCAACCTCATTCACACCGATCTGAAACCCGAGAACATTCTTCTTGTCAGCAGTGCCTATCAAACCTTCACTTACAACCGCACGATCCCATCCTCCTCCCATGCCAACCCTCGCAATGCTCGACAGCGACGCGTTCTTCTCGACAGTGAGATTCGTCTGATCGACTTTGGATCCGCCACCTTTGACGACGAGTATCACTCTTCAGTGGTGTCGACCCGCCACTACCGCGCGCCCGAGATTATACTCAACCTGGGCTGGAGCTTCCCTTGCGACATCTGGAGTATCGGTTGTATTCTGGTGGAATTCTTTACCGGAGATGCCCTCTTTCAGACTCATGACAACCTGGAGCACCTTGCTATGATGGAGGCGGTGATAGGCTCTCGGATCGATTCCCGAATGGTTCGCCAGGTGGTGCAAGGCCGTGCTGGCAACCACAATGCTGCTGTCAAGTACGTTTTTTTTCTCCTGCCTTCCCTCCACGATTGCTGAAGATTGAACCCGATCACTGATCGTTGACTTTATCTGTCTCTCAGGTACTTTGTTCGAAGCAAGCTGGATTACCCGAACAATGAAACGACCCGGGCGTCCCGCAAATACGTTCGGATGATGAAGACGCTTACGGTAAGCTTGGTCATGTCAACTCATATCTTGCACCGGTCGACGTGCGGCCTGCTAATCTGTATCCACTCAAATACAGGAATTCATCCCAACCAATACCCAGTTCAATCGCCTCTTTCTCGACTTGCTCCAGAAGATCTTTGTCTATGATCCCAAGCAACGCATCACTGCCAAGCAGGCATTGAAGCACCCTTGGTTCAAGGAGTCTCTGATTGACGATGGAACGGAAGCCTATCGCATTGGCATGGGTCTTCAACGCCAGGCGGGTCCTCGGTCATAGCGCGGTTACTCGTGTTTTCTGCATGAACAATTCTCTCAGTTCTCGGGTAGACAGTAATCGGTCTGCTATTCAAGAATTAATTCACTGTCGACAATCTGGATGGGACGGAAAGGCGATTGACGGGATTTCGTTTTCTTTTTCTTTTCTTTTTCCATTGGGCAACTCACATTGACTGGGCACATTACGATTACGATATATTTTTCTTCTCATTTTTCTTGGGTTGGCTTGTGCTGGTACCGGGTTTCGTTCTTTGGCACACTTTTTCTTTTCTCGACACCTATCTGAGCTCGTTATTTTAACGATGGTTTTACTGTGCACATACCTCCCTTGGTGTTTCTTGTCATAGGCCAAGACTGAGGAATTTGGATCCGAATGAGGATCCCTCATTGCTCTGTGCTCTACCACGCCCCCCCCCCCCCCCCCCCTTAATCACGGTGCTCTCTTTGTTTTTTTCCACGGCCAGATGGCATCACTTTGGGCGATCATGTCATGCTCTCTTATTGTAGTTATTTTGGGGTGGAGGAATTGTTCTGCTTGATGTGAGGAGAAGTCTTGTCGGCGTTCCGCGATCAAAGGGGGTCTATATCTCTACAAAGGTTTTGGTTTTATTTTGATCTTTGCATCCGAGTGCGATCATGTCTTCTATTGTTCTTTCAGCGGTCAGGTCTATTTTTTTTTTCGTCCTCATTTTTCGTCCCTTGGGTGTGAAAGTGCGATATTGGAGTTGAGCAATATTGAGTTTCGAGATTCTCTGCGTCTTTTGATTAACACCATGAAATCGGAGATTCCCAGGCGTCTTTTCGCAAGAGTCATTGATGGTGTACAACTGCACATACTCCTGGCATGTGCCGAAGTCTTGGCCTACTCTCTATTCTCCCTTGTTCTGCGTTGTCATACTCTCCCCCATGAAATGATTCTGGAGATTGTGCTCATAAACAGAGGATGAGATTCCAAGTCTGCAGTTCGGTACTTGTCGCTCGGGAGACATGAAGAGTGGTCACAAAGATGATGAGAGCGGATCGCAGTGTACACAATCAAGGTCTAGGCGCCGCCAGGTCTTGGTGAGCCATTGCTTGAAATCAAAGCATCAATTCACGATCTTACCTTCCGGGCCTGGGTACCACTACGGCCGAGTGTTGGCCCAGGTCGTTTCTGGCAGCGTTAACATCCAGATCTGCAACCTTGCGCGGTGGAAGTATATTTTCGATCGTTTCCGCAAGATCCAAGAGCTCCTCGTCCCGCCCGACTTGGCCCATCAACTCCAATCCAATCGGTATCCCTTGGGGCGCAGACATGGTTGGCGAACTATATCCAGCTGAAAATGATGTGGAAACGTCAACAATGATTCTTCGAGCTCCTAGGATTGTTTTGATAGTTCGGTTGATAGTACATACCAGATAAGCAAATCGCCGGTCTCCCCGTTAAAGCACCCAAAATTCCATTCCGTCTCGGTTGGATGGTCTCTCCAATTCTGACGGGCAATTGTCGCTGGTGAGGGTATACAAGCGCGTCGAGATCGTTGCTGACGAATAAATCCGTGACGGACTGTTTCAAAGCAGCAATACTCGCCAGTCGTCTTCGATACCCCGGAGTTGCCGTGCGAAATTCCGAGGGCTCTTTTAGCGGCGCGGTGAAGACCTCCGTCACGGCTTTTGCATGGTAGAGACCACTTTCTGCAATGGCTTGCAGCGAGATGTATGGTGCTATGACGGTGGGGGATTGGAGGAAGGCATCGAGTCGTTCTTGAAACTCGTAGATCTGGGTGTCGGCCGTGGATTGAAGAGTCGTGAACCGCCAGTCTGGATGACTGGCCGGATGGATGGTGACCAGCTGGATATCAGATTCTGGATGAGTCGCGACGATGGAAGATAAAGCTTCGCGAACGATATGCTGGACGAGTTTGTTCTCCTGGACGAGTTCCTCGGTGTGATCTTCCACTGGATCATCGAGTTCAAAGTATGATTCTAGAACTCCGATTCGAACGGGTCGTTTCTGCTGAGGCACACCCGCAGCAGACCTGCTCTGGTATCCACGATCCGCATCCACCTCGACATCTTTCATCACATCAAAAACCGCCTTCACATCTGCCACACACCTCCCCATGGGCCCCACCACATCCTGCGCCTGGCAAACAGGCACAATTCCCTCCATACAAACCCTACCCCTGGACGGTCTGAACCCGACAATCCCACACGCCGAAGCCGGCGACCTCAACGAATTGACCGTATCACTTCCACACCCGACGATTCCGATGCCCATCGCAAGTGCTGCCGCTGTTCCACCCGACGACCCACCCGGTGTGCGCGTGCAATCGTACGGGTTGAGTGTCTGTCCACCCAGGGAAGAGGTGGTTGTGCCATGAAGGGCGAATTCATGCATATTTGCTTTGGCGAGGATGATGGCGCCGGCGGAGCGAAGGCGTTGAATGACGGGGGCGTCGGTGGTAGTGCGGAGGGATTGGAGGGCGAGAACGCCGGCGCTGGTGGGTGTGTCGTGGGTGGTGAAGTTGTCTTTGAGGATGAATGGGACGCCATGAAGGGGTGGGATGTGACTATTGTACGGACATTTGCGTTTGTCGCTAGGGTTTCGAGAAGCTCCCGGATTGATTGCCGTCGATGACTTTGAAGAGAATGATGCTAGATCTCGGTCCTGGGACTGCTGGGTAGTTCCCGAAGTAGAGGTCGAGGCTGGACATGTATGACGGTGTCGAAGTTGATATACACTCCTCGCTTCGAGATCTTTCTGCGCTGCGATCTTCAAAGCATCTGGATTGATATAGATCAACGATCTGAAAGTAGAGTCGTAACGGGCGATTCGATTTAGGTATGCTTGGACAAGGGCGGTACAGGTGAGAGACTGTGCGGAACCTCGTCCAGCTTGGGCTTGAGGATCGGTGGAAAACAGGCGTTGGTGAAAGGACGAGATGGTGAGATGTGCCAAGTCTGGGAACTCGTTGTCTATTGGGGAATTCTCAGAGCACATGGTTTCTGGGTGCTCGTTAGATATACAAGGGACTATGTTGGTATGTTTTGAATGAGGGGTGACTGACTAGATACTGGGGTCAAAAGGTAAACTTGGGTAGGTTAGATCAGTCCATCTCGAATGAAGAAAAGAATGAGCCGAGGTCAGGGTCGGTGACAGGTACAGTCACACCCTATCAAAGTAGTTCCACGTTACCAGTCAAACCACAGTGAACTGGAAATCAAGGATGTTGAGTTGTTGACCGGATTCGGGGATATTGATTCGATCTATAAAAGCAGTTGGAGTAAGCCACCGCAACGTCAAGCCGAGATCGTACCTACTCCAACATGGAATTGGGGCACAATGCTGTTCGTGCGGGGTTTCTCGGCGGACCCCAGGGGAGGCTTTCCACACACTAACTACTAAACTAGTACTGCGCTTCATCTCTGGAATACGGAAGCCCAGCTAATCGAGGTGAGCCCGAACATGGGAGATTCACACGTGCGTGCCTGGAGGTTTTTATCCAATTTGTAGATCCTATGTCCCTCAAAATTCGATACTGTTCTATGTATACCCGCAAATCGATGCACGTGTAAACCCCAATACGGACGGACGTCAAAAAGCAAAGACTATTCCCAAAAACCGCGCCACAAGACCCCCAAACCCAAATTCGGGACACAATAAAGTGTCGAGACCAATTTACATACCCCGGTTGAATTCAACCATGCCCTGGTACCCTCCGCGACCGTGGAATTCTTCCTCCAAAGAAGCCGCACTAATTGCCTGTCGCTGCGGGAAGGCCGCGAGCGCCAAGGGCAACGCAAACAACGAAGTGGTCAAGATCAAGCCCAGATTGACGGGGAGCACCATGCGGGGGTTCGCACGCAACCAGGCAGTTTTCTCAAGACGGACCAGAATAAGCGGGGGCAGGACCATGATCGGCGTGGCGTTCAGCACTCGAGAAATCGCCGTTTCACCCACGGCGAGAGTTGCGGCTTTCTTACTCTTGCCCAGACTCTGGAGGGGCTCGGTGTCGTCTCCGCCGGCTTCACGCTTGGCCCGTTCGGCATCGGACAGGACGGGGTAGACGTCGATACCGCGGCGGATTTCTTCACCGCGCATGAGGAACACATTCAAGGCGGAGGCGCTGGCGACGGCGGCAAAGGGAACCAGACGGGACAGAATCAGACGGGTGTTGGGGGAGATACCCTTAAGTCGAGGCACGAGGGCTTTCAGACCCATGGCGACGGAGCAGGAGGCGGTGACGGCCATGAGGTAGGACTTTGCGATTTGCGAAGTGGAGAGCGGAGTGGACTTGTTGGCATTGGCGTTGTTGATGGCGACGTTGAGCGATTGATTGCCGATTTGCCAGAGAAGAGTACCCGCTGTCTATACCCCACGCAGGGAAGTCAGTACATGATACTCCAGCGCCTGAAGCGTACAAGTGGCGCCGTTGGCGCAAAACGATAGAACTTACTCCCAGGCCCGGCGTAAGCATGCCTCCCGTCACGACCAAATTGGTGAGAACATAGGCCGACATGCGGAAAGGCAGCATGACTGGCTCGCCAGTATCTTTAGAATGTCCCCATTGTCAGCGATTCCTGCTCCTGCTCTTACACCTTCTCATTCTCAATCCCACTCAAAACAAATGGTAGTCTCATACCCGGATGCAATGTCGAGTCCACCACCTTCTTAGCCTTCCACAGCTCCGGGGTCATGGCGGGAATCTTGTTCTGCTTGTACATTGAGATGAGACTCTTGGCATGCTCCAATCCCGTCCCGGAGACAAGTAACGTCCTGTTGCGTAGAAAAATAGAGTAAGTATCATGATTACCTAGCTAGGACCAGCGACTCGGGTGCACTCACCGAGGATCTGAGATGTCGGCCGCATGACGGACACGACCCCAATAGGAGGTCAAGTCATATTGTGAGTTGGGCACGTCGCGGGGCCCAGGCAATGAAGCAGACATTGCTCGTGCCGTTCCTTTTGAAGGAAAAAAAAGACTTATAAAATAAAGAGTGGAGGGCGACTCGAAACAAGTAACGAATGCACGTCAAAAGGTCGAAAAGTGAACGAGGTGAGACGAGAGAGGGATGACTCGACGGGGTTCATTTGCGGGGCGGACTTTCTTTCTTTTTTTCTTTTTTGGCTTTTGGGCGGTCGTCGATCGGGTTTCTGTTTGGCGCGATAAAGAAAAGCGGTGAAGTGATAAGACTAGAAAGATTGCCCAATGAGAGTGGTCTATTTGCCGCTTGCCGCCTTGCCAGGAACAGGGTTGACGTTACCCAATCAGACGCGCGCACTAGAAGACAGCGAATTTGATTGGTGGCAGAGAACGAATGTCATTGGTTCATGACAATAAGTATATTCGGGGAGCCGGTTATGTCAATAAAGTAGAGTACAGAGGTATCACAGACAGAGGAAATAAGAGGTGATGACGACCACCGGTGACTGGAAACAGGACGCAAAAATGGGAGAATGGTCGGGTTTGTCCCGATGCAGGATCACGCATGCAGAGGAAGAAGAACAAAATCCCATCAAAAAGAAGAAACCTGTGCGCCACTTTGGGAGGGGGAATTATGCAAAACAAAAGAAAATCGGACAGAAACAAAAATCGTCGGAAGTGAATCGTCAGCGCGATAGGATATCATTGTTGTTATCCCAAGAAGGCTCTTCACAAATTATCGAGTACGAAACGATTTGTGTGCCAAGGGAGACGGGGGAGGACCGCCACCGGGAGCATACCCTGACTGCACTCGTGAAGGGGTGTGAGAGCAGAAAATGCACACATAGAAAGACGGCAGATTGGACCGTTCGAGTCCAACACACTTTGTATGGAGCCAGTGCGTGCACGATTCGCTGTGGAAGAGCAGCAACTGGTCAGTCAATCCGTCCGACTATGTGCTTAACAGGGAAAACTCGTGTGGATCGTTCTTACCATTGAATCATCAAGTGACCGCCATTGTCCATAGAGTTGCAGACACACCGAGTTCCATTGCTTGGGTTGCTGTGGCAGTGACGGTCGGTAATAGGGGTGGTCAGGTCGGGATCGGAAAGAGTGGTAGGGGAATGATTTGCGAGGTGGGTAGGGTGGACGTCAAAGTCACTATGGAGGCGGGGTGGCGAGGAGCGGAGGTGGGTGAACGTGTTGGCGCGCGGCAGACGAGCACCGAAGCTCGCGTTCAAGGATGGGCGTGGCGCACGTCCACGCTCACGGAGGACTTGTCGAAGGGCATGCGTCGCGTCCCCATCATCCTCGTCCTCGCCCGGTAGCGTTTGGGATGCGGTGCTACCCCGGGTGTAGGAGGCATCAGAGAACAGCAATGAGGACCCCCGTTTGCTCGGTGTCCGTTTCACGGCCTCGGGCGATCCTCGATAGGTGGACCGAGTAGAGACCGCTCGCGACGAACTCGCCCAAGGCGAAGCCCGCCCAGACTGGGACGAGCCCACTGTTGACGAATATGATCCCTTAGACGGGGGCCGCGAGCTCGTGTCACTCTGGGACATATAGGATCGACCACCGTCCAGGAGACCAAGTGAGAAGGACGAAGGCCGACTCAGAACCGGATATTCCGAGTACTCGGCGGGATCAACGTCGCTCTCCGTGACTGATTCTTCCAGGTCCATGCCTGTCAGGGGATCGGTCAGTCCCGTCGGAGCCTCGTCTACGGGCTGCATCTCAGTCTTGGCTCGGCCATCCTTCCCAATCTTCAGCACCACGGACTGAGATCGAGTCGGCATGCGGGCGGCCATGGAACACGAACGACCCAGCGGCGCGGGTCTCATCGTCTTGACGGGGGAGATACGGCCCTTAGACGGACTTTTGCGGATCCCACTAGTGGAGGCCATGAACCCGCTGGATCGACTCGATGGGCGCTGCTGCGTGGAGCTGGCAATTGCAGAATGGGTGACGCTGCGGGTGAGCCCTGGGCGGCCACGAGGAGTGTAGTCATCATCATCATCATCCTCCTCCTCCTCCTCCGAGAGACTGGAGAACGAGCTCGGCCGGTGTCCACCTGAGCTCAGGGCCCGACGGAGCTCCTCTCGCTTGGATTCTTCCACCTGGTGGTGATATGGCTGTCTTGGGAGCGCCCGCCGGTCAGGAGTCATATGTGGCCCTCCAAACCGTCGAGCGGGCGAGCTGAGGAACATGGCTGGATCCTCGGCCTTCGTGATGGGAATTCGGGGGAGGTGGAGAAGGGGGCTGGAAAGACCGCTGCATCTGTTGCTGGCGCGGACAGAATCCCCATTCCCTGGGTGGTGAAGTCTGGGAGATCCATGTAGCCATCAATCGCCGGCAACTGAGGGATCACGGCATGGGTGGTCGACCGAGTGGACTCTCGTTCGGTGCGGCTGTGTTGCGTCACCGGGCCGCCCGTGGGCAGGCCATGCGGAGCTGTTTCGAGCTCCGAATCCCAGAATAGACGCTCCTGGGGCAGGAACGGCGATCTTGCAGCTTCCATGGACGCAAGTTGAAACAGATCCGGCGAGGCCTGCAAGTTGCCGAACAGTCGCGGGGACATGCCGAGAAGCCTGCTCGGGGTTTCCAAGTGATTGTTGACCTGCGACGTCGCCCCTTTGCCGACGCTCCCTGTTGGTTCAAACTCCGGGATCTTTCGCCTCGAGGCACTACTCGGTGGAGGCGTTTGCATGGACGAGGCCGACTTGGCCGAGTCCACCGTCCTTGGTCCCTCCTCCCCGACGACGGCGCCTTGCTTGTGTTGGCGAGCCTTCCTCACGGTATCTGTCTTGGCCAGCTCTCTCCTCCCCCTTGTGGCCGTCAAGAGTTCTGCCGCCACGACATTGGGGTCTGAGATGCCGAACTTGTGTGGAGAGCGAAGAAAGTCGGGGCTCGAAGCGTAGGGGTCTGCGGTATCCCAGGTGACTCGGGGGTCGAAGAAACTCGACTCGAGTTTGGGGGTGGTGAAGGCGTCCAAGGCGGCCGTCATGGGCGTTCTCGTGGGGGTCTGCGGTTCGCCATGGGGATAGCTGAAGCTGAAGGGGAAAGGGTTCATCAGCATCATGCCATACGGTTGACGACCGAAATCCATTGTGGCATGCGACTAGCGACGAGTGACTCGCGAGCTCGGGTGGGGATTTGGTCTCTTAGATTGGTGTATCCCAGGAACAACAGAGAAAAAAGAAAAAGATTCTAAGCTCGAATGCGACGATCCAACCGGGTCTGAAATGTTTTTGTTGACCCCTAGATACCCAGAGAGAGAGAGAGAGAGAGAGAGAGAAGGTAATCCTCTGCCCAGAATCAAGGACCTCCGGCCAGGGTGATTTGATGGTCTCGCGGTGCTGGGAAACCCATGTCGGAGGAAGAAAGACGAGGAAGAGGGAGGGGAGGGGGGCTAGTTCCAACCTACCTGTGAACAGGTTGATCCCAACTCATGACAGTCACACGGTCCTGGCAACCATTGACCAACGCACCGGCCGATAAGCTTCAGTCCTGCCGATCGAGGGTGGGATTGGGTCGAGCGAGGAGGAGATTGGAAGGGGTGGACGGGTGGAATGCTCGCCAGGGAGAGAGTGTGCCTTTGTCGGGACCGACGTGCGGAGAGACGAGTGCAGGAGCCAGCGTCACGGGCTGGGCTATCGAGGTAGAGGACCACCACTACAGTAGTCAAGCGAAGCTGGGTTCCCGGTGACAATTACGGGACTCGATCTGAATGTCAGATGGTCTACCTCTCCTCGAATGTCTTGACTTTGAGGAGGAAACAAAAACGACGAGGGGGCACAACACGAGGTTGAGAAGGAGCGTGGAAAGCACAGATGGGAAATGTTGGATATCGTGGGAGGGTTTGTTGGCTGGGCAAAGATGGAAAGATGGTCCCCTCGTTCAGCTCCGTCGCTCCGTCGCTCCGTTCGAGAGGCGGCTCTGGACAATCGGCCGAACTTGGATTGAACTCTGTCTCCGTCTCTTTCTCTTCCGTGCTGGACTTTTGCAGAGTCTCGTTTGGCTCTTTCTTTCTTTCTTGTTCCTTTTTTTTGATCTCGTTAGATCTTCTGTCCAGTTCCCGATCCAATGGGAGCCAGCAGCCTCGGGTTGGGGGTTCCAGCTAATGAAGTCAAGACTGGTCAGTTCAACAGTTGTGAACTGAGATACTCGACGAATGCTTGTTCAAGCACTAACTTCCAGTGATCCAATCTGGAGCGGGAGGTAGTGCTTATTTAGGTTGGCTGGAGTCAATAGTAGTAGGTGTAGTTAGGATGTAGTCGTGGTGGTCGTATTGAAAGTGGTGGCAGTAGTAGTAACTTAGTAAGGTAGCAGTATAGGCTGAGTAAACACGGAAGAACGACTCCAAGAAGGAGAAAATGGAAGGAATCAAAGATGTTCTCATCACCCTCGGTTTTGCTCTCGTGATGATCATAGAAGGGGAGGGGTCATTTTTTTTCCCTTCTTTTCTTGTTCCGTGCGGGACCACTTGTTTCTTGGTGACCCTTGATTTTCACGTTTTTCTTTTTCATCCATTGACGCATCGATTCCTTCTTATTCACGACGGGCTTCCTGTGACCCTCTCCGGCCCTCCGAAATTACTTGGTTGGCCTCCACCGACATCCACTGAGGGTTTCCGATGATCCGCCGTGTTTGTCAGAGAGCGTGGGAGATACCACCCGGGCGGACCAGAGAGAATTCTATGATCGATCTCGTGCTACTCGAGTAAGGACTAGGAGTAGGGACTAGTTAGTCAGCATTGAGATCACGATCTTGAAGATTGTCGGTCGAGCTCTGGACGATGATCGAGCTCGATCATCTGGTTAGAGATGGACCCAGACCCGGTCAGATTTTGCGGAGAGAGGACCGACCTCGGGTTGAATGGTGCCGGCCACAGACTGAATGTGGATGGTGGTTCACTGCTACGGTTGGGACTGGGAGGGAAACAACAGCTACAAATGGCAATTCAAGTATTCTACAGACTACGAGTGATGTCGTGGTCACGACTGGACACTTCTAGGCCGCTGAGGTGTACCCTGTTTGTTCAACACTAACCACTGACTATAGAGAGGAGTAGTAAGTTAGTATTCACTTCGAAGATTACTACTACTATACTGGGTACCTAGATACCTCCTTTCTACAACCTCATGTAAGCGAGTACTACAGTACTACAATGGTTCTTATTCCATCACTGATTAACGCTCGTAGTATAAGAGATAGCACTAGCAGTAGCTGTAGTACATCACTCCACCTCGACTAGGTAGTAGGTAGTAGGTACCCTCCGTGTAAGATTCTACTATTTAGCAATCTACTAGTCACTGTCCGTGGTCGACTTTCCACCGTCATGACATGATGACACCATGCTGGTTCCGCCAGGTGGATCTATCGAATCTCAATTGGAACAGGTCGATAGGTTGCGGATGCGCAGGATCAATCTCTTGAAAGCAGACCAGGCCCATAGCCCTGTCAGCAGTCAGCACTCAGCACAAACGATGAACTCGATTCCCCGTGGACCTTGCAAATCCCGTGTGTTTTCCGGAGTGATAGATCAAATTCAATTCGATCATGAAGCGTGTTCTTTCTTGTTGTTCAGTCCACCACTCCTATAGACATGAGATCAATGAGCGACCCCCCTCCCCCCGCGTATGGATCTGGACCCGGTCGCAAACATCAGGGTGAGTGGTGACAGTTGGACTCTCGAGTCTCGTCTGGATCAAAGAGAGTGGCCCACTGTCGCGCCCGGCCCCCAGGGAGCGGAACAAAGGGCGCCTATCAAAGAATTGACCGTTCGAGGAAACCCTGGGCAACGGAGCGCAGCGAGCCTGTTGCTGGTGTTTTCAGCATCCATGATCGCGTTGGAGTTTTGCTTTGGTCTGGGTCTTAAAGAGCTGATGGCACTATTGCAGTGTATGTAGTTATATACCAGTAGTCATGTCGTACTGCAATAGACAGCAATAAGACACTGAGTAGGCAGAGAGAGGTAGTAGTTATGCAATGCTCCTACGTAGTTAGTAGGACAAGGTGCTTTTTTGTCCACTTGCAGCAGTAGCAATAGTGAGACTAGTATTCAGTACCTACTACCACTTACTATAATTAGTACCAGGTCGCAAGTCTAATGAAGTCGGAGCTACTCTACTTTACGACCCTTTAATCACCACCTCGCAAGTGTAGAAAGATCCCGGGAGATCCTTCATACAGGAGACACGCAGCTTCAAGGAGCGTCTCAGACCTCTCTGCATGAACTGATTCAGGATCCTCCCGGACCTGGAGTCCCCGCCGATCTAGGCCTTGTTTTGGATGGTAACCGTGATCAAGATTCAGAGCCTAAGGACTAGGACAGACTCGGCATCGCCTGGATGAAAATCCCGCCCTGCACCCGACGACTGTTAGTGTTCCCTGCTGGGACCCCACCCTCGACCACTCTGATGCAAATTCAGGAACCGAGAGCGTCGCAGCGCTACCACTGTACTACTACTACTACTCGGGAGTCTGGACGAGCGGCACGGATGACTACTCCATGATATCCACCTGACTACTAGTATCTACTAGTATCTACTGTAGGTATACTTAGTAGGTAGTCGGCTGAGCATCGAGACTGCGACAGCCAGTCATGAAAGTTCATTCAATGTTGTGCTTGAATTGATCTACCCTCGCCTTGTCGTGAGCATGTGTGTCTTTCTCTTTCTCTTTCTTTTTTTTTTTACGAAATCTTCACTGGGAAACGACCGATAAATCTTCTTCTACTGAATACTTCCGCCAAGACAGCCCCCTATCTTGCGAGACTGACACCCTTTCAATCGGACGGAGTGGAGTGGATCACCCTCCGTTTTTGAAACTTTCTCTCTCTCTCTCTCTCTCTCACACAAAAAGTACAACAGCACTGGATTGATGACGACATTTTCCCCTCGTGAGGGTGAATCCAAAGTGGAGCCGCCTTGGAATCTCCCTAGCATCGATGGATCATGGCAGAGCTGGGATGGTTAGAGTTTCAAAGCGGGCTACCGGTGGAGCTACAGACACTAGCACACCGCGTCGACTCGAGTCCTTTCAAAGGTGGGGAGGGGTTCAACAATAGAAAGGGGTGTCTATGGAGATGATGTTGCTTCCTGAACGTCGCATTAAACGGGCGTCAAAGAGGTGACGCATCTTTCAATCCAGAAATGTCTACAAGACCAGAGTGAGATATCATGGCGGATCCAGAGCCATCGCATGAGCAGATCTAACGACTTGAAAGGAACAGCAAGCAGATGGAGACTTCCGACGACCCATTGGAAGCTCAAGGTTATCATTGTACTGAGCGGCCACCAGAATCCGTGAAAGCCGTAAAGAGTAAAGGCTGCACGGCACGAGGCGGAGGTTATCAAGATTGCCCCCGATCTCGAGCCCTCCAGTCGCCAGCTTCCTCGGAAATCATTCCGTGGTAGAAAGACATCTCTGTGGACTTTGTTAATTCCTACTGGTAAGACTACACTATTGACCATCAATGCCTTTTGCAGAACACATTTGAACTCACTATTCATATTCACTACCTGGCACCTACTGTAGGTAGGCAGTCCTCAGTCCTTACAATCTGCAACCGAGATGAGATCCGGTCCCGATCTCAGACTACCCAGCCACCAGCCGCTAGCTCTCCCGTCTTCTCCCCGATATTACACATCTCACAACGATCCTTGTCCTTGGTAGGTCACCCCGGACACCGGCTCTGCAACCAGTCTGTCACGAGTCACGACTCACCGTCCAACGACGAGGCTACGAGTAGTAGTGGAGACTCTGGTTTCTGGCACTAGTCTGGTGGCTCCCCGGATCTTTGATCCCTTCTAGCTGAGCCCCCCTCATGTAGAGCATTCCATTGGTGAACAAGTAGACCTTTTTGCAATCTTACTTGCCTTACAGAATGAACCAGATCGAAGCCCCACCTGACTCTTGGCTTCCAATTTGCTCCGGATTGATCTCCGCAAATCTGAGAGTTGGAGGACTGTAGTGCTAGTCGAGTGTAGTCACTTACCCCCCCCCCCCCCCCCATCACAGGTCCATCCATTATCAACCACCTGCAATCTTGATGGATCGCGAGGACGGTATGGAGATTCAAACTGTACGAGAACTACTCATGGCAAAGCGCAGCCGAGGCCATCCATGTCAATGTCCGCACGAGACAAGCTCAACAGGCTCGGGTCCTTCTCAGGTACAGATAGCCCGAGCAAATAAGATATCATTGCATTCCTCTGTAAAGAAACCACGTGTCGAAGTTGGATGGAGGGAGAGCATCAAATGCACACGCGCCCGGCCTCGCTCGCCTTGGTTACCTAGTACCATCAGTGATTGGGGCCACGCCAAACGTCAAGTGCGACCTGCATATGCAGCTCGCACTCTCAGGAACACCTGAGATCGGACTTTTGGCAGCCACTAGGGACTCGGGCAAGTATACGTCGTCCAGTAGCAGACTTGCGTCAATTCGTAGGCTGGAAAGAGAAAGCGATCATCGTCAAGGGAAGTGATTTAGAAAGTCCAGCCTTCTCGCCGCCTGTTCAGCCGTTCAGCCTTCCCCCACCAGTCCAAGTTCACCCGTTGGCGGCTCGGGGCTCTCCTGAGTCGGTCTTGTACACCATGTCCTTGCCTGTTCGTCCGATGGAATCTGTCTTTCTCTCTTACCAACTTCAAGCCGAATGGGATTCTTGATCGGGTCACGTCACTTGAACTCAGCGCACATATACAGGAGAGATCACTCTTCTATGGCAGGCGTGCAGTACTGGTGTCTTGCTGTTCTGACCCGACTCTACTACTGTACTGAATCTACTGATGGACTGAGACTATTGATGGTGGGGCCTAGACCGCCGAGCAGCCAATCAAGTCACCCCGGTACCTGGTCGCCCTTTCTCTTCTCCAAGCCTGGAATCAGGTACTACTAACGTCTTGTCATACGAGACATGAACCGCTTTCCGTCAGTAGTAGTAGTATGTCGAGGTAGACCAACTTTCATGCTGCATAGAATTGACCTCCGTGACGGACAGCTTCGGATGTAGTTGGGTTGGCCTGGTAATGTCAATGACGCAGAGCTTCATGATCTCAAGGCCTGAAAGATAAGGCTACCAGCCACTCTATCGTCCCACTTGACTGCCGATGCCGTTGGGGATCTCTCCCTGGCCTGGAGTCACAATGGTATGGACTCAAGGCTAGAACCCACGAGGGTCTTGCCGAATGAACATATCTGCAATATATTGACATAGCATGCTGAATCATCTGTTGGGTTTTCAAGAGTGAGGATAGGAGTGCGCGTCGAAACACTTTTTGCCCGTCTGGCATTTGTTTGCAGCCCTTGACCCTGTCGCCCTTTGCCCACCCTCATTTTGATCTGGAGATAGGTCGCTACTCCCTCCTTACAGCATTCATCATTCACGTATTCCTCATTTTACGTGACCAGAAGATTCACACGATGATACTACCGTCACCGGGTGCGACCTTGAAACCTCACCGCAAGAGGCTTTCTGGTCGTCGGAGCAGGAAGGGCAAGTCAAAGTCACGACGGGGTCCCGTCGATCCGAAGAACAGCCAACCTACCCCCCGCCTAAAAAAGTCCACGCCAGCTCATCTTCCACGTTCAGATGATCCAGATACCGAAAAAGTAAATGTCCATCAAGATGATCGCCGACTATTCCTGCCTGAGAAACAATTGACTCTGATACGAACCAGAATGTCTACGAGTATACAGCAATGCCGCAGGGATATTGTTTCGTCTCCAAGGGAGATGTTTACATCACTCGACAGTGCCGGGCCAAGTCAAAAGAATCACGCCGCATGGTCTACAAAGTCTATGTGAGTATTGCGAACAGACCTCTTGGAGCGATCGACTCTCGTGTACAGAAAGGCAGTTTCACTCACCCCTTTCCTCCAGGACAAAAAAGGCCAACGCGTGCTTGGCATCAGGGTTCCTGAAGATATCTGGCAGAAGGTGCTTGTCCTGTCCAAGGAAACTAAAGAAGCTCGTGCGGCTGCCACCATTTCCCGTGACTCCAAGTTCCTCGACCAAGGCCGAGAGCTTCTGGAAAAACAATATCCTCTGATGCCTGGCGAGGATATTGAGAGTGTCCTTCAGCATGCCTTTTGCAAAGGCTCAGGTCGAGTCGGCCGCACTGCCACCCATTCTGACGGCCACAAGGCTCGACTGGCGGTGGAAGCCCATATTCGCCATGAGCATACCCCCTATGATCATCTTTTGAAAGATAACGACCGTCTGAGCGCGAGAAGACAAGTCCGGAACACTGTACAGACGATCCTAAAAGTTTGGAAGGGAGAGAAGCCGGAAACCCAGGAATCTTTGGTGGGACGGGAGACACGTGGTGCTGCGAGTTTATGCGACAACACTGTTGAACCTCGAGCGTTGGAAATTTCTTGACGAGAACGATGGTCATTGTCATCTTCAGACTCCCCTGTGTATGAAAGCGATATCATGTGACCGAACTCCCTGGGTGTATCGTCCGAGCCAACTGAACAGCATCGGTAGGGAAGCTCATGAGCCTCATGAGATGTTCGAAACTTCAGGAGGAATGCATAAGACTTCTTCCCTATTCTATGAAAATGATTTTATTACAGGTCCCCAACATGACTGCGTCTCACGTAACACTCGCCATGTGCTGACGCTGATGATGCTCTTGGCATATGCTGTCACTCACAACGTGGTGCAATGCGGCGCCCTGATCCTCCCCGTTCGGGAGTGGCACAGACTCCGTTCCGGCCGGGGGGGGGGCTAAGCCGCAATGATAAAGCGTCAATCAGCACCGGCACAGTGGATATGCGGCCCCCACTCTATCATTCACATTTCCCCTAATAGGGTTGGTCTTCCCCCAGGTCCCAGGTCCGAGATCAGTAGTGCGAGAGAAAAAGGAGTTTCAAAATCCTGAATCATGTGAATAAGTACTAGCCTCTGCCCACTTGCCATCCTCGCCTCTGGCTACACTGCAAGGCCTCGACGACCCCGGAATCCGCTTCCAAGCATGGACCCTTTTCATGCATCATGTTAGGGTGGACTGCACAGATCCGAAGACGAATCGGGCCACGTCGCGGCCTGGTACTGTGTACTCTGTTGATAGCGTTGGCGGTGCTCGTCAGGGGTCTTTCCCTGTTACAGAATGACTTGAATACTCGTCAAGCTGCGGCGCTGGCGCATGACCGGCCTAGATATCTCTACCGATCTTTCTTTCGAAATGATCCCGATCTCGTCTTGGAAGAGCAGGTGTCTCACGCTTTGGAAGAAATTGAGCACCAGCAGCCGGCTCAACATGGCGACAAGGAGTCGGCACACACAATTTGGCAGATTATGCTTGGTTCACAAGACAATGGCAGTCCTACAAGGGGGGACGACTCTCTCAAATTCGAGGAAGTGAATTCAGAATGGAAATACAAGGTGAGATATCGAAGAACAAAAGAATGGTGTGCTCGGCCACTTACAAGTGGTTGGCATATAACTCTACTATGACTGGCGCGTGATGCTAACCTCTGTTTTCTCCATGAGCAGCTGGTGACCACCGAATGGGCGGAGGAATTTGTGACAATAACTCTTGCCTCGATTCCAGGCCTAGCTCGTCTCTACCATTCGTACCCGCATCACGTTCTGCGAGCAGATCTCCTGCGATACTTGATTCTCTGGTATTACGGCGGTTACTATGCCGATACGGACGTCTTCCCCGCAAAATCCATCAACAATTGCCCGTCACTACAACAGTCGGTCTTCCAGACCGACACTCCCGATGTCTCGCTTGTTGTTGGCATCGAAATCGACGAGCCCTTCGCGTCGGCCCAGAAAATGCATGACTGGCACTGGGTGCGTAGCTATGGTTTCATTCAATACACACTGTATGCGCCGCGGCGATTCAGTCCACTGTTACGACAGATCATCGTGCGCGTCTTGTCGCATACAAAGCGACATATCGACTCGGGTTCATTCTTTCTGGGCGCTAGATACAATGAACTCACTACCCTGGAAATCACCGGTCCGGGGGTCTTCACCGATACAATTTTGGATGTTCTATCAAACACGTTACCGGAGGATCATCCGTTGATCCTCCAATCGCTCGAGGCAGATGAAGGCCTAGGAGATCTGATACCCCCGTCCTCAGAAATACCCCAGAAGCGGGTTACATGGGCGCCATTTCATCGTATCACCTCCCCGGTGTGCGTCAATGGCTCGGAAGCCAAGTCGGGCAGTGATTTGGGAGGTCTTTGTGTCTTGCCAGTCAATGCCTGGGGCAATGGGCAAAGACACAGCGGCGCAGAGAACTTTTTGAGTGCCCATGCATGTATTAATCACCGTTTCGGTGGAACCTGGAAGCCTTGGAAGAAGAGCTGGAAGAAGTACATATTCGGAAAATGAAATGCGACACAGACCTTCACTGCGCGACAGAGCGAGGTCTCAAATTTGCGGAACATTTAGCAATCGTCGACATGTTAGTATGAGCCACAATTCACCCCATAGTCAGAAACGCACTACATGACGAATGATGGAAATGAAATGAAAGTGGTATTTAGCCTCACGGCTCGCACAATCTTGTGTCCCAGAAGCCATGCCAATATCCTAGGTCGGCCCGGAGAATGACATGGAGATGATCTGGAATTGAATTCTCGTTTAGGACGCTCTCCACGTTCATAATGCCCTCGACCGAGCGACGATCAACGACTTGAGATTCCGCGTCTAAAGACGAAAAGAGGGGAATCAAGGCGACCTGGATAGAAATGTCATCACTAATCCTGTCAATTCACTGTCTAAATGTGGCCAACAACCTCAAATAAACATTAGATAACCTCCCTAAGGATCACAGCTCTGCCGTGAGTCGTACTTTCTCAAAGAAGTAATAGGGCAAGCCCTGTGTTTGCTCAGTCACGCTAGTCCCAAAATGGTATCCAAAGTTCCATCTTCGCCGAGACTGATACCCAAAGGTTTGAACCCTGACAAGCCAATTGTCTGAGCTAGTTATGGAGCGACCAGAGCTTATCGAGTCGCCGCGAAAGCGGCAAAAGACAGAAGATGTCCCAGCGACCGATCTCGTGGTTGATGGACCTCCCACTACCGGCGTGACGCCCGATGCGCAAACCACAAAGGAACGTGATGTCGGCATCACCGAGCTCGTCACAGCTGATACCGAGGGATTCTCAGGTATCTTGAAAAAGAGGTACGTGCTTTTTCTAATTCCCGCGTTGGAACTCTTGAGTCAAATGCTGATTCTAGTCGAGTTAGATATACCGATTTCTTGGTCAATGAGATCACACCCTCCGGTGAGGTGGTTCACCTCAAGAACCTTGCTGCGCCATTCTCCGCCTACAGCGAAGCCGCCGCCGCCGAGGAGAAGCCTGCCGAATTAGAACAAGCTGAGCCAGTTCAGAAGGAAGAAGCGATCGAGACACCGGAAACTGCGACACCCGCTGAGTTTAAGGTGTCCGAAGAAGACAATGCTCTGCTTGTGGAGTACTTTGGCGCCGAAAATGCGACCGCAATTGTCGATCTGCACCAGACGGCCATGAACTCCCCGCGGGCTCGTCCCAGCGAGCTGGGCAAGGTCATCGTTGTTGTCAGCGATCGTGACCTGCGCACAAAGATTCATCAAGCGATTCGCCGTATATTCAATTCGCAGCTGGACTCTAGCACCGACAGTGAGGGAAACCTTGCTATCACCGCGGCCAGCAACCGATTCAAGAGGAAAGCGCAGGGTCACCGTGGTGGCGGTGGTCGCGGAAGCGGAGGTGGTCGGACGAATTGGGATGAGCTGGGTGGCCCCTATCTTCACTTTACGATCTATAAGGAGAATAAGGACACCATGGAGGTTATCTCATACATGGCCCGTACGATGAAGATGAACCCCAAGTGTTTCCAATTCGCTGGTACCAAGGACAGACGCGGTGTGACTGCCCAGCGCGCATGCGTTCTTCGTGTCCAAGCCGAGCGCTTGGCCAACCTGAACAAGTCTTTGCGAAATGCTTACGTGGGCGACTTTGAATACCGGAAGCATGGTCTCGAGCTGGGTGATCTCGGTGGCAACGAATTCGTGATCACTCTCCGTGACTGCGAATTCCCCGGAGTAGACATGCAAAATCCCGAGGTTGCTGTTCGCGACGCCTCTGCGCTTGTTGGAACCTCGCTGAAAAACCTTCACGATCGCGGATACTTCAATTATTACGGTCTTCAGCGCTTTGGAACATTCTCCACTCGCACCGATACCATTGGTGTCAAGATGCTGCAGGACGACTTCAAGGGTGCCGCGGAAGCGATTCTGCATTACAGCCCGCACGTTCTTGCCGCAGCACAAGAAGGAGAGTCGTCTACAGCGCTCATCAGCTCCGATGACAAGGCTCGTGCGGAAGCAATCCACATTTTCCAGACCACCAACAAGGTCAATGATGCTCTGGCCAAATTGCCTCGCAAGTTCTCCGCCGAAGCCAGTATCATCCGCCACCTCGGCCGCGCCCGAAACGACTACGTCGGCGCTCTCATGTCCATCCCGCGAAACCTTCGACTCATGTACGTTCATGCCTACCAGTCATTGGTGTGGAACTTTGCTGCCAGCGAACGCTGGCATCTATACGGGGACAAGGTTGTGGAGGGTGATCTGGTCATTGTGAGCGAGCACCGAGACAAGGAAGAGGGCAACAGAGCTGCAGCAAACAGCGGCGTGGATGAGGACGGCGAGGTTATCATCTTGCCCCAGGGCGAGGACAGCGCTCTGGCCGCGGAGGATGCGTTCATCCGTGCTCGTGCACTCACCGCTGAAGAGGCTGCTGGTGGCAAATACACTATCTTCGACGTTGTCCTTCCTCAGCCCGGCTTCGATGTCGTCTACCCTGCCAACCAGATGACCGAATTCTACAAGACATTCATGGCCAGCGAGCAAGGTGGTGGTCTCGATCCTTTCAACATGCGCCGCAAGAACAAGGACACCAGTCTCAGTGGAGGATACCGCAAGGTCTTTAGTCGAATGGGACCCAGTTTCTCCCACGAGATCAAGCTTTACTCGGAAGACAATGAGCAGTTCGTACAGACCGATCTCGAGAGACTTAATGGAGTCGCCGACAACAAGGACGCTGCTGCCTCCTCCGAGACCGGGAACAAGCTTGCCGTGGTGCTAAAGTTCCAGCTTGGATCTAGCCAGTATGCCACCATGGCTCTTCGTGAGCTTACAAAAGGCAAGGTCCGCGAGTACAAGCCCGACTTGGGCGGTGGTCGCTAAATATTCCGATATAATATTTACGACCTTCAAAAGCATTCTGTATTTAACTTATATATCTGTACATAGACCCCCTCAGCTGCCTGTGAATATATAAATTTTATTTCCAGACGCATATTTTGTATATTTCAATCAAGAAAGCTCGGGACAATATCATTGCATTACGAAAAATGAACTCTCTTCGGGTCAAACTCGAGGCGGGTGCGGCATTCACCGTCGCAAGTCCCTTCCCGATTGTGTATTACCACGGTGTAGTGATAGGTACGGACTATCTTCTTGGCGCCCGAACCCGACTTTCATGCGGATGGTCACCTTCCATCGATGATACAGAAGACACGTCATCAAAATCTCTTTCGTGATAAGACGCTTGACCAAGCTGCACTGACATCTCCGACACATCATCATCAATATCCCTACTGTCTCGCCCAGAGGACAGGTGCGTGGTGGCAGCCGCCTCGGTGCCATTTCTGTCCGAAAGAGCACCAGGATTCATTGAGGAAAGCGGCCGTGTCGAATGGTGCGGATCATACTCCGTTGCACTGAACCTCTGACTCATGGGTATCGCGCGTGGGACGCCATCTTCATTTCGTGCGTCAGGTTCCGATGGAGCATGGGTTGATGCCACGGAGAGATCATGAACGGAATGGTCCATGGCCATGGGGACGGGCTTCCGACGCACGGGCGCTGCTAGGTTGGCATCGGGAGAAGAGATCGTGCCTTTGGGATGGGCGGACATGAGAATCGCATTGGAGGCACGCGGACTTCCAGGGTTGGAACTGTCGTAGCTTGACCTGTCGGAACGGCGTCTACGACGACGAAGGAAGAAGAACCCCAGGGCCGCTAGAATCAAGACTCCTACCACGCTGACCGGGACGGCAATTGCGATCTTGGTTGTGGAAGAAGGACCGCCCCCACACGAGGTACTGCCATCTTCTCCTGTGGCACAGCTGGAGGTCGAAGTAGTGGTTGTGGTCCTAGAGGTGACAGACAGCGGGCTGCTTGTCGACGGTGTAGATGAAAACCTGGGAGTTGATGTGAGATTGAAAGGACGAGAGGAAGGCTGAGTCGAGTTTCCATATCTTGTCGTCGGTGTGCTTTCAATCAGAGAGGACGAGGAATTTGATGCCAGCGTGAAAGGAGGGGAAGTCAATGACTTTGCACTCGTATAAGGTCCAGTCGCCGTTGAAGATTCGTAATTTGCGGTAATAGAGCTATTTGCAGATGAGGGCCCGGCCGCGGGGACAAGTGAGGTCGGTACTCCCTGAGGCGATGCAACTCCAACGGCATCTGAAGCTTCGAGCTGCTGTTCGTCTGACATGGTCGATTGGGTCGGATTTTGAACGATGTGAGTCCAGATACAATGAAACACGCTTAAAATGTCTTGATTGACATGACAAGCTGTGGTATACCAGGTAGCTCGTGGGCCGCAAATTGGGAAACCCTAAGGCTCAAAGGACAATGCGGCGGGAATGGAGTCAAAACGAAGTAGCAGCAGCAGATCTTGGCATAAAACAGTCGACAGAATCAGACAAAGTGACAGTCTCGGGATAGAACGCTTTGGAGATGCAAGCGGTATATGTAAATTTGTCCTTTTCTTGCAGTCTTTCGACAGCGTGCAAAGGACTCGAGAATGTCAGTCTTCGGAGAGAAAAGGGGAAAAGACATGGCTCAAGCAATCGTGGGGGAAACCCATCTACCCATAGCACGATCTGAGACGCCGACATCAGTCTCGAGGGCCTTAGTCTATCAACATCCTTGTCTTCGAACACCCTCAAACCACACTTGCCAGTCAGCTCGTCCACGGTGTCGCTGAGCTGCAGCGGCGATTGGCGCCAGAGTGGGGACCGCAGCTTGGGGGCGGCACAGCCCTCGAACTCGGGGCGCGCAGTAACTGCTCACTAGTTCACTAGTAGCAGTTGACCTCTCCAATCCCAGCAGAATCGTTGGTGATGAGCTGTTAGTTATCAACCGCACGGTCTTTTAATTCACTCTGTTTGGATCACCATCGATTGTTCCTCGATTACTTGAGTCACGAGTGTAATTGCGATTCAAGAACTGCACGGCATGCTTAACCCAGGCAATTGGCGAGAGTTCCCCTTTCGTCCGTCTCCAAGGTCGATCAGCTCAAGATCATTGCACAGGCCGAGCTAGTAGTGTACAGCTCAAGCCATGGCTTTGGTCGCTTCGGCTAAACTACCCCGTACCTTTCAATATCTGGTCTGGTCTAGATTTTTTGCTTTTCTTTCTGCTTGCGGCGCAGCCGATAGGGTCAACCATCAGACCTGCTTCTTACATTCCCGGCCCCCATGTACAGCCAGGCACAGGCCTGCGGGAAAGAATCACAACATTGATGATGGTACATGTCGTCTCAAGAGACCAGATTCGACTTGTCGACTTAACAATGTTTAAACGAAGCAACGGTACCAGCGTCAAGACAAAGGGTGAATCGTCGATCTTTCAAATGGTTTCATGGACAAAGATGGTAAGGGTGCAGATCTCCTGAGTCAGGACGGACAGGAATCAATCTCAGAATGTCCCCGTGCTTGACTCAGATCCGGTACTTCTGGGGTCGACTTCTTGTTTTGGCTTGGTCACAGTCAATCTCACGTGATTGACGACGACATCTCGTCAACGCAGCGGATCTTCGTGCCGGAATTCTGCGCAAAGGTGATCATTAATCGACTTGAAAACGACCAGCTCTCGGTAGACAATGCCACGATACAGACCCCCGGGCTTCATGGCTGTCGAGATGGAGATCTCAATTCCGCTGTTCTGGTCGAGGCGGATGATACTCCAGCCAGCATACCTTGCAAGGATTGTCGACCTCCAGCCCACAAGGGGTTCAAAAACTACACGCTACCGGAAAGCCAGAGATCACTTTATGTCCCAATCTGTACTCTGTGGTTCACGACGAGCCGCAAGATCCCGTCAAAGCGATCATAGTGGATCCGGCTATTAACCATCAAAGTTTAACAGCACTGAGCGTGCCCACATGCCTCTGCGAGAAACGTGGGAGACATCACGTGACTGCGGAGTATTCGGGTGTGGTTCTTGGCGCAACCGAACGCCTCGAACAAACGAGTCTCGGTCACACACCCAAAATGAGCGGGTTCAAGAACGTTTTAAAAGAAGGATGGCACCCAGAAGGCAAGGGCGGAAAGAAGGAAAGCTGGAGAGGCGACTTTAAGGGTCTGAACCAAGTGGTGAGCGTTGATCAACCCATCTCTGCTGGGGACCTACTACCTGCCTAGTATGAGTGCGGATGATGTCAGAGACAGCGGCTAATCAACCTTGGACTACCATCTAGGCTGGCTGGATGGGCAAAGGCAAAGAACCCAGCTCAGAAGCATCCGAGCATGTGTCCCGACCTTTATCCTCCCTCAAAGATCCTAATGCTTTTGGTCCGCCTCCCAAACATGTCAATTATCACGGCCCTGCGGCACTGCCAAACGAGAGCACGCCTGATCGCCGAGGACTCGGAGCGCCATTGCCTCGTGAACAGACGGCCCAGTACCAGCAAGCACACAAAGAGCACGAGGAGGAACTCGAAAAACCCAAAGGTCCCCCTGTTCCGTATCGGGTGAACACAACAGGCCTTTCCACTGACAACCTCCCACCACCCCCGGTGCGGCGTCTGGGCACGCCTGATTCTGCGGCTTCGGGCTCAAGACCGTCTTCGAGATCGACGTCCAGACCAACCTCTATCGGTGCGAAACCGAAGCCTCAGCTCCCGCCGCGAGTGCCTCCGCGCAATACAACAGAGGTTCCTCGCCCACCATCTCCGCCACCGGCATATAGTGGAACGCCCCCTCCAGCCATACACGGTTACGTGAATCAAGACGCAACTGCTCGACTTGCCAATGCCGGGGTATCAGTGCCTGCGTTGGGTATTGGTGGAGCACAAGCAACGGACTCAACCCCTGCTACATCTCCGAATGTCAACATGAACGAGCTCCAGTCGCGGTTCTCAAACATGCGCACTAGTTCGGCCTCCTCACCCTCCGCAGCGGGTCAGCCTATCCCGAGCGGCAACCGAGAGGATGCTCTACCACCTCCGCTGAGCTTCCGCGAGCGCCACGCCGATAAGATTGACATGGGTAAGGAAAAGTGGGGAGGCATCAGCTCGCGAGTAAACAATTTCGTGGAAGAACGTAAATTCTCGGCCAGTGCCAACAAGCGGATTCCACGTCCGCCAGGTCCCAGCTCCGTTCCGTCGGACAGCGCTCGGCGTCCTGCTGCCTCGTCCACGTCTGTCGCATCTTCAGCGCACTCGGTCCGGCCAAGCCGGGAGGGGGATTTGACGGCTCAAGCTCAACAGAAAAAGGCACCACCACCTCCCCCTCCCAAGAAGGCAGATTTACGCGCGCCTTCTGCAGAAGCCTCAGCAACTTCTGCAGCCTCTCCTGCGCCACCACCCGTGCCACTAAGCAGCAAACCCCGCTGAGCGGGAGGGATCTCTCTGTGGCGGTTGCCCTCTTATCTAATCCCGTAGATCTATAGAAACGATCATAAATCTGGCATTCACCCATTTTCTGACGACTTTCTTCCACACTTTCCAAGCGCCTGCCATCTTGTTGCATGCAATCACCCAAATTACGATTATTTGGTCTCGCTCTTTGCAACAATTACGCGGTCTCGTTAGGGTTCAGCCAAGTCCATCCGCTTGACAGGGTCGCCGCACACGGTTTCTGCGCCAAGGCCTCGGCCGCATGTGAAGGCACTAATTGATCGGCGACGTCTTTAGAAAGACAAGTGCCTCCGAGCTGTTGGGGGAACCATGTTGGCCATTGACAATTCATGATTGGTTCCCAACATAATGACTGCCAATTTCGCCGAGTGCGCACGAAGTTGTTCATATATCGAGGTCCGCGGCCACGACGATCCACCGTGAAGAAGCACATGCAAAACTGCACAATGCGCTAGGGCTATTCCAGAACGGATCCCGACGCATGCCTGAAACTTCTGCCTGATATTCACCACTTTGCCCAAGCTGACCGTCGAGATTGATGCGCTCAGAAGTTGGAGGTACCTACCGTATCAATGCGGTAGGCGTCCGGAGCTACTAATCTAGCGGTCTGATGCGCTAAGTCCTTCGATGGTAGCTACACGGGCTCGCCAAACAATGTACTGACTCAGTGACTACTGCCTCAGAGAGTACTCTATCCGCCGAGAAGGACCAGACCAGTACCACAAACACCCGCCCCAGATCTCGCCCAGACACAGCCGGAACGATCTATCGGAAACGCGCTCCGTCTTGCTGACCTCGTTGATATCAGTGACCTGTGTCATCTGCGCAATTGTCGCGGACGAATGATTCGGTCGTGGGTGTTTCTCCTACTTGAGTTGCAAAAGCGGATGTGCACCAAGATACGTCTACGGACATGCCCTAGAATGTGTATCTGCGGCGATGTCTATGACCTACCTGGAACCTCCCTCGCTCGTACTGCTGCTGTCTGATACTGGCATGTGCCCAGAGTCCCTATGTAGAATCCTTGCGGTCGGTCAGAATGTGGACGACTTCTGCCCCACAATTGCCACGGCGGCGTTCCATCATGGTGACCACACAAAGGCACGCTAGTCCCCTTTAGGGAGGGCGACTCGTGTGAAACCACGGGCAAGCGAGCTAAACGGCCCGAAAGAAAAAAAAAAAACCACCGCAGGCTCAATCAATTTGGCCAACCTCGGCAGTCTTCCCCATTTCCCAACAAACTTGGGCTCCACTATGACCAGTTGAGGCGAATGACGCTCGCTGAGACGTCCGTTCGAGACTCTCGACCCTCAACTGGAGCTACTTTTTATCAGCCTACTCGTTGTGGAGTCTTCTTCTGCCCTTTGGCCCCCCTCCCAGAGTCGACAGCGATCAACGGCCAAGGGGAACAAAAAAACAAATTGAATATCTTTACCACCTTATTCCTACTTTCGCTTTCTGACCAAACCCCCTCCTAGCACCTCTTGATCTCCGGTCGTCGACAGGGCATCAACAGCGTGTTGGCGGACTTTCTTATAGTGACCTGACTCCGACCCGAGGCAAGCAACAAGGTCGCTCCATAAGACATCACATCACGCTTGGTGGAGGAACAATTCCAAATCCCCATCATGTTCGACATCAACGTCCCCACGCAATTCGGCAAGGGCACTGTTCGCATTGCGCTGCCCCCAGCGTCGCTCTTCCGTTTCCCTCCAGCTCCCCTCCCCGCGACCATCCCAGCGCCGCATGTCGACGAGCTCTCCTGGAAGCAACCCTTCAATATTCCGGATGATCTTTATAACCAGCTGTTGGATGTGCGGGTGCCAATCACCATCGCTAGTGTCTATGCTGTGACCGTTGTTCTGATCAATCGCATCAACAAGAGCCGCGGGTACAAGGCCTATGGTTTCAGTCATTCGCCCCTCTTCAAGCTTTTCGTCGTGCTACACAATGTCTTCCTGGCGATCTACTCCGCATGGACTTTCATCGGAATGTTCCAGGCCTTCGGCGATGCCTGGGCGGATCGGGATCAGCCCAATGGCCTGGTTGGAGTGGTGGACTCTCTGTGCAAGATCAACGGCCCTCGCGGATATGGAAATGCTGCCACTTACAGTTCGGTCACCGATCAGTGGTCCATCCCCAACCCGGAGTATAAGTTGACCGGCGGCCTGCCCGACCCCACCGACGTGGGACGCCTGTGGAACGGCGGCCTGGCTTACTTTGGCTGGATCTTCTACCTGTCCAAGTTCTACGAGGTCGTTGACACTGCGATCATCCTGGCCAAGGGCAAGAAGAGCTCAACTCTGCAGACCTATCACCATGCGGGTGCCATGATGTGCATGTGGGCTGGTATTCGCTACATGGCTGCTCCCATTTGGATCTTCACTCTCGTTAACTCCGCTATTCATGCGATGATGGTAAGCAGTATACGACCGCGTCCGCTGAGTCTCTGAAATATGCGCTCACTAACGACCTATTTCTCTTTCCCCCTCACAGTATACCTACTACACCCTTACCGCTCTGCGCATCCGTGTCCCGAATGCGATCAAGCGCAGCTTGACCACCATGCAGATTACGCAATTTGTCTTCGGTACCAACATGGCCGCCGCCTACCTTTTCGTGCACTACACCATTCCCTATCCCGTCGGTAGCAGCGCCCTGAAGCATTTGACCAAGGCCGCCCCCGCCGTGGCCACCGCGGTGGCTGAGACCGGCTCCATTCCTTGGCTCAAGAAGCTTGCTCTGCGTGCGGCTGGTGCTGAAGGTATTGCCGAGAACGTCGGTGGTGCCGTGACTGCCCCTGCTGCCCAGGTTGGCTACACCCAGGAGATGACCACCTGCGTCGACACCTCTGGTCAGGCTTTCGCCATTCTCCTCAATGTTTCATACCTGCTGCCTTTGACCTGGTTGTTCGCGCGCTTCTTCGTGCGATCCTACATGAAGCGCAAGGACCCGAAACAGCCCACTCACATGGAGGCCGCTGAAAAGGCTGGTATGGATGCTCTCAAAGGTGTCGGCCGCGAGATTCGTCGCGCTGCGTTCGAGGGCGAGAACAGCGAGAACACCGAGAATACCGATGAGGATGTTGTCCGGGCCAAGGTCCAGAAGCTTGCCGCTCAACTCCCCACTCAGGACTCGCCCATCCGCACTCGTGCCTCTGCCGCCAACAAAGCCAAGACCAAGGCTGCTTCCGTCAATGCTTCGACTGCCACTCCTTCTCATGATCGGTCGGCAAACGAAGGCTTCTCCACGGTTCCCGCGAAGAAAGGTGCCAAGAAGCTGACCAAGAACGACGTCGAACCTGCTCCTGCTTTGTCAGAAACCAAGGGACAGAATCCGTTTGGCGTCCTGGACAACAATGCTTGAATGAACTTGATTTTCACAAATTGGTATCTTGTCATTCAGAGCAGTTTTTCAGAAGAAAACAAGAGACAAAAATTGGGGAGTCTGGGAGTTTAGCGAAACCTCTCGCCTGCACGTTGCTTTTGCTTTTTCTTGACAGATGCGGCAAGACACTCATGGATGTACCGCCGGCTCTTCGTCCTGTCTGTGTATGATCTGTGTCGAGAAACATATTCGACTCGAGCACCTATACTCAGGGTGCGGATGAGTGACACTCAAACACCATCCTTGGGCGGTCTTCTCGCCACGATCATGATGACCTCTGTCATTGTACAAGGAAGCTTGGACTGCCTCGAGGCAAGTCGATCACGCCGAAAAGTTGGATTGTTTCATGCGCTGTTTCCTTGCTGGCGGAGCTATTCTTTGTTATGGCAATGTCTGTCGATGCAAGCAGGCCTCAATGGCTAATCGTGTTAGGTTTCATGCTTCGTGTGCTGTCTCATTATGTATACTACCTGGGGTCCGAAACTGGTTGGGGTTTAGAATCGGTTGGTCAACTGTGCCGTTTATTTGTACTATGCGGATGAAAGAGCGTCTTATTATACCACCATCGTTCTCTGTTTCTTTCTTGTCCAAAGGGGAGATCCCCGTCCTTCTCGAGCTCTTTTCAACAGACTGGTAGACTCCTCTCTTTCTAAGAGATACATCTATTGTAGTCACTGGACATCAGCTCCCATACGGTGAATGATCTCTGAGGACCGCCGTTGTACCGCCTGGCTTTCCACCCGGCAGGACGTGCTACGGCGGCCGCTCTTTCTGTTAATACATCCAGGAACGAGCTTCTCGCAACGAGGTACCTGATACGCTTACACAATAAGCTTGGAGAGCCTTGGAATGTCGTGTAATCTTTACTTAACGGGGCTGTAACTGTCGGGTAGTCCATAAGTAGGGACATGACTCCAAGTGGGGTATATGAGAGAAATCGTGTCCAGAGACAGCAGGTCTGGCCAAGTTATGCTACCTATCTTGACAAGACTGCAGGTATGTAAGCTTCTCTCAGACGACTGGAACCGCGTGAAACCCTACTAGGAAGGTGGAATCCCACGAGCACTTTAAGCTTGCCCGGTACTGCCGAATCTTGATGTGTGCGATTCGGTATGTTATCATGCATGCTTAATGAAGGCATCCCGAAGCGGTAAAAGAATCGCTTTGCGTTCATGAGGTTTCCGAGACGTTTGAGAAGGCCGGTCCTACTCCAGTTGTGGAAACTCGGAACTACGGACTTCTCAATACCATCAATACGGTCCTTATCACAGTGATCGTAATGCCGTTGAGTCGTTGACCGGTTCGCAGCAGGCTTAGAGTTCGAAATGAGGAGCATGTGTAGGTAGCTTCGGGGCATGCTCCACTACTTCTTTCACCACTAACGGCGTAGGTATCAACAAAGATACTCGTGACCCGACGACGAGCGGGTATTTACAATCGCAAATCCACCCCGGGACCTTGACAAATTCACCTCGTTTCGACAAGCTGCCGTGCCGACGGGTTGACTATCCCCGAGGAATCAGCCGATCCTTACTGAATAGGGGCATGACTCCTCAATAGCCAAAAGGGTCTCTCTCCATGTTTAATCTATGCAAGCCATCATCCCCACCTTTTCTCCGCATGCTGAATGGAGGAAAAACTAAGCGTCCGACATGGTCTCCAGCGGGGGAGGGCTATCGCGTCTCCGCCGCCATTTCGCCTAAAACCAAGTCGGTTAGGACGTGCTCGCAACCGGCTACGGTCAGACTGCAACTGCAAAAGGCTTGGAGAAAGACTCTGTGGAAATTTACCGGCCATCTTTCCACTCGAGAAAAAGATAATGCAATGCCAGGTGGAGCGAATGGCGCGTCGAGCAAAGGGTATAAATGGTGAACATCCCTGTCCGCTGTGTCTGGGATGACTGTTCGCAAGCGCGAAGCGTCTGAACTCTGGACCAATCCTTCAGCTCGACGCATTGGGAGATCGGCTGCAGACCAGTTACCAGTCTCAGGTCTGACCTGTTCTAATGATAAACGATGACTCGGGCTACTCGTCTTGTCTATGGCCTGGGGGCGGTGGCATCTCTGCTGAGCACTGCCATCGCCGCTGAGTCTCACACAACCAAAGACTGGCCTTTGAAAGACGATGGGCTGAACGAGGTTGTGCAGTGGGATCACTACAGCTTCCAAGTCCACAGCCAGCGGATCTTCGTCTTCTCCGGAGAGTTCCACTACTGGCGCATTCCAGTCCCCGGCCTCTGGCGTGATATTCTCGAGAAGATCAAAGCTGCTGGCTTCACGGCCTTTGCATTCTATTCGAATTGGGCTTACCATGCCCCTAACAATCACACGCTCGATTTCACTACCGGCGCCCATGACTTCACCCCTTTGTATGAACTGGCTAAGGAGCTGGGTCTGTACATAATCGTTCGACCAGGCCCGTACGTCAACGCGGAAGCCAGTGCCGGAGGATTCCCTCTGTGGCTGACAACTGGCGAGTATGGTACCCTCCGCAACAACGATACCCGATACACGAAAGCATGGACACCATACTTCACTCAGTTGTCCAAGATCACGAGCAAGTATCAAGTGACCAATGGCGAGAACACACTGGTGTATCAGATCGAGAACGAATATGGATCACAATGGGAAGGATGGGCTTCAGAACGGAAGCCAAATGAAAATGCCATTGGCTACATGGAACTTCTCGAGGCCAATGCTCGTGCAAATGGTATCAATGTTCCATTGACAGCCAACGATCCTAATATGAACTCCCATTCTTGGGGAAGCGATTGGTCCAACGAGGGCGGCAATGTGGATGTTACGGGATTAGACTCGTACCCATCGGTGAGTGATACCTTTCTCTTGAAGACCCGTTGGGATCGATGTACTTGGCGTGGACGTGACTGACCTGTTTTGCTCTGTGAATAGTGCTGGACGTGTGATCTGAGTCAATGCACATCCACCAATGGCGCGTATGTTCCATTCCAGGTTCTGGACTATTATGATTACTTCCAGGAGTCTCAACCGACTATGCCTTCTTTCATGCCCGAATTCCAAGGCGGATCATACAACCCCTGGGGTGGCCCCGAAGGAGGTTGCCCTCAAGATATCAACCAGGACTTTGCCAACCTCTTCTATCGATGGAACATTGGTCAGCGTGTAACAGCTATGAGCTTGTACATGCTCTTTGGCGGGACCAACTGGGGCGCCATTGCCGCCCCCGTCACGGCAACCAGCTATGATTACTCTGCACCCATCTCAGAGGACCGGTCGATCGGGGACAAGTACTCCGAGACAAAGCTGCTGGCGCTGTTCACTCGCTGCGCCAAGGATCTGACCATGACTGATTTGATTGGAAACGGTACTCAGTACACGGACAATGCAAATGTTCGTGCATATGAGCTTCGTAATCCCGAGACTCACGCCGGGTTCTATACCACTTTCCATACCAATACGTCAATTGGTTCGAACGAAGCCTTCCATGTCAAGGTCAACACTTCTGCGGGTGCCTTCACAGTTCCCAAGCACGGCGGTGTTGTGCGTCTCAATGGACACCAGTCGAAGATCTTGGTCACCGACTTCAAGTTTGGCAAGGAGACGTTGCTGTACTCCACCGCGGAGGTACTGACGTATGCCGTCTTTGATAACAAGCCAACATTGGTCCTCTGGGTTCCAACAGGGGAATCGGGAGAATTCAACATCAAGGGTGCCAAGAAGGGATCCGTCAGCACGTGTCAGGGTTGTTCGAGTGTTGGGTTCTACCCTGAGCATGGCGGATTGACTGCCACTTTCACGCAGTCATCGGGCATGAGCGTTTTGGAAATTGACAACACTCGGGTTGTCTTGCTGGACCGGAAAGCTGCGTATAAGTTCTGGGCTCCCGCGCTGACCAAGAACCCACTGGTGCCAGAGACAGAGACCGGTAAGTCACTCCTACTCCATCATGAAACAGATTTGTGAAGGACGACTCTGACATCGCACTGCAGTTCTTGTGCAGGGACCATATTTAGTCCGGGGCGCTGCTCTGTCCGGCTCCAAGCTCGCCCTAACCGGCGACAACACGGACTCGACGGGCCTTGAAGTTTTTGCTCCCAAGAACGTCAAATCGATCACATGGAATGGAAAGGCCGTCCATGTTGAGCGTACAGCACACGGCAGCCTCAAGGGCTCCGTCGCAGCGCCCAGGTCTGTCAAGCTCCCAGCTTTCGGATCGTGGAAGTCAAATGACAGTCTGCCCGAGCGATCGACTTCATACGATGATTCAGGGGAGGCGTGGGTTGGTAGGTGTCCCTGTTTTCGATAGTAATCTCTTGTTCGAGTTCCATCTTTTTCGAAGGGGGTGATCGTTTTGTTGCACATTCTGACTGACACGAATCATCAGCTGTGAACCACCAAACCACCTCGAACCCGCGGAAGCCGACAACTCTCCCTGTTATGTACGCCGATGAATATGGTCAGTCGCCACGTTCACACCATGGCCACGTCAGAGTCTAGTATTGCTAACTCATGTTTAGGGTTCCACAATGGCATCCGTCTTTGGAGGGGGTACTTCAACGGCTCTGCGACGGGGGCTTACATCAACGTCCAAGGTGGATATGCCTTGTAAGTAAATGACGAAGATTTCCAAGCTGTTTTTGAGAACCATCCCACAAGGTTCTAACTCTGCTTTCCACCAGTGGCTGGTCCGCATGGCTGAACGGCAAATTCCTCGGTTCCTACCTCGGCGACGCCAACAAAGAGCAAGGTAATCTCACCCTCTCCTTCTCAAACGCCACAGTCAGCACCACCAAGCCCAATGTCCTTCTCATCATGCACGATGACACCGGCCACGACGAGACAACCGGTGCTCTGAACCCACGCGGCATCCTCGACGCGCGCCTTATCGACTCCGACTCCGGCTTCACCCACTGGCGTCTAGCCGGCACCGCAGGAGGCGAGTCCAATCTCGACCCTGTCCGGGGCGTCTTCAACGAAGACGGCCTATACGGCGAACGCGTCGGTTGGCATCTGCCCGGATTCGACGATTCAAAATGGACCGCCACGTCTAGTCTCAGTTTCACGGGTGCGACGGTGCGATTCTTCCGCACGACGGTTCCCTTGCAATTCCCCGCTGGCTTGGACGTTTCGGTCTCGTTCGTCTTGTCGACTCCCAAGGGTAGCACGACTGCGTATCGCGCACAGCTCTTCGTCAACGGATACCAGTATGGGCGGTATAATCCGCACATTGGAAATCAGGTGGTCTATCCTGTCCCGGCGGGGATCTTGAATTATAACGGGGAGAACACCGTGGCGGTAGCTCTCTGGGCGCAGACCGAGGCCGGCGCGAATATCAACGTGGATTGGCGGGTGAATTACGTGGCGGATAGCTCGTTGGACGCGGTCGCGATCTCCGAGAAGGCGGGAGATTTGCGTCCCAAGTGGACGGATGACCGCAAGAGATTTGGCTAGTTCGTGGCAACTTGCAGGTATCTTGGAAAGATATTTTCATCTCGTGTTGCTTGTTGACCAGTCGAATGTGACACCACAAGAAACAAAAAACCATTATTTGCCAATAATTTTTAGTGCGGTGGCCTCGCAAATACACTGAGAATGGACCGATGCCCTACCTCGCTGTTCAAAAGTCCAGTAAGGTGGGAAACAACAATCTACGACGAGAATTCTAGATAATACTTGCACGGCCCTCCGTCAGACAGCGACGACCCAGCGAAGCAAGTGAATCTGACCACTGAAAGGGTACGAATTGGTGACGCAGGCATACCACATAGATAGTCCCCTACCTACACGGTGTCGCCTCCAACCGAGCCGGCTTCTAGATAGACGACCGACCTAGACGGCGGAAAATGCAATTCAAAAAAAAAATTATCGCTTTCCATTTTCCGGCGTCCAAAAATCTCGTCACATCCAAAGCCACCTGGCGGGACTGCCAGTTTATACCCCACGGCTCGAGGGAGCCTCGGACTGTGGGGAAGGGGCGTGGTGGGCCGTGGGGGAACCGCGGAGAATGGAAATCTGGGGAAATCGAGCACTTGGCTATTGTAGGCTCTAGTCTCCTTTCCATCAAACGAGACAAAACGCAATTTGAAAAACAAAAGAACAATTATCATCAACCGAGGATAGGATGCTCATTGCTGTTTCGTGATTTCGACTCGAATTGACAGTGCTTGTGGCCTAAAATGACTAGGGTCGCATGGAAGAGATGGAAGAGATGGAAGGAAAGAACATTCCATTCTTAGGCATGCCGACAACGTGGCGGGTCACATTCTGACAGGCACTATAGCCGCTCTTGGAATGTTGCACGTCGGCTCTGACCGGTAGACTCAAAAGTCCAGTGACTTCTACTTCGGCCCACCCATTGTATCTCGAACAGCACTACCTTGACGACTGAGCGGACGTGCTCGAACCCAATGGGCGTATGAAATTCCAAGAATCTAATAGCTGGGCCAAAGCAGTCCCTTGCAGCATGTTCAGCCGAATAGACCAAAGATCAGGTAATAGCTTGGCCTGGCAAATGTTATTGTGGAGGGTTCAGACACTATCAGGTACAACCCGAACAAGTGGCTACTCGTAACGCAGATTGTCGACTGAATGTCTCAGTCCAGCAACGGGGGCAATGCGGATAAGCCCGAACGGCCGAATTGCTGGAACTTCGGCATGATCAGTCCTATCTGTATACTTGAAATCCACGGCGCTTGGAGCGTCATCAGTAGACCAACGGTGACCGAGAGCTGGGAAGGCATGCTTGGGATATGAAATACAATGATTCTGCCTGGCTTCGCTACAGTACGACCGCAATGAACAGTTACCTCTACGAGTCCAACAGAGTGCGATGGATCGAGCCGCAATTGAATACTGTGACCATCTTGACCTGGGCTTCGTTCAGATGCAAATTTTACATGGAATGATTGGGACGTGAAAAGAAAACAAATGCTCAGTTCATGAGCAGCCGAGCAGTCACCACGTTGATGGAAAAGCAAAATGAGGTGAAAAACAGGGTCCGACATGACCACACTGAAATCATGTGTGTGCTTGAAGATGGATGAAAACCAGAAGGTGAAAAGTCACAGGCAAAGATGTTGAGAAAGGCAGTGAAAAGCGCAAAGTAGACCATCAGACTAGGAAAAATGAAATCCAGACCCAATTTGCGCACGCTTCCAGTGGTCAATGAAAATGTTTCGAGATGAATGCACGCGGAACGGACGATGACTAGAGTGTAGTCGAGATGAGATTCAATAATGAAGGAAAGAGAAGGCTGGGCGATTGCTCTTGGAAAGCGATAAAGGCATGAAAGGCTCGGTTCGTAAGACCGGTGTCAATGCTCGGTAAATGGGTGACGCAACGACGCTCCAAGTTCGGCAGTAACCCATTCGGGAGGCTTTGCGCAATTAAGCACGCTTGGACGCGCATACAATGGTAAAATGCCGAATTCCACGAAATGGACTCGCCCAATGCAAATGGCTGCACGACAGAAATGATCAAGGCATGTGCACATGACAGGCTCTAGGAGACGCCAAGGCTTCTACCGCGAGGCTGTCGTGATTTACCCAACGCAAAGCGAAATGGAGTAAATGGAAAAAAAAGACGCAGTGAGAAAAGCTGTACTCGTCAAACACCACCCAATCGCGAAAGCGAATGCAAATCTATGGTGAGAGGTGTCAGGTGGGAATCCTCCGACGTGAGGAGATAGGTCCCAGTGGGTGGGCATCCCATCCATCAAGTCAAATGACAATCAAATGAAGTGCGTGTAAATCTTGGAATTCTCGTGAACCTCCATCTCCTACCCGCATGTATTAGTATTGAGTAATGATCTGAGCAGATCGGGACTTGCAACTTACCATTTTGAAGTTGTTGATTTCTTCCCGGATCTGTTGAGCAAGCAGCGGCGTCAAGCGATTGCAAGTCGCGATGTCACCACGACGATCGTACTCCCCGCTGGGCCAGGTGTCGTGATACTGAATGCGAGGACTGAAGACGATGTTTCGTGAAGTGGGTTGGGGGGTCATGGGGGTACCCTTAGGGTCATCCCCTGCGAAGCGTCCGCCTTGAGACATAAAATAATCCTCCCCAGCGATCTTGATATGCTCACCAGGGCGAGCAGCCCGCAAACCATCATCGGGAGTGGGTGGGGCACTTGAATGAGGCGATTCACTGCCGTTCTGTGCCCGGGCTTGGGACGATACACCAAAGTCGGAGTGAGTTTTCTTTAAGATACCCCTGGTCTTGCGGATCTTGGACAAAACCTCTGCACGCTCTCGGTCTCCACCCATGATACTCTTGCGCGTGTCGGGGGTGTTATCCGAGACACTGCGTTGCTGCGAACGCTCGCGCACCGAAACCGATCGGCGAGGCTCCGAGGGACCTTCGGACCTCGGGAACACGGTTCCCCCACGAGGCATGTCCTGCGGATCTGCGTTGACTGTTACGCTTTCCAGCTCTGCTCGCTCTCCTTCGATGTTGACGACGGAGATCCTGGGAGCCGCCATGGGCTGCTCTGATGCTCCGGCACCTTCGATGGAGCTGATGCTCGCAATAGACTTTGGACGAAAAAGTCCAACCAGTGACCGACCCCCTCGCTTCATTCCCTTGCCCATCTTCCGGAGCATCATTGACGCGGAGGAGGCAGTTGACGAGACAGACAACGCATCCGTGGAGCCCCGGAAGAAATTGCCCTGGTGGGAGTAGATATTCTCACCCAACCCACTGGCTTCCTGTTGCTCCGCGATGGCGGCTTGTTCCTCTCCCAACTCTTCGCGAAGAGCCTCACGACGGGCTTGCTCCGCTGCCGCTGCTTCCCGTTTAGCCGCGGCTTGCTGGGCAGAGGAAGCCTTCAACAGCTCCGAGGCGCTGCCAAAGGAGAAAGCACGTCGGAGTCGTGATTTGCCCGGACGCCTCTGGTCATTCTTCAGTTCGGCCAGGCGCCGGGCGGCTGGCGAGCTCTCCGGGGATGATGTTGCGGTTGCGGTTGCTGTCGTCGAAGCTTGAGTCTTGGGAGGAGCGAGCTTGGGCGAGTCCGGTGTGGTCGACGGCTGTTGAGAAAGGGGGGATGGTTTGTTGACCCGCTTTTCCTCAGTTCGCACCGTCTTGCCAATTACAGCAGTGGTCTCGGCTGGGGAACACTCACGAGGCTAGTGGAAAGATAAAAGTCAGTCTCTCGTGGAGTGTACTTGTTGACGGACGCGGGCAAATCTATGCTCACCGATGATGTTGAAGACTGGGTCGAATGACCACTTGCTACGCTATCCCGATGTGAATGAGCTGAGCGGGGCCTTGTATTAGAATCGAAGGTAATGAAATCGTAAGCGCCCGATTGCGTAGCGGATGCGGCCGGCAATTGCACATCCAGCTGGGGATATGTTGCAGGGTCCATCGTCCCCAGGCTCCGGCGTCGATAACGCTTGGCAAGTTCAGGCTGGGATTTCTCCTGCACGGAAGCGTCGTCCACGCTAGATACTCGGTTGTGGCCGCCAGTTCGCAGAATCGGGCCAGAGCCGAGAGGAAGCTTATCTTCAACGGCTGGGGGTGTGGTCACCGACCCCGATGACTGGGATTGGAAGCTGTCTGCGCGCTGCTGGTTCGGACGACGGTAACGATTCGGCGATGGCTTGGCGGTAGTGGCCGAGGATGCAGTCAGGGCGATGTTAGGCGGAGGAAGGTTGGCCATTGAAACAGGACGGGGCGGTTGGTCCGCTCTCGATTGCCGAGAAGGGAGGGCAGAGTCGTCCTGAGAGACGTGGGAGCGAAAGGAAGAGTTTGCGGGCGCAGAATTCGATACAGAGCCAGCTGCAGGGTTGTTCAGACGCGGAGTTGCCTGGTGGGAGCCGTGCGGTGCGATCTGGTGGATTGCAGGAGCCGAGGATGTACGGTGCTCCGGACGCAGGTGAGGTGACCACGAGGGGCGATGCTGGGCTGTGGGGGACGAGGCTCCAGGACCCATGTTGGCAGCATATGTATAAGGTGCGACAACCGGGTGGCCCGCGCGATATACCCCCGTGTTGCCGTTATTGAATGTACCCCAGGACATGTTTTGGTAGGAATGGCCTGAGTTCTGAGTCGAGTGTGGAATGAAAGTATTGGAGGATGAAGCGGAGGTAGGACGAGTCTGGAGCACCGGTGTTGTGCTACTGTGTTGAGAGATTGTTTGAACCAGTGCGGCCATAGTTATCCTCTGTGTGCGTTTAGACTGTCTGAGGCAATCTGGCAAACGTCCAAGCCCGTACCGATGGTGGCGGGACAGGAATGACAGGCAACGACGGTGAAAGTTGCGGCGGATGGATGGGCCGAGGGGGGATTTAGAGAGCAGAGGAGACGTGGGGACAAGCTAGGATGCTATTGCAAGAGCCCTCGGCGGGCTGAAATTAGCAAAGAGCTCATGTCATTTGAAGTCGTAATATTTGCCGACGAGACGGGAAACAGGTAGCGTATATGCCGAATCAAAGAGAGAGAGGGGGGGGGAGAGAGAGAGAGAGGAAGAAGATCAAGATTTGGGTGGCCGAAGGACAGAGACCGAGAGATGGGCCGTGTGTATGTGTTGGTGAGTGCATGTGGAAAAGGAGACCAGAGCAAGTTGCCAGGCTGCGAGCCAGCTTGTAGGGGTCCGATTCAACCAATTTCCGTCCCGGAGCGAAGAACAACGCGTCAGCCAGGGGCAGCAGGGGGTCGCTTACCTGTTTTGGAGAAACATGAACATCAAAAGAAAACTTATAGTTGTACAAGTATTAAAAAGAGCGATAAGGGAATTGCCGAAGCTGGATGAAGGCGCAGTACTGCAAAAGAAGACAGAGAACGATCAAGAAAAATGCGAGACTCGAAACCAGGCGAGTGATAGAAACGAAAGGTGGTCAAGATCGAAGAGCAAGAGCGACTCCGGGTGATGGCCAGTGGTGTCGGGAGAACCGGGGGGTGTGGAAAACGAAGGGGAGGGGGAAGTCAGAGAGGCATATACAAGAATTGAAGAGAAGACGACCCCGAAAAAGGATCCAAGGGACCAGAACCACGAAGAGCACGAAGGAGTGCCGCTTTTAGGAAACTGGGGAGGAGGAGGAAAAGAGAGGGGAGGATGAGGAGGATGTGGTGGAGGGGAGGGAAGGTGTTGAGAGCCCGGGGGGAGAGAGAAATTGGATAGGAGCGGGAAGGGGGAAGGGGGGCCCAGTTGGCAGTGGGCAGTGGGCAGTTGGGAGGGGGCAATAGTGGGAGGGAAAGGGGCAACGGAGTGGGCGACGGCCTACGGGTTTACAAGCTGGACGGAGGCCGCCCTTTGGCTGGCAGATGGTGGTGGTAAAGTGGCGGCGGGGGGTGGCAGTAGCAGAGCACCAGGCTAGCGGCCGCAGGACTGATAAGATTAATGGGGTGTCCTGCGTCGGTGGAGAATCATGCAGTACAATAACAATAATGACAATAATGGCCGCCAGGCACAACCTTCTCTTCATTGATCTTCGGGGAGTGATTTACAAGGAGGAGAGAGAGAGAGAGAGAGAGAGAGAGCGAGAGAGGAATGGAAGAAAAGGAAGAAAAAGGAAACACTCTCTACTTCGCTAACAGACTGAGACTTTCAATGACAAGCCCCATCAGATGTTGGCCATTTGGGAGCGATTACGCTCCAGCAGCGATGAGACATGATGGACACATGGAAGTGACACTGGCTGATTCTCCATTTTCCTCTCCCCACAGATAGGCATTGCTGCGTCTTGACAGAAAACCGAACCGTCGTGATGATCCAATACAATGCGCTGCTCTACCGACTGTCCGGTCGGCCGATCTAAAGAACGGAAAGATAGGAACCTTCACCTCATCTCAGCATTGATTTGTTGAAATCTCACCAACATTATCTGCCGTGAGACCACGATGCCGTTCAACCAGATGATCGGTCGCCAGAACTGACCGTCCACTGACCGAGTGCTTGATAACTGCTAAAAAGAAACCAGATAACCACCGAGCACACGAAGACTGTGACTGGCAGTCGCGGCGGACGGAAGACGATCAGTGATCTGGGTTGATTGAGGCTTTGCGGAGGCTGCGTGGCTTTGGTTCGCAAAGACCGATTGTTGACCAGCATGCTCGTCCGCGCTACACGGCTCGATAAGACATCCAGTGATCGCGTCGGGCGCTGATTCCCAGGTCATAATTCATAGCACAGGCCCGTTGCTCCATTGGGACATACAGACTCCTCGGACGAGTAGCTGGTGCAATGGCCGAGGTGAGCGAACAGACAACAGACAACAGACAACAATCTCAATGGCTGGTGTGGGCGATGTGGGCAAGGCGCAACATTGTCCGAATTATGGAGCCTGTGGAGACGGACCCGGCGGAGAAATCATGGAAGTAATCGATCCGATCACTACGACTAATCTACTCAACTAAAGCAGCAGACGGCAAATAGCCTGTAAGAAACAGCCGCGCACGAGACCGTTCTTGGCAGTCGATTTACCACTGTTTTGTCACGGAATCTTGAACCTAATAGAATCGACGACTATGTGGATATCTGTCAAAACGGAAGAATGAATGGAATTTTCTAATAATGCATGTGATGGTAGTGCTCAGGCTTCCGGAAAGGCGTAGCGGCAGCACGTAGCAAGATCCTCAGCCGTGAATATAATATTCCCTTCCTTCGTGTTAGGGGCGGGCGGGCGGCGCATAACGGATTCGAACTCTAACTCGAGTGGAGCATTCTCAACATTCCTTGAGGTAACGATAATCGCTTCGGCCGCTAAGTAAGGTTGTAGTACTATTAGGGAGACTGTTTGAGGAATCATATGATTTAATAGAGTACGATCGACCTCAGCCTGTAGTCCACGCGTAATTCTAGGGTTCGTAGGTCTGAGTTTGTAGAGCTTTAAGATAACTCTGCACTCGGGGGGCCTCTGGATATAAATGAGAATAACCGTATTGACTTGGTAACTAGAGTTTGAGAACCACCAATGTGCGTTAGTTCGTAGTTGTGCTTCTGATTCAGAAAGACCAGTTTCAATAACTAGCGACGGCCAGTCGTTATCTTTAGAAGGATTCCGTAATAGAGTAAGAGACTGGTCGGCTTCTTTATCATATGATTTTCCGTGGTACCGGGAGGCCGCGTTCATAGTATAATCGTCTGGATTTATTCCTATTTCGAATAATTTCAGGACGAGTTTGTTTGAAAATAACTATGTTATACGCTTATAAGCCTTTAAGGGTATAATTCGAATAACCGCTTACTGGTACTATGCGTCGAGGGTTAATCTATAGGAAACCTTAAGAGGATTTTAATCTCTACCTAATAGCTCCTGCAGAGGCTGGGATATATTTAATACGATAATAAACTGGTTCGAGTAAGACGAGTCGGAGTTGATTTGACGATAGATATCGTTCGCAGTTTGTTGAAGGACAGAAATTGAGGGGGCAGATAACACCACAGCACCCTGGATTTCGAATGGTAGGTGCGAATCACAGTCCCTCGCTGCCTCGACCGGTGAGAGTGACTCGGCGTCCTTTGTATCGAGAGAGGAGGAGGATACTATTAACGGGGACAGAGGCAGCATTTTGGCTGAATTAGGAGGGGGAATAGGGTGGTTGAGGAAACTGGAAGGAGGCAGAACTAGAGAAGCAAGACGACTATTGATGGAGGACTGAGGCTGAAGCAGAAATGTTGCAACAGGAGCATGAGCACTTTCATGTGACGTCAGTCCAGAGCAGGCGGTCAGCAGCAGTGGTAGGTGCTGACTTGCCGTCGGGTAGAATACTTGTGTATTTTTATGCGCCAACAACCGTGCTCCGACCCGACACAGATCGCCATCTGCAAACCATATTGATTGAACGACCAGTGAGACGCCAGGGTGCCGGAACCCAATGGTGTGCATCAATGCCGCGACTTGAGTCTTGTGACGCAAAAGAACAACAAAGATCTCAAACAAAGAGAATCTTGACGATAGCACACTGCCCTTGAGAGGAATATTCACGATTGACGGCCGATGAAAACAAGCCGTTTGAGCGCCGTCTCACCTGCTGCATGAAGTATGGACCGTGGAGTGTGGATATTGACAATGCCAGTGGCTGATTTACTCCCGTGCCGTGGGAGCTGGAGGCTATGGTACGCTATCAAGCTTTGCTCTTTCGATTTGCCTATTGGCCATGCAGAGAGGTATCTGAGGAGCCAAAGTGCCAGGTGTTCCTACCGCCCTCTACAGTCTACACTCGACAGTAGTAGCGCGGTCAGTAGTGGGAGCTGAGTTGTGCTTCTGACCGTGGCGGGACTCTGAGAGGGTGCATCAGTGCACTGGTGCAGGCAGTAAATTCATGGCTTGCAGGACGAGAAGCTTCCGGGTCACTCATTAGATATGGCGAACGACAAAATGTCGGTGTCGATGCGCCGAGATAAGGTTGGGGGGCCACCAAAGGATCTCTCTCAACCCTGGCAGTAGATCTACTGGGAATCGGGATCATGGTCCCCGAGGCTAAGAATTTGGAAGGAATCGATTGACGCACGGTCGCGAATCTCGTTTGAGGTATAGTGCCTTGGAAATTGGCCCAGAAGATGAACCCCCATGCTTTTTTTTCTCTCGTCTTCGGAGCCCGAATGCGATCAATCCAAGGATGAAAAGATATGGCACGCTCCTGCTGATCCCGCTACTGGTCAGCGTGATCAGCGTGATCATTGCGGCTATACGAATTCTGGAGCCAAACAGCCGCTTGCAAGGAGTAATCCTATTGCGCAATCTGCCTCATCGGAGAAGGCCCAGTCTGTGCAGCAAATTGATGAACAGGAGAGATCAAAGGCTGAATGTGAGGGGGGCAACAATATCACCAAGATTCCGCGATTGGCGATGGAACAAACACAGGACTAACTCAAATAGTAAAGGTTTCAACGCTAAATTCCTCGACCTCCTGACTCCACAGCGCCTCCAGCGAATCCTCCTCCCGCTCGCAGGACAACTTGTGGCCTTTGGGTCGGCACGTGCGCCGTGTTCCAAGTTCAAGAAGCACAAGCAAGATCCGGTAATTACCAGACGGCAGCGATTGCAAGTTGACAATAATACCTACCAATACTACTACTAGCCTACTTCACCATGTGACTATAGTAGTCTCCTACTAGGCTACTGCTACAATCACGGGGGTGACTCCTTGTGAGATCCTTCGACCTAGTACCTCTACTCTGCTACTGGACTGATTCCTTCATAAAGGCATTATGAGCGAACCAGAATCAACAATGATTGTTGATCCTTTTCTTTGCAACAGATGATGTACTGCAGACGTCGAGGCGGCGAGGCGCACATGTTAACCTGAAGCTTCACACCTTCTGCTTCTTGCACGGCAGTCACTTAATCCCATCGCACTAAATAGACAGCTTGAGCCGCATAAAGATTTACGTATACCGCGAGACTTTCACCTGGATTCAATACTGCGCCATGGCAGGGGCAGGGGTAAGGTTGCTGAACTTTATCTCTTCTTCCAGCGAGCGTATTGACCTTTGCCGGTGCTACAGAGTCAACTGAAGCCTTGGGAGAGCGGACAGACAACAAGGAGAAAGAGACTTCCTGCAAGATTGCTAGAACGTTTCATTGGGAGTTCCTCCTTACTCGATCCACTGGAACCTCTCCTCAACATTGCAGTGTCTATCCGCCTCGATGTACAGTACCGCTGCCACGGAATGGAGATACCCTATCTGACTCGACTGACTTGACTGACTCTTCCTTGCCGTGGCCTACTTTGCGGTTCAAACAAATCGATCGGAGAAAGCCGCAGCTCGGCCCCCAGCTCTCCACATGTGCAACGAACACTTCAGCATATGCAGTGCGGGAATCAGCTACCCAGCGATTGATACTTCAGATTCCATGGATCGCCGGTGGAGACTGGAGACCGGAGACCATATAGGTAGCAATGTGTTACGATGGACCCAGTGAATGGGTGTGCCCCTCGGGTTGAAACAATCTTTCTGGTGATATCTGATTTAAGTAGATTTTCAATCTCGCTGAGCGTTTACTTTTTGGTGTAGTTTTGTCTCGTCAGCAAGTTCACTTAGGAGGCAAATCAAAATCAAGGAGACATCGCGATGACTAGTATGGCTGCTTCTTCTGCATTGAGGCTGATTGAATCATCGGTATCGCTCAACCAGGTATTCCCATCATCCCATGTTCCAGCGGATCGAAACGCGGTCGGATAGAAACGACTTACTTGCGAGCAAGAAAGCGGGATCGAATAGAATCCGCTGGCTGAATAGGAGGTGGAATAATGTGAATGTCGAGGCTCGGAGAAATCGTGCTACCATCGAGTGACCGATTATGCGAACAGTAGTATAGCACTTGCATGACTTTTGTCTCGGATAAATGACTCTTATTTGTTCTTTCGCGTTTAGACTCCACTAAAAGGCGCTTCACCACCCTCCCTTCCCCTCATCATCGATCTACCTGAGTACTCGAGTCATTCTCCGTGATGTCCCCTACAGCCCCCGTCCACAGCACGCCCGTATTCGCTGCATCTCCGGACGGAGGAATCAGCCGTTTGGAGCCTCTGGTCGGCTGTCGGGGTCGCCCAATTAGTCGATATGCATCTTAGTCGACGCCGAAGACGTACGCTAACTGCTCTGCCATCGATAATATGCGGTCGAGCAACATTGGCCACAATCATCCCGTGTGATCAACGGAGACAGACCCTGTGGTCGCTGATTGACAGATCCGATTGATCCACAGTCCACACGTCTTAGGAGGTTCAGACCACCGTGCCTCCGGATCCACAACAAAGTGTGAAATTGTGAATCCAGCAACGGTTTAGAGAAGCCGCAACACGTGCGTGTGGTAGAGTTCAGATTCCATTCACCAGGTAAGGTCCTTCCTTCACATGACAACACAGAGCGATAGACTTCATTACCTGTGGGCTATGATCGAAGAGATGGTGATGTAATGGAGGTCCTGGGCAGTGCATGACAACTATCTCTAAATGTCTATGATAAGGACGACTGCTACCGCATTGTACTGTAAATGAGTACTACAACAGATTACGAACGTCACAGGAGTACTCCAGCTCCATCCGAAGATGGACTAATAGTGACAGGTTTCGCTCCCGTATAAATTCACTTGAAGCCAATCCAAGAGCGCACGAAATCGTGGAGTAGCCAAATTGATGTCAAAGGCTTACCTGATTCATGTACTCCACCATCAGTCCACGAATCGTCACCGATCCTCATCATTTTGGTCAAACTTTACATAGCTGATCACGGGTGAGGGGAAACATCGGATTTTGTCTGGATCGGAATACGATAATCCATGATGAATTGGAAGGCATCTCATGTGTCCATTGAGGTTGACCATGCTTGCCCGGTCTTAAGAGCTGCCGGGTTGTTGTTTTTTCCTCATCTGGGAACTTTCCATACCCCGATTCCCGTCCTTGGTCGTTCGAAGTGCCGAATGTACTGGGATGATGGGATTAAGCGAGTTACACCGCACTGTAAAAGACTTGGATCTGAATACAGGTGCACGTACAATAGCTTTATGTTTACATCCTCGACAAGATGTTCAGGCAGCAATCGGCCAATGGTGCTGTATTAACTTGGAGCGTAGAGAATGGTTGGGACTTCCAATACGAGGCCCCAATATTCGTTATGATTCATGAGTCCGCGCCGAGGACAAAAATAACAAAACAAAAGAAGAGAATATCCTTTGCAGGGCGGGGTGTCAAAGGAGACCCTCTGTACATTTATTTTCAAAGGCTTAGGACCCGAAGTCCAGATTGTCACGCACCGTATGCACGACTTTTCTCGTACTGGCTATAGAGTCTGAGATACGATCGTAACGCCCCATGCAAATTTGAGAAGCCCAGTTTTTACTTTAAAACCCCAGGCCATCCTCGCCATCAAAATCGTCAGCGCTACCCATATCTTCATCATCTTCCAGCCCCTCGAAGATCATGAACTTCTCGTTCTTGGCATCCGTCTCCTCCTCGACAAGGTAGCCATCGCCGACTTCGCAATCCTTCAGGACAGAGTCCTTGCCAATCACGGCCCGGCGACCCACGATGCAGCCGGTGAGGGTACAGGAACTGTTCACAACAGCGCCGTCCATGATGAGACATCTTTGTAGACGGGCCCCGGAACAGATCTTGACATTGGCACCGATCACGCTCTCCTTGATCACACATTTGGACTCGACGGTGGTGTTCTCACCCACCAGACAATCGGCCTTGGTGATCGTTGTCCGTTGCGCAACACCATCGGGGTTGGCAATCTTCTGAGGAAGAGCGAATGGTGAAGCGGCAGCACCAGCCTCCTCAATAGACTCGAGCTTGGCGAGTCGAAGAGATGTCGAGAGCAGAATTGCACTGCTGTCAACGCGGCGTACGAATGGCGCAGAGCCCCGCTGAACATAGGCCAGGAGCCGCGGAATTTTCAAGGGCTCCGTTTGAGTTGAAGGGGGAGCATTGGAGACCCTAGATGCAAAGGCCGTGGTTGTGGTGGATTTCCCAACGTTGATGTTTGGCCTGGAGCTTGTTGTAGACATAGCCAGAAGATCAATTTCCTCCTCTATTGACTCGCCGTCGTGGCTTGCGCTATCGGTGCTGTGGCCGGTCTCGCGATTGAAGATCTCGCTCATGCCCAACTTTTCACCAAGGCCTCGCTGCCACTCGGCTTTGGCCCAGAATCCAACAAGGTCTTCGCTCACTGACTGGAAGTGTTCCTGTCGGAGAGCCAACTCTTTGACCCAGTACGGGAAGACGTAAAGGTGGGCGTCTCGGAACGTGGTGAGCATCTTGACGCGAGGATGTGTCGTGACAAGAGAATGGCGTAGGAGCAGGCCCTTGTCATGCTCCATTTTCTCCTTGACCGTCGCCATCGGCATTGAAAGAACCACCTTCGAAAGGTTGCGCCTTAAGGCAGCAGGTCCTTCAACAGCATGTGATACAGCCGGAGATTCATCGTCATCGAGGGGCGCGATAGCCAAGAAATCCGTTCCCTCACCTTTGACGGATTCTTCACGATCTTGTGTCTGGTAAAAGACGGTCAGTCCGCCGCGGCGCCCACCCAACTCACCGCCGGGCCCAGAAGAAGTTGGTCCGTGAGCATTGCGACCTTCGACTACTGTTGATGAGCCTCCCAGTGCGCTTTGTGAAACCATCCACGCTTCCAAAAGCGACTCGCCAGAAATTTCACAGACTAAGTCGCATGGGAGAAGAAGGAAGTCGGTCTTGATGCAAGCTTGAACTTCGGGCAGTCTGAGTAGTTCCGCAGTTCCCATGTTCAAATCGAGTCCCTTCGGCGCCAAGACTGACGGGGACGGAGATGGCAGGGAAGTCAGATGAGGGTTTTGTTGCAGCGCGGCTTGTAGAGGAGCAGCAGTCGAGGGAGGAGTAATCAAGGTGATGTCTTTTATGAACAACTTATTAGTTTCGAAATGATCTCCACGCTGAGTTAATGCATGTCATACCGGTAATTCCAGACTTTTTCAGCCACGAGAGCTGGTAATAGACTAGCGGCCTGTTGGCCAGCGGAATCAATGCTTTGGGATACTCCTCATTGGTAGTGAATGTGTTTAAAGATACTCCAGGGCCGCAGAGAATGAGAGCTTGTATCCCAACACTTGGGACAACAGCTGAAGGAGAAGGCATCGCGCTAATGCCCTATTCGAGGTCTCAGGTTTGAACGAGGATCAAAAAAAAAAAGAGATGAGATGCAAGTTCGGTAGCAAAGTGAGCCCCGCCGTGCGCAGACAATAAAACCTGGGGTTATTGTCAGCGGTAGAACGTTTGATCCGATTCCACCACTTTGCTGTGTCTGATGGTTTGAGGACTTGCAGCCGCAGTTGCACACTCAGATCGGGTCAAAATCTGCCCCAAAGCTATCCACAAGTAATTCCCTCGTTGTTGATACCGTGACGAACCGCGCGGGACATTTTTTGATATTATCACGTGATGATAGTCGTGAGTCAGCTGCTGACCCGCCTCCTCCGGATTTCCAAAATTCCACTATGACCTAGCATGAGGTGCCTCAGGCTTGAGATTATCCGCGTTGATACTCCGCTCAAACAAAACAAACAGTGGAACTGGACACCCAGCCCGTCGCTCCTAACGCCGCGGTTACGACGGGGCTCTCCAGCCACATGTTTCTTGTGCTCCGAGGTCGATAAACTCACAGTCCTCCTGCATGACTCCTCTTGCGCTTTGCTTTCTGCACGTCGGCTCTTCTTCTGAAGGGGAGTGAAATGTGATAGCCGCGCCTGCGACCAAATTTCTTTAAATGTGCCATTGTCGAATTCAGCGCCCGTCATTGCAATGTCATACCCCGGGGAGGCTCGCCGCCGCGGTGGAGCCGGCAATAGCTCACGCACGGCTCTGGGTTACTGGGTCCCCTTGGCCCTCACTGTCGGAGTCGCAACATTGAGTATCGCGGCTTGGATCTGGAGCGAAAGAGATGAGGATGATGACAGCGAACGACCCTCTAACGACCGGGATGCCCCCTACGCGACCGATCCGACAGGTACAGTGCACGGCGACTATCCTCCATCATACAGGACAGAAGATCACAACAAAGAGATAGTCCCCGGTGCTGAACATGGGGAGCATCAGTATGACCCCAGCTTCATGACCCGAATGCAAGGAGCACTGCGACGAACTCCAAGCCCACAGCAGCTTTTTGACGGTGCGAGTCGAAGGGTAATGGCCGGTGTCACTGCTGCGGGCGCATACGTTGGCGGGGCTTTAACCTCGATTCGCGAAGAGAATCGTGGCGACTTTGAGGACCATACGAGATGGTCAGAAGAGGCCCAGTCTCGAGCGACGCAGCGCAACCAGCCCACGGGCGATGCGCCACTTATCAGCGGGGCTATATCAAGCCATCTACCACCGGTCGGTCAAGGCCAACCCGCGAGGAACAAGAAGAAGACGGTAGCCATCGTTGTCTCTTCTGTTACTCCTCCGGACTCGGACGCTTATGCTTCAGAGCATGCCGTACGTACTATCCTATGGATCTTACCTTGACTGCCTCTCGTACCCGCGTGTTCTAACCCTACCGCCTCAGTCTATACTTTCTCATCTCCCCGAGCATGTTGATCTCGACACCTCTCGCATCTTTGTCTTGATCTATGCCCCTGACCTCCAACATGCAATTGGACAAAGTAGTCCCTCTCGAAGAACCACCTCTCTTGCATCTTCATTCTCCAACATTGCAACCGAGGAAGCGAACTCTTCGACCGAGGCGATCGCAGATCCAAACAGTCTAGACTCGCGCCACGAAGACAGTATGGATGGCACCAACATGCTTTTCAAAACTCTGTACACGCAAGCTCAGGCGATTGTTGAAAAAGAGAGCATGATCATGCCTTTCAACACAGCTACTGGCTTTGTGCACCTTGTGCGTCACTTGTCACCGGAGCTTGTCTATGTTCAGGAGTCTTTGACAGGTGACGAGGGCACTGCTGCGCATCATATATCCGGTTGGGTGCGTCAGGTCATTGTCGTAGTCGGCGACGAAGGCGGTCGTGGAGGCCTCATTGATAGCGATGAAGAGTCTGTTCTCGCCGAGAAGGGTGAGAAGTGGTGGCAGAAGGAGGGGACTATCGGGATCGGAAAGCGCATTGACGTGGTGGATGCTCTTCGTGTAGGAGATGACTGGCGCCGCCGAGTGAAGGGTCTGGACTGATCTGCTGATCGAGGGCTCTGCTCCACAATCTCTATGATGTCTATGCCGACGTTCAAGTACCCACATCGCTTGTCCATATTGCTCGATGCACACATATAGTACTTGTCTTTCTTTCGTGCTGCTAGCGGTTTCCATTTTGCCTTTGATTAACCCCATCCAATTAAGTTTGAAAAGGCCGTATCTTTATTGACTCTTTGTAGGTGCTGTTCCAAATGAAGTCGAGGTACAAAAAGCATAAGATTACAGGGTGCAACGTCTGAAAATGTTTACATACCCAAAGACTCAAAAGCACTGTGCCATAGAGCATGGGACTTTTGCTGTTGAGTGCCAAGCGTGCAAGTAGGGCATCCAGTTTTGCGATGGTCAACTGGTGTACCATGTCGGTCCTCATACTAGTCTTAAAGCGGATGGTCATGTGACTATATCACGTCCGGTCCGCGGCACCGCATCATCACGTCGTTCTACCCAGTTGCAGCAGCAGAACGCCCACCGCGCATCCGACCCCTTAACCATTAGCCTAAGTTGCCAAATTTAATGATCGCCTTCACTCTTTCAAATTGGTCATTTCTGACTACCTAATCAATTTCTCATTCTTCAACCGGTATCGCCGCGTCTAATACCGAAACCGACTAGCCGAACTCCGCATGTCTTGCGCGCCGGTTATCTCATTCTTTCTCGGCCTCAGCAACTCGTTTCACTACTTCTCCAATACAACCACTCAATAGCCTCCTAGCTACTTGTTCGGAGCCACTTCATCGCGCCCGCTGCGCCGTTGCGCCGTTGCGCTGTTGCGCCGATGATGGCAACCGCGGTCTCGAAGCCAAGCCCCCATCCTCCGAAGATGAAGCGGCCGCCCCCGCCTTTCCCCCAGACTGGGTCAAATGGTGTCAAACCCCAGCAAGCGTTGTCCTCTTCACCAAAAATCACACAGGAACCTCTCACTCAGGGCTCTCATGTGGTGGCACAGCAAATAGTAGGAAATGATGGCCTCAATTCCCCTAGCAATGCCAATGGCGCATCAAATCCAGTCAAACCGCATGCACAACGAGGTGATGAAACCGCCTCACGAAAAACCCGTGCAACGACACGAAACTCATCTGCGCCAGACCAGACTCGGTCTCCAAGCTCGGGCGCTGGACCTTATGGTGAGAGGATTGTTCACTTGCATCCATCCCCCAGTGCCTCGTTATCATCTTGTTCACTAACCGATTTCTTCTGCCGTTTTTAGTGAAAACCACTTCATACATCTTGAAGAAATACGCGAAGAGCGCCCCTTCACTCATACTTCATCTTCACCCAACACATTTTCGATTCGATCAGCAAGATGGAAGCTTTCCCTATAACTCGGAGATGAAGGTCATCCTTGAACACATCCGCGCCGGAACGATTCCACATGAAATTATCGAGGAATTACTGCGCGGCGGTGTGAGGTTCTACGAAGGTAATCCAAACCCCTGTAGGCTGGGCTAGTATGTTTGCTCAGAAGAAACAAATCTTTGACGATTCTTTGAGTAGGATGCCTCATCGTGCGTGTGGTTGATCACAAGTCCGTTTCCGCGCAAGCGCAAAAAACATCTGTCTCGACGACCACAGAGACCAATTCTCCCTATTCTCTTCATAACTACAATGAACATATCACTCCCTCCGCCTTCGTTCCTTACCCCAAACAGACTCAGCTAAATGCTGATTCTCAATCCTCGAAATCGTCCCAAGATTCCGGCGCTGTGTCTAATCATCTTGGGCATCAAAAAGGTGATGATAAAGCTGAAGCGCCGAAAGATACGACTTCATCCAACGCGAAGGATACGTCGACAAAACCCAGGGTCTTCACCACCGTCCTTCACCCCACTCCCCGAGTCCTACAAGCGGAACTCACACTCTTTGTTACAACGCCCGACCCTCAAGCCGCTTCTCTCAACCAAAATTCGCATCTTCAATCATCTTCCACCGTTCCGCAGTCTCCCACTGTGGCACAGCCGGATCGAGGGAACCCTCAGAAACGACAGAAGACTCTTGTGGAGCCGCAAGACCTAGTTGAATGCGAGTCAATGCTCGTGAACAGTCTAGCTCCCCAACTCTACCTGGGCCTCGCAAATAACTTCGAAGAGACACAAGCTTTGTTGAAGTTCTTGCGAAGCCCACTTCATAATGACCCGCCACCTTCGCCGAAACGACGTAAGAGAACCGTGGCTGAGCTCGCTGCCGACGAAGCACTTGCCGCCGAGGAGGAACGCTTTATGCTTATCATGGATGAGCGTCTACCAAACTCTTCTAGTGCGCCTGGTGCTTCCAAGGCTACCACCGTGGACGAGACTTCCGGAGTGGCGCCATTTGAGCCTCGCTTCTCACGTTTCAAGACACTTGAAACGATTCGCATGCAACATGAGGAAAAGGCTAAGCAGGAACATGAGCTTAAGCTCAAGCAGGAAATTGCTAAGCGTCAGCAGCAGGAGCAAGAGAAGGAACGGCGTCGTGTGTTGGAGATTCAACAAGCAGAGCAGCATGCCAAAGACGAAGCTCGCAGACAGCAGCTTGCAGCCCAGCAGGCGCAGGCTCAGCTCGCGGCCCAGAACCGTCATACCATGGCTCAGCCGAATGGTGTTGCTCAAGCACAGCAGTCCTCACCCGTTGTGCGCCAACAGACGCCGCATAGCATTTCATCACCCCTCGTGGGTAGCGCCATGGCAGGCCAGGCACCTGCTATGAGCATCAGCGCTTCTCAGCAATCAGGAAGTCCTCCAAGGCCGCCATCTTCCTTGCAGCACCCTCATTCTAACATGATGAGCCACCCCATGTCCGCTTCTAGGAGTCAGCAAGGGCCTAGTAGACACTCGACACCACAGATGGCGCAGGCAACGCCGGCCATGTCACAGGCAACGCCTATCATCCGTAACGTGACTCCTACACAACGCATGAACCAAGGAAGCCCGGTAGGCACCATGGCTCAAACGCCCATGATGAATCCAAGCATGTCTCAGAATTCACTCATGAACGGTGCTCCTATGGGGCTGACTCCTCAGCAACAGCAGATGCTGTTGCAGCGACAAATCCTTGCTCAACAGCAGGGTGGCCAAATGGGCAGCATGTCTCAATTGACACCTCAGCAGCTTGCTCAATTGCAAGCCAATGCACATGCTACCCAAAACATTAAGTCAGCACAGCAACAACAACAACTCCTACAGGCGCAGCAGGCGCAGAACCAACAGCACCAAGCACAATCAAATATGCCAACTATGCCACAACATAACCATCAAGCATACCAAGCACAACTCAGGCGCGCACAGCTTGCGCAAATGCAAATGGTGAAGCAACAGGGTGGTCAGATGCAACAAGGCCAGGCAAATCAGCAGCAGCCTCAGCAGCAACAAATGCAGTTGCAGCAGCAACTACAGCAGCAGCAGCAGTCTCAGCAGCTATCTCATCAGGGTAGCCCTCAAATGACGGCGCAACAACAGCAGCAGCAGCAGCAACAGCAGATGTTGATGGCAGCTGCTCAAGCCAACGGTGGTCAAGTTCCGACCGCCCAGAATGCAAACATGGTACGGTACAATCGACTGTATCAGAATCGTCTTATGACCTTGCGACAAGAAATGAGTCAACGACTCATGGCTCAGTATGGTCCACCGAACCAGTACCCCCCGCAGCTTGCTCAACAGTATACTGCTGGGTTGGAGAAAAATGCCAAGGCATGGATTGCTGATTTGATGCGGCGCGATCGTGAAGCTTTCACACAGCAACGAGCGCAGGCACTTGCTATGCAAAATCAGCAAATGCAGCAACAGAATATGATGCACAATGGAATGGGCAATTGATTTTGAGGAACATGACAGCGATCTTTCTTGTTTAATTAGCTGATACCCTTTGAGAATGAACACTGGTGCCTTTTTCAGTTTAATTAATGTGTGATGGCATATGAGTCAGGTCGAGTAATGCTTGGGTATCTGCTACCTTGCTACACCACATGGAGAACTGCAAGTAGCGCTTATCCATCTGTCCTCGTAAGTAACGAGTAGCCCAAGGACTGGCTACGCGAGTGAGGACATGAGGGGTAGATCACGACATGAAAGTCTTGATTTTGATCATCATGGACAGTCGTAAGTGCGGCTACGGCGACGGGACCAAAGCAATCCAAACCCATGGCAGATCGCCACTCTCAAACATCCTTTACCGAGAGCTATGATGCTCCATGAGGTACCAGGCAGGTATACACAGCAAAGTGTATCCTTTACTCAGTCTGTCTCTCAGTGTAGGTACCGTACCTCACCCGTTCCACCAATTCATTCTATTCTCTAGTGATGTTGATCAGTAGTTAGCCAGTACCTAGCTATGATTCCCAACACCTCGTCTCTAGACTCAAGTCCAGTTGAAACATAGACGAACCCCTTCGTCCCAGATAGGCACTTAGCCATCCACGGTTCTCATGCGAAACGCGAATAGTGGCTCACAGTGATACTTGCGGCTGAGGGACCAGATGGTTACGCGAGAACGTCAACTATGTGGATGGGAAACTCCCAGTTTCACATGTCCTGAATGAGGCATTCTACATGTCGTTTTTTACCCTTCTTCTAACACGATGGCTGCAAACCGGCCTTAACAACTGTTCCCTTTGGACTGACAGTACCCCGATAACGCGAATAGGCTGTTCCTCCTGTCACGAGATCGCTTGTTTCTGATTTGTTTCGAACAGATTACTGTATACTCTGGTAGGGCCTGATTCGAGCATCGCTTGACCATGTCGGCAGAAGAGAGCCCTTTTGCCAAATGAAAACCGAGGTACTCAGCAAGCTTTTACTTACTGCAGAATGCTCAGTCTACTATTTAGGTCAGTACACCTGACGACGCGTCAGTTAACCCTCCAGGACGGTTAGCATTGACTCACAAATTAAGGTCTTCAGGGCCACAATGAATCCAATTGCTCCCATTCCACAGTCTAATTCTGGTGAACTGCTTTCTTGTCCATGAACCCATGTCAGCCTAATCGAGTCAAACGGCCTACGCCGGCAGATGGCGGCAGCATCTCTCTCCCGGCCCAAGGCGAGTGAGAGCGATCGCCTCTACAACTCGACTGCAACCCACCTGCACACCGTCACGCATAAGATCATGACCCAATAATGTAGAGAGCTTACCAAGAGCCTTTGTCAAGAGATAAATGATCGCCATGCAATCATTTCTCCAAATCACCCAAGCCAGCATGCACATTTTTGAAAATCTCGCCCTTTGCTGGAAGATGCATTGTCCATGAAGAGAGAGCGATGGACCTGGACAGAGATAGGAGGCGATCCAGACCGACTGGAAGTCTTCAAGGCAGTCCGACAATTGGACGGTGATCATCTCCGTTTCAATTTTGCAAATCCCTCCCATTCCAAATGTCTACCGCGACGGACGTGCTTAATGCAGCTTGGACCAGACGGCCTGAGTGCCGATGTGGGCACAAATACCGATCCCCCGACGATGTGTTTATCGAAAACGACCCAGAGTCCTTGCACGAATTGAGATCCCGATTCCTGGAAACTGGGAGCTTTGGTCTGTTCAACGGGATCGTTTCCCAGGGATGTCCGTGAAGAGAAAGAAGATAGGGAATTTTGCAGCCGATCAAGCCGCAGCGTATATCCCTGCAAGCCTCGCATGAGAGATCTTGTGGACATTTTCCCTGATGCTTCCATGATCCCAGTTTCCACAGGGCTCTAATTTGCTAGGTGCAGGAGCTGCATTCCAGTAGCTTTTGTGTTGATTCCCAATTGGTATTTTTTTTTGGCATAGAAGAATTAGCGGTCGGCATCTTGTTGCAGAGAGTTGGGATAGTATCGTCGCTCATTGAGTTGGGCGTGATGGTCCGATACAGTATTGTTGAGGTATGGAGAGTCCAGACAGCAAATTATCAATCGACTGCTACTGTAGAGCTCTCATCTCCCGGCAAGAAATGATGGAGTTTTCATTGCCCAGAAAAGGCAGTTCATTCAAAGTATTCGTGCTTTTGTCAGTCGGGTAAATCACGATTACTCAACGATTTCTGAGGGACTATCGATGGAGAAAGCTTCCACAACTTAACATGGTCCGTTTGCCCATTGCTTTGATCAAGCCATAAATTAAACACAGCCTACTGTCAGTTTGCTCCACTTAGACAACTTCACCGTTCAGTGTGTTCCCTTTTAAGGTTGACGCATCACCACGGAAATGGAAAGCAGGGAAAGCCCGAGACAGCCTCGAAAAGGGTAGATGGGCCATCCATCAATGGCCGCTCGGCGCTCGCTGCAGTCGTGACCATCCAGGAAGAACCAGCTGGAATGGTGGTAGCAGTATTTAGTAGTGACAACAATCGCCTCGATTCCCAAGGTAGTACTACAGTAGTACAGTATATCTACCAGTCCGCTGCCTCACCTCGATGTACCGTAGTGGAGTGGTCTACCTCCTCTGCATCATTTAATCGGTGTACGACACCCTGCATCACCAAGTACCCCACACGCAGGGTACTTGATAGGTACAAAACACACATGTCTGTACGCACGACGCCCACTGCACTTTCAGACTGCTCGATTTGTCACTTGGCGGTCAGTCAGCTGCAATGTTACTATTGCATTGCATTTGAATAATTCAAAAGGAAGCGAAAAGAGAAAAAAAAAAAAGCAATCTATTGTAAGTTAAGCCCATCTGCTTGAGAGTGGAGGTAGGTGGGATGAAAAGGAAATAAAGAAGGACTACGCAGCTTCGGCGCGAGGGTGTCGTTTTCGGCTTCAACTGCCGACTCTCGTGAGACGGTTGGAGATATTCTTTGGCTGGAAAATACGTCCAGGGGTGTAGGGTGTTATTGATGTGGCACATTTTGATGCAACTGGGAGTCTTCATTTTCAATTACGAAACGGGCAGAGTACTTGGTACTGTACTTGGTATTTTCGTCGCGAAATAAAATCGTATATAACTTTGACCTCAGTAATACGAAGGTATGTTGGCATCATGATGCTTCTCTCTGATTTACTAAGCCCGGTCCAGATGCGTTCCATCACACCAGGAACAGGGCAGCATTAAGCCCTCGTGTTGGAGGGAGCATAAGTAGGTTGAAAAGACCATACTGCGGCCACGGCTATCCTCCCGTGGTAAGAGACTATCAACGCCGAATCGTTAACTTTCAAACAAAAAGAATCCTGGGTCGAGCTCGTTCGTCCATGTCCATGTCGATTTCGATGTGGATTTTCGGTTACGTGGCACCATCAGTATCTTTCTTGGCCGCTCCATCTTTGTATAGCAATTGGCTATGGGGAGCTCACCAAGTCCCGACTCGTTCATGGAATGTACAACCTGTCAACGGACAACTTCAGGTTCGAGTCCCAGCTGGCTAGATCGAAAGCCACAACCGACAGCCCCGAAGAATGCACGTATGCACGAGACCCGATCGGGGGAGACGAGGGCATGCGTCTGCATGCGCATACAGCACTGAGCACACAGCATCAGGCGGAGTACAGTATGTTGGGGAGCCTCGTTCTTAATGGATGAACAAATAGTGGTACCAACGAGGATCCGAATCTATTCGAGATGAAAATAGGTGGAAATTGCAGATCTTCGCAGTAGAAAGATTCCACACTGACCAAACTAACAGAGACTTCCAAGTGCAGATGCGTCTTTCATTGTTGTGGCTCAGGTTCCATGGGTTGTTTTGTTTTTCCTCGTTTCCTTTTGTGGTGGAACGAACCCGTTACCTTCCCTACTGACGGGTATGTAGTATGTAGCTAGGTTCCAAGTAGAATGAAGAAAGACCAGGCAGTATCCGCAGAGCCGGAATGGAATACATACATCCATTCCACTTGACCGAGATCTATACACATCAGCGCAGTCTTGGTTGGAATCTGCCACCTCACTCTCAAAGTAGTCATAAATGGACAAGTACCCTTATGGTCGGGGTGCAAGATTGAGTGTTGAAAAAATTAGACATTGAGGTCCAGTGGTCGTCTTCACGGCCAGCGACATAGTTTGTTCACACTCGCGTGTGGCGTCAGGCCAGCCGGCTGACCGACTCTCTCACTTGCACTTGACCCGACACTCCCATACCTACCTATGCATGTACTTCTATTCAGATCTAGAGAGCTACAGAGTCTTTTCCCACCGATATCGACGTGTGTGTGCCGCCCTCAGTCAAGTGGCCGTTCTTCACAGCTCAATGTGGGATCTGTTTGCGAGTACCTCGAGCACCAAAGAGTAACTTGCACCTTCCGAGGTAAACAAGCCATGAGACTAGCTATCGATGGAGGAGGCGAGAGACAAACACATTCCTATACGACTGTGACCTCGACTCAGACCTGACCTTGCCGGGGCATTTCCAACCCCGAACCGAAGGGTGGACAAAAACGCATCGAGCGAAAATAGGCAAAGGCAGGTGGAGGGGAGGGGGAGGGACAAGGAGGAGGTAAGAGGTGGTAGTGGGAAGGGGAAAGAGAACGAGATTGTGATCCAATCTGTTGGGACAGAAGTATCTTGGAAGACGCATGGAAAGACCAGAAGATCTGAGATAACAAATGGGAAGAGGCGGTGGAAATGTGGAGGTGGGCTTTAGAAGCCAGGAAAATGATGCATAAGATAATACAGTCCTTCTTGGTGTATTTTTATTTTTATTTTTATTTTTTGTTGTTTACTATGGCTTTTTTGGGGTTCAGCTTTTCCCGCAACACGACCCTCACGATCAAGGTTTACGATGATATGCATGTGTATATACTGATTCGTCCGGTTTGCGAGTAGAAGAAGTGTTGCTGGTGCCTTCACATTGGTATGTGCAAGTCTGGTCTAGACCTCCAGCTTAGGCTGAACATGATGAATTTGCAGAGAAGGACTCCAGGTGAAGGGTGGTGATTTTCAGAAGCTCGCTCTCAATCTCGAACATATATTCGCGGAGAAGAGGACAAGACCAAATAAATTAGAATGCCAAAAACAAAGCCAGATTCACTACAAGGGCAAAAATGGGCTCTCTTCAAAAGCCCCCCAAAAAATGGAAATAACAAACCATGTGGAGTCCTCTAGCTTCACTGATGAAATCCACCCGTCCCGGTAGACGGTGTGTGTGTGTGTGTGTGTGTGTTGTGAAATGGGGCCTGCGATTTGTGATCTGTAAGATTCAGAATCGGGAGAACGTCAGGAACCGTGGAACCCGTAGACTCGGATCGAGTGAAATGCGATAGACCATTTGTGGCGGACGCGCAACGGGTGATAGCTCTCAGAGTTGTTGAAAGAGGACTAATTAGATTACAACCTCGGAAGCTTCGAGGGAAATCATGGTAGAGACTAAAAGCAAGCTAGGTGAGAGTAGATGGAGACACTGGAGGTGGAGGAAGAGGTCCGATCAGCAACGATGTGGAAAAGTACCAAAATATGACGTTTATACTAGGTCATGAATGAGTTCCTGGCAGAAATCACAAAGATACGATGGGGGACGAGGTCACAGTGCACAAACTTTCTGATTTTTGGAATATTGTTATTGGGGGCAGGAGAGCTTGATAGACAGGAACAGCAGAGAGGATGACAAAACAGACACGATGATTCTTTGATTGTACAAAATCGCCAAGACTCTCCACATGGATTAATAATGTGAGCGATCAACGCAACGACACAGAAGTGATAAGAACGCCTTTCAAGCCAAAGCCAAAATTCCACCCATGGGCCATTTTTGCGCCCGAACAAATTATGCAATAGAAGGGAAGTATAGTAGGGGTTATGAAAAAGAGGCAATGAAGGTAATATAAAGGGAGAACAGGGGCATCAGATCTGGTGGGGCGGAACAATAGGTGATAACTCAAGGTCAAGGTCCTGTGAGGTGGGTGACGAAAGAGCCCACCCGAGGGTATCAATAGAGAGACGAATGTGATGGTGATGAGATCCAAGGCCGGTCCTTCAAGGTATAAGATGGTTCTGGGACTGAGAGGCACCGTCAGACGTGTGCGTGGGTGTAAGAGAGGGAAGGCAGTCGTTTACATGTAAATTTTGGGCGAAGGTCATGGGAGCGGCGGAGGCTGCGACGGGAGACAGGAGCAAAAGTCGGTCTTGTCTAGTCCTCCCATCCATCGACACTCAAGTCACAGTCAGGGAGTTCCTCGAGCTTGGAACCGTAGATAGGGCGACCGTCCGGTGTCAGCTGTCCACGGAACTCGGGATCATAATCAGGACTGGTCTCGTCAAGGGTAGCGACATAACGATTGCGACCGCCTCGCTTGCTGTGGGTCTTTGTATAATGCGCGTTGAGATTGTCGCTGCGTGAGAATGCTCGGTGACATCCAGGGACCCAGCACACATGGGGCTTCTCCTTCGAATGGCTCTTCATGTGGCGCTTGAGGTGTTCCTGACGCTTGAAACGACCCTTGCAGCCGGGCTCCTTGCACTTGAACTGCACCTGCTTGATGATCGGTGGCAATTTCTCGAGGCTAAGATGCGAACGCAGTAATTGTTTCTTGGACGGCTTGCGCGAGGGCTGTCGATGGGTGCATACCATATGTCCATCGCGATACACAGGCGAGACGGGATACTCCTCCGAGTAGTCGTGATGCGCGGACAGACGACTTTGAGGGGTGTCGCTTCGAGGCGTCCCTAATGACAGGGATCTCACTGGGGTGGAAGGAGTGTGTTGCTTGAACGTCTGTAAGCTGGCGGGAAAGTCGGAATAATTAGACGAAGGAGGAGTGACAGGGCCCGCGCCGGGGAACGCCTGTTGGGGAGTGATGGTCTGAGGAGCCAAAGACTCGGGAGCAGTCATCCATGGCAGCATGTTGGACATGGACGCAGAATTAGGCAGACGATCATGGTGACTGAACATGGGCCGAGACAAGCATGGGTTGGAGGCCGACTCTGGAAGATACGCAGACTGCGCATGCGGGCGATAGTAGTGGTTGCGGCCCATAGTGTGATGATACTGGGGCATCGGCGCTTGGTAAGGGAATGAAGGCTGCTCGAAGGTCTTGGGAATCGAGTCATGCGGAATCCACAGCTGGTCATTGATGTCGTCGTACCCAGACAGGTACTCGGAAGAGATTGGCAACTGCTCCTGGCGGTCCATGGTGCTGACTTGCATGCCCATCGGATCCGCCGACGGGAAATCAGTGATGCGGAATGCATTTCGCAGCGGGGTCGCTGATGTGCGGCGCTCCATAGGTAAACTGTGGTAGTGGCCACCGTCGTGCCAGCCGGGAGAAGCCAATGATCCGTGGCTGTATAAACTGGTCGGCGTCGGTGTCGGTGACTCCAACGGCGAGAAGCTCGAGGTCATCGAGGGACAATCAACTGGTCCCAGTGAGTGGCAGTCCACCTCCACAGTCAAGCGGTCCGAGATTTGCTGACCTTGGGATCTCATGTCGTCGATTTCCTCAAGTTTAATCTCTCGAGGGGCGTGATGATCAATGATAGTATCACCTGTGGCCCAATGGAAGGGGCTGATATTTAGTGCACTGAAGTGGCGAGAGAAGACGCAAGGTGTATAGAAAAGAAAAGATCAATCAAGGAAAGTATTGATGAGACAAGGAAAAGGGTGGACGAGTGAAGAGACAGGAGAAGGATTGCACAAGAGCAACAGGCAGTAAGAGAGTGAAGGCTGTTGGCACTTTACACCTCTGGAAGAGGGTCGACAAGGAAGCACGAGGGCGGACGGAAGGAATGAATGAGAGAAGCTCGAGGCACGAGGGAGTGGTACTCGCAGCGAAGCCACAAGACTGTCTGAAGGGAGTGAAGGAACACCACGAAAGAATGAACTGGATGTTCTTGGGAGCAACACAGATGGAGGGAGAGAGTGAGTGAGTGTGTATGTGTGAAAGGGAAAGAAAAGAGTGATAGAGAGTGAACAAGGAGCCAGAGAATGGAGGGATCCCCGAGGACAAATAAACAATCTGGGCCAGCAGGAGAAATCACGAGTGGAGATCACGACTTACCACCGTATGCCATGGCTCTGGTCGAAAATCTATCTGAGTGCTCGCGTCGCGTGCCGGAGGAACGCTTCCACGCAAGGCCAGGAATGCAGACAATAGCCTCCCTCTGTTACCGCGGCAAAGGTCGTGATAGATGGCTGGCTGGCAAAAGATTCAAGGCCTAATCACCGTCTGTCGCGTCTGTGGGCGAGACACGAGCTGGGGATCGGACGAATGAGCCTCTGGCCGCGAACCTGGATTTCCGCGATAATCGATATGCGGTTTCACAGCCCTCTCTTTCTCTGGTCTTCCAGGATCGTGATTTGAGGCTTGTTTCTTCAAACCTTCTACTTTCTAAGACACGGTGGTTGGGCGCGTGGAGGCTGAACCGTCCAGGACAGAGAGGGATGGATTGTCGCGGACGGGGAGGGGTTGGTCAGGTCTCAGATCACCGTTCTCCAACCTCAGACCGCTGGCGAGTGGCAGGTGTTTCAAGGGCGGGAGGTCGATATAAGCTGGTCGAGTAGCTGACTTTGGCGAGGAACAAGGTGGTGATTGTTTCGAGACAGCCGCAAGGAGAAGAATGGGCGATCTGGGGGACGAGAAAGGGCGGGTTTATAGTTCCCCGAGAGAGAGAGAGAGAGAGGGTAGCCGAATGGGCCTGCTGGGTTCCTGACGAGGATGGCACTGCAGCGCGTTGAACGATAGTTCCACTTTTCTCGCCATGAGAAACCGAATTGCTCCAAAATGCCCAGAAAAAAGAAATCCGTCTAATTACGGACCGGGAAGTCGAGATCGACACGATGGATTCGACCGCAGCCTGATCGGAGGTGGAGATGCGTTTAGTGATTTCTTCGGGATTGCCTCACATTCTGTAATTGTTTCTCTTGGGGCTTGATTGCATTATTGCACATCATGCTTCTCAATGGGGACCATCAAGAGCCTCGGTGCCATTGGCTTCCATGGCTCACATCATGCAAATCATGAGGGTCCAAACACCCCAAAAGGTTGTTTTGAAGGTTTGCACAGTTACCGATTCTCTTTCCTGCTGGGGTGGAGCGTATCATTCTTTTTGGATGTTTCTTTTTCCCTTTCGGGTGAGGTTGTTCTTTATTCTGCTTTTTGTTTTTCTTTTTTGGCTTTTCCGCTTTTCTTTTTCGGGACTTCCTGCTGGGAGGATCATTTGGCTCAATTCAGATAATTACATTTTAGGTTCGACAGAGGGTTGAGGACGTGCGGCTTTTCATCGGTTCCTCGCGATCAGGAACCATGTCTCACGCGCGCCTGACGACAACCCCCAGGGTAGAAGATTTCTCATCGGATTTGCAGGAGATGATCCAGATAGGATGCAGGGTCTCATGGCGAGAGTGAGAGGCGTGCGCAACTCTCGTCCCACGAAGAAGTGGTGTCTTTAATTCATAACGTCTCCCGGCGCTGCTCCATCTCTGGGCTCCGAATGATCCATGCCCAGAGTTGTCTGTCCGAGGCCATGGCTCCCATGGCCAAACAGTTGAGGATACGCGGCCACTGGAATGTGCGGCTTCTGATCAATTGCATTCCGAGCAATGTGAGTAGAGTCTATTCCCGCAGTGACATGCGTCTCTGGGCGGCGTCGGGTGGGAGTCATGACCGTCTTTCCACCACCCTTTCGAGATCACTGCGGGGGATCACTCGATGCACACGAAATACCTCTGATCTGTGTTGGGTAATGATTGATGCCCTGGCTGTCTCGGACTGCATCGAGGGTTCACGCCGGTGCCTGTGCCACCGCCCCAGACTTTGGGCTCGTCATCTTATCGTAGGACCACTCGATCTGATTCCGTGTTTCCACGACCATTGCATCTCGTTCCTGGCCCATGTTGGCAGCGACTCCCTCATACTACTGCACTTCGAACACGATCTGCCAGTTCCCACCAAGAGACCTCGATGGGGTCCACTGTATTGTCCATCTGTTGTTGGTCCATCTTTGACCTTGTATTGAGCTCTCCGTTCAAGGTGTTGCCCTTCCGGTCATGATGACCACTTCCACCTTATCAGGTACGTTCTTCGTCTCCACGTCCTCACCGTAATCTTCACAACGTGCAAGTCACCCACCCTCTTGTTCTGTCCTGATTGATAGCCGCCATGCATCCCCTCCCTCATTCTTGGTGATGCGGCCTCTCTGCCCGGCCCTCACTGGACCCTTCTACACCGTACTGTTCTAGCCCGCTCGAGTGGCCGTGTCGAGATTGTGATAGGCAGCAATAGGCCACGCAAGTTGAATGTTGGGTAGGAACGTTCCATGCGGATGAAACTTAGGACGCATGTACCACTACTCCTACCGGGTGTAAACTTCAGTGCCCTGTTGTGTCTATGACTTTCAAACTGTAAAGACAAGCGCGAGACAGTACGGGGACAGTGAGGTACTACACATCCTAACAGTAACTAGTAGTAACTTTTCAGGTACTACGGTACGAAGTGGAACTCTCCCGCCTGTCTCGCCTGTCACCCTACCCGAGACTGGAGGCTGATAAGCAAGCCCTAACTCTGGAGGTAATGCGCCTCTCGCACCCCCGGCTCAGAATCAGTGGCGGAAAAGTCTTGTCCACTTTCGAGAACTCAAAGCAAAGGTGATCGATCTCAATTTCACCCCGGCCCAGTCCCTATTTGGGGGGGGGGGGGGACTGGACAGACTTGGGGTCGGGGGTTTCGGGGGTTTCGGGGGTCGCTGCGACAGGTCAGACATCAGACACTTGCGCCAAAGCTAAACACTTCTCCGTCTTTCCATCCTTTTGCCGGATGAACTGCCTCTGAGCGGTGGCCGTTTTACTTGGACCAGTTTCAGTGGAATCTTCTGCTGGGTCAGCTCCGGTCGGGCCTGGTCGGTGGAGCCTGGAAGTCTGTCAGAGATCTGCACTAGTGCGAAGCGGACAAGCCACATCCCGGTCGTTTGTTTGTTGGGGGAAGAGAGCTGAGAGCATCGTACCGTCGGATGCCGCTACTACTACAGAGGACAGATCAGGTAGAAGCTTTCGAGATCACTGTGTACAGTACACTGCACAGTGCCCCAAAGGGTAGCGAGAAACATGCCATAGCTCGGGTGGATAGACTTGCACAGGCTCGATCCCGTCTTGGCCTGTTCATGGACCACTTTGGCATTGTCCTCCAGACTCTCCCGGCAAAAGGTCCCATTGTCGGAGGCAAATGGAACCCAGTGAACCCACCCATCCGATCGGCTCCCCGGTAGATAGATGATCGACGAGGGGGTCTAATCCCCAAATGACTCTAATGAGGCTGTTGGCAACAATACCCACAATCCTTCAATCCAAGGCAAGCTTGTGATTCGCTTTGCCTCTGTGGTCCAGCGTTGTCCCATCGTCGATTGTACTATACTGCGCAATACACATTCCACCTTCTTCAATCCGCCAGCAGTCATTGGACGGGTACAACAGGCCCCTCGGTACGGTACTTCTGAGCGCGACAAGACGTTCCCCGCCCCGGAAGATCGAGGCCCTGCTGCCGAGCTGGACGCTGTGAACTATTTGCTCCCCCATCTCCGCATCACACCTCTTCGTCACTGACAAATGAGTACTTTGGGGAGAAAAAGCCCCGGTCCTACGTGTGTGGGTCTGCATGAAAGGACTGGAATGTTGAGGGTGGATATATTGTACAGTAGTAGACACTCGACACTTAAGAAGAGTAAGCTAGGGCGGAAGGTCTTTTCCTGAGCCTGTCCACGCCGCTCGGAAGTGACAGTTTTTATGATGAGGGAAGCGAGATCGGGCGATGCGAGCCGCAATCACTTCTTCACCTACCGTATACAGGAGTATGCGCCTCCGGGATTTCAAGCCATCTGTATGCAAAGAATCTCATTAGAATCATTGGAATGCGGACCGACCTTAAGACTCACCTCCTCACCCGACCTGGATCCGTACTAGTAGGCTTCCGCTCAGGGGCGAGAGGGAAAACCACTGAAGTGACTTTTCATGGTCGAGGATGAGTCGGGGACCTGCATCTGATCTCATACCAGGAACGCTGTGACCCATCCGTCACTATTACCACTGTACCATGGGCCTCTTTGGGAAGCTTTCCCACCGAAGAACTTTAACTTGGGGAGTTCGATGAATCAAGTCAGAGAGAGTGATGTGGGAGTCAGGTTACCTGTACAGGTGTACTTGTGAGTTGGCGGAATGCTGGGCCAAAAAACCCCAAGCATCCATCGAAGTGCCACAGTCCGCTCCTCCCCATCGACCAGACATCCCCACATCGAACTTTATTCCCCTCTGGCCGAATGGGTTGCGTGGCTAGTGAAGTGCCAGCTCGGTGCATTGGCGGGCGACTGGACTTGGATCGGCGGTGCCGAATCGTGTACATTCAGTCATCTCCCTCGAGCTTTCTCGATCTCACCCACGTAGACTCTGACAATCAGTGGCAAAAAGATCTGAAACTTGCGTGCCTGTCATGTAATGATGCT